CATAACTCTCTACTGCCTTATCTTGGTTGGGTACGAAGTGTACCGTATGCTCATCTGTGTTACCTCGCTGGGTAGATAAATTAACAGGCAGGTACCTCAACAAAATTTATGTAGTATAACATTGTTCACTCTGCACGCAAAAGCAACTGCATGCGTTAGGCAGGTAAAGATGTCCATAATGTGGTTTTTTCTCTTTGTACAACAATATGATGCATTGATGCAATGTTTTTTCTTCCAATCCTTAAAATGGATTCTGACCCATTATTTTGTTCATACTGTTTGGTTTTGTGTTCACACACTCCTACCTACCTGCCTACCTCAACATGAGACGGTATGGCTCGACTTTTACAACTTGACAATCTGACACCGTGTAACAGCGTATGAGACATTTAACTATACCGCAAGCTGCAAAGATTTGCTGGTTTTCTTGGGATCCAGACCTGTCACGTCATTGGCCAGGAATGGTTAAGGTTAAATCATGGAGAGGGCCGAACAGATTTTTTTTTGTTCTACCTGGGAGGGCCACCAACAAGGGAAGCCGCAAGTCAAGGTTCCACGTGCAAATGTAAATGTCAACTGCGTAGTAATAGGCGTCCCTGTCAGCAAGCAAATGAGAGAAGGATTCAATCATTGTGACACACTCACTTATTAGTGATCATTATCATCATCATCGTCATCATCACCATTATCACCGTGTCCCACCTAGACTCATGGATCCTTCAGCTGTTTTTGTGGCTGCTCGCGCGCCCACGCAGTTGAGAAAATTAAGATACTGTGCCTTCTGGCTGCAGAAAATCCCCCCCATCCAATCTGCGCACTTTCGAAAAGTCAGCGGCGCCGTCGCCATCTACTACTGCTATGTACGTACTGCAGCACCCCTTCTTATTAGTGTACTAGTAGTGCACCATGCAGGGATATGTATTCTCGCAGCTTTCCCCCACCTCTGGAACGGCATGCAGCGATTAATAGTCCCTTCTCGGCTTTCCTGCCGGTGTGTGGGCTGGCCACATCGAAAGACAGCATGGTTGGTGGATTGACACTGCGGCTGCCCTGTTGCGGACGACGCCTTGCCTTGTCGAGGTCGTCCCTCCGAGCATGCGAGGAACGCGAAAAGAACTTGGACTCTGGAGTCTCGACATACACACACACACACACACACGCATGTGCATTCATCTATCCATCCATCCATCCATCCATCCATCCATCCATCCATCCATCCATACATACCCGTCATCATGTCATTCAATCATCAATCAATTCAAAGGCCCACGTTCTGGCCGTAGCCTCTTCCCAGAGTCTGCCTACACTGCGACTCACTTGCCTTACGCTACTACCCAAGAAAGACATCATGACTATCTAGGTACACTACGTGTAGGTAGTGCCCACTGCCCACTGTCCACTGGGGCCGATACTACAAAACCCACTTCACCTCGTGGGAATAAACCAATGAGTGGTACGTAGAGAGTATATACCTTTCATGTATGTATGAACCGCACTGACTGGCTTTTTCCCCCCTTGCACCCGATATCCGGTTCCTCTTGGCGCTCAGGGGCCCGGCATCCACTGGGTCATGGCCTGATTCTATACTATGTACATATGTCACTATATTACAAAGTTCGCCGGCGCGGACGGGATGCCCATTGTATGGGGACAGCTAATGTAGTCAGCCCCTGATCCTGATCCTCATCCCCGACCCTGCTTGATGTTTGTGCTAATGCTGTTGATGCTCCAGCGACGGCGACATCTCTACTGGCATTGGCACGATCGATCTACTACTATGGCGGCAGCGGTCGTCAGTCACGTCGCACAGTCCCACCATTATGGGACTAATACCCAGCAAGCCCGAGGTTTGGTAAGAAAAATCCCATCTAAAAAAAAGTGTGTCTCATAACCTGGTATTTCGATCATCTCTTTTTTCGTTTTTCTGTAATTGCTGCTACCTTTTTTTCCTTCTTCTCTCCCCTTGACGTGTCAATGCCTCCCTAATCTTCCAAGGGCTCCACGGCGCGTACTCGCAACCACAGCTATCTGGGCTTGCTGGGTAGGTATGGTAAGCTAGCAGGGCAATGTCAATTGATAGACGTTCAAGTTCTCCAGCCTGTTGGAGGCTTCTGCTGCAGCTAAGAAATTATCCCTGACCGTGTTAGCCAGAATCCTTCCTACTGAATGTCTCTGCCAAAGAAACATATTGCATTTACATCCTGCGGGGTTTGTTTCTTTTTCTTCTTTTTTCTTTTCGTTGTGTAAATGAGATGAGTAACTAAATGGGCTTTGGTGTGTGTCACCTCGCAACAGCCTTTCCTTTCCTGTCCTGTCCTGTACTGGCTTGTCTCTTTCATATCACCGCTGCTCATTCCAGACAAGGTACTGAGACTACATATCAAATCTATTCGTTTGGTCAAGGCGTTGAGCTACCTTGTCAAAAGTGCTACCTATATTCTCCTCATATCAATACCCTTTATTGCAAGCAGCCGTCTAACACAAACTGATCCACACGCCCACTGCTTCACACTCTCACTGGCCAGCCCCGGCAGACAGACAACCTCGGCGGCTGCGGCTTGTATGCACTGGGACTCAGATCATCTCGTGCTCAACATCTCCACTAGATCGACTCCCGACCGCCAATGCTGATCAAACGCTGTGGCAGCCAGCAGCAGGTCGCAAGCTCTTGGAATCCCTGCTCAATGGGCCCTGGTCTGGCACTTCCCCACCACACAGGACCGTCCTGGAATCCTGGGTCTTGCAAATGAGGACCCTGGTCTTGCTTGCCGCGACCTTATCACGCCTTTGGTACGGTCAGAAAGTCTCTGAGCGCTTGAGCGCCGCCTCATAGCCAACGTTTCTTCAGTGAAGTGGCTGCTTCTCCCGGGTTAGACTGGGCTGGGCTGGGCTACTTGTGGCGGACCTGGTTTCCGTTGGTGACCGGGACTTGCTCAACACCAAGTCAGTTTAGGACCGGATAGGAATATCTCTAATCTTACACTATTATAATACCGGGAATTTTTGCGTGGGTAGAAAACTGAGCCAGCCAGGCTCACCTACCAAGGCACTGGGAGGGGTGGTCATCACTACATACATCATTTTGTTCTTACTTACATTCAGCTATTCCTGGTTGAGCAAGTTCAAAACTTTAGGGCTTCTTATTCCCTGCAGCGGCACCCAGCTCAGAAGGAGAAGATCCTGCCTGCTCGTCGGAAGAATTCTGCGCGCCCCGTAACTCCGGCCTGTCTCTCAGACGCTCTGGCCAGGCAATACCCAAGCAAGTATACAGAGCCAAGATCGTGACTTCAGCCACCTCCCGACCCGTGGGAGACAACCCGTCCCACGACCACGGCGCCCCGTCCCAAACAGTTTCATCAAAGCCATAGATCTAAGTGGAGTCTTTTTTAAGGGATTCATTCACACGCTTTGGTCAGATTTCTCGGGCAGGGGTTCACTTACTCACTTTATTCTCACTCACTTTGGCCGGCAATCTAATCTGGTTCTACTATCAAGCAACGTCAAACCACCCTGGTCATTGGTTCCTGGGCTGGCTACAACTTTACTACCTGCCTACACTACACTTCGACCGGCGCAGATTGAACAAGCACGGCCATCTTCTTACTTGATGATAGTGCATACGAGCGGGACTGCCCTACATAAGCACGAATAATCGTCCGGCACTTGTTCCGTCAAGCCACGCCACTTGACAACTCTCCACACCCCGGATGACAAACGTTTTTCTGTCCAGAAAACGATTTTTTTTTTTTTTCCTTCTATGGCGACGGATTGACTACGATTGACAGAAAGTACTATTTCTGTTGTCGTTCTCTCGAGAAACAATTCTGGAGTATTTGACCAATGGAGTTTTGGAATTGAGATCAATCTGTCATTGTGAGCTAGACGTGTATCCGAAAACGACGACAAGGGCATCTACGAGAAAGAAAGTATTTCTTATTACTACATCGAAAAGAAAGAAGAAGACACGATCCCCTCACGCTTGCCAACAAACAGCAGGGTACAGTGGTTCCGGCCGGGCCCGTCACCCCTTCACCATCAGGAACCCACTCGCTCCTCGTTGCTCTGAACCAGGAAACCAGGAAACCAGGAGGGTGACTTTCTGTCAGACACCACCACCCAAGCACGAGCACCCCCAAACCATCTGGCCTGGTCGTGGAACCTTGTCCTCACAACCTCCACCCTCTGGTATTAACTAGAAAGCCCCGCTATAGCAGCCCATCCCGTCAGCAGATCCCCGAGGAGACCTCCTTCAGAAGAAGGCTTGGTTGCGGAGAGAAATAAAATATACGAATAATCTGTGCCCCCGGACTGGCCCACAGCACAACCAGACTTACACCACCGCCGTCGCCGGTTTTGTGTCAAAAACCTAACCAGTTCCCCGGTAACTGAAGATCCTCCCAAGCCACTTCGCTCTCCGGCCAGAGAAAACCGATCTATTACCATTGCTACTCCTTTATCACTTTGTTGGGGAGACTAGGAGACGACGCCCCTTCTCATCATTAGAGTTTCCAAGCTACAGTACATGTGCAGCTTCGAGTGTTAGGCCCCATAAAGCTGAAGCTGCTGCACGCAAGAAAAGCAGCAGGAGTCTCACAGAGTGGTGTCCATGCACAGTCATTGGCCAGCCAGATTCCGACTTGACGCCTAGCAGGGGTTGACCATTCTTCCCGCTGGAACCGCCTGAACCAAGGTTCCATACTCTCTCAAAGACAAGACACATTCCAGGTTGACGTAGTATTGTCGAGAGCCCCCAAACTACTTTTGTACAACCTGTATGTGTGACCCCCAAGCTCCGTTCCCGTCACTAAATGCAAGTGTTCAAAAGTCAGTGACACTTGATAGAATATTCTTATTAACTTTCTAGCTTCGAAAGGTCGCTGTTATACTGTCTACGGCCTGGAGGGGTTGAGCATAAGCGAGGGCAGTTCCGAGTAATTCGGTGCTTGGCTGGACATCGATCTGCTACCAAGTCAACATAGACTTCCTAGCACGCCAGCCAGATGGATGGCTATTACCAGCATTACCTACCAGGCGGAGCTGGGCCTGGCGAGGAGACAAGTCCCAGTTCTCAAGAGGGACATTCCTACATTCACAACAGCCAGATTCAAATGGAGGCCGGCGAGATGCCCATGGTGAATCCTTACGAAACTCTAGGTTATGTCACCGGGTTTCCAGATCCCATCATGTTTCAACCTCCAAAACCTCAAAACGCACGAAGTCGAAGAAAATCAGCACCCGGGGTGGATCATGTCAAGCATCGTCGAACAAGATCCGGCTGCTACACCTGCCGAAGTAGACGAGTCAAGGTAAGCAGTTGCAATTTCAGTTTGAATTTGACATAGACTAAGCCCTACCAGTGCGATGAGACACATCCTATTTGCGAAAGTATGATCATTTTATCCCTCTCCGAGTTGTCATTTGTATATTGACCAGATGTTCTAGGATGTCGCAAGGGCAAGCGAGAATGCGTCTACCCCGAGGCTTCCACCGGAAAGGGGCCCTCTGATGCTTCGGCCAAGGAAGGAGGACACACAGACAGCCCAGGACAGTCACCAGGAGATGCCGAGGACGAATCGGAGCGAGACACAAAGCTAGAGCCGATCATAGACGAAGAAGAGCCCGATGACGACTATCCGCGGATTGATCCATCATATAGGAGAGCAAGCGCTGCTTCAGCCTCGACATTACCCAAGCATAGCGCAAGGTATGGCTCCGAGACACCTTCCGGCGGAGGGAGCTCATCTCCATCCTTGTCTACCGGGACGAGTGTTGGTTTCATGGCACCGTTTCGCGCATCAGATCCGTCCATTCAACCAGGACCTTTGGACTGGTCTCATCTCCCCACAGAACTACGCTTCTACCTTGACTACTACTGCGAAAACATCACACACTACAATTACGGCTTGTCAGTAGACCCCGAGGATTTCTTCAGGAGTTTTCTACCAGGAACGGCGGTTCGTCAAGGGAACGATGCCCTGCTGTATGCAGTGGTCGGCTTTGCAGCATACCACCATACTATCGGAAACCCGCGAGGACAAATCCAAGACTTCCTCAAATACTACAATAAGAGTGTCACTTTGCTACTGGCTTCTTTCAGAAGGAAGGAGAAACAAAATACGGCCACACTCCTGACAATTCTCCAACTAGCCACTATCGAGGTAAGCCGTCATGATGAGAGAGGTTCTGGGTACAAGCTCTCTTTGCTTTGGCAGTGTCTGACAACTATCAGGAATATCTTGGTGACTGGGTTAGTTTGATGGGCCATCAAAAAGCTGTCTTGCAGATCATGACGACGTTATTCACCCCAAGCACGGTAATGCAGTCATACGTTACCCGCACACTCTTTGCGTGGTATGTCCGATTCGATGTGTTTGTCGGTATGCTCGGCGGCTTCGAAACACGGTTACCGCGAGATTGGTTCTCAACAGCCTTGGAGTTCTTCGAAGGTCAAATTGCACGAGAGCCCGGCGACTACAGCTTGAAGCTCGAGCTATATTCTGCGGCTATGAATATGATTACGGTGGATATGTCTCTGCTCTTCGCCAAGGGCGGCCGGGGCGAGATCTCGCCACAATCTTTTGCTGCCGAGCACCGGCATTTGGAGGAACGACTCCGGAATTGGAAGGCGAGTCTCGACAGCGACCAAGAACTGTGCAATACAGACTATCTTGTCACTGACTTTGAAAACCGGCAACCACTGACGGATGACGATATTGTTGACCCCTACGCCAAAAAGTTCTTGTATAAATCTCAATATTTCGCCACTACCATCCTACTCTGCGAGTGGCGCTCGATCCTCGTCATGCACAAGACGCAAGAAGCCTTGGCGGTGCAGCAGGAGCCGGCCCAAGAGCTTCGGGATTTGGCTTACGATGTATGCCAAATCTTTGAAACGGTCGAGAGGTGGCCCTCAAGCCCAAACGGTGCTCTTGTCATACTGCAGTCGGCGTTGGTCATTGCCACGCTTTACCTACCCCAAGATGAAAAGCATCAGAGGTGGATGAAAACAAAGTTTGCAACTATCGAGTCCATGGGGTAAGCTGCTTCACCCTGTCCCCTCTATTTACTCATGGCTAATCTTTGTTCTCGCAGGTACGTTTTCCCGCTCACAATGAGGACGCGGTTTGCAGAAATCTTCCAGGACCCGACCTGCGTCAATTGGTGGCTACCAAACGACGAGGGTCTCAACCCCGTCATACGAAGTATACGTGCGTTCGCAGACGAGCGCAGCGCGAACCCAGTTTCCGAACAGACGGAAAGTCTCCGGGAGATGACGGCAGTCTTTGCCAAGATGGGACTTCATTCTCGCGACGAGAGCTCGTCTCCCTCTGAGCCTTCGCCGACAAGGAAAGGCAAAAACATCATGCTCTAATCGAGGGATACAGATAGAGTCGTGAGGATCGGCTTCGAGCCCAAAGACCATTGACAGCCAGATTTGGTCTCGTCAGGCATCATTCGGCACAATGATTTGGCAGTAGTATCAACTTGATCCACTCAGTCTTTTTCGCGAGCGATACGACGACTCCCAAGGACCGGGGGTTCGGAAACCAAGCGAGATCCGAGACCACAATATTTGAGAAAGAGCCGCGCAGCCTTGGCAAGGACACCCCGGACCTAGTCATTGCAATTTCTACTACAAGCCGCGCATACGGGTTCGTCGGTCCGCTTCGTGGTACACGACGTGGACAATAAGCTTTGGGTCACACGAGATCCCCGACGATGCAGCGAAATAGGCTATAAGATGCCCCCGTCGTGTTTTCTACGGCAGCACAACCTTCGAAGACCTTTGCACAAGCATAAAATCTCAATGTATTGCAGCAACGGGTACCAGGTGTACCCGCTCCCCCTACAAATATGTAGATGATTGAGCGCTACAGAATCATCTATATTGTGTACTATACTCTACTATTCCGACATCAAAGCATCGGGTTTGTATTACCCTTATGCGGTATATAAATAATGATGGACATAATCATTTCAATTTTTGATATCTTTGTGAAGTGAGGTTCCATTGTGATGTTGATCATTAACGCATTTTCTGTAATGTTCCTTTGTACTTTGAGAATTTTTCTTGACCAATTGATTAGGAGGTATCTTTTCCTATTCCATCGTTCTGTTGTTATTTCCTTTCTCCGTGCCGCTCATTTCCACAACCAAATCCCGAAGGAGGCGCCTTTCTTCCACCTCGGTGTGCGGCCCGGTGGCCCCCCCCCCATGCCCGTCGCTCAATGTTTCTAAATAGCCCATCCCGACGGGGGGAAAACATTGAAAGAATTCGTAGCCTTGCGAATAGTTTTTGAATTCTTCTTTTCTCAAATCCCGAAGAACCAAGACAAATCAACAAAAAATCCGCCCAGTCTCTCTCATCCTCTCCCGAAAGGATGCAAATGGCTGTAAACGGCATCTCTTGCGATTTTCCCCTTCCCCCATCTCCAATCGGGAAGTTGCGTAAAACGGGTGGCTTTTTTTTTTCCTTCTCCCTCTCTTGTCCCTTGCCTTTGCCTACACCACCCCCTTGTTTGCGTTATTGAAGACCTTCGGCACGGTGCGGCTGAGTATGTGCAGCGAATGCGCGATCTACGGCATGTGCAAATTCCTGGGACTGGGTGTTTTTTTTTTGTTGGGGGGAGGGGGCGTGTGTTATTTATGGTCATGAAACACTTCCCCGGGTGCCCTATGTAAAATTTACTAAATACCTATATTCGGAAATCTTGTTGCGTGTCGTGAAGTGACTACACTTAATGCGCGAGGCTGACCAGCAGCCAATGCTCGTATACATAGGAGACAAAGAGGACGACGCTGCAGGGCCAATTTACGAATATAACGAGTATGCACAGATATTTGTACAGAAAAATCACTCTTGTGTATAAACTGTTGATTGTAGTTGCTGGTACGCTTATATCATATTACATTAGTGCGTACCATGGCCATCAAGGCGTCTCAATCATGTCTTTCTTTTTGCACGCCATGGCTGCTGGCATAATGCTAGAGTAGCCATGTATCCAGCTAAACACGGTCTGAGTAGCTCAGACCGACCTCGGGGCAGCTTCTTTCCAACTCGAGCACAACCGGCCAATAACCAATGACTACCCACCTGGTGCCTATTGTACATAATACCATGAACCTTATTCCTTGGTTCAAATGTCTTGTAACTTGTGACCATTAGGCCTAGAGAACGGCGAGTATTTCTATACAGTGAGAATCTCCGCTTCCGTGGCGGCTGCCAGTGACGCACTACCAGAGTTTTCACCGGCATTTGTATTGGAAAACCTGCTTGCACCTCCCTCAGCCTGGCGTAGCAAACACGCAAGTCCATCTGTCGGCCTAATAATTATATGCATCATCTTGTACGATGGCCAGACTCGTATCTCATGATCAAGCGGCGACGTTTCGTTATCCATATTCTAGCAACTCTTTTACGAATTGCCTTTTTGCCTTGTTGGTGACCTGCCTTGCCTCACTGAACGATTGGTGATTCATGCTCCTCCGAGCCATTTGAACACCTTTAGGACTTGTCCTCAGCGGAGTGATCCGTTGGGTCGCTTGGACCTTCAGTCGATTCTGTGGGGTCGGGGTCTGAATCTGCCTTTGGCTGTTCCTCGGTGTTCTCGGCTGCAACGTCCTTGACGTGTTCAACAGATGCTTCACTAGATTCGCCGTCGGCAGAAGTAGCTTCTTCTTGCTCCTTTTCAGCTTCTAATGGCTCTTCAGGCTCAGGCGCAGCATTATCCTCGCTGGTGATCGAGGTTTTCGTTTGGGTATGTGATTCACTGTCATTTGGCTCTTCGACTTCCGTTTCCTGAATATCGATGCGGGGGGCATGGATCTGCGGTGGAGGCGCAGAGGTCTGTCCATTCAGCAGTCCTCCATCCACAATAACGGGGACCTCAACCTCCGATGCCTCCTCCACAGTCTCGGGTGCTGAGAGTTGCATGTTTTTCATCTTTTCATTGATATCTGAGCTCTCGTCCTCCCTCTCCTCAATGACCGTAGTCACGAAACTACCGGTAGACGGTCTGCTGGAGTGCCGGGTCGTATTAGTTCGGCGTGCATGAAGACTGTTGTTCTCACGTTCATCCTCTTCGTGGGCGGTGCTTGCATTGTCCCGTACTGGCGGTTTGGCAATTGCCGTAATCTTTGGTTGAGAAGCCTCCTTCTCTGAGGGTGTGGGATCCAGTCCTTCGGCTTCGGGCGGGAGCTTGTAGTTCTCTGCAGGAAGAAGATTATTCAGATCGCATACTCTTTTGAAGAAGACGTAGAGACCTGACTGCGATTCAATATTCCAGAAAACGCCACGATGCTGGAACCAGGCGTGCGCAAAAATGCGGTGCAGTCTTCTAAAAACATTGACCAGGTTCTTCTGGACGGCGTTTCGATCATGACCCTCATTGAGCACAGTAAAGCGACTCGGGAAGATCTTGGGATTTGTCACGACATTCGCAGCCCAGTCCAACGTGTGGCAACAGTAATCAATGGCGCAGCAGCTTTTGGGCTGGTCGTGTACAGCGCAGAGGAACTGCCACTCGGAAGCGCGCATCTCGGGACAGGTTGCCTGTGAGCACGGCGGAGTATCGAAGAGGAAGCCGACGATCAGATTGTTGCACTGCATGATGAGAAAACGGCAGAGCTCATATAGCCAGAGTGTTTCGTCGATGCCAGGCGGCGGCGTTGCGATCTGCGAGGCAGTCTGACGGGTGATGGGTTGCGTGCCGGCATTGGTATGATGATAATGAAGAGCGGCAAGATGCTCCTGGAGCTGAAAAGCCGAGTCAAGCTATCATCTAGGTTAGCGACATATGGCCAGATTGCTTCCAACAAATGTAGTAGCCAAGGGACAAACCTCATTCAATGGCACCAGTGGCGGTCCAGCAGCCATATCTTCGGCTTTTGTGCCAGGGTGAATGCGACGCTTCGAATTCGTATCGACAATGCTTTGATCCATCTGGCTAGCCTGGAGGTCGACACCGGGTGATTTGGGACCGATCTGATCCTCAGCTGGAGGAGGTGGGCTGGGAAGCCGGGGAGAGCTCGGTGGAAGAGCCATGGTGTTTTATCTACTACCACGCTCGTGGCGACATATGCGACGGAATGACGGCTGGGCGCGCGCGTATCAAGCTGTAGAAAGTGTTGGTCAATTGATGCGACGTGGCTTGGGGGGTTCCGGTCGCAGATATAATGCGTGTTGTGCTGGGTGGTTTGTCAAGCCAGGGCTGCACAGGACAGGATTGGCTTTCTTTGCCTTGGGATCGAGCGACAAAGAAGCACAAGACCTGGAAGCTTATTACTAGGTGCCTACCTAGTAGGTAGGTGCAATGTAAGCCAGTCGGCTGGGAGACGGTGGAAGCGCGCAAAAAAAAGACCCGAGCTTATTAGGCTAGATGTATATTAACTAGGTATCCTTGTCAAATATGTAGCTATGAGTATTGGAGATTCGTCAATAGTGGGTTGAACATCGATCTAGATGCATAAATATGCAAGTAGATATAGACTTACCAATTCCAAGGGACTACCTGCTCTGCTGCTTCCAACAGAGAGAGTCTCAACAACATCAAGAGAACAAGAACTAGAGAGACAAAATTTTTTTGTCACCCTCTGAGTGGTAATATTCCTTTAATCTTTCTAGTCCTTCTTTATCTTTCCGAACCATTTCGTTTTTGAGGCACGGACAGAGCGCCTTATTACCCAGCATGGATTTGGATGATGACATGCCACCTGAGCTAGTCGAGACTGGCCAGGGTGTAGGGGAGGATACTGAAGATATTCAGCAGAAGCCAGTGAAGGTGCCTATTACAATCGTCACGGGTGAGCTGCGCTTTCATATTCCCAATGCCGTGGATCGGAATTCTGACGATGCACAGGTTACCTCGGAGCTGGGAAGACAACCTTGCTCAATTATATATTGACGGCTCAGCATGGCAAGAAAATTGCCGTCATCATGAACGAGTTTGGAGACTGTGCGTACTATTCACCCAAACCCGAGCCAATTTTCGGGCATATAACATTAATGGCATTTTCCAGCTCTTGATATTGAAAAGTCGCTCACCGTCAACAAGGGAGACGAGCAAGTAGAGGAATGGCTCGAGGTCGGCAATGGTTGCATCTGCTGCTCAGTAAAGTACAGCACATCAATTTGAGGCATACTGCAGGAGTACAGAGCCTAGGAACTGACTGACTATTGCAGAGACTCCGGTGTCAATGCTATTGAATCGCTTATGGAGAAGAAAGGAGCGTTTGACTACATTCTCCTTGAGACTACCGGACTGGCAGACCCGGGCAATCTTGCCCCTCTCTTCTGGGTTGATGACGGCCTGGGGAGTACCATTTATCTGGATGGTATTGTCACGCTGGTCGATGCCAAGAATATCCTTCGCAGTCTTGACGACCCTCAAGGGAAGATTGAAGGCCACGAACATGATGGCCATGGTCCGCTAATGACTACAGCCCATGTGCAAATCTCACATGCGGATGTGATTGTCATAAACAAGTCGGACTTGGTCGACTCTGAACAGCTAGAACAAGTCAAGGCGCGTATTCAGGCCATCAACGGTCTAGCAAAGATTCATGTTACAGCTCAGAGTGCTGTACCAGAGCTGGAAGGCTTTCTTTTGGATCTCCATGCATACGACCAAGTAGACAAGCTCGATACTGCTGGAAAGGGCCATAGCCACTTGGATCCGGTAGGCTCAAATTTTCAAAAACAACATCGCACCGATTGCTAACACCCTAGAAAGACAATATCAACCATTGCTCTCGACTTGCCGTTATTGACGCCAGAACAGCTAGAGATGCTGGACGGCTGGCTTCGGTCAGTTTTGTGGGAGGGTCAACTGCCCAGTGCTGGGCCTGATCAAAGTACACCGCTCGAGATCCATCGGCTAAAGGCTCGACTGAGAATCACCTCTGGAGAAGTTAAGATCGTGCAAGGCGTTCGAGAAATCTTTGAAATATTTGATGCGCCAACTACTTCGCTTAGCGAAACAGCCGGCTCACCTGGAAAGATTGTGCTGATCGGTCGGCAACTGCAGGCATCGGAATTGGAGCAAAGCGTGCTTAGCAGTATACGATTGCACTGAGTTTCAACAGAAATCAGCAGGCACGCAGCCCTATCTTGTTGTAGCTTTGCCATGCCTGCCTTGATATGGAATTGACCGGCCAGACTCATCAAGTCTCAAATTCGCCAATTCATGGATGTTTAGGGATATGTGTCTTCCTATCATATTTGGTCCCAAGATTACCTGCCTTGATACTTGGCAACTTTGCAGCACACACGAAGCATACCAGCGGATACAGTGTTTATGCTAGTCGACGAGCGCGTTAAGAAAGAAAGAAAAAAATATCAAAGCGGCCGCGCATACTTGTTGTAAAGGGGCGTACTCTTCATATAGAATCTGAATGAAAAATGTAGATAATATCATTGGCGATTTTTATGACAGTAATTTGAGTCATCGGGGCTGACCCGCACGGTAATATTCATCAATGCAAGTCTTCATGCAAGCGTCTTATTGTTAGCTGGCTGCTGTAGTATATCTGGCATGGGACTGGCTAAGCAGCGGCAAAACAGTGCACGGATCAGACTCATTGCCCTGCAGCATGTGTACATTACCTCTAGCGACTACCTTACGTACCATGGCTCCACGAACCGGAAAGCGCTAAGGCTAGGACCGATGTGGCCACCAACCCCAGTAAAACTTCATTGCGACCATGAAGCTCCATTTGTTCTACAATTCTACACAACGTGCCCCCATCCGAGCAGTAGTAGACTACGCTTGACAATATATCCATCATAATCGGCGCCGAACTCTACAACCCGAAACCAAACCGATCCCATCGAGCTTGCGAATATTGTCGAGAAACACTTTCAGTGACCTTGCGACCCAACTATGAATCGTCCAGGTAGTCCTCACCCTCCCACTCACCATGCTTCCATTCAAATGTTGCGCCTCGTGTGCCCCGCTGTTTGCCTTTCACGAACTCGATCATTGTGTCTCCTCGCGCGATTCAAACCATCCCCTTGACGGCTTCCTCGACCCTTCCGATGTGCTGCCCGCTCCTGTGCGACTGCCCTGCTCGGCCATTGAGCTCTGCTTTGCGACGGAGCTGCGATTAGAGCTGCTCCAGGGCCTACGTTGTCTCAGCCTTGGGCCACCTCCCACTCGGTCGTGCCAGCCTCCCACTCTCAGCGGCACCCGTTCCACACCTCCCTTCCCCCTTGTGCCCTTTTATGCCCAATACATTATGCCGATTGTCTGTCCGTCCGTGGCCCTGGCGGTCCCGAATTTCTGGGGAGGGGCAAATGGGGTCTCTTGCTCTGCTTTGCGATTGAGCATTCCATATTTGCAACCCTTTGGCTAATGCTCATTACTCCTTCCAGGAACCGTATCACAATCCCTACGAGGGATGCCATCTGGATTTGGTGGGCAGCAACAACCACAACAACCAGGCAGGACAGTATCGAATCGGATACCCAACGGCAAGCTAGGTATGATGAGCCTCTCTCCGTCTGGGGAAACAACAGATGTAGAGCACATGCGACAACCAAAAAGAAAAAAAAAGAGTTGGAACTGATGCGTTTTCTGAAATCCAGCAAATAACGCCAGTGGTTGGGCTTTTGGTGGAAATGTGCCCATGAGCGGTGCAGGCCTTCAAAATTCCGCGAGACCATTGGGAGGAAACCTTAGCTTCGCACAAAGCCTGAGCGGATCTCAACCAGCAACACCACTCGATTTATCGTAGGTCGAAACTTCTTCTTTGTGTTTTCATGTCACATCCCACCCAACTATTGGCCACCTCCTACCTGTCCGCGTCTCCATCACCCAGCACTTGCAGCGGCCAACCGCATACACCGTTGGGACGAGGAGAACACGGGACGAACATCAATACCAAAACAATCAACATTCCTCTTCCTCTCCCTCTTCCTCTCCAGGAGAGCGATCTTTAACAGCAAAACGATACACTTCTGCGGCAAGATGGCAGTGTCTGGAGAGTCGGTTCCCAAGAAGAAGCGGCTGGTTCAACGGCAGCCAACCAGTAGTCTGGCTTTGCCATTGCCGGATGCTTCTACGGCTTCTTCAAGCGGTGCGCCGTATGCTATTGTTGCCAAGGGGTACTTGGTCTCCATCTCTTTATTTACTCCGTTTGCAAGGGTCACGTCATCAGCTTCACTGCACTACCAAACTTATTCCCTTCTCTCCTCTAAACCCCTGCACTCTACAAACTTGTGGGAAGAGGACAGCATCTGCATTGATTGGTATTGTCGAGATTGATCCCAACTGACGTGTTTGGATCTAGGGAATTTCCATCTTTGTCGAACAATCCTCAAAATCCGTCCGCTAATCAATCGTCCTTATGGTCGACCAGTGGAAGCAGGAACGTGGGGCCGATTCAGAGAAACCAGTCCACTCCTCTTTCATCCCAACCAAGTCAACCAGACGACATGTTCTCTTCATCTGCGCGCATCGCCTCCAATCAGGGCTCGTTCCGGTTTGGCGGCCAGGGCAATGCCGGACAAGCATCGCAGCCTCAACCAGGCAGCATCGACGACTTTCCGCCGCTCAACAACAGCAACGGGGGATTCCGCAATGGTAACGGCGAGATTGGGCAGGAGCGAGGTTCCAACCTCATGTCACAGCTTGGTTTTGGAGCCCAGTCCAGTCCTGCGCCTTCAATCTCCGGTAACAGAGCTGGTAATGGCCTCCTCAGTGCCCTTTCCGCCAATACTCGATCAAACGATACACGATCCCCCGATGCCGGCGCTCCTGGTAGGTAAACCTGTGCATTATTACCACCTTAGTGGCTGACACATCCAGGTTCTTCACGGGGTCAGGACATCAGAAGCGCCATGAGTGGCCACGAGCCTCGACAAAAGCCCCCGGGCTTCCGCCAAGATAGTGTAGCGTCGCCCACATCTGCACAAGACACATCCGAAGGTCGCGCGTCGTTAGGCGCCATTGGCAACGAGGTGCCTACTGCCAAGGACAGTGACGAAAAGGAGAGTCAGTCTCCGGTGACGCATGACCCCTTATCTGGCATGTCTCCTGTCGACAAATGGGGCATCAAAGGCCTACGGACGCTGATGAACAACTACTCGGATTATACGAGTGCTGTCACGGGCGTGGATCCAAACCACTTTGGTCTCAATCTGCAATCCAATGAGTGAGTTCTAAAGGTTACAAATCGTGAGCCGTAAGCTGACATGCCTAAAGGCCAATCTCGACGCAAATCTATTCCCTTTTCAACGACACGCCACCACGGCCAGCCATTCCGAATTTTAAATTGCCAGAGTGTTATAACGTGACTAATGTTCAGCCTTTGGAGAACAAAATTCAAAGTTTCAACGAGGAGACGTTGATGTGGATTTTCTACAGCTGCCCTGGCGATGTCAAGCAACAGTTGGCGGCAGCAGAGCTGTGAGTCGTCTGCGATGCCCGTAACGATGGCAACGCATACTGATAGCTTATTGCAGGAACAACCGCAACTGGAGATGGCATAAGAGGCTCCAGATCTGGCTGACAAAGGACGACTCCATGACGCCTCGTTCGCTGAGCCCACAACACGAGCAAGGATACTACATTGTGTGGGACACCAGTGTCTGGAGCAAAGTGCGGGTAGGTTCTCACCATACCGACAGGTAGCACTGTTCTCTCAACTAATCCGTCTCTACAGAAGGAATTGATCCTCGTTTATGCAGAGCTAGAGACTGCCAACAGCACAGCATAATTTATATTATGCTGTGATAGGGTCGTGGATTCGGCGTTCAAAGATTTGCAATAAGCTGGTGTTTCGCTTATGGAGATATGTGCATGCGCCACGGAAATACGGAATGATCATGACTAATGGGGAGTTCATGTACAGTCATGAGCAGTTGCTCGGATGTTAGAGGTACTAGTCATCAGAGCAATCAGAGCATCTTTGAGGTTCCAGTTGTGACCTTGAGAGCGTAATACTGCATCAGGAAGATGGGTGACAAACCAGCTCCTTTACATTTTGCTTTTGGTTTTTGTGACTTTCACGACAGATGCCGTCAACTAGTCCCGTATGATGATGTTTCACATGCTCATTCCACTGCTATCATAGATGATGATGTGGTGTACAATTCTGGTGACGCCACAAAAATAGACAATTTTTGGCAAAACCCTGGTCATTCTGATGTACCAATCCACAAGGGCGAGATATTAAGATTAAGAATTGGATCTGGAATCCGAGGCTGGATTTCACCCATAGCACCAAATGTTGCTTGCAACAGGACCTACCTTACAGGGCTTTAGTTCACCCAATGAATAAATAGCCTTTGGGATGAAACTTGAATGGTTAAGGTACAGACCCGGTGGCCCGTGCAGAGAATGTCTGGCTCGTTTCGGGAGACACCCCAAATGGTAAGTCCAGCTTTGTGGTGGGGGGGCTTTTATTTAGCGGAGCGGCTCTTGGAGCTCAAAGCGTGTTTTTTTGTTTACATTCCAGGCTCCGACCCAATGAAAAGGCGGCATTGCACACCCACGCTCGCCCGCCCGCCCGCTCACACCCTATCTTAGCAGCCCTGGTCATTGCCAGAACTTGCGCTCACGTCTTCAATGTTTGTTCATCACTCTAACACAACCCACAAGACGACATCAAGCTGTTGCTTGCTGCTACCTAGCCACTTTGACAACCTTTGAGCCATGCTTTAGTCGACCGTCACCCATCTATTCACCACGACGCCCTTTGCTAACTGCACCACCGCCCAAAACGCGTCGGCCGTCGAGCTGACACGTACGAGGAGCTGTTCACAGTGCTGAATACTACCAGCAGCCCACCATGGCTGGACAACGAGCTGCGCGCCTGCAGGTTGGCTCAGCGCCATGGATAGCAGAAGAGCGCTCGTCGGCTCAAAATATTGCCCAGGACGAGATTGAAGAGTTCACGTTCAGCGCGCGGAACGACTTCGAGTGGTTGAACGAGCACATGGCGGACATATTCAGCGAAAATCAAATGTTGGTGAAAACCCCAAAAGACCCCCATGGATCTCTTATTAAATCTATCTCAGTCATGTTGCAGAAATATTCAAGACGCCTGGCAAGCTACGCGGCAAGACACCGCGAACTGCCCGGAAAGCCAACCCTACCGGACCGCGCGTGGTATGTTTATTGTTCAAACTCTGGCGACTGTCTGCCCGAACTGCTTGACTAATCTAAACACAGCCATTGGCCGACATATTCAGCGCCACCCCGAAAGGAGCGCCTAACCCATTCGCGAGCTCTTCTATCGTAGACCGCACCCCAGCACCAAGGGTCAAGATTGCCACAGATCCGATTCCACAACCAAGTCCTGCAAAAGTACAGAATGTTGCACCTTCAAATTACGTGTCTATGGTGGACTCCGGATATCACGGAAGCCAGGAGCTTATGGATGTGGACGAAGGGGAGATGGATTTTGAAGAACCAACGCAGCTCGCAAGCCCAAGAGGAAACCACGAACATGTCGCTTTCCAGGTGTCTTCCCCAGTGCGCGAAATCCAGGAAACACCTGCGCGCGGCTCACCAGAACCCACGGCGACTATCGATACTGTACGTGCCGAGCTCGACACGCAGTACTTTACCGCCAACATTGACAAGATTCCGTCACCAAAGAGCCACCCGGGCCATCACGAGAGCACCACTCCAGCGGGCTCTCCGATTCAGCATGAAGTTGAGGACTCACCTCAAGAAAGCTCTCCTGTGAAATCATCACCAGTCAAACTATCCTCGATTCAGCCACCACAGGTCGAAGTAAAGCCAATTCAAGAGACCGAGGTCCTGGAGACTGCGGACGAGGAGGCATCTCAATCCGCCTCTGATGGATCGAGTCCCATCAGACCTGTTGTTCGAAAGAGCAGCTTGAACTTTGCCTCACTACCGGCTCGTGAGCCTATGACTCACAAGAGCATCGGAAACCGTATCTCGAGAACTAGCCACATTGACAAACGGAATAGCTATTATAACAGAACCACTGGCGGAAAGAGTCTCGGTAACATCAGACCTGAAGTATCCGACGATGAGAATGATGATATGGATATTGATGACGATGACGATGAAGACGACATCGATATCGTTTCTCAGGCTCCGAGGGCTCCGGCGCAGGTGGAAGAGGCAGCCACAGCTACCGAGCACAACAAAACATACACACAACGGCTACAGGATCAGATCAGCAAGCTTGGTCAATCCCAACCGGCACCACCACGTCTATCCAAGTCGATCGCCAATTCTGTGCTGCCGGCAGCCTCCGTGGCTCCTATGGCTCCTTCAGCTGCTCCGGGCGTTATTACAGCTCCTCAGTCGCCAGAAAAACCGAAGCTGTCATCTCCCAAGACACAAGCAACACCGGGGGCATTCCCCGAGGATGACGACGACGATGACTGGATCGAGCCTCTAGGCACCCCGGATAATGCATCCAACATGTTCAGTCCACGACCCGCACTGCCAAAGAGCCATACCGCTGATGTAATGGAAGGCGTGTCTGGCAAGACTACAGTCAGTGGCAGTGAATTCACCATGCCGAAGACGCGCCAGCACGAAATCCGTCCCAAGTCTCCCGAAAAGCCTGTCGTTCCCTCGAAAACGACGAGTGCTTTGGGTCATCACAAGTCAGCCTCCGTCCCGTCGATCCCAATCATGACCCAGGATGAAGACGAAATGTTGGCATTGAAGCAGACAATGTCCGTTTCTAACCCATCACTTGCACCTGTGGCAGAGGATGACGACTTTGATTTCGATGCGCCTCCAAAGTCGCCCTCTCGGACTCTGAGGGAAAGCCCCTTGAAGCAAGTTAAGAACAAGCTTTCGTCGATTTTAAAAACCTCAAAAGGACTGCTTGCAAGTAGTGCTGCGATCAGCGCCGAGGGCAAATCTCTTCTCTCACCATCCAGCATTCGCTTGGGCTTGCATGCCGCTCCTTCGACATCCTCTCTTGAGCAGACATCTTCACACACCTCCCAGCCTCTTTACCCCGATCTTTCTCAAAAGATATTTGATGTGCAGTCTCAGATCCGGCCCCCTAGCCCTGTACGTCTCGAAGGCCGCAGGACCCGGGCCTCGATTGAGCGCGAAAAGGCGGAAGAGAAGCGCAAGGAGAAGGAAGCCAAGGAAGCGAAACGGGTAGCTGAACAAATGGAGAAGCTTGAGAAGGCCCGCGAACAGGAACGGGAAAAGGCTCGCGTTTTCAGCAAGGAACAGGAGCGCATTGCCGCCATGGAAAAGCAGGCTGCCGAGCTTGCTCAGAAGAAACAGAGACCGGTTGAAACGCCAGTCCCTCCTCCGGTGCTTCCAATTTCTAAGCCGACACGCACAAGTCCTCGTCGAAAGCCAGTTAATGGCACAGAAACAGAAGAGCGATCTGCAGCAGATACGAAGGCAGATGCCGATGTTGATATGACTGAAGCACCATCTTCCATGCCTCCTCCATCAGTGCCACGACCGGCATCAGCAGCAAAGGGTCGGGAGATCAAGCGACCAATGAAGCCGACAAAGGAGCCTATGAGCAAAGCGAAGCAGGCGCCCACAGTGATTCGTGTGAATATGGGATCCCAGCACTCTCAGTATCAGCCTTCAAACAGCACGCTTTCTTCTGGCCTGCACGAAACACTGGGAGTGACGAGCCAGCAAGCGCAGCCCAAGAGCAAGGCCAGTCAAGCGACCATGCAAAGGCCTACTCCTCAGAGCCTCAAGAGCTCACAGTCCTCAAGCAGCCGGCCCAAGGCGCTTGAGATGGCAGCACGGAGGAAGGAGCAAGAGGAGCGGGAGGCGCAACGTAAGCGCGACGCCAAGGCAGAGATGGAGCGCAAGAGAGACGAGGAGCGGCTTCAGGAGCAGCAGCGCAAACTCGAGGCCGATAAGCAAAAGGAAGAGGAGCGCAGACAAGCTGCAGCCGCCCGTGAGGAAGCGAAGAAGAAGGCTATCTTGGAAAAGGCAAAGCAAACGCGAGCGCCGCCGCCGGCAGCGCGATCTATCAACGGCCAACCTGATTATAAAGGAAGTTCCCAGAGCAGCCAGCCGAGTCGCCCTGCTTCTCGCTTGGGTTCATTGGCGCCCAAATCTCAAGAGGACTTTGGACGCCCCGTGAATGCACCCAAATCCACAATTAAGCGCCCGCTGCAACAAGACGGCAAGGAGAGCAAGAGAATGCGCATGACGGAGGAGTTTGAAGATGACATGGAAACGGGGGGCCAGCCCAGCCTCAAGGGCGCCCCGGTCCGCCCATCTGGTGGCTTTAAGAAGGTTGCCGCCGGGTCTATGCTTTCGCAGGCCCAAAAGCCAGTCAAACCTCAAGATCCGGCAACCAAGAACATGTTCCCGAGCGGATATGCGAACGCGCCTCCGAGCGCTACCAAGAACCTATTCAAGTCGACGTTGACGAGCCAGCACAACACGTTATCAAAGCCTGGGCACCCTATGGACACGGCCCAATTCGCAAAGGGTGCAATTCCCTTTGCCCCCAACCCAGCCGGGCCTGCTCACAAGACGCCTGCTCGACCTGTTGGCGGTCCAAGCGCTAAATCTGCGGCCAAGTCGGCAGCACGCTCATCACCCCGCTTCCAGAACGGCGAACAGATTGAGCTTCCAGAGATTAACACAGATGATGAGGACGAATACTCTGATGATGAGCAGAAGCAAATGTTTGCTTCATGGACTGACTCGCCTGCTCTCCGACGCGCCTTGATGGATCAAGAGACCTTGGATCCCATGCGAGTATTTGGAGCTCCAGCACCACTCAACATGGAAGAGGTTTTCAGCAAGAGCAAAGATCGATGGCACAAGTTCCGAGCCCGAACCTCTAGTGCAAACTGGAGCGGTACAGATAGGCTGACAGAGGATGACATTCGGAAGGATCTTGCAGCTCGAGACAAGCTAAGACGTGAAGGTGGTTGGTCGTATGACATGAGCCGAGATATGCTGTAGACTTTTCTTGACTAGTTGACAGCATCCTTTTCTTTCTGCATACGGAGGAAGTTCCTCAACGCAACTTGCTATCTAGGAAAGGAGTTTTGGTCGGATTATTCATATTCAGATCGGAAGTGGATTGGCCGGTTGAGCCAGTACAACAGGGCGTTTTTGGTACATCGGAGTTGTCTTTTTAAAGAACGGTCGGGGACTTGATTGGTACCTAGTTTATATTTCCAAAAGGCACCAAGAAATAAGTGAATACCCATTGCGGGCATTTGTTGTTGACAACCAATCAATAATTGAGGATTATAAACCCCCTGAAGTGCATCATGAATACCCAACTACCTCGAAGTACCTTGTAGCCCATGGTTAACTGGACCAGCAAGTGACAGGACACGATTGACATCATGGAGAAAAGAACTTTAGAGAGTGACTTCTACTGCACAACTTGGATGGAGTTCTTGCGGAATTTTCATTATTCCCATTTGTCTCATTGTCCGTTATACTCGATGATGCCTGTATCTAATGTAGATAGCATCGCGTTTTGATTAGGTACCTAGGTACCCATTCGAAGTCTATCTGCCATTCAAACTGTTGCCCCACAATTCTTGGGTCGGATGGGTATCCGGTACATCAAGGTGTGGATGTTGAAGCGATACAGACCCAGACTCGCCCTTGTGGTTAGTGGATGGAAAGATATGGAGGAGCAAGTTCTTGGCTAGATCTGATCATGGGTCTTTTTGATCGGACGCTTATATGTATTGATTGTGAAGCCTTGTTCCACAAATTGTTCTAGGGAGTCATGCTTGATACTACCAGGTTTCAGTGTAAGTGGTGTCATACAAGAACGGACAGCGACAATGATCTTCTTGCCTTGACAAGTATGTTTGATTTGGATAGAGATAATCAGACTCCTAGAGCGCAAATAAAAGACTTGCAAAGCATCTCCAAACAGACTTGCTCACCACGCCAGAACTTCCTTATTCTGCGGTGCGCACGCGAGACCCTCACAAATCTCGACATCTTCCATGCTGACCGTCGCGCTATCTGGCAATTGCTGCCGCGCAGGCCATATTTCCCGACCATGCTCCTTTTCGCGTTTGTAATGTTCCGTGACGGCCTCGCGAATGAGCCCCTGGATGAAAATGGGCGCCTTTTCGTGTTTGGGGTGCAGCTGGCCCGTGACATATACGCCGGTATTGATGTTCTTTTGCGCATTGTTGCAGAGCACCTTGTCCTCGGCCATCACTCGTGCATACATTTTGCTGATCAATTCAAAGTCTTCGGTGGATGAGTTCTTGTTGCGGAACACTTCATAGTGCATTGCTGACTTTTTGGATCCCGAGGGCAGGAACTTTTGTATCATCATAAAGTGTGGCCTGTCACATATTACGTTGTTAGCTGAGGAAAAGCAACATGTTTTTGACAGAGATTGGTGACTTACGAGATGGTCATGGAGACATTGGGAAAGTAGTAGGTACTCAACGCGTTCAGTCCCTTGTCCAATTGTTCTGGGGTGTACTCGCAGTGGTGCTGAACATGACCGTCCTTGAGATCGCTGTCAAAGGAGTCAAGGTTGAGAAAGGTAGGTATGTCGGAATGTGTGGTCGGGCAATGATAACACTCATTGAAGTTGTCTGACAGCGCCTTCCAGTTGTACTCTCCATCGAGTTCGTACGTGTGGTCGAGCTCATAGTCGTCGAAATTCATCTGCTTGTATCTCTCTTGCACGTCAACGTTCTTGAAGTGCTCGTCCCAGCTGACCTCGGGCTCTTCCTTGGCATCCATGTTGATCCAGATGAATCCATTTCTGTCAATCTTGGTATGGATTCGGAAGAGCCCGTTTTGTTCCTTTTCGCTCTTGTCCATGTCCTTGAATCCAGTAGCCTTGGCCAGCTTGCCGTTCAATCCGTACGACCATCCGTGGTACCTGTCAACAAAGAGATTAGCAAAGTTGGCGATTATGGTTTCTTGAAAAACCCACCTGCATGCCAGTATCATGGCCGTTCCTTGTCCTTCCTTTTCAATCACTGGGTATGCCCTGTGTCGACAGACATTGTGAAAGGCATTGATGTCTCCCACGCGATCACGGATGATGATCAAATCATAGCCGGCAACATTGTAGCGAAGCCAGTCTCCTGGCCCCTTGAAGCGAGAGTTGTGGGTCATCATGAGCCAGCGGCGTGAGAAAATGGCCCTTCGTTCGAGGCTGTAGAAGTCGTCGGAGCTGTACCAGGAAGCCGGCAAGGCACGAACGGGCTCCTGCTTGTCGACCACAGGGCCATCTTCTGGTTTCGTGTTGGCGCCAAAGCCAAAGTAGTGCAGCATTGACGAGGTCATTTTGATAGGTACAAGATGTGTATGGACTGATGGCACAATGACTGCAATTTGTGAATGACTGATGAAGAACAGCTTCTTTGGGTGTTATAGGATAGTTGTTCAATGTGCACTGCTGTATTGACTCGTGGCCCTCACCCCAAATATATAGACCAATTTCGCTTTCGGTCTCATGCCATCATGTCTGTACTCATACGTCTAGAGCCCAACCCCCCAACATGGACCAAAACTGGGGTTCAGTGCACCAAGGAAGATAACACTTACGTTTCCAAGAACATTGATTGGCTGCCACCACGCACTGTTTGTTGTCGGTCGTGATAGCAAAACACATGTTTGGAAGAAGCTAGCGGATGCTCATCCGACCTGATACACCTACGTGGCTACCCTGTTTAGATAGTCTAGACACTTGACGAGATACGCAGCGGGGGCATTTGCTATCAGATCTGAGCCTATCTTTTTCCATATCTGTCAAGGCATCGAGTTCATGCAAACATATCGATAAGATTGTGTTTCATGGCTTGGACTCAAACAGACTGGAGGTTGTCTCTGGTGCGATGATTGGACGGTTGCCTGATATCTAGTCCCTTGAATACGGTATTCTCAATGGCCAATCCGAGACTCCCAATTTGTCCTAATTATGTCCACTTCGAGCCGAGTGGTAGGATTTTGTTGTCGACGCAGGCAGTAACTCTCGGATGTCGCTGTCACATATTGATGGGCTAAACTGTCCGCCGTGGTATGAGGCAGCGTCTGAGTGTGGTATCACAACTCAATCGTTGTCAGGTTAAATTACTTTGTCAACGAATCGCACCTGACCAGTGTATTCTGGTGGAGAGTATACTAATATGGGGCCGTCATCATCACCAGGCATGCCATTTGCAGTCTATTTGGCTATGGCAAGAAAGGAAGGCTTATCCATGCCCCGCGTGATCATGTCATGCTTGTAACACAATTGAGTTTGCAGTAGTAAGCAAATGGACGCCAAATGCCACATCTCAACTTGTGTCGATCACTTATTCAAACACAGATATTTGTGGCAGCGATGCCACCGTTAGTTTACCGCACCTGCATAGCCGGATACGCTTCCGATCCGACGATTGTGGGGTAAAATGGTCCGCTTATCGTCGACCACTTTAAGGTAGTTTGGTGTGATGCACCATGTCGACAATCTCGACGACACTACTACTCTCCAGGGAGTCTGAACGACTTCTCGTTGCTCATGTCAGTTGCGCTCAGTCTGCCTTGTTCGGATCTTAGATCACGTTTCAAATTTATTCAACAGGGGCCGTGCTGCCAAGCAAAGTTATATCGTACTCGGATGCACTTCCGATGATGCAGAGAAGCGCAATACGAAGCGCGTCAAGAGCGAGACGCTCACCCAATGCGTAAGTTTTTCGAGTCACTCGAAGCAAATCATCTCAATTGACATTTATCTGTGGATTCAAGCTGCGAGCGTTGTCGTAAGCAGAAAATCAGATGTAGCGGACGCCTACCATGTGATGCCTGTACGAAACGGGATTTGACTTGCCATTTCAATGAGCATCATAGACGAGTTGTAGTCACAAAAGGGTATGTGTTGTTTGGAAAAAGAGTGTTTCCTTACTTGAACCAAATGCCAACATCTTTGATTGACTTTGCGTGGTCAAGATTCATCAATGAACTGCAGAGAAAGGCTGCTCGCCCGAACAATGTTCCTGTCCACGAATACCAAACCATCACACCGGGCTCATCAGTTGAGCTTGACCAGAGTTCCATCATTGAGCCTGAAAATGAAGAGACATTCGCATCGAGCCAAGGTCGGAGCGGTACCCAACGCGGCGGGGATTCTTCTACACGAGGGACGAGTGAAGAGCCGGCTCTGACAAATCTTTTGGCAACTGATTCTTCGACTTTCATGACAGCACGCAATGGCATGACCTTTTACCTGGGAACGTCTTCGAGTTGGACATTTACACAAAAGGTTCTCAGCATGGTGTACGAACGTGTGTTTAGAAATCGTATTCCTGACATGTGTCGCAATATTGAAGGCCTGGGAAATGCCTATGATCTCAAGTGGGATGGGGAACCAACTAGTGCTGGTTGCTCGCCGGTGACTATCCCAGCCATCGACCATTCCATTTATCTGATCAACGCTGTCAAGTTTCATTGCGCCCAACTGTACCACATGTTTGACGAAGACACGTTCATGTCGACATTTTATGCCTTCTACGAGAATCCATCAGACCGAGACGCTATTGACAAGCTCTGGTATGTTCATTTCATGGTCATTCTAGCGTTTGGGAAAGGTTTCACTGTCAGGAAGCACGGAAAGGATGCTCCTGGACTCGAATACTTTATACAGGCACTCCAGTCATTGCCCAATATGATCATGCTGTGGAGACACCCAGTACACGCGGTCGAGGTCTTGACTTGCATTGCATTATACTTGCACTGTTTGGACTACCGGATTGTGGCCCTCAATTATGTATGCAGAACACAATGTCAGAAAATCATTGATCTTGTGCTAATGGTTGCCCCGAAATCCAGATGGGCCAAGCGGTGCGCCTGGCCCTGAGCTATGGCCTCAACACGGATATACAGGCAGACCGCTTCGGCAACGAATCAGTCGAACGTATCCGGCGGGTCTGGTGGACTGTCTATCTTCTCGATCGTGAGATGGCTTCGGTTGCTGGACTCGCGCAGGCCGTCCAGAGCCACGATGTCTACTGCCAGCTCCCTGAATTTGGTGGCTCTGTTGCACGGACTACAGCTTTAAAGATGCAGCTCAAGTTGTCCCACTTGATTGCCGACATCAACCGCAGTATGTCATGGAAAGAACGCTTGCTATAAAGGATATCGCTAATCAGACAGATGTGTATGGCGTCGGCGGACAACTCAGCCGCAGTTTTCATCATGGCATCAAAAGTGCATTGGCAGATATTGCTGAAGCGCAGAAAGATCTTCAGCAATGGTTTCCATTGTCTCCTGAACAACGCAGTGACGGGATATCAAGGACTTCGGCTCATTTACATCTCGAGTACCACCGGGTCAGTCTAGCCCTGTTGGCTTGACACTGAAAATGGCTAATAATTCTCTTTCAAGTGCATCATTCTCGCCACGCGTCCGCTCCTGTTCTGTTTTCTCAAGCTCCGACTAGATTCTCGAGAAGATTGCCAATCTAGACTCAATGGGTCAAAGACTTCGTACAGTATCATACAGATGTGTCTAGATTCTTCAGTGCAAATACTGGGAATGCTCGAGTCATTGCTAGAACAGGCGCTCATAGGTACGTTGAATGGCTTTGGTCGAGAGCTTGTCGGCTTGAGAGGGATGAATTACTTGCTGACGTTTTGATGGGAAGACCCGTTTCTACCATCTGACCTCGACTCACTTTCTGCAGCGACAATCAATGTACTCGTAGCCATGTCCATCGATGCTGATCTGATTGATAATGGTTCCAAGTGGATCATGACAGCATATGCTGTGTTTGGCGATCTGATTGCAAGCGGTAATCAGGTAGCCCGGGTGCGCAAAGGAGAACTGGACCACTTGAGAAAGCTGCTGGAGGAGTTGGGCACCATGTCGGAAAACAATACATGGGCGTCATCTCGTGACCCTGGGGTGCAACAACAACAACAGCAGCTGTCACCGAGCAGCAGCAGCAGCAGCAACAGCGCGCTCACTACAAGAGAAAGTGCTACAGCATACATTGCGCAAGATTCGTCAAGCTTTGATCCACCATTCACTCTGGCCGGGATTGACCCCGGCGACCCATTGACGACGGCTGATATCATGGACTTGGCCAACTCAATTGATGACATGGACACGGATTGGATATCTCAGACAATAGGGCATGATAGAATTTGGTAGGCTGTCTTACATGGAGGCATGCACTGGACAGCCACGAACGGGATATGAAGCACCTTTGATAATAGTCAGGGGAGCCGGGCGCATTTTCAGAAGAGAAATGCATCAGTCAAGCATATTTATTATGCCCTTGCAGAGCAGGAATCATATTGCATAGAGCAGACATGGTGGTGCGCATTTCCTGTTTATAGCTGAGCTTGGGGCTACGTTACGTAGCCTACGTATAAACAAATGACGTCATTAGGTAAGCATGCATACTCTGTATCTATGCCACTCTACGAAGTACTTGCTCCTGCACAAGTAGACGGGAAAGCTTGGGGCGCTCCCCAGTCTATGCAGTTGGGTAGACAAGGATATGGCGTCTTGATAGAGATTCTGTTACAGTTCTGTGCAAATAAGTGGTCGCTATTGCAGTGTGGTGTTACTATGTGAATGAAGCATGGAAATTTGAACGGGCAGATTCACAGTTCTTCATGTCTGTCTAGTTTACTTCCTCCCCTTCGTTACTGTTGACGACCTGGACTTTCTTGTCCGCCTTGCCGGTTCTCCGACTAGTGGTCCAGCATTCGTCATTGCACTGTGGCTGTGGCATCTCGGGGTGTCCTTGTCTTGACTAACATTGGATACATACATAGTCAGAGGGTTGGTTGCCTCTTGTCACCATGGGTGTATATTGGATGCATCTGTCGCCTGCCTTGCATTCGTGGTGCCTGGATCTAGAGGATTTCTTATTCACAACTAGGTGATGAGCCTGTCTGGAAGGGGGCAAATTCCAAGTTTAGCGGTTGTGTGCACTGCGTCCATGTTTTTTTTTTTGGTCTTAATTCTGCCATCAAGTTTAATGCTGCTTTATTACACCACCTTACTTTGGTGGGGTTAGTCAGGAACAATACAACGATCCTCACCCTTCGACATCAAATAATCATTTAGACCATGTAGACAGTAGGGTAACTGATGGTTCGCCTTCAAGATAATTCCCCATCTTGCCTGACCTCATGTCGCAACTTTTATTCATCTAGAAAGTGCCCAAAGGAAAAGAGAGAAAGAAAGAATAAGAGCCCCTCAAGAGACCCCTGCCCCGCTTCAGGGCAGTTATTAGATCCACAGGGTGCGCGCGCATGCGCAAATGCGGCCCTGGCCCCACTTTCGAGGCTGCCCAGCTTACACTAAAGAGCTAACGATGCAATTCAATCATTCATTCAGATGTCATCTGTTGACTTTTGAATGGGATGTCTGACATACATCACATCGCCGCTTTGGAGCTCTTGCAATCTTTCGCGTGACTTCACCCCTTCAGCCTTTTTTTTTTTTATTCAAACCACCAACGATATCTTCTTTTTTTCTCTTGCCTTCTCCTTCTTACCTTCCCCGCCGATGCGCTCGTTATGCGACCACTCCATTTACGGCCAATTCATTAATTCTCCATTAGTTCGGCGTTTTGGGCTTCTTCACCTCAGCTTCTGCATCTTCCCATTTTCGCGCAGCATCGAACGCCACACTTGGTAGACACGAGAGAGAGAATCTGTCTTTTAGTCGCAAGCCAGAGCCTGATAAATTCTTTTTCTATACCCTCACATTTCGATATTTCGTCCAAATCACCTCGCCTTCCTTCATAGCCACTACTACTATTACGTACTGCTACTGCGCCGAGGAGCAAGACCCTTACGAAGCAATATTATGCCTGTCTAGCTCCAATACGCATCTCACCAGGCAACGAGACCCGCCTCAAAATAACTAGCTCACTGTCGGGTCAGGTCACTGCCCAAAGAAGAAGCACCCAGTCAATTTGTTCGCAACCAATTTTTTCAAAGCTTCCTCGAGGGTTCAACTTCGCACTGCACCCCTCTTTTGGCAGCTGTGGCAATTCTACAGGTTCTTTTGCTTCGGCAGCAGTCACGCAGACGAATTCTGCAAACCACAACACCACATCCAAGGAAGGACCTGGCACGAACGAATACGATCCTAGAGCTTCACTCTTCATCAAACCGCACTCTTTGCCAGCCTCCACGGAGGTCTTGGCTCAATCAAAATGCCAAAGGTCGACGCCACCCGCAACTACTATGCGGACCTCCAGGTGACACCGGCCTCGTCCTCAGAGGAGGTCAAGAAGCAGTACAGGAAACTTGGTACGATCCCCCCACCTTGGAGCCAAGTCCTCTTTGTCGTACCATGCTGACCAAATCACATCACAGCTATGCAATGGCACCCTGATCGAAACCGCGGAAAGGAAGAGGAGGCTTCAAAGAAATTCCAAATCATCCAAGCGGCTTTTGAAATCCTCACCGATCCGACCCTGAAGCGTCAATACGATGAGGCACGCAACAAGTCCGCGTCCAGATTTCCCACCTCTTCCGGCGTCAGAGGAAATCCCTGGGCCAATGCTGGTGCAGACTTTCCCCCTCCACCGAAGCGAACAGGTGCCAATACGGCTGGAGCAGGCCCTCAGCCGCGTCCAACTTCAGGCGCATCAAGATATAACAATTGGGGCCAGACTTCTGGCGCAAACTCCCGCAAGACTTCTCAGAATACAGATACCGGTTCAGCAAAGGCTCACTATGACGCTTGGAAAAACATGCGACCTAATGCAAACGCAAGCACCCCACGAAAGCCACCGCCCACGCCGGGCCGCCCGCCCACATCCTCCACACGTGACAGCAAGACTTCCGACGCAGAAGGAGTTCCCAGAACCGCCTCTCAGAAGCAAAAGGCACAGGCTTCATTTGGCAACACCGCCAGAAGAACTGGCTTCACGCCGAGATCGCCAGGTCCGGGAGACGAACCTCCCGTCTCCAATAACAACTACTTCACCACTAGAACGCGCGCGAACATCTTTCCGGATGAACCCGCCAGTACGACAAGCCAGAGCCGCCGAGTGCCTCCCGTACCTGACCCCCTGGCACAATTCAGAGACAACTTTGTGGACGGGCGTCATAGCTCCCCATATGCTACTCCTGGAGGCGAGAAGACAAGCCTCTTTGGTGACGGCCTGAACAGAGCCCGCAGTACTCGCGATTCGAGCCGACCCTCCACCAGTCACGACGCAGATACTTCATTTCCTTTCCCCCGCCAGAGAAGCTCTAGTACACCACGTAGCTCCAGTAACGATGGCAGCTCTGAGGATTCGACCAAAGTCAATACCGGTGCCAAGGTGAACTCTTCCGCAGACTCTGCCTCTGCTTCGCACAGACCCAGCGACCGATACAGACCCCAGTCGGCTGAATCTGCCCAAACATCATCGGGAGGTAAGGCGCAGTCAGCAGCTGACAAGAATCGTAAGTCTGGCTTCCTGAATCGCCATACGCATACACTTACCAGTAAATCATCAGGCACGGATGGAACAGCAAATCAGCCTAATGATAACTCAACAAAGTATGCAATCTCGTCACGCACGGCTTCAGCCACGCAAAATCGCCCCAGGATACATTCGCCCTCTGGAAAGTCTCAGAGAGCTACGACCACACATCCGATGACCACTGAATCGCGCCTTCGAAGCACTTCAAGTGAAGTGAACCAAACCGTTCCAAGACTGTTGCCATTCGAGCAGTATCTCAAGAATCATGTGGATCGCCTCATTCGCAGGATAGGAGACCCTGCTTCGTATGGCATCTCGAATGATACGGGTCGCGGTAAAGAGAAGCGCGTCGAGTTCGCATCAGTTCCCACATATCACCTACAAGACAGTACTAACGACTTGAATAGCTTCGGGTACACGAACGACTCGACGTACACATCGGCAAAATTTGATAGGGCGAGTGCGGATAATATCAGCACACAATTTGTTGATGAGCAGCCAGAAGCGTTCTCCTTTACGGCGGGAGGCCCTCCTGCAGAAGACATCCCTCTGCCTTCAAAGCGTGGCTCGCAGTCCAGTAGCCGCCTAGGACGCCGATCTCCCATGAAGATCAACAGACGACCTGTTCCTGCACCACCAGGCCCTAGTCCAATGCGACCAGAAACCAGCGCCTCCGACGAAGGTGCTACGGCCAAGTTTTCGGCTGCTGAATGGGGTGAAAAGATAGGATCTGAGCATTTTGTCCCAAAGCCAAGCACCAGCGCTTCTACATCTCCAACCAGACGCACAAACTCTAGAAGAGGCTCTAAACCAATCAAGGTAACGCGGGGCGGATCAGCAGGTATCATCGACGATGACGACGAGATACCCACCGCAACAGCTGCTTGGACAGATGCCCCTAAACCTCCTCCCCGAACCCAAAGCCCTATGGCTATGGATATCGACGAGCCATCTGTCGAAAAGGACGGAGAGGCCGGAGACGAGGATGTGACAGAGGACGGCGCACGAAAGATTCCAGTGGAGCCAACCCGGCCCGAGTGGAGAGCTGGTAATGTGGACGTGAAGGGTAAGGATCAAGAACAGCGCCCTACGCTTTCGACAGATACAACAAACACTACCGCAGCTCAGTCTAAGTCAGCACCTGCAAGTGCTCAGCCGTTTGTAGCACAGAATGGCGGATCTGAAGACTCGGAAGAATTCCGGGCAAGCTTTGCAGATTTCAAAAAGGTTGAGCCTTTTACAGACCCTCAACCCACCGGTCTTAATTCATTCGCCGACCTCAAGACCACACTGCCATTTGAGAGCCGAGCATCGGGCCACGTTCCCTTGAGTAAGCCCCAGGCTGCTCCGGACCTAGACTTTCCGGCTGTGCCAGTCGCTCCACGCTTGCATCCTACAATTGCAGTAGGTCTGCGCCCAAGCAATACTCAGTGGAGAAAATATTCCCAGGACTTCTACAACTACATGGAGAAATGGGAGACATTCACCGAGATAGTCCTCACACACTTTGCCACACGCCAATTCGAAATGAAGAAGCGCCGGGAGCAATTCGGCCGAGCCTGGCTCGAAGGTGTCCATGGAGAGGACGGTGCGGCCTTGTACCAGATCGAGCTGCAGCAGGATCACGAAATTCGAAAAAAGTGGATGCGGTACTGTGATGAACACCAAGCTCGTGTCCAGGAGTTTATCACATTCCGGGATCGTGCGAAGTAGGTCTTGCCGGCCCAGAACAGCATTGCCAAAGATATTCTGCGAGCGCCATCGACCGCTTTTACAGCTTGGAACGACCGCCAGGCTCACGATTGATATTATGCAAGCAAGCACAATGCTATTGTGAGAGCGGGTTGGGCTGCAGTCGATGGCAAGCTTGTTGAATACCGGAGACTTGTGATGAAGACTCTGGCAAACGGATCTCGCTCCTCATAATGTGGGCATTGGAGAGACAATGCCGTTTGAATGAGACAACATCTCTCAGTTGGACTAGAAATAGAGCATGAGAATGACGTTGTGGCTCAGGGTCATTTTGAGCAATTGGGCTCTTTGGGATGGCTGTTTGTTTGCCATAATCCGACAGAGCCGCCACGAGCCTCCTTCGCAGAAAGTGTTTGAATTGGAGAAAGGAATGGAATGATATTTATGAGGCACATGACCTTACGAGGGACAGCTGACAGGCTGTCTGATCGACACCCCACACAAATTGCATAGCGCATTGCGTTGGCCGTTTGCCGTGTCACGCGGAGACATTTGGAGGGCCAGGACTCTACTTCGGCCCTGTATACCATTTGCAATCGGAACAGTGGTAGTGAAACATGGACTCAAAGAGGATAGAATCGGGCTTCATCATAAATGAATTGATGGGGCGGGCTGATACCATATGAGCCAGGGTTGAGGATCCACGGAATTCTTAATGTTATGGACATAGATACAGACATGAAGACGAGGATTGAATACATGAATGTATGAACACAGACCAACACTGCTGATTTCATTGGTCTTGGTACAACATACCTAGGTATGCTTGTCAGGCAAGGTGGCTTGGGAAATGCTAAAAATAAAACGTCATCAATTGCTAACCTAGATTTCAAACACTTAATATTAATGGGCATCTTTTACGCCCCCATTTCGCCAACCAAGTTGCGCACAATCTCGTCAAGGTCTTCCCCGGGCTCGAGTCCCAGAGCTGCATAATCGACAACATTGTCCTGGTAATTGCCACCATACCCCTCGGTGACGGTGAGGGCAAAGAGGGCCTTACCGGCGGCCATGAAATTACCCTTGGCCGTCTCGGCGCGGGACCAGTCGAGGACTTGCTGCGTGGGCTTGGAGGTGATGGTCCAGTCGGCATCGGTCGTCTTGGTGGCGCGCTGGGCGCTGGCCACCATGTCCCGCTGGCTGGCGACAAGGGAGCTAAAGTAGACCCAGCGGTTCTTGTGCTCTGCCAGTTTGGCGTCGGGCTGGCTGAGGAGGGCGGCGAGGCTGGTGCCCACACGGCCCATGGTAGTAAAGTTGGCTTTGTAGCTACCGTCGTTGACTGTGGGAAGAAGACTGGTTAGTAGTGGCTTGCTTCCTCGGTCTCGCAAGAAGCATAACAGGGGAAGGGATTGGTGGTGGGTTTTCGCTCACAATATGTAGCGGTGCGGTTCTTGACATCAATCTCAAAGAAGCCCAGCGGCAGACAATAGTCGAACCAGGGATTGTTGACGACGCCGATCCATGAGCTGACGCCCAATTCCTCAATCAGATTGCGGTATTGCTTCTTGGCTTCCAAGAAGAAGATTTCCCGGCACAAGGGCTCGTCTGAAACACTCATATTAGACTCTTGCGTGTTCCTTTCTCTTTTTTTTCTTGCTCCAAAAAAAAAAAATTGGTACTTACTCGTAGTATCCGAGCCAAACTCGCATGGCACGACATATGGCACGCCAGCAGCGGCGGCGGCACGAATAAGAGGCTTCTGGGCATCACTAGCCTGGAAGCTCAGGGTCATGATGAGGACGTCCTGGCCGGCGAGGGCCGAGGCCAGAAACGCCTCGTCGTCGTAGGCGCCGCGGCGGACCTGCACCGAAGCCAGGAAAGTGGCCTGGGACTCGGGCCGGCTGATGACCGAGACCTCGTGGATCCCGGCTTCGACGAGCGCCGTTACAATGCGGGATCCCACGTTGCCGGAGCCGCCCACGACGGTGATTTTACGGCCTTGCTTGGTGGTTGGTGCCATGGTGGGAATTTGGTAAAGTCTCGAGATCAAGTCTTGGTGTTGGATGAAATTGTATAGCAGAGTTGAAACCGGACCAGGGCGATGAAGAGAAAGCTGGCGAGAAAGTGATCTTATCAAAATCTCAATTCAGTGTTGGATAACTCTTTACTTCTTATACTCAAAACATCTCGATACTTCTCAAATTCACGTGGACCTCGTCGGACCCGAGCCACGATACTTTTACTCTGCTCAATATCATCTGCTTCTTGCCAGTTCCCCAGCCTCGGTGTTGTCTGGACACCGAGCACCACGGCTTAGTCAAGCAATGCCCTCGAGGCGTTATACCCAAGTCGTATAGAAACATTACCAAACCAAATGTCCATTTCTTTGCTAGGGATCCTAGACGGTGGTGGAGCCTTGAAATTGTATAGGACATACTCTCTGCTGGAAAGGACATATATCCATGCTTGTGAGACACAACCAAGAGATGCAGAAAAAAAGTGCCGATAAAGAATTGGTCAGCAATATGGCAGTGCCGTTTTTGTTTATTACCAGATATGTCTCCGTTCGGCGCAATCTTGTCCGCTCAGCAGCTTGTCGCACTTGGTGAGCTTACAAATGCAATCAGTCCGTTATTAGTTGGGTAGCTCCACTCTCGGACCCGGACATTGTAGTATCCTATTACTTAGATCTGCAATCCGTACAAACTACATAAACATTGGGGTTTCATTAGACATCCAGATTCTTTTGAAAGTCATTTTCGTTGCATTTCCCTAATGCCCGGCGTTTTCTTGCCGCTGACTCTGCCTTTGCCTTTGCCTTTCCTCTTGCCTTGTGGCGCACAATGAGCGCGCACAATGAGCGCGCACACAATAAATCCTGTCGCCATCACTGATAGCCAAAATGCCAACAAGCATCCAGAATGAACTCGTGGTCATTGTCGCAAGGCTATCAATAGAATCGTAGCCGGATATTCCCATGTCGAGCAAAGTCTGAATATGTGTCAGGCCTGACTGCCACAATTTATCTCAACGAGGATATAGGTATCTTACAACAAAAAATGTTCCTTGGAAGGAAAATCAGAGTTATTAGTGTGATAATGTGCATTGATGTGCTGTCCTGCTGTGTGTCCGAGGCAATATTGCGCCCTTGCTCGTCTATGCGCGCTGTCGAATCTTGGTTAATCGCATGTCGTTTTGCGATCTCGTTTTCTTTGCTTTAAGCCTCGAGGATGAGGCCGTACTAAAAAGTCATATCGGCCGACCCGTTACAAATCCGATAGGTAAACAGCATGCATAAATATCCTTGACACTTGCGATGAATTTGGCATCCTCCAACTGACTGATGAGCGTGTCGCACCTCATGCACTCCAACTCAATGCACCGCTCTAGCGCATTCATTCGTCTCTTGAAATCGTGCATGGCAACAGCACAAAACTCTTTGAACGCCCCAAGAAGGTCAGGAGCTTGAAAAAAGATTATGTAGTATTCCTTCAAGTCTTTGAGGATTGCGACGTCAAGACTCATTACCATTCTTGCTTCCCTCAGTCTCAGTCCAATGGAACTGAGCTGTCTCAATTTGTCAAGGGAGGAAGATCCTGGTCCACTAGGTCTTTTCATCGTTCTCTCGACTTGTTCTCTGCGACTGAGGTCTGCTATCTTATGGACTGGGAGCTGCTGCGGCATCAGATACCCAAGTCGGCTGTCGTTTTGGTCCGTGTACAGAGGGAGGTAGAGGGTAGGCTTCAATGGGCAGCTGGACGATTCACCGTTGCAAAACAGCGCGATTATAACAATTCTGTAATCATACAGCGCGCCTTTCGCAAAGCTTAAGTTGGGACTGAATCCTACCCCGAAAGCAGGTGCCAATTACGGCAATCTTGGCTGCAGTTGGGTTGGACTCCTTTGTATGCAAGACGCACGTCCAAAGTAGTGAGTGCCTTTTTGGAATTTAAAGTTCGGGATGACAAAATGCTCAATTGACTCGCTAATATGGGTTTGCCATATTGATGAATTGAGGTTGAGATTGATTGTACGCCAAATAGCAAGATGTTAACTTACATGGAGAGAGGGACCATGAAGATCAGCGCCGCCGTGCCGAACTTTTGTAGCGACCGAGCTGAAGCAAATTGCATTGGATATCATCGGCACGACCGACATGGAGAAAATGGGGGAAAATCGATAAATTTTGGCCACGTCATACTGTACTCTCTGGTTGTATTTGATTTGTATGTATTTATCTGTTCATCGTATTGTGCCTCGCCGAGGTCTTCTGCATGCAAAATAATCACTGATGAGTTCAGGATCGCCGCTGTGACACCTGTCTGGGCCCCAATGAGCCTTGAACTTGGTTCCATATTCGAGGAACTCAACAACAGCTATACCCAGAAGCTCAAGATCTGTATTGATTCCGGTATGTGTGTCAACTAACTGCTTCATCACGTTACGCAACCTTTGGTCGTTATGTTCGAATTTCCTGCTGTTCTGTTTGTTGCAGTTCTTTACGGCATGGCCACTGCTGGGTTTTAGATATCCATCACGGTTTTGTCAACCTACATGCCTGTGGAGCCCTATCTATTTGATGCAGCTCAAGCCGGCCTTGTGAGCATTCCGCCGTTCATTGGGACTACCATTGCCGGGTTCATGACGGCACCGCTCAGCGATAGAATAGTATTGATATTAGCCGCGGAGGAACAAGGGTATCCATAAGCCATAGTTTGACAATAATATCGTAGTCTATAAACAACCGAGTCACGTAATTTGTGTAGCATTGGGGAACGAGAAATCAGGACGTTTGGTAATTCCGCCATGGACATCTATCATGTTCCAAACGACGGTCCGCGATTGATGGAGCCTGAGATTCCAAGCCGAACATTGCAATTTCTACTGGTATTGGATCTATACTGAACACAAAAACACCGGATCAGCGCCGTATGTAAACCTTTGTGTTTGTACACTGCTGCTTTGTAATACTACGTCATATTGGCAGATACTGTGAAGGAAAGACAGGGAGCGGATGAGGGGTTTCCAAGAGCGGTTCTGATTGTGGTTTGGTGGTTCTGCGTAGACTCAGACGAAATCACTTTTGCACGACCACGGTCCGCAGCGATAATCGACACCTCATGCAACAATATTTCTTATTCGGGCATTTTCACGATTATTGTCAGAATGAGTGTTCAATTTTCCTGATTTTGCCTCTATGCAGCAAGCTGAAATGGAGATGTCCAAGTTGGAGCAAGTTCTTGCCATGCCTCTAAGGCTTTACATTGACAATCTCTCCATCCTCGAGAAATGTAGTCTCGAATCCAACTTGGCATTCGGCTCTCTCCGTATCAATCCAAGGCCTCTCTGAGGCAATCACAATATTTTCCCAGTCGGGATCTGCGAGCATGGCCTTGAGTTTGTCTGGGTCGTCGACCCAATAAGTAGATGTTACATCAAAGGGAGCCAGCTTCCAACCAGGCGCCGACTTCTGCTCCTTGATTTCTGCCTCGAACCCTTGACGCAAATAAGTGGGGGTGATATACTGGCGGCAGAGTTATTCATAGAACTTCCAAGCGCTGCGCTTCTGCATCAGACTCACGAGCGTATACTTCAAGATACCATGCCTTTGAACGATCTTCATCATTTGAGGAACCTGGACTTCTGTGTACCATTTCGCAAAAGCTTGGTCGTCCACCTCAGGTAGCTTGAAGTGGTGGACGGACCACTTGAGCAGCATCTTTCGAACATCTTGATCGGGCTGTTGATCGGCCATGGTGATAGAAATGTAATGACTTGAGGACTATACGCAATAAGTTCCCGGATGTTAGGTTCGGAATTAGATAGAGCTATCTGAAAGAAAATAGGTGAAAGAAGTGAAATTTTGTTCACCCATTTATATAGGAATGTCAGGGTCAGATCCGGGCAGGGTTGGGACTTGGCCGTCCAATAAGATTCCACTTCCACCTGTGCAACCAACGGCATGATGTACCGTGATTCAAATGCGTATGATGCACCGAGCAATCTGCATAAAGCGGAATAACTCTTCATCCACCTCACTTGATATGCACACACATGCTGACACACACTCACTTGCACACATCTAAGCACTTTTCACAGCCAAGGGGCCAGAGAGAAAGAATGTCAAGCAGCTTCCCCCAACCGCAGCCAGAACTCATTTTGCGCAGTTCCGATAAGAGACAGGTCCATTGCACAGAAATGCAAATGAAACATGACGAGGCGCATATATGGCAACGGGATGAGATTGTCACGGGCTATGGCCCCGTTTCAATCCCAGGCATCTTGAAAAAGTTGTATAGCTCCGGATTTAGTTCAATATTGAAACACTCTCCCTCACGCGGAGACGGCCCTCCGACCGTCAAACAGCTCACATCCGACTGCGTCGTTGTGCCCAGGGCAGGGTGCCGGGCATGCTTTCTGTGTGCCACGCTTGGGGAAAGATCCTGTGCGCATCCTGATAGTGGTGGCCTGCCATTGCGCTGTTGTGCTGTCAAGTCTCTCGAATTAGTCGATCGAATTGCGTACTTAGAATGCAGTGTCCTATGAGACCAGCCTTGGTGGTTATTGTGGAAATGACTTACGACTGTAGGTACACACTGCTCCGCCCCTGGTGCATCGCATACAGGAAGCGGGTGCATCGCGAAATTGACCGCCTGAACTTCTCTGACACTTGACTTTGAGCTCCCTACATCTATTGCAACTCTGGCGCATAGGTAATAGGGTTTCTCTGAATTTTGTAGACATGATGAAGGATGGGCTTTGACTATGGCTCTCGCGATTCTTCGAAGATCATGGGGACAATCCTATTCTCGCTGACTGCATGGGATTTTCTTCAACCGGCAGTCCAGCGTCAAAGGCCTTCACTTCGGCAACCAGATGTATGCCGCTCAAGTGGGCCAACCCGCCTAATGTTGGTGCACCGGAGCCAACCCTACGAGGCGGGAATAACTGCATGAGTAGGTGCATGTACAGGGGTCGGATGCAGATAATGGTGGGGGCGGGCGCCAAACCGCGCAGGACTCCAATGTGACACCGCAATAGCCGAAATAACAGAAACACAGGGCACAGGGGTAGGGACAGAGGTAAGATACAGAGCCAGGAATGTGTAGTACGAATTTGTACGTAACACACGGTGTCCGCACTCTGTCTCTTTCACTTTCCGAATGTTCATAGTCTGTATCTGTACACATGCCGGCTTGCTAGGTGCCTTGTCCTACCCGCTATTCCACAACATATCTTTCTGCCTTGGGTTCCTATCCTGTTAGAACCCTAGTCGCTGTCACCTTTCTTTACAACAAATACTACGCAGAAAGATATCATCTTGCATGATTGCGCGCAGTTTCAGGCTGCTCTTTACGTGTTGGTTGTGCCCTGCCTTTGGGACAAGCGGGCCGCCACTTTCCCCCCAAGGTCGGCCCGGTCTCGTCAAAGCTCTGTGTTTTCTCGGTCTCTGTATTCGACTTGTTTTGTCGCCCATGTCTTATTGCTAGTGCATTCGGTTCTGACTACCTCATTTTTTCTCACCTTCAAGTTTCATCGTGAACTGGTGTGGGTTCCCGCTCGTCATGGCTTCTACCAGTAACACGTCGCAAGATGTTGATACCAACCCGTCGCAAGACGTGGATAACAACCCGCCGCAGCCAAGCCATTCTTTTCGTTTTTGGGTACGTCAAGAGTTTCGAAATCCCGCGTGCTAGTGAGCTAATATGGGATTATAGGCCATCATTGTCTCCTTAATGATTGCTTCACTACTATCAGCACTGGATGTCTCTGTGATCTCAACGGCAATGCCGTCTATAGTTCACGATCTTGGCTCCACTTATGCCTTCATCTGGATTGCCAATGCCTACTTCCTTACCATGACCGCGTTTCAGCCGATATATGGACAGACGGCCAACATCTTTGGCCGCCGCAGCTTGACCTTGCTTGCTGTCTTATTGTTCGCTGTCGGCTCGGCAGTGTCCGGGTCAGCACCAAACCTCGGCGCTTTGATTGTTGGTCGCGCGATCCAAGGCATCGGTGGTGGTGGCATCAATATCCTGATTGAGATTGTCGTCGCTGACCTCTTGCCTTTACGCCAACGTCCCAAGTTTATTAGCATTATCTTTACTGCCTATACGGTAGCTGTAGTGCTCGGGCCCGTTATTGGCGGGTTGTTATCGGAAAGAGTGACATGGAGATGGATCTTCTATCTAAACCTTCCAGTATCCGGTGTGGCCCTGATTATGCTCTTTGCGGTCTTGCGCGTGCAGTATAAGAAGGATTCCATGCGCAATTCTCTAAAGCGGGTGGACTTTGGCGGAAATGTCCTACTGATTGCTTCTGTGGTCTCTGTGCTGTTGGCACTCACCTGGGGTGGCGTGGAGTTTCCATGGTCCTCTTGGAGGACAATCCTACCATTGGTTCTGGGTGTGCTTGGTATAGCTGCTTTTCTTGGTATCGAGTCCACGCGATAGATCCCCGAGCCAACCATGCCAATTCGATTGTTCTCGAATCGCACATCGCTCGGTGGCTTTGCTGTGGCCTTCGTACATTCCATGCTGACGTATTGGATCACTTATTTCATGTAAGCATTTTCTTTCCCAAAAACTGTGGGAAATCTGACTGACCACGTGACTTAGGCCGCTTTACTTTCAAGCTGTATTAAGGACTGATGCCATTACATCTGGTGTCAATATACTCCCAATGGCAGCCCTGGCCATGCCTTTTGCCATGATTGCCGGCTTTGGCGTGTCCAAGTTTGGTCGTTACCGCCCTTGGTTCTTCTTGGGGTATGCCCTCTTTGCTATCTCATTTGGGCTCTTTAGTCGTCTCGACGAGAAGTCTTCCACCGCATACTGGGCGGGTAGCCAGTGTATCGGTGCTGCTGCTGCAGGTATCCTTACCACGACAACTCTCCCGTGTATCCAGGCACCTCTATCGGAAGTTGACCAAGCTGTCGCAACAGCGACTTGGGGATTCGTCCGAAGTTTTGGAGGAGTTTGGGGCGTAGCTATTCCAGCTGCCATATTCAATTCTCAAGTGAACTCACTTGTCCAAGAGAGGTTGCAAGATAAGCAATTGCAGAGTCTTCTGAGCAACGGAGGCGCTTATGCACTAGCCTCAGGCGGTCAAATTGGCACTATAACAAGCGACCCTCTTGTGAACAGCCAGGTGAATAGCATTTTCGTGGATAGTCTTCGATTATGCTGGCAAGTTGGAATAGGTTTCTCATTATTAGGCTTCTTCGTCAGCGCGGTTGTAAAGGAAGTTGCAATGCGCACGCATCTTGAGACAGACTTCGGGTTGGAAGAGCGTAGAAAGGAGGGTGGTGAGTGAGATCCTCCTATCATTGCCACACAGAGGGAAAGATCATGCATATGACACCGAGTGAGGTGATAAAAGAGAAAACAAGTCGGACGCCCGAAATTAGAAGGAAAGAAGTGTCTCCAAATTTTCTGATTGGCATCATCCCATGAGTGAAGCTGGCTGGACCTTCAATTTCCTATTAGAATCAATCGAGAACCTTGACAGCATGGATAATATCTCATTCACTCATTTATGTACCAATTTGCACAATTTGAATATGTTTTTCAACATTAAATAAAGACGTCTCTTACGTCAACTCTTTGATACAGACCTCACAAGAAATCCAGTCCGCACAGGTACAACTCTTTGGAAATCATCTGAGGCTGACTATCATGCAAGGCTTACTACCAGTACTTGGCCGGCGCTCGTCTGTATTGATTCAGAGTATGCCGAACCATCCACGAGAATTGCAGATCCATTTGCTGTTACGTGATGTAGTTTGACCCACCGCAGATCACCTGCTTGGGTATATTAGATAGCTCTTCAGCGCATCTCTTCTGTAGCTCGTTAAGATCAACTCAATCTACTTTCACTCCGTTAACGATCACTTATCCCCTTCGATATCGGCTCAGGTGAGAAAAACAAATAGGTTCATATTGGAATGGCTACACCATCCGGATCGATTTCACTTTCTTGCACCAGGGGCTATGGCAAATAAATCTACATTCAACGTTGTGTACAAAAGGAAAGAAGGGAACTAGTTCCCCTACGCACGATGGCCATGGAGAACGGCCTTGGCCGTACGGATGATGGCAGCCGAAAGTCACCTCGTGGCTGTGGTGGCTTGCTAACCGCGTTCTGATCCATCTTGTCTACCTAAATGCTATAGTCATACGAGGCCGCGAATAGCTATATTCTAACAGTTATGTAATTTCTTGGTCCATATTGTTAAGAAAACCATATTGGCTCTGTGTTACCAAAACTAAGGATTGTTATTTAAAGAAATTATATCCTTAGTCATGTTAGGCGCAGTTATCGCGAGAATTAGCAAGCACGCAGTTATATAAACACACACCGATGGGCGTGCGATATCATTGGAGAAAGATTGCAATACCGTAAAGGTCCGTTTAAAACTAAAAAAGGTTATTTTCCGCAGGCGCCGCTTTTTAGACGCTTCTGTGGGGTTATTATTAAGTGCGTTAGCACTTTTCTAGCACTGCATTTAGTATAAGGTCTGCCATCTATTAATCCCAAAACCTCCAATCTTAGACATCACTATGCCGAAAACCATCATATATGGGCAATACTAGCCAATGTTCGTCCCATATAAGTCGTTGTTTACTGGTTGTTATTTTTTCTAAATCAAAGGTAGGATACATCGGAGGCAGATTGAGCGAAAGCGACCCAACACGGTTGCGAGTTTGCAAAACTATTCAATGTTGTGTACTAATATGAGTTCTTGGCATTATCCGTATCAAGCAAAGCGGTGCAATGTGTTGCGACTGCCGACATGCTAAGCCTTGGTAAATTCCCCCATGGAATACGCGGCATGACGCGTAAATGGAGTTTTCGACGATCCTCCTTTAAGTATAACGGATCTGTCAGGGCATGCTGCTACCACTGTACGATAATGGCCAAAGAGCATGCTCGCAATCGTTGGGAAACGATCACGAACCAGGACCTATATGCCCACGGAGGAGGACAGTATGCACCATGACAGGATCAAAAAGAAATCCCTAATAATTAGTATTTTCGAAGCTATTTCTGTAGGTTTTATGCCAGTTTTCAGCAGCTATTTAGTCGGCGTTTTATCAAATCCCATACTCATAATGAGTATTCGGACATAAATTACCTTTAAATCCCCTAATCTCTCAAGAGTGAGATTTATTAGGCTGCGACTAAGCGTAGGATCGCAGTAAATCTTGTCATATATATGCATGCCTGCCGTCTCCTCATCTCCACTTTCGCTTATTAACTAATTACGCGTTTGTTTATTTCTGGAGTGTGCGGATCCGTTGTCCCGCTCTAAGAGCCGAGAAGTTTATCGGCATACGACATAACTACGACCCGAACAACTAATTATCAGCCCCATAAAAGAAAAATCCGGTCCGGGGAAAGGTGGTGTATTAGGTATGCAAAGAGTAGAAAGCTATAAGCCGTCCTAAAACGGAAAACTATGCAAGTATTATTATATCCCCGTGGGGGAACCTTCCCCGAAACTCTAACTATAAAGAAAACACCTTATTTGCGAGCCATAATAAATAGTATCTCGAGAAGTTGAAATCCAAGCACGGTCAAAAGCAAGAGAGGCTTGCATAGTATTATTCACCATTCTCTCTAGGCAGTCTTGACGCCTCTACCATGATGTCTACCCCTGCAAAATATCCTGTCATGGTAGACCATGGTTCTGCCATTAGTCCGTTGACCTGATTGGTTAGATCACCGGTCCACCCATTGGCCGGCTATAGCCGTAGATATCACTGGACCATCGGATCTTTATTGCCCAGCTTACAATTGAACACATACTGCATTGCCCCTTGGGTCCAATTCCTACCAGCCAAGCCACCACAAGACCGTGCCAAGATCACTCAATGAAGACCACGCGGTATCACAGCGCTGGATGCTGTCGCTGGACAGCCAGTGGATGGACTCGGGCGTCAGCTGTGGGCGGCCCCAGAACTGCGAATATCTTGACACCGATCTGCTAGAACCTGAAATTGTAGCTCTTTGAGCTATGTCCTAGCAGTTAAAATATTGCAACCGTGAGATCGTTTACCCGTAGACCTGTTGGACTGTGGTGAATATATTGTGACAGGGCCCAAGATTAGACTGCCGCCCGCACCCCGAGAAATACAATACCCTGCCGTATTGAGTTGCCCCGTCAGGACACTGGCAAGCTCTAATGCCTCAGCTCTCGATGCTGAGTTTGGGTCAGGGAAGCAATGAACCATTCCGCGCAACTACCTTATATTCCTGCTTTGCGGCCACGGAACTGTTCATGTGCAAATCAAATTCAAATCCAGTTGGCGAAAGGAAACACATTCTGCATAAACCCTTCCAGTAAAACCATTAATCGGTGACCGAAGCTCATTTTCTCACGACGACATTCTCGGTATAATACATCCTGACAGGCATATCGCAAGGCAGTTTGATGCAGCGGTTGTGTCAGGAGATTGCCTAACAGTCATGGAGGTCGCCAGGCGAAGCCCCCCTCTGTATCATATTTTCGCCAATAGACCCCCTTGCCCCAAGCAAATAACAATGACATCGCTCATCTTCTCATTGTGACTACGTATTTTCTTCTTCTTTATGACGACGCATTTATGACGAAGCTCCTTTTGCAAGTAGCTCTAGGCCCTCGTCCCCACCCCGGACAGCATCACCTACAAGGGTATTGATTAGACCTAGAGGCCGATCGCGGCAGCCACAAAGTCAGGGGAATCAGTCTGTATTCACATTGAAGTGAGTCCTTATGCAGACAGCTTATTACGATGATGGGCCTCACAAACCTGCGAGGTACGCAGCGTGTTTTCCAGCGTCATGTCGCTAAAGTGATATACACGAGTGCACACAAGTGATTCGCGTTGCAGATTCCAAGCTTATTGTTGTCACGTCATGGTTTCCAACAGCGTCTAACCCGACAAAAAGAAATGGAAAATGTTTGAGGACTGAGGTCGTCAAGGTTGGGTTCTGGAACAAGACCTTCTCTTTAGTGATTTGATGCATAAAACTATGGTTCTCGATAGGATTTCGACGCATCATCTCAAGAGCATTTGCGTTGACACCAATAATCCGGTTAAACATCAAAGCCTTTGAAACCAGGGTCATAATCACATGAAGGTTCAGAAGAATGAGTTATTGTCATGTCTATCCAGCCTTTAACGTGAAATGCAGGCTGTGGGGACCCCACGCGGCAGTCAAGCATACAGTCTATTTATTGCTGTCTACTGCCGTCTCGTATTCTTCGAAATGTGCATATCGTTTGCTACGTGAATGGATAGGTTGAATGGATGCTGCTATAAAAACTTGTGACACAGGAAATGTGTTTTTTTTTTTTAATTAGCCCAAATGAACCGTTCATAGGGAATCATTCTTTGGTGGTGATCGTAAAAACCAAGCAGTTGGATTTCAGCATATGCAGTGTGTTCATGCGGGCATCTTTTGCGAAAGTGCATTCAAGGTGTAAGAATCACTGCAACGATAAAGTGATAGGCACCGGTATATTAAAGAAAACAACTAAAGCCTGCCGTTGGAACCACCTGTATGGCGATCCAACGGTCCTTACATACGAATCTGTATGCCCCTACGTGGAACCCCCACGCAGTCCTGCAGCGCTCTAACACTTCTATGTATCGTGGCGGATGTCCATGGCTGTAATAGAATGTAACACGATATTGTACCCAGGGGTAATATAATAATGGTGACAATATCGTACTGACGTAGTTAGTACCCACCGCAGATCACCTGCGTGGGTATATAGTCGCTCTTCAGCACCTCTCTTTTGTAGACTAGAGATCAACTCAGACAACTTTCAATGCTTCCTCGATCATCTCGTCTTCAGTTCCCCCTTCACACATCGGCTCGGGTGAGAGACAAGCAATTTGGAAATCATTTAAAAGGATTCACTTCACGGTCCTGTACAGTATTGTACTGTTCTGTGGTGTCCTTTTGGTCCGTGTACAGAGGGAGTAGAGGGTAGGCTTTTGCAAGTCTGCCTTGATCTCTTACGTCCTGAAGCCAGTTTGGTTGACCTAGAGATGCCAGCGGTACAGTTTTCTCCGGCGCGAACACATTGACTGGTCTGTTGGATTGACCTCTGATTAAATCTGGAGCTGATATGGGAGTCGAGTTTATCCGGAATCGGGGTTTTCATGATCTCCTTAAGCATCATGGGAAGCATCATACTAGATCGCTAATGTAGAACTGCCAACCTTCTGAGCACCGTTTGGCGAGCGTTCAACAGAGAAGCCTCGGGAGTGTGCGTAATAGGAGGAGAAGCCCCACACGCCTCACCGTTTGCCTCCATCCCTCTTTGGGAGATGACGTCGTTTGTCTTGGTCGTGAACCAAAACGATTTTCCCATGTCGAGGTCAAGGGAACGGTATATGGCCATTTTTCGCAGCGTCCATTCGTTCTCTGACATTTCCATCCCAGAAAGCTTATATTCAACTTGTGCCTCGTAACCAGATCTTCCTAATATTGGAGATTAAGCCTGCTTGAATCGCTGCGATCGATGTGATGCATTTAGGCTTCTCTACTGCTTTGGTCACTGATAATTCTCTCGAGGTCCAACGTGAGGGGCGAAGCGAACGTGAAACCCAAATAAAGGAATTAGAAAACGGTTGTCAGATATCAAGGAACGAGAGTACAGTGGTCTAGCGTGGTAATCACCGGCTCATATTATGTCTCTGAAGATGGCGAAGCTCAATATTCCAAAACCACGGTACTAAAAGATAGCGGGAGAACATTCAGCGACATGACTACATCATTCGGCTGTATCAAGACATGCTTCGAGTATCTGAAGCATAAGAAAGGGTGTCGCATATGACCCTTATGTTCTCCAGCGCACTTTTTCAACAGGCAACTGACTTCTGGGGCGGATACATGTCAGTCTTGTGCTCGTTTCTTAGGAATCCTCTTGGGTGACTTTATATCGATCATCAACCGAAGAATCGTAACTCGAGTATTCAAAGGTTTATGATATGATGATCATGGGCATTCGGGAACGGCTCGTTATCCGGAGCTATAGGGAGTTAAGAATTAGTGGTGTTATACGATTTCGGCGATCTGGCCAATCAGAGGTCGCATATCTTTCCTCATCGGCGTTTAGCAGAGGGGATCGATGCAACCATAGTAGTTATCGGGCCACGAAATGTTGTGTTTTCCGCTAAATTCTCATACTCTCTAAGTTCATAGGCGCAAATCTTCATGGACTTTTGGCCAAAATCCGAGAATCTTGTCCAAGTCCATATAATCGGAACCGTCTATAAAGACAATTGGAAGCGCAATGTTTAAGGTTTGGATTGGCATCATGGAGACAGAGCAAGATTTCAATGACAATACATCCCACTTCCTTTCATCCCAAAGAATAAGAAGAAGAAACAACAGCATGGCTTCCAAATCACCAAAGAACATCCTCATCACTGGTGCCACGGGCTTCATCGGCGGCACGATACTGACCACGCTCCTCGCTTCAGACTCCCCTGCGCTACAAGCAGCCACCATTACCTGTCTGGTTCGAGGTGCTGACCGTGCCACGACCCTCACTTCGGCCTATGGCAGTCGTGTGCGCACCATCATCTACAAGGGTCTCGACGATGTAGAGGCGACCGAGGCCGCGGCGTCTCAGGCTGACGTCGTGATCGGGGCGACTCTGGGCTTCCACCCAGCATCAGCACAAGCACTTCTGCGAGGCCTGGCGAAGCGGCGTGCAGCTGCGCAAGGCAAGACGGATATCTGGATGATTCACCTCTCCGGCGCCTCGAATTTGTCGGATCAACCCATCACGGGAGCGTATCTCGAGGACCGCACGTTTGACGATGTCGAGGACGACGTCTATGGGTACGAGAAGCACCGTGAGGGGCTGCGTCATTATCCCCAGCGGGCAACTGAGCTCGGGGTGATTGACTCGGGTCTGGAGCTTGGAGTCAGGACTGTTGTTAGTAAGCAACCCTTTGAAGACCGTCTCTTGCTGTTTCTCCAGCTTCTATAGGGGATGGTGGTATTTTCATGCTATCCTTGTAGAGCGGCCACTGGCACGCAAGAAGCATATACATGCTTACGAGCATGATTTCATAAACAAACTAACCCAAATTCAAATAGTGATGCCCCCGACTATCTACGGGGTGGGCACCGGCCTGTTCAACCGGACCAGCATCCAGATCCCCACGTACATCCGGGCGGTCCTGGAGCTGGGGCACGGCGTAGTAATTGGCGATGGTGCGGGCGAGATCAACCACGTCCACGTCGAGGACCTGGCCGAGCTATACCGCCTCGTGGTCCTGGACATACTCGACAACGGGGGATCCCGTCTGCCCGCGGGCAAAAAGGGCATCCTCTTCTCGAGTCATGGGATACACTCCTGGATGGATGTGGCGCGCGGGATCGCGGAAGCGTGTCAAAGGGCCGGCAAGATAGAGGATGCCCAAGTTCGCAGTGTCGGACTCGAGGACGCAGGAACGTACCTCAAGTCGTATATGGACCTGGTGGGCGGTGACCTTGTCGAGCTTGAGCTCGGACTGTGCTCCAACTCGCGCACCAGGACAAGTGTGGCTCGGCAGCTGGGCTGGCGGCCTACTCGAGGTGAAGAGGCATGGAAAAAATGTTTTGAGGAGGATCTTCGTGCGGTACTATGTAGCTCGTGATGCTCTTTCCAGACTATTTTCTTACTTGACTGTGACATGATCATATAAGTAGCAATGAATGGATAAGCCTAAGTTTGGACAAGCGAGGGAATCCGATTGAGGGTTGACAAGTGAGAAGCTGAAATCGGTAACTCATAGAGTCAGGTAGGAGTGTGGATGAGAACAAGGGGTCGCTCTTCAGAGTTGTGTGAGTTCTTGATTCACGTAGCTTCACGCAACCATCAACAGCATAATGACAATAAAGACATACTAACTAGCAAGATGCAGACTGTAGACTGCTGCTTGAAGATTGTTATAACATGTCGTTGGAGAGGACACAAGCTCTTTTACAGTTTTCCCGGTAGTCTTTCTTTTTTCTTTTTTCTTTTTTCTCTCTTCCCTTTCACATTTCACATGGATTAAGAGCAGATACTTGGTCAAGTTTGTTGTATTCTCTTACAGTGCTACATCATCTTAAGCTCTGGGCCGTTTCTTGCCTCCTCTTTCTCCAAGTCAGTCTTTTTTAATTCCGCCTCCTGTCCACACTAAATGACTGTACATGTTTTGCACGACCTATGCTGGCATACCGGGCACCTGTTCCAGTCATGTCTCGCACGCTGTTGGCAGTTGCAGCATTGATACCTGGTCCAGCCAAGAGGATTAGGATCAGGCTTAGGCGGTTGAGGTTTAGGAGGGTCGGGTTTGCTGTGGTTGACCAGTTCATGCAAGCCTTGGGTATAGGGAGCCATTTTTTCCCCTTTTGTGCGTGCTTGTGTCTCCTAGGGTCAACTGTAAGATACAGCTAGGGTGAGCGGGCTTGCGTCTATTGAGAATTCTTGTTCTTCTTTCTTGCTCCAGAATATGGGAATCGTGATGCCTGCCTTTATGATGTCCTGAGTGTTGAATAAGTAGTGCTGGAGTCGTTGATGTGGTGAAGAGGGAATGCTTTGCTTTAAACTATCGAGTTAGCGAGCAATTTGCTTCCGTTTTATAGACATGGCGATGCGACCTCATCACAGACATGAACTTCATTCTGGGTCTGTATACGTTATTCACGTATTGTTTAAACCATACTCATCCTCAAAGCACTGGATAACAGTGTGAAGCCACTGCTGTACCATCACCCCTATTTTGATTATCCACATTCCCTTCTTTATCAAAGAAATTTTTGCTAGACTAACACGTTTTCTCTCCTTGCCCGGAAACGAATGGACAGAGATTGTTGAAATTATGCTGCTCCCCTGGCCTGCAGCTATTTTAAATCATCCAGACGTGATCCGTTTGAATACGTATATACTAGTCTTTGTTTTGTTGGTTCTTTCAAAAGACTATAATCAAATATCACATGGACTTTTATCAGTGTTGCGTGTTCTGATTAGCATTTTGTGCTACATGTTTATTGTCTCCTCGAGTGGTTTCAAGACGCGTGCAACGATGCATGCATGAACGCTAATTATAGATTCAGGCTCAGCTCATTGTCCAGTTGAGGAATTGGAAGGTAAAACAAACAAATGCATACAAAACTGATATAGATTCGAATATCATCAATGGTGAGGCTGCCACAATCACGTTTCTTTAAACCAAGTCCTGCTCATCATTTCAATGACTTGAAGGAAAAGAAACCAAAGCCCTTTTACGGGAGCTAATAACAGATTCCAGCATTGGATCCGCAGTAGTTTCAAGGTAAGTCTCTTCAGTATTGTGACCGACAGACAAGAAAAGTAAGGACTCCTCATAGACACAAGCTAACAATATCAAGATTCATCTATACTTTTGCCCCTTGAAAACTACACCCGAAAAGAAAAGAAAAGCCCCAGTTCAACCCAAGTATCAGATCCAAACGACACAAAAGAGGCACAAATGTCTCCCCAGAACGACCAGACCCAGGAAAAGTTGGCTTGGGAGCTGGTTGACTGTCAACACATCAACATGCCCGAGCTCGTCGACAACAGCAGCGAATCGCCAAACGCTCATGCTGCCAGTGCCATCAATATGTGAAGTTTCACATGCGCAACTGCCCGATCTGTTTGCACCGACACTGCCCCAAATGCACCTAATAAGCGCGGAAAGAGATAGGTGTTGGTCTGGAAGTCAGCGCAATGGTGTCCTGACATGTTAAGCATCATGAGGAAACAGGATTGGCCAATTCTATGCTTTTGATTCATGGGATAGAGTACATTGTGAATGACTACCGAGCTCTTGTGATGGTCTTGCATTTTGTGCTATCCATCAAACAGTGTCGCACACCTCCAATATTGGCCATGCACCGCGGGTACTGACTGCCTTGCTTTCGAGATTCCAATTCATAGTAAGCAAATAATATTCCTCCTCATGGAACTGGTGAGAGGTGAATGTCTTGTTTCGTTCACCCACAGTGTCAATCACTCAAAGAAGTATAAAGTCTTGAAAGTGTTTTACTCATTTGTTGTGTATTATGGTTTATCCCGCGAGCAAATTTCAGCTTCAAGCGGGTGGGACTGTCTGCATATATCCGTAGCCCCTTCGGAACTCGTCATCTCGTGGCCAGATTCATCATCAATGGCTATTTTTAACTCCTCGCAAGCAAACTCGCGCTTATGCAATACGAACCGCGTAAATGAAGTACCCATTTCACAAAAAAAACCCCTCGACTGTAACTCACTCCCCTTACCAGTCAATGGGGTTCTTGATCTCCTCACCACGATTCGTCTTGGGCACAGGTGCGGCCTTGGCAGCCAGCTTACCACCCTGGCCCTTCCTCTTCAAGTAGGCACGACCATCAACCCACGGAGTGCGGGCAGTGGCCTTCTGCTCGTAGTCAATGATCTTGTCCTCGAGCTGCATGGTCAGACCAATATCGTCCAGGCCGTTGACCAAGCAGTGCTTGCGGAACTCCTCAACATCAAACTGGCAGATGTCGTTGCCGTCAGCGTCACGGATGACCTGGTTGGGCAGGTCAACCTCAATCTCCCTGCCGGTGTCGGCCTCCTTGGCAATCTTGTCCATGTCATCCTTGTTGGGGATTATGACTGGCAGCATACCGTTCTTGAAGGTGTTGTTGAAGAAGATGTCGGCAAACGAGGGTGCAATGACACACTTGATGCCAAAGTCGAGAAGAGCCCAAGGGGCGTGCTCACGGGACGAGCCACAGCCAAAGTTGGGTCCAGTGCAGACCAGAGTCTTGGCTTGGGTGAAGGGCTCCTGGTTCAGGACGAAGCTGGGGTCGGGAGTGCCGTCCTCCAGGTATCTCCAGCCGTGGAAAGCAGCAGATCCAAGACCAGTACGCTTGATAGTCTTCAAGAACTGCTTGGGGATGATGGCGTCGGTGTCGACATTGGATCGGTGCAGGGGTGCTGCAATACCCTTGTGAACCAGGAACTTGGGGAGGCCTTGGCTACCCTTGGCCTCATCAACGACGTGGTTTGTGCTGGTGGTGTCCTCGGGCTGGTCACCAATCTTCTCCTTTGCAGTCTCGTCAATCTCAACGCTTTCGTCAACGTGAGGTTTCGACGAGGGCGAGTTGGGCTTGAAAGCCTCAATGTGCGGGCTGGTCTTGTACTCGGTCAGAGCGCGGACATCTGTAAGCTTGCCAACAATACCAGCGGCGGCTGCCATGACAGGAGACATCAAGTGCGTTCGGCCCTGAGCACCCTGGCGACCCTCAAAGTTTCGGTTGCTGGTACTGGCGCATCGCTCACGAGGCGACAGAATATCGGGGTTCATTCCCAGGCACATACTGCAACCCGCTTCTCTCCACTCGAAACCAGCGTCGGTGAAGATCTTGTCGAGACCCTCGGCCTCGGCCTGTTCCTTGACCAATCCAGATCCAGGGACAATCATGGCGGCCTTGACGTTGTCGGCCTTCTTCTTGCCCTTCACAACAGCAGCAGCAGCCCGGAGATCCTCAATTCGGGAGTTTGTGCATGAACCGATAAAGACCTTGTCAATGGGAATGTCCTGCATTCTTGTTCCGGCGGTGAGGCCCATGTACTCCAACATTCTTCGGCCAGTGTTCTTCTTGGCCTCAGTGTCAAAGGTCTCGGGGTCGGGCACAACACCAGTGATGGGAACAACGTCCTCGGGGCTGGTGCCCCAGGTCACGGTAGGGATAATGTCGACAGCATCGATCTGGACATCAATGTCGTACTTGGCATTTTCGTCGGACTGGAGACCCTTCCAGTAGGTAATGGCACGGTCCCACTCAGCAGAGGGGTATGCAGGGGCAAGAGGCTTGCCCTTGAGGTATTCAAAGGTGACCTCATCGGGTGCGACCAGACCAGCTCTGGCACCAGCCTCAATGGACATGTTGCAGATGGACATGCGAGCTTCCATACTCAAGCCGCGAATGACAGAACCGCAGAACTCAATGACACATCCAGTACCACCAGCAGTTCCGATCAATCCAATGGCGTGGAGGACAACATCCTTGGAGCTGACACCGGGGGCAAGCTCGCCATTAACCTCTATCCTCATGTTCTTGTTTCTCTTGGTAATGAGACATTGTGTAGCCAAGACGTGCTCGACCTCACTCGTTCCGATACCGTGGGCGAGACAGCCGAAAGCGCCGTGTGTCGACGTGTGAGAGTCACCGCAAACGAGGGTGGTGCCGGGCAGAGTGAAGCCCTGCTCGGGTCCAATAACGTGGACGATACCCTGACGCTTGTCGCCAAGGCCAAAGTATGTGATGCCAAAGTCTCTCACGTTCTCCTCAAGGGTCATGCACTGGAGACGAGAGTCCTCTTCCTCGACAAAAGTGGCAATATCCTTCATGCCCTTTCGGGACTTGGTGGGGACATTCTATACTCTGGTGTTAGATGCAAAGCCCATCAACAAGTACAAGTGAAAATCGGGCATGGTATAATACATACGTGATCGGTTGTGGCAAGAGTGCAGTCAGGTCTTCTGACTTGTCTGCCTGCGTTCTTCAGGCCTTCAAAAGCTTGCTGGAGTGGAATGTTAGCAAATCAGTCCGTTGACTACGTCATAGGTTGAATCCCCAACGGCGCAACCCCAAGCCATTTTTCCCACCGGGGCAAAACGAGCACGCGACCAAGAGGGAAATAGGCAACAGAAATGATATGCGATAGCAGAATGACTCGCAAGCAGAAAAATCATTTCACGAGTTCAATAACTGCCAGCACTATAATAGAAGAAGACAAAGGAGTGCTCCTTACAGGTGATGTGACTTCGTGGACAAGATGTCTGTCTGTAGAACAAGCGGGTCAGCAAAAGGTGGCATGGTAAAGTGAATAAAACCCCAAGCAAAGGTTTGACCTACCAATGTACAAAAGAATGGTGCCATCCAACTTCTCATCGACAATGTGATCAGCGAGGATCTTGTCGTAGAGAGTCTGAGGCCCTCCTGCGGTTGACGGCATGATGGGCAACTAATAGAAGTTGTTGTGCGACTTTGCAAGTATTTCTTGGCTCTCTCGGAACGGGACGGGGGGTGGGATTTGGTCCTCGGTTCCCTATCTGTCGGTTCCGATGTATTGGGATTTCTTTATTAACGCTTCTTTGGAGGGGTTCGCCAGATTGCCGCCAAGAGAAGGAAGAGAGGAAGGAGGGAAAAAGCAGTTGAGAGTTCACGACGGAACAGAGAGTCTAGAAATTGTGGAGATGGGAAAGAAAATAGGTGAAGTCAGAGACAGGACGACCTTCTTCTTTTGAATACACAGTCAAGCCACGAGAAGGCGAGAAAAAAAGCAACACACTGGCCGAAAGAGGAACCCAGGAGGCACCGAGATGGCCTCAACCATAGAGCGACGGGCTCCGACGTCGGCGCTAGCTTCCTAATGTACGCCTGCTCATTGGGCAATCGGGGACCCCTCCTACTTAGTTCACAAAGCTCGAGCCGTTGGTCCTAGTCCAATGCATTCCGGCCGGTTCTCACGTTCTGTGATCTGATCATCAATCCTGCCCGACGGATAGCCAAAAGCCCTGCTGCTGCAGCCTTTATCCTATAAATCCATCTTTTCCGGGGGCCGATCGCTGTGCCTCTTTCTCCCCCCCACCGAGGTTATCGCGAGAACCACCTCGGATGTATGTGTGTGTGTGAGTGAGATCTCAGAGCGGGAAATACTTTTGGGGAGAGCCGCAATCAGCGCCCAAAGCCAAGACAATCCCAGATCGTCTTGCTTGCAGGACAGACAGGGGTGGTGGGCATTGGAGGGGCTCGAGGGGGAGGATCAATAGGCAGATTTCAGGGCATGGGGAAAAGACCCCACCAACCAGCTCCGTATCGGCAGATGGCGACTAGTAGGAGGCCTTGCAATTGTAAGCCCCAAGAGACACATGTGCATGTTTTTGTGTTTCCTTTCTGGCATCTACTACGTATCAGGCCCATGCCGACGCTCTTGATGGCGATAGTACATGGACTGGCTAGGGATACATTCGTATACTTGTGGTAACTCGGGGGCAAAAAGTTCCCGAAGGAACGTTGCCAACCTGCAGGTTGATTGATTTTGCATACTACTACTTATTTCCCCAGGATTAACTGGTCTCAATCATGATAAGGCAGGAAGATCGCTTCCGAATAGCTCTCCCCTCCCCAGTTTCCCAAGACCTGAGACATCTAGGGGAAGGGAAACCGATCTTGCTCTTTCACCACCAGAGCGCTATAACGAGAGTCTTCCTCTTACAGGTTTCTCTCTTCATCTCCTTCCTACCACACCCCCTTTTTTCTTTTCCCCAATTGTCTTGATGACTGATGATGGAATTTTTCATGCGGATCTACTACGTACTCACATTCAGCAAACCCGTCCAGTGTCTTTCCCTCCTTTCAGCGGAGCGGCTACTTGTGGATAGTTGCGGGGCCGAAAATGAAAAAAAAAAAAAAAAAAAAAAAGAAGAGAGAGAAGCAGTCCAGCCCACACATTGACAATTTCACTTGATGATTTTTGCCTCTCTTCATCTCTCGGATTTCCCACGCGGCGCAATGTACTCTCTTGTACTTGACAGTCTGCAACTAAGTACTAGTAATAAAGCTTGGTATGGGACATGAAATAGTAGCCTTGCCTTCCTGTCGCCGACTATGCCTCTCATGACATGTACACGCGCGTGGAGACCACGACTGACTATATAACCTGCATACCATGACACGGACTGCTATTCAACATGGTGAAATGAATGATTTTGGCTACTCAAGTCGTCTTGCACTATTGGCGATCCTCGAGAATGCACATGATTCCTTTTTATCTTCTTCTTCTCTGGGGGTGGACGGCGAGCATGTCTCTCTTACAAGCGAAGAAAGACAATGGTGAGCACTTGAAATTGCTGGTTGTACTCTATTTTATGCTCCTATATCGGACATGACGTCAGGGTGCTGCTGCTCCTGCCGGAATGTTCACAACTCTGTGGTGGTTAGTAGACGAGACACCACAAAAAACATGTTTCATTTAATTAAACCAAGCGAAAAACAATGCATCCACCATTACGACCATGCGACACGCAGCAGACCACAAGAGAAACGAAAGAGAGAAGGAGCGGAAAAGATGATTGTCTCCAGTCCCCCTGCCGGTTGCCCTCCGACCCTATCTTTATGTGGGGACCCGGTTCAGCCGACGGAACCCACTCCGGTGAGGCCCCGGCTTCAATACGGTCTCCCAGGAACCGGTCCTCCCAAGTGCGCCGTTACCGGAGAGTGGAAATAAGGAAATGGTGAACCGAATCCCCCAAAAAAAATATCAATACATCATCATACAAGGAGCCACATTAACAATCTCAGGCCATACCAGACCATTACTGCGCCAGTAGCACAGAATAGCCCTGCAGACAAGAAGACCACCAAGTCGCCAAATGTGCTCACTTGCTTGTGTCTCCTTCTCCATAGACCGCTCTGCTGCTCAAATGCTGGGCGAGAAAAGTTCCACCATGCAAAGCCCGCCGCCAATAGATTATCCATGATCGCTAGACATAATTTATAAGGCATGGTGATCGCGTCCGTCTTACCATTATTGCTATTTGGGTGCAAAGACTTGGAATGAGCGTCGATGTCTGCGCTGACGGCGCTTGCGGATCTTGTCAGTGGGTGTTGTTGTTGTTGTGGTGGCGGTGTCTTTTTCGATACGCCCGTCTGAACCCATAGAGTCTTGAACGATGGTATGAGCAGGCTGGCATGTGGGCTTCGAGTTTGAGCTGATGCTGGCGGTGACTGCCCCCCTGTCGCTCCGGCCCGGGACTTCCACATTGCTGTGCGTGCTGCGGCCTGGACCGCGGCCTCCTGCAGGTTGCCGTTCGACGATTGGTACGGACCGGCTTTCTGGGCCCCTTTGGGGCTGTGACACCCCCGGGTTATCTTTGGTGAGCACTCTCGGAGATAGGACTTGCGTGGCGTCTTGTCTCGGCTTGACGCTATACCGATCTTTGGAGTCTCGAGATGCTGCTCGAGACTCTGCAAGCCTCTCGATGGTGTAGCTTGAGGGAAGGTCGCCGCCATCTGGTCTTGTACGGCGGCCTGCGCCATGCAACTTCGTCCGTGGGCATGCATCGACGTCATAACCTGCTGAGCGGCGCTGGCTCCCTCCGTCTGTTCCTCGGGACAATCGTGTGGGCTTTGCGCCGTCAGTCGACTCACAAGACTGTGATCGCAACCAGTAGTGGTGATGGTGGGTATGGAGACATACTTTACGTGTCTCATCAGGGGGCCGGTCTCTATTTTCTCTCCTGTTTCTCCTATGTCTTCGAGACCCGCTTCGATCTGGCGTATTTGTGACGGGGCCGTCGTCTGAGGGACTATTGTATCCTCCTCTGACGACCTTTCTGTGCTTTCTGATACTCCCATATGACTGCCCAGTTTCATCATCACTTGCTCTGTCCCCAAGCTCTCGGTCAACTCGGTATCCCACTGGCTTGGGCCCAACCTTGGGAGGTCGGAGGGCTGCTTCATGTGCTCTTTCGACTTCGACAGGGATGAGGTCGCTGTAGCTCCGCTTGTGCTGCGGGTAGAGGTCGCCAGGCTTTTGCTCAGATCTGATAGGTATGCAGATGTTGTGCTGCTTTGGCCCGAGGACTCGATTGATCCCATCGTCTCTGGGGTGTCCGGAGGTGGATACATCTCCAGTATCTCGCCATCTGGTGGAATCTTGGTCATGGTGTCCCCTTCTTCCCGAGGAATGATGTCCAGGTGACAATCTGGTATCTTGAGATCGATGAAGTGTCTCAGGTCGCTCAGAGTGCTGAGCGACTGTGATCTCGCCTGCTCCATTCCTTCCATGTTTGATAGATCCATCGTGTGACGGGTGGCGGTCAGACGTTCCAATACTTGGGACCGCCGCCAGCCTACCCATAAAAAAGGATTCTTGCTATCACGGTTTACCTCATGTTGATGTTTAAATCCGTCATCTGGAGATGTCACTACCGGACTGGCGAACGTGACATGGTTAGCTTCCCGTTCTGCTGGTGTATGAATAGTCGTATCTTCCGAGTAACTCCTGCCGCCCTCCTTTGTCGTGTCTTCCATCTTCAGTGGGCTACCTTTTCTAGAAATCCGGAGGCTTCTTGCACGTCCATAGAAGCTAGGTTCCTCAGCCGTCTCGTCTGTACCTATAGCAGTTCACTCGTGAGTAAATGGGCAGTCTATTTTCTGTGGCAGACTGTCCACTTACTACTAATCAACGACTGAGCGATAGGACTCAGAGTTGGTTCCATGGCAGAAGACCAATGCCTGCCGTGGCGAGTCCACTTGACCGTCCCGTCGTCCAGCTTGAGCTCGTTCTTCCTCCTCTCAATCTTGGCCAGCTTCGCTTGGGCTTTTTCCAACTTCATCTTCTCTCGCTCCGCTGACTCCCTGTCCTTGGCCCTGCTGTACGCCTTCTTGGCATTCTTGACGTTTTGTGCCAACTCGTTCAATTTTTCGTCGGCCGATGGCGACGTGGTGTCTGAGCTGAGCGTGTCGGTGGGCGTTAAGGCGTTCCAATCCCCAGTCTGGGGGTCGTATCCGGCTACGGGCAGGAAGTCGCCGCTGGCTTTGAGTTGGCGGCGCTGCTTTCGCGTCCTCTCTTTTGAATCCAGGAGGGCTTGTACCTGAGCAGCAGTCATACTCTCGACCTTCTGCTCTGGCTTTTCAGGCCTGTTCCTGTCTCCCCTGAGCTTCTTGAGTCTGAGGCTGCCAGTCCGGCGATGACCTTGCATCAAAAGCTCAGCACGTCGGTGGGGAGACAGATCTTCAGCAATGTTCCATTGCGTGAGCTCCTCGGGTTTGATGCCGAGATCAATGTAGGCAGATTCTCCACTGTCGTCTTCATCCCGATGGGTATTGCCCTGCTCAGGGCGATTGCTGGGCAGAAGCCGGGAAAAGAGCCCAACGAGTGAACCAGATCCTTTCCGAGTCATGTTGACCACTAAATACCGACGGAGAAGAGAAGAAATAATTGAAAAAAACGAACGGGTTTGCCGGGTGAAGGACGAAATTGAGCTGGAGTTTACCGGGCTAACATAATAATTATTAAAGTGCCTGCGACACCTCCAAGATCTTTGGGACTGACGAGGTCTCAGAGCTGCGTTGCAATGAAACACGCTTCATCATTTTAGCTTTGCCCTGCGGCTGGAAGGCGCCTCGGGCGCCATGTCTCATGACGCGGGATGCTCCTGGGCGACGACAATGTGCTGTATAAATAACCTTAGGGGTGAATCAATTCAAAGCCAGTCGTTCCTGCCGCAAAGCCACATCCACCCGTGTGGGTTGTGGTGGAGGTGCGGGAAAGTGAGAAAAGCAACATCCCATATGCATATTTGACGCCACTCACAATGGGCTCGGAAGGCATGAATCATGACAACAAAAGCTGTTGATAGCAGAGGGCCCCTCGACCTAGGTGGAACTTGTCATACTCCATCTTATCTGTTGCTGAAATGTTGTTGACGTTATAACTTGAGAGCTTGTGTACGATTTCGACGTGAATCACGAAATGTTTGGTGAGCATTTGCAGTATAAAGAATTTGATGGGCGTGATGGGAACTTGGAGAAGTCTGGTAAGGCAATAAAATTTGTATTCAGATACTGGAGAATATCAATCTCCCTTTGTGGTAGGTATAGCACAGCCCAGAGTACTCCCAAACGCCGGAAAATGCCATCAGGAACGACTTGTTGTACATGTTACAGCTCAGTAAAGACCAGCAATGATTCCGACACCAATTCATTTGCTCGACTTTTGAACAATTCACCGCCACATGGAAGGATATCTTTCCTTGGGCTGATCTCGGCCGCCCTTTAAGCCGGTCTGAAAGGATGGCGGGAGGTTACCTGTGCTTTTCCTGGCGCTCTTAAGAGGACTACTGTCCCTGCCCTGCAAAGCGCGGTATTGCTCCAGTCGTGCCATCTCATTGTTGTTACGTGGCGTCCGGTGTTGCAAGTCACCTAGACTTGGCGCCTTCTTCAACGGTGAGCTAGGATGAGAATACACTCCTAGGTATCCCCCAGTACCCTGAGATTGATTTTGCGTCTGTGTCATATTCGTCGACATGTTCACCATGGGTGAACCCGTGCGAGAAACTGAATTGGAGAACCCAGAAGTGCTTTGCCTCAAGGCCGACGGGCGAGCCACGCTCCCTGATGCCATGGCATCTGCATGTCTGGCAACCGGAGGAGTAAATAGTCCTGGACTGCCTGTACTTCTCGCGTTGGGTCGGAATAGTGCTGAACCGTCTGGGTCGATATGTTGCGCGTAATTCGGGTTTGGGTTTGGCCTGAAGCCACGACGTAGGACCGTGGTAGGGGTTCCAACAGCTACGTACTCTTGGTCGTTGCCATCATCATCTTGAGAAATTTGTGTCGAAGCATCCCTGACCATGGGATACAAGAGCGGGTGAACAAATTTGGTATCATACTCGTGCATGACCTCCTTCTGGATAACAGAGGTGTCCTTGTTCTGTTGGGAGAACTTTGATTGAAGCAAGTACATTTGGATCGAGATGATGGCCTGGAGTACAAGCCATTTGAAAGCCACGATGCTCGGCCAATCGGATTGAGTGACAGGTAGGAACATCAGGGAGACCAATATGTGCCCAGGACCGAACCAGCACAAGATGGATAACGACACAGGCAGTGGGTCCCACACAGGAAGTTCCCAAACGTCTCTTGTACGGTCTGGATGCGCCCTCGTCTCGGCGCTTTCGGAGCTCACGAGATCCGAAAAGAAACGCAAGGGCGAAGAGGCTGCGGGCGAGGACTGAACCCTTACGCGTTGCACCGACGAGGAGCCTTCGTACTTCTTTTCGACATCGGCCTCGAAAAATCTATACTTTCGTGTTCGGTTCATTGTATAGATGGCGTTCAAGGTAGAAAGGCCAGCAAGAATCCAGACAAAAGTACTGACCTAGTTGACGGGTATCAATACCAAAGTCTTCGCCAGGCATATCGGCAGGAAAGGCAGAAATACTCACAAGAAAAGTAAAGAACCCCGAGTCGTTGTCGTCGCCGAATACATCGTCCACAGTTGTCTTCCTCACAGAATTAGCGCGAGCAATCCCGAAGATGAGATTCATGGCGATGCCAATTTGTAGCCCGACGCTCCTCGAGTTCCAGTCGCGCGTCTCAATCTCCTCGGAAAGCCACAACAGGAAGTCCATGGGATTGAGCCAAGCCTGAAGGCGCTCGGCAAGCGGCTTGCGTCGCACGATTCGCGGCATCGCTGCGAGGTTGCCCGGTTTACGGCTGCGCAGATGTTCCAAATGGGTTGGCGATGTCGTTTGGTTGCGAAAACAGGGGACCGGGGGTTCGAGAACCGAACAAAGGTGCCTAGATCAAGCAATCAAGTGAATGATGTCTGATCTTTTTCTGATACGGGCTGTGTGTTTTTGGAAAGACCAGGAAGATGTGAACCTCTACCTCGACCTGCGCTTGCCCTTGCGCAACTGAGTCGCAAAGGGTGTGACTGGAAGGGTGACCGACAAAATATGTGATGGTTGTCCTCTTGGTTCGCTGCTTCCGGCAACGTGGAGACCTCGATTGTTTATTCTCTAGTAAAAATTGTCTGGTTGCGGTTGCTATCAGCAGCGAGCTTGGGGCAGGCAGTAAGGTACCTAGCTCCAAGAGCTCTTGCGGCCAATGAGGCACCGAGACTCGCCCAGCTTACCTCCCCAAAAGCCCAAGGGGACAGTGGGGTTTCTCTTATGATGGTGCTGAAATAGGTGGGGGAAGCCACTGTGCTTTTTTACCTTGGGCAGGCGGTCAGAGCTCTGTGCGACAAGCCCCAGCTGCCCAGAGGTCAAGCCCGCGCAGGTTGGTTGGGATTCCAGATGTCCCTAGAGTCGCCTGTGCAGTGACGTTTCCCAGTCCCCAAGCTCGCTGCCAATCGCTAGCATTAGGTACATACCTACCTGTTCAAACACCACTACATCAACGACCTGCCTACCCACACCACATCCCACCACGACGACAGGCCGCATAGTCCATCTCGTCTTCGGAACCGCTCGTTCAAAGTCCTCCCGACTGCTCTTGAACGGGCCATCCCCCTCGCCATGGCTTCGCAAGCAGACTACAAGGACAGGCAGTTCCTAGCCGTTATCGGTGACGAGGTAACGAATGCTCCATGAGCGTTGCCGCACGTTGCAAGCCCATCCTCTAACTACTGCTCGATAGGACTCGGTGACGGGACTGCTGCTAGCTGGCATAGGTGTATGTCCGATCCCAAGTCGAATTTTTCTTCGTTGGATAAACAAAAGGCTCACATATATGAAATAGCATGTGACGAACCCGCCCGACTCGCAGAAGAACTTCCTTGTCGTTGACAACAAGACCGAGACCTCGGCTATCGAGGCTGCCTTTGACTCCTTCACAAAAGAGCGCAAGGATATTGGCATAGTCCTGATCAACCAGCACGTGCGTAACGAGATGCCGTAGATGGACAAGACGGTCGTGACCCGTGGCGCTAACATAGGTGTAGATTGCGGACAAGATCAGGCACCGCATCGATACTTACACGGCCGCCTTTCCTACAGTCCTCGAAATCCCAAGCAAAGAGCATCCCTATGACCCAGAGAAGGACAGTGTGCTGCGGAGAGTCAGACGTTTGTTCGGAGAGTAGACACGATATATACTGGCATGATTGGGTCAATACAACCCCGGTCACAGACATGATCACCTGTACACAAAGCATAAAGATACCATGAGGTTTACTTGAGATGATTGATGCTGGACTCTTAAAAACACGTTTTGAGGAATAATTGTATTATGACGCAAGGCTCATGCTATTCCAAGGCGTGCCACCTTCCATGCATTACAGCACATTAATGACTCGGGAAAAATGCAACAGTAAAACAATCAAGACAAGGAAGTACAACACGGCTGGTAATCAGCTCAGCATCCCCATGACATTCTCGTCTAGTTTGTGACCACCAGATGGGTTCAAACACTCATGAATCTTGACTTCACCTACAGCTCCAGCTCAATATCCTTCTTGGAGCCACCGAAAGTGACTTGAGCCTCGAGGCAAGCGATGGGCTTGTCGTCGTAGTTGATAACCTCGGCGTGAACCGTGTACTTTCCTGGGGGAACCTCCTTGGGGATATCGACTGCCTTTTCAACGCTGAGGATACCCTTCTTGATGGGGCACTTGAGATCTGCCTTCTCAGTCTGCTCGCAGAGGTCGGCCTTGGTGTTGATCAGACGGATAAGGCCGTACTTGACGACAAGGTTGATGTATGCGCCCTCCTCGATATCCTCAAAGACGGTACCGGCAGCACGAATCTTCAACTCGGCACCACTGTAATTGTGTATTAGTATGAACGCTCTCAACTGATGGGAGGGCCATCCTTCGCTTCACCCCGCGCCTATCTCCACCCTACATGGGTCTGGCATCGTGTTGCTGAGAGGGAGAGGGAGTGGCAGCGACAGAGAAGAAAACAAAGGTAGGAAGTAACATACGCCTCTGGAGGGTTGGGCAGCAGATCAACGCTCGTGATCTTGACGATATCGTCCGGGTGGCTCGCAGCACAGTAGGTCAGAGGGTTCTTGCCAGGGACCTTCTTGTCATCGTCTAGCGTCACGATGTCCTGGGTGTTATCGAACCAGCCAGGCAGGGCCGAGGCGACGCCGACGATGGCAGCGGCGCAAGCAACGTTGAACCGCATGATGAGTGTTTCTGGTTTGTGGTGTTTGGTCCCGAGCTGTAAATGACAAAAGGCGGAATCAGTCCGACGCAAGTTTGTCGTTGAACGGTTTGTGTTTGTTGTGGTCGGTGGCGGTTATCGATGGGGGTGGTTGGTCTGGTCTTTGCGTGGATCAGTGATTGAGCTGGGTACAAGGTTACTACTACTGATGCGAATGCGGCGCCAGAAAAGAATGATATTTGAAGATCCCAGTGAGAGGTGTGTATGTATCGATGCCGATTGATCAAAGAAGAAGAAATTCAGGGTGCTACAATAATTTCGGCTTGTGTTTGTCCAGAAGCCTCGAGACTTGATCTCACAGTCGAGCCTTTCAATCAGTGCCAACTGGAATCTGTAGGCAGGAACCTGTTGAAGCTATGGGCTGGAGCTGTGCATGTGTATGGGGAAGTTGAAACCAGGGTCACTGACACTTCAGGCTTCCGCCCAAGCAAGGTTCACACGTAATTCGCTCACCTTGGTACTTTCTCTTTGCCCAGAGGTGCAAGGACTCTGAACGAGCAATTTTGATGATGATAATGATTCAACAAACAAGAGAAGTTGTAGTGGTCGCACAGGAATGAGCAGAGCAGAGCTGCAAGCAGGTATGTATCGTCAATCGTTTACTTGCTGGAGGCGAGGCGGTGCTAGCGTTCACCGATAACACTTTAGCGAAGGTGATGGCATCGTAGCTTGCGGAGCGAATCAGAGCCCGCTAAACAGTCCCATGACGTCCTCGCTAGCGCCATTATGTGACCCCCCCAGGCTCTACTCCGTAATCCCCAACTGCACCAAGGCCTCCAGCTGCTAGGCGAAACTCGAAAGGCAAAGGAGACGCGCAGCGCCCTGGGCTTGGTTGCAGAAGTTGCGCCACCTTTTCGTCTGTCTCAATTGGCTGAATCACTCATCGATCACCTGCTTGTTGTTCGCCAATCCACTGATCATCGTTTTTTATATCCTCGGAAAGACTAGGATTGAAGCATTTGAAGATGCATCCAAAGAGGCGACCAAGACGACGATGCATGTAAATGACTGATTGACAACGTGGCTTCTCCATAATACACCAAACGCTGCAATATACTTGATTGATATTGATTGAACGGAGGGGAAGAGCTGAATATAGTGTTAATTATCCACCGCGAGAATCGCTGTCCATATTTCTCTAGTGATATATGGTGCTCTTTAGTTACGATTAACTACTGGACATGTTTACATACACACTAGTATATATAGCAGGTTTATTTTCCATCGTAGAAGTCGTACGTGTTCAGGCTATGTCGGTAGTATAGGATTACAATATTAAGCTAACCGCCCCTTGCCTCCGGGTATCAATGTCCAATCAATCTACTCCAACCATTGCTGTTTCCAAACAGCGTCATTTCATAAGTTGTACTTTAAGAACTTTTCATCAAGTCTTGAATGGCATTCGCCTACGCATAACAGCGCAGCGCTTCTCCCCAATTATTGTTGTGACTTTGAGTTTCACAACTACTTTAGTAATAGACCTTTTCCTCCCACAATGGAGGTCGAGCACCCTCGGAATCCCATTCCAACTTGTTCTTGTCATTGAGAGTACAGCCTTCGTCTGTGATGGGGATGACCCGGCTAGTGTCCCGAACCTCCTGCTTGGAAATGCCAGCAGGGTCTTCAGGAATCCACAACAGTGGAGTAGGGCTGACCACGGAGGGAGGGTAGTATGCGTCCAGCTCGACCTCATCCGTGTAGAGATTGTCGTAATCGACTCGGTCCTCGGGAACAAGCTTCCTCATCGTGGCAAAGTCCTGGTGAACCCAAGGCTTCAAGAACTTGTTCACGATACTAGGTTTCTTCTCAGCCGCCACAGGGGTACCCTTTTCAGTTGTGCCATTGCCGTTCTTAAGATCACTGTTGACAGCACCAAGCTCCATTCGGAAAGACTTCTCCTCAACTTCGAGCGTACGCGGCAAATTGTACAAAAGTGGGTTGAGGGCACTGTTGATGGTTATGTGGAAAAGAACTGTGAAGATGAGGAAGATGATCATGATGACCATTGGACCGATGACGACGGAAGCAGCGAATAAACCGATCATGCAAATCTCTGCAATGTAGACTCCAACAAAGAGTTGCTTGAGGGCGCGGGGGTAGATCAATCCACGTGTGTCAATCCTGGTATCTGTGACAAACAGGACGTTGTAGCGCCAAGCCAAGTAGAATAGTCCAAGACTGATAGTGGCGAAGCCCAGAACCAAAGGAGCAATCGCCGCATAAGTGATCACTGTCATGGTTAGCTGATAGTTCAAGCTCGCTACAAGAAAGAATAACTCACTGATGACGGCAATGTTGGTGTAGACAGGCAAGACACTTCCCCATGAGATGGCACTGAGGTTGGCCCACTTCACAAACATTGCACGGGGAGTTCCGGTCAAGAACTTGTAGAGGAGAGTGAAGATGAAGAAACCCACAACCTGAGTCATGACTGACGTGCCGATGGTGAGACCTTGGACCAGGAAATAGTTGATGTAGAAATTGGAGGCCTTGGGCAGGTTCTCAGAGAGCAGGCTGGTGACTTTCGAGGGATCCTCGACAATCTTGACACCAACAGCAGAAGCCGCAGAGGTCATTGTCGTGATCAGGAAGACCTGGATAACCTGGAAGGCAAAGTATGCATTCTGTGTAAAGAGCTCGACGCGGGACAGCGAGGGCTCGCCCGAAAGCTTAGCACACACTGTATCATCAAGTCAGTCATCTTAAATTACTTTCCATAGACGAGTCAACAACTTACATCTCATAATAACCGGTACCAAAGACATGAGAATCGAGAGCGCCACGGATGGCAACAAACCGGTGATAACGCCCATGATTTGTTCTGGGATTGCATTGAGCCAATGGAGCCAGGTAAACTTTTCCATCAAGTAGTTTATGTTGGAGATGACACCAACAATGGCAACAGGAATGGCCCAGAAGATGATGAGTGCAGAGATGAAGCCCAGGACTGCAAAACGACGAACGACACGCTGCCACCAGGACACCTTCAAGGCCTTCCAGACGACCTCACCGGGCGTGATGCCAATGTACTTGGGCGACATTTGCAGGGCTTGGTGGTGAGCGAGCACTTGGTTGGCATCTTCGGCCTGAGACTGGAGGTGGAATTCAATGAAAACACCAGGTATCTTCTTGTAAGTGCCGGACTTGAAAGTCTTCTGAGCGCGGTCCACCTCAGGGATGAGTCTCTCCAGCTCAGTTCGGCACCAGTTGATGGTGTCAACCTTTTTGCCAACCAGACCCAGGAAGCCCAGACGGTGAGAGGGTCGCTTCTTTGCAGGAATCCATCGAGCCGCCAGGCTGCCTGACTCTGCATCAGCAGCGGCTGTCTCAGCACTCTCGTGGGATCCACCCTTCTTGATAGCCTTGAGGCGTTCACCATTTGCCGTCTTGATCAACTTGACTTCAGCCTTCTCGAGCTTCATGGCAATCTTGTTGCGTTCCTTAACAAGTTCATCAACTTCTTCCGTGTCGCCAGTGATCCAGATGTGCTTGACAGCATCTCCAAAAACCTTGCGCAAGATCGCTTCGTCCAGATAGGCCTCGGGAACAGAGGTGAAGAGTACGGTTCGGGAGGAGATACGATTGGCGTAGTAAGGCGACAGCAGGAATGCCTGGCGCAGGTTGATGTAGAAAATAGATTCTCTCAAGATCATGTACATGACGAAGCCATAGTACACCCAGGCACAGAAGGCGTGAGCATAGAAGCGATTCTTCTGGTCAGACGAGACGTTCGAGTATGACAGGATGTCCAGCTCTGACTGGCCGCCGCCGCCGGTTGCGTTGACCGGGAAGAGGATAGGCCAGAGAAAGCAGCAGCCGAAGAAGGCAATGACCGTGATGATGCGCAGGAAGCGCAAGAAAAGGTAAGAATCGAGGGACTGGTGTTGCAGAGCATATCGATCCGGTATTTTCCAAAATTCGCCTATCCAATTGAACCAGCCCGAGCTGAGGTGAGGAGTTCGCTCACTTCATAGTAATATTCATGTCAGTTCCTCGTGCCTACTTCATTTATCCGTGGTGCTTCATAGGGCAAAAGCGGACATACCTTTCACGCAAGCTTCCTATATAAGTACGCGGCGCATACCAACGTCGGTTGCTTCGACGCAAAATCAAGAAGATGACCAGGTAAACGGCAGCTAGAACCGCAGTCGGCACCAGAGTCGAAATCAAACCTAATATTTTGTAAGCAAGGACATGTATAATGATTTATATGAACGACCAAGCATTGTTGGAATTGGACATCATATTGCTTACTTGACAACGAGACTGGCGTCGTATCACGAGATGACCCCACGTTTGACATGTTTGCGTTTCTAGAGACCTGAGTTGCCCTCCTCGGCCCTGACTAGTAAAACACACCGGCGTGGGTGGTGATGTAAGGAAACGTGATATAGGGAGAAGTTTGCTGAATGGCTTCTGCAGGGCTAACGGCAAACTTATGAATCCAACTTAGGGACCTCCAAAGCTTGACTTTTGAGAGCCGCGTGCCCGACCAGGAATGTGGAGGTCGCTGAACAACAACTTTTTGCGCCGAGAAATCTGCGTTGGGTGGGTTGCAAAGAGGAATTATTTAAATGAGCTGGACGATGGCGCGTGGAGGTACGACTGCAATGGGATAGGCGCGCCACGTCGTGCCACTGATGCACTGTGCTTTGCTTTCCTTTTCCACCCCCCTTGAAATGGTCAATGTACCCTTTACCTGCAGAAAGTATCACAGCACAGGCACAATCAAGCTGAGTGCTCCGGCAAGTGGGCAAGCAAAAGCACAGGTGGGCTGCCTCTGGTGCGGTAACGGGCAACGGCGTCGATATTATACTTTTCGTCTGTTTGACCCAGAGTAAGGGGATGGGGGATAGAGGGGAGGGAAAAAAAAAAAGTGCTGCAGTTAAACCTTGTGATGAAAAAAAGCTTGGGGGGAAATGGAAACAGACGGTCTGCGCCCCCAATTGTCCAGGCCTCTCTGATTGCCGAGCGGCTGAGACCCAAGATCAAGGATCATAAACAGGATGCTCGATGAAGAAGAACGACCAAGAGCCTATGACGCCGATTTGCAGCGTCTCCCTCCCCTGGACAGACTGATTATGCAGTTGTCCCTCCTGGTTGCTCTCCCTCCCCCAGGATCAAGATCGGAAGGGCAGGTCACCCACTTCTAGCGCCCTGCTCCAGCTCAAAATGGCTTGAATGGTCCTTGTTGGCGAGCAGAAACTGCTGGTTGATTGGGAGCTTCACCGTTCTAGAATGAGCTAAGCAGGGATGTGGATCAGGGCCCGTCCACTATGTAATATTGCCAGGACCACTATTGATCGCCCGTTTGATCAAATAGATCGTAAACGCAGATGGACGGCGCAGTTTTCAAAGTACGTATTTAATTGTTTCGTTCAATTCGGTGTAGTATAAGTGAGGTCGTCGCCATGAGATGGCGCGAGGATATGATGCGCGCAACAGCTTCAATTGGTAGGGCAAGTGAGAGATCCGTCAGAATGAATGGCTGGGCAAGTGGATTCTTCCCAGATGATCGCATGTCACCTATGATATAGTCGTCTACCTCATACTAGTTGCAGCAGTGAGCTGCAACTCTCTGGGCCACACAGACCAGTGACATCAGTCCCTTATCTAACGTTGGATCTACCTACAGAATATCTTGCTTTTTTCACACTACTGAGCCAGACCGACAGAAGTCTTCTCAATGATCTTTAGCAGATGGTCGTCGCGCTCCATCACACAAGTTAACCGATCTTTAAAGTCTATTTTGCTGGCCTGTCTGCACCAAGCTGGGTAATTCGGCTTTGCAGGGTATTCGGCTTCACAGGCTCCCGTGATTGGATCTACCCCAGTCCATCGGGCCATAGACCACATAGCTGTGCTTTGGCTTGTCTCATTGGGAGGAAATTCGATGGTGTCACTTTAGCTGGCGATCTCCTTTTGATGGTGTTTCTGTGCCAACACCCATTTAGGATAAGACAAGACGGATATCCACGTAATGAGCAGCAAAGTCATTGCCATCATTGGGGAAACAGCTCAATGGCATTCCGTACTATTGTAAAAGAAATGCATCGGTCATCAATGATGTTGTTGTTGTTGTCCAGAATCCGATGTCTTCAATCTTGTCATGCGCTCATCGTTGTTTGTGCTCTTCAAAGCTCCCCGAGTTCGATGGAGAGGAAGCTCTCGATTCATGTGGTACGGCATTTCGCCAGGGCGGGTGACACGTTTTTCTGAAACTGTGAAACTCAATCAATGTGTAGCTGCGCCAATGCAGCAAACCACAGACCAACCAAGGCACATGCCGACTAATTAAAGGTAAAAAACGGGCAACAACTACCGCGCGTCCACTGTGCATACAGTGACGGCCCACTTGTAGTACTACCACCACCATCCATTGATGGGAGCTCATTGAAGCCAAGCGCATTAAACTGCAGGCCGTCTCGTTGAAATTCAAGTCAAGAAATCACCAAAATATTCCAAAATTCAAAGAGGGTGTGCTTTATGGCTTGCATATCAGCTGGTGTTGTATGATACAGCCGGATAGACTTGAGATTGATGAAATCGAACCACTACTGGTCACCAAAGACCTGGGATCGCGGCTTGACAGGCCTCCGTCAAGGTCTAGAACATCATTTCTAGGACTCTCCCTCATTCTCACATGCGGGGACTGGCGTTTTCCTGGGTCCATGTCCGCACCCCCCTTATCGTGCGCCGCGCGGAATAATCTATATAGTATTCCGTACACACCTATCAAGACCTTCGGCGTCACCGTTGAAAGGCCTCCGATTTCTTAGCTGCCGGCATGTCGCGTCGCACAAACTGCACACAGCCGAGAGGGAGATACGCTGCGTGAAGACAGCGCGTTTGCTTGCTCGAGATCACAAGGGCAAGATGACAGGATTTGCTCAATCAATTCCAATTTTGAGGCATGGAAATCGTTGGTCTTCTTTTGGCTAGGACAGTGGGCTGAGACAAGAGACAAAACAGCATGTGTGTCTGGAATGCCACAGCGCTTCCAATTGACGTATCCGGCGCCATGCTACAAAAATGGCCCGCTCGACATGACTCAGTTGGTGCAGGACTCATTGTGTGGGCATCACTTCAGCTTGCTAGGCTCAGTGCCCAGCTGTGTGTTTAAACAGGACGGCGATCTTGATTCAATGAAGTGGGATAATGATGGCATCAGTTGATGTCCGCTGCAAAGAAAAAAGACGCTCAGCATCACAGTCAACAGACTTGGGACCTCAGAAAGGAAACATGGGCTGAGATTTGGGTCAATATGCACATGGTGCTTTGTACGAACGCGGCTAGAATCTCATTCCAACAAAGATGAAGTATGCATGCTCTGGTTCTTTGTTGCGGGACGTGTCTCCCTTCCAAAAGTGAAGATGGAATGGATGAGAATCAGCTATTGCATTCCTGTCACAGGGAGAGACGTCTTTATCCCTTGTTCCGCTCCAGAGAACACACAAAGATGCTCGCCATCTTTCAAAAATTTTCCGCCACTTCCTCCAACGAAGCAGAAAACCTCCAATCCTTTAGCTCATCGATCGTGTGCGAAGTGATAACGAGAAACACCCGTCGAAATGGCAACGAATGACCAAAGCAAGGTAGTCGATCCGTACAAGACGAAGCTTGGCTATGTCGAGGCCACCGACTGGGCAATCCCCTACTGGGCGTCTTACTTGGAGGAGAACAAGCATGGCCACTATGAAATGTTTGCTCATGTCAACTGTGGCTACCTCTCAACTCCTGGGCGTCCGCCTACGCTCGAGGCACTCAAGAGGCATGCGCAGTCGCTTGCTCACCTCATTTCCACCATTGCTCCATCCTCTGGGCCTGGGGAGATCGACAATGTCAACTCGGGTGCATCAGGTGCAAGGGAATTCACCCAGCACGAAGCCTTTGATTGGCTCAACAACCTGGAAGAGGCCTATTCCTCCGATGACCCAGCACACCACCGTCCATTGAACAGTCTGTCCAATCAGGCCAGGGCCAACAGCGACATCAAGGGTGTCGAATTCCACTGCCCTCTGGATGTACCAGCAACACAAAAGTCCGTCAAGGCTGAGGATGCAGCCAAGGAAACTGCCTATCAGGCTGAGCGCAAGACCAGACCGTTTGCGCGGCACTGGAACCTTTTGAGACATGCCAATGACTGCCTGGAGATTCTCGACCATGAGTTCTCTGCAACCGGTGGACTGCTTTCAATTCTTCCCACTGAGCATGAAGTCGAGGCTGAGCAGCTTGATATGGCCAAGAATACCCTGATTGGCCAGTGGCTTACCTTTACCCAGGCGCTCACAAACCGTATGCACAACCTTGAGATCAACTACAGCAATTGCCTCGATGCACTCAAGGGAGAAGCGTTCATTCCGTCGCAGCACCTCAGCCACGAGGGTCCAGATGGACGTTCTGGAAGAGAGATTGTTTTCCCTCAAGACCGCTGGGTTCTTGCAAATGCTGGAGACGATGTACAGGAATGGGTTCACCAAATTTTGGACAAGATTCAGCAGGCCGAGGACCACACAATGGTGGCCAACCGCGCAGTTGGCATAGTTGGAGACGGAATATGGGATACTGCCACGGAGGCCGAGCGCGGTCTTGTGTCCACGGACCTCGTCACACGTTACTATCGCATTAGAGGCAGTGCCAGTGACCGCGGCCCCATCTTTGTTCTGCCTGGATTTGCCGACCGCCCTCATGTGAAATACACGCGCATGATGGAAGATCGACCGACTGTAGTAGGGCTTGTTGCACCGCAGGAGCCCAAAATTATCCCTTCAGCAAGCGCTCTTCATGACACCTACCTGGCCAAGATGGCCGATTTGGCGGCCAAAGACAAGGATGATTGCAAGGCTGTGAGGGATGAGAACGAAAAACTGAAGAATGATCTCAAGATCCAGCAAGAAAAGGTCTCTGAAGAGATGCAAAAGAACAGCTCATTGACTACCGCAACGACTGACGACCAGACCAAAGTCGCCGCGGAGCTTGAGAGTCTTAAGAAGCAGCTTGCCGACTCACAGAAGTTGGCGGAGGATAGAGAGACTCAACGGCAGGCGGCCCAGACCTTGTATGATGACCTGTTGTCGAATCGCTACTCGGGCTTACCCGGAACCACTGGGGGGGCTTTTGTGGTTCCACGCGACATTGACGGCCATCCTAAGGAGCAGGCACTGATAGCCTTGTTGAAGTCGCTCAAGAAGTCGTCCCGTGACAACGAGGTTCTGAGAGATACCATTGAAACTCTTCAAGGGGAAATTAGAAAGAACACTGCTGCTACAAAGACTACCGCTCCAACAAGCTAGAGCATCTGGTATTATCTAGGTGCTGATCGGAGTTGTTCATGTTTGTTGTGCTTGTGAGGAGGGAGAGGGTATGATATTGAAACATGAAGCCGGGATTTGTTATTTTGTCGCAGAGATAGCTAAGACTTGGGTACGTCTAGGTTGGAGTACGTTGCCGAGAAGTCTTTGATGCCAACAAGTGCGACTGGAATTTCGTCCCATATCCAAAGATAAAGATAACGAATTGCCTAACAAGGTACCTTCTGTGCATTGTATGTATTTTTGCAATTGTGCGAATAAATATCCATCGTCGGTGGCCCGCTTTATCATAAGTGAGGCTTCCAACACTGAACTGCCCACCTTGCTGGGGCTCATATAGTTATTGCCTTGGAACTTGTGTAAGCGACCTGCCAAGGATTCCAGGGTCGTTGGACTTACGCGTTCGGGGAATTTTATTGGCTGCAGACGTGCTAGACATGCTCACAGTTAGGTGGTTGGGACCCCTGTTTGCCTATTTCCAGTCCTACTCGGATCTTACCGAGCAGCCAGTTGCCGTGACAACACTCCCCACCCCACCTGTTCTTGTCTCCCCGACCTCCCAAGTTTGTGCACACATGATATGGTAAATCTGTCTGTCTGTCTCTCTGCCTTGGTTTGCTTCCTCTTGGTAAAAGTTCTTGCTGATCTTTTAGGTCTTGTCGACTTGCCTGTCAGTTCTGCTTTCTTGTTTGTCGAATGCAACCTCGAGAATAGCGCAGACATTTTCGTTATCAAACAGCTTCCAGCCATCTGCTTTTGTCGACCACAATTTGCGACCGTGTGTTCCGAGTAGATCCACCAGATCGGACGGGGCCCAGTCTCTTTTTTTACCATTTTCTTATTGCTACCCAGTCAGTCAGACGATCGATCGGCTATAGCCCATCTATCATCGTGTTCATTGTCCATCCTTTGCCCCGTGCGCTCAACGTTGCTAAGAGCAAGCCCCATATTGACATCCGCCAACTCAACCGTTCGCCCCGCCAAACATTGATTCGATCGATTAACCTGCGGCTCTAATGCAGACGAATTAATGGTATTGTTGCGGCCTAACTGATTCCTTGTTTGCTTCTTACAAGGTTTTCTTCTTGTCCTGTTATTCGTGGCCATTGTCTTCGTCGTCGCTGTCGTCGTCTCAACCTTTCACGTCAACACTGCGCGCGCGCTGCAGTGCATACGAGTCGGATCATGCTGGCGGGCTAAACACCAAATGCTCCTCTCCCTCGGGATGGCATCGCCTGTCGCTCGCCGCCTCTCGCGGTCGACCTCTTCATCGCTACCCGCTGCAAAACAACTCTTGTTCGGACTGGTTGCACTGTGGTCCTTGACACAGGTCGGCCTCGCGCAAAGTCTCCCATACGTCCCGACAACTATTCTACTGCCAAACACCAACAGCGTCCCTCTTCAGCAAAATGTCAGCTGCGACGTCGCCTATATCTTTTCGCCCACAGATGATTCCGTCTCACTGTTGGCTCTCAACATCTCAAGCACCATCAAGTCATCGGATCTGACATTCGATATATTATCCTCCGAGCTGCCATTCCTCGCCAGCGGCAATGCCTCTTTTACTCCCAGCATAGCAAATAATGGAACACTCATTGTATATGCCGGCAATTGCTCCTCGTCCAGCGATGCCGGTGTGTGGACAATGGACCCACCACTGGACGGTTCAAAGGGCAACTGGACACAGAGCGCACTGGGATCAAGTAACTCCGGTCCTGGTTATCTCGGCGCAGGGCTAAGTTTCTCAACAACGCTGGAGCCCGTCATGGGCCCCATGGACGTTTATATCTATGGTGGCATGTGCCCTGGCAATGTCACTGATGAGACACTCGCACAAAGCGAGGCAACATACTCTAATCAAATGCTGCGCCTCTCGCCCTCGGACTCGAATACTGCCGATTATGCAGTGCACTCCTTGACAAACAAAGGTGCACCAATAGCCGAAGCAGGATTCACCTTTACCGGACTGTCTCCGTCGATATCGAACAGATCCGGCACCGTGACGCAGCAAGCCAACTATGTTGTTCTGGGCGGCCACACGGAGTCTGCTTTTGTCAACATCAGTACCGCAGCTATCTGGAGCTTGCCGGAAGAAAGCTGGGGTTATGTGAGTATAGGCACGGCAAATTCATCAGGCTCCACAGAACTGGCCATTAAAAGCACTTCAACGACTATGGACCCACGATCTGGTCATACCGCCGTGCTGAACGAAGATGGAAGCGCCCTAGTAATCCTGGGCGGGTGGGTCGGGAATACCCAGACAGCTGCATCACCACAATTGGCTATTCTCGACCTCGGCCTTGGGTACGGAGGAAATGGAGATTGGCAATGGACAATCCCCGAGGACCAGCCATCTGGTTCGGGAATCTACGGCCATGGTGCAGCACTGCTGCCAGGAAACGTCATGATGGTCTATGGAGGCTACCAAATATCATCCTCCGGGAGCAACTCCAAAAGGCAAACGTCGACGACCCAGCCTTCCTTTTTGAATCTTACGAGTATGTCTTGGTCAGAAGATTATACGAACCCGACATATGCAGCCAGTGCAGGGGATGATACGTCCGATGACGATGACGAAGACGCTGCAAGGCAATTAGGTCTAGGTCTTGGTCTAGGCTTGGGCTTCGGTGCCATTATACTCGCGATCCTGGCATATTTTCTCTTCCGTTGGCGACATGTTCGCAAGTATTCTTCCCGGGAGGATATCATTCGATCGTTAGCCCAGGATACCAACCACTACCTTCAGGATGAACCCATGATGGAGCACGATGGTCAAGACACAAGCTGGTACCTCGGTGGCCATGATCCATACATGACTGGCGGCAGGTCACTAGGTTACCAAAGCCTACAAGGTGGTCGCGGAAGCATAGATGCAGCTGGTTTCTCCTACACTCCAGCGCCGATGTTGCGCAAGCCAGTGCCCCCTAGAACTTCGCGGGGGCACTACATGCCGGCTCCAGTCAGTGGCTATGACTCCCCTATGGGTCATCGTCCGACGCGATCTGGTGGGATACATCCCATATACGAAGCTGACGAGGAAACACAAACTGTGGAAGAGCCTATCACCCCTGCTAGGGACACAGCCAGGGACAGCGTGCACTCAGACCCATTCTTGACACCCGTAGCGGACAGACCTCTTTCCTTTCCTCAAGCAAGTCACGTATCACAAAGTCCAGGGAATGAAAGCCGACCGCAAACGGATCCTGATGTGCAGGACTGGATGTCGGACGTGGACGCAGCGGATGCACTATTAACAGGACGAATGACGACACACAGTGCTGGTGGCGCAGGTAGAACATCGCCAGTGCGACGAAACACGGTCAAGTCAATCATGTCGGTGCGCTCGGGATACAACGGGGACGAGGATGCGCGCACAAACAGCAACTTATCCGATTCCAGCCGTGGCGTGTCCCGATCTGGCTCTCAGCGTTCACATCTACGTCTCGGTTTCGGCGTTAGTCCTGCAACCGCAGCAGCAGAAGAGAGGAGTGGAACTAGCAGCTCTGATAGCAGTCAACCATCATACCACACTGCCAAGTCTATTCCGACCTTGCAAGCTGAAGGACCATCGTTGCTCCTAGGTAGACACGAATATGACGAGGACGACGCTCCAGGAAGTCCGAGCAAGAATAAGCCACGACTCAGTCGAGGATGGTTGGGCAGTCTCCGGCGCGTTTTCAGCGGCTCAACGCCGTCATCAGCATCTCCTGGAAGTTACCTTGACACTCCAATGCGTGACAGCATGGCTGGAGCCTCAGATTATGACCCACAGTCCGGGGGTCTCGGGACCATCGCCGCTGGCGGACTGTTCAGAAGAAAAGGAGGTCGTGGTGCATGGGAAGCTGGAGATGCAGGAAACGACGATGACCTTCCACTTGGTAGACGAGGCATGGGCGATGGAGATGACGAATGGGACATTGAAAAGGCTGTCGAAAAGCGACTCGTTCAGGTCATGTTCACGGTGCCTAGAGAGCCCCTGCGCATAGTCAATGGCGAGCCGGATATCGAGAGCGGCGAGAGTGTCGTTGTCATTGACCCAGACACCGATGAGAGGGTTGAGATGGACGAGAAGAGGAGGTACGAGCTCAGGGATGAGCCGAGAACGACGACAGAAATGGCTGAATCGAGCTACATATCAGAGAGACAGCCCCCTCATGGCGAAGAGGTCGAAGAGGAGGATGTGATTTTGGACAAGGGAAAACAGCGGGACAATGTAGATTCGGCTCTGGGCTCCGAGATTGGACCTCCGACTTATATACCAACACATCGAGACACTGTCGACTCGGGTCTGGGTACAGATTCTGACGTACCTCTGGAGCGGACAATGACCCGGGAGCTGGAGGGTCTCCTTCCCTCCTCAAAGGCGGAGGCGCGGCCCGACTCCTTCTCGTCCCTGGAGGATCCTTTCTTCAGCTCACCTAGCATCCGGCAACGCTCGCGTGATTCGCAGCATAGCGACGCGCCGATCCTTTCAGCACAGGCTGTACAACTAAAACGCCCTGAACGCGCCATGACACGCGTTCTGGCAATGGTGGAAAGCATCGAGAGCCGGAGCCGGAGTGCAAGTCCGGACCGACCGTGAAAACTTGGGATTATTGGCGTGTTGGAATGATGAGAGTGAGGTTATATATACCATGCTGAAGGGGTGTTTATTGGAATGCTATTTTTCTCGCACCATGGGTCAAAGCAAGGAGCAATTGTATATATATATAGGGTCACAAGGGGTTATTGGGTGGCGTTTACGGGGACGGTGGCCTATATCTGCTCCCGTTTTGCTAGGTAGAGCTGCAGTTTTTGTATTTTGCCAAAGGCTCGGAGTTTATGGGCTTGGGTATGCTTTGTATTGGAAATACGTATCTACAATGACCCCATTACCCTTTGTTTTTGTGGCCAATGAGGCTATTCTGGGTAGAGTTTGAATAGGAATGAAACCGAATTAGAATACACCAGGGACAGCAGCTGATTGTGAGGCCAAATCCGACTCTGAAGAGCCTCGAGGCTTCTAGTATATGATGAGCCTTTTAGAAAAATCTTTCCAATAGCCGATGGATCTTTTGAAATCGTGTATCGAAACGAGAACACTTCCTCAACATGTTCTCCACCACCATTCCATCGCGGACTCCGATATTTGAGATTCTGTCACGAACCACATTACATGTTGCTTTGCTTACTTTGGTTACAGTTGACTTTCATATTTCATACACAGTAAGTCCTTGCATTTCGGAAACTTTCCTTTTAATGGGGGGAGTAAACAAGAAAAATAGGGTCTCCTCGAGAGGATACCCTTTGAGCCACCCCCCACATGGCGCGCGGTCTCTCTTGTCCTTCTTTTTCTTCCCGGTGCCATGGAGCCAGAGAAAAGAGATCGACGTCAGGGAATGTGGTAGCGGCGAATGTTTGCCGATCACCAATTTCCCCCGTCGGTTACAGGTCTGACCGGAAGGGCCGTGACCAATGAATTCATTCTCTCTTTCTCTGTGCGTCTCTTTTTTCTAATTTTACCCACCAGGAAAGAAAGAAAAAAGGTCTTGTACTCCTGAGAGCAAAAAAAAAAGATTTGACAAGGCGAAAGGAAGGGTATCTTTTCATCTAGTTTGCAAGTGGGAAAACGGTGCCAGGGGGAAACAAACATTTGAAGGATTTAATTATGCACAGGGGTCTTTTTCAATTTTGTCTCGATTGGGACCACGAGGCGGAAGAAAAGATCCCATTTCACCCCAACTTGCCCACACACACACACACGTGTAATTGTTCCCGGGCATTATTTCGTCGTGCATATAGCATACCCAGCACAAATAAGATGATGGGAAGAGTCGGTAGGATTCAGCCAGCACAAGACATGGCCAATGGACATGCTGATTTTGGGACCAACCAGCCCAAGGCGCGTGCAATTTTGGGCCCGCGCCGCTCGCGTCCCAACGGTGGGCGCGTTCCTCTTCTCGCTCTTTAAGTCACTAGTCAGGGGTAAAAAGAGAGTACATAATAAAAATGGACTTTGGACAAGCACGGAATATTCCTAACCATCGAGATCCCTACGTCAGATCTTCTCCCTTGAATTTGGATTCGGCCTTTTATTTCTCCCATACTGTGTCGCGAGGGGGGAAGCAAAGTGTTATTATGACACGAATACGGAATAATTGCTGAAAGTATAGACGGGTGGTGACTACCGCATCAGGCACGTCGAAAAAAAAAACCGGCTGAAATACTCTTATCTACCGGCAGGCCAAGACGCGGTTCTTCTTCTTAGGGATCAATCCTAGCCTGCGTGATCTGGAGGAGGAGGAGGAGGAGGAGGAGAGAGAGAAAGAATTGAGATCCTTTCTTGTTCTTAGTAAGATCGAGAAAAATATTCCGAAGATCTGCACCCTGCCGATCGCTCAGGATGCCACGTTGCCCCGTAGCCTTGTCTATGCTTCATGCAATGAGATCTTGTTCACGGATTCGGGCCATTTCGCCAACGAGCACGCGGCAGTATGTGCTGTGGCTTTCGCAGAATTTTGTACACAGTAGTGATTATAAACTTGCAGGGCATCGATTGTCTAACAGTATAACAGGGGGTCGCCTTTACAAACTGACTGCCCGAGCAGACGCCGGCAGTTTTTCTGGAGTTGTTGTCGGCTGCAAATGTGACACGTCGAAGTGATTTTGCAGCGATTTACGCGGATAGGATAGCTGCAAATACTCCCACGTTGACATATTCAAGTTAAGCTTAACGAACCTACCATGAAGCAAGGGAAGAACTAATTTTGAGGGTTTGACGGTGTGCGCGGGGATCTGCTTGCAAGTCTCGAGTCAGGCGTGTATTGACTCTTGCAACGTTTCAGAATCAAACAGTGGATTCTTGCGGTTCACTGGCAGTCAAAGTCGTTTGGTATCCAACAGAATGTACCGATACTGGTACCAGGACTGGTGTGCTCCAATGGTAAAGTGCGGTTCTAACCAATAGTCAAATACCTGTCGGCCTTGAGCATGCACTTTGAGAGGAGTATAGCAACCATATCCTTGCCTTGGTTTTCTGATGCCAATGTGCCTATAAATCGGTCCGGTGCATAAATAAATAACAGACTTTTCGACTTTCACTGTCTGCCGGTTGCACGGCGTACGGCGAAATAAATGCCATGCCTGTTTGTTAGATCGGCCCTGATACTGTCTTGGCTCGGATAGGCAGTGTATCGCGAGCCGGGACACTGACTTTAACAGGAATGTGACTCGAGGAGGGATAAGCGAGCGTCATCGATTTTGCGACACGTCTAGTCAAATGCCACTTTGATCCTGGTGGTCCTCGATGAGAATGCTCCGTAAGATAAGCGCGATGATGCATCGCAGTACTCGCGATTTCAGGAACAAGTTTAGAAAAAGGTCCGAAGAGGTTGACGATGATGAGGAATTGGAGATTTAGCTTCACTCGCTTTGGCTGACGTGTAATATGCGGCACCTAAAATCTTCATGAGGATTCGCATTTCTCCAGATCAATCAGCGGCAGACCAGTCACTTAGTCGAGTTTGGGTGGGTTTGCGGGGGAGCTCTGTCTTGCTGACACTATGACAGGGCATGACGGATGCTCAATGCAAATTGCCGTGCGTAGTGGCACCGAAATGTGACAACTCGGTATACAATGTGTGGCGGTAACATCCTGCTGCTTTGAATGATTCTGTGCAACGCCGACTATTCGCCCGTGGCGTCGCTATGGCGAGAGCTGCACATTAGTCACGTAGCCGACTTCAAAGGACCGTTGCGGCAAGGATTGTCTCATGAAGAAATCCAATCCAGTGTGTTGTAGCCTGCTTTCTTAGACAGTGCTGTGGTGAGGATAATAGTGATACGAGCCAGAAGGATCCTATATCAAAGGAGTTGTACTACTTGCATCCAGATGTATCGCAATCCAAATCTGTGCAAGGGGACTCCGATGCAGTGCTCTGAAGAGTAGGAAGAAGTGTGGATGGTGGGAGGGCGCAAATCGATTGCTGTGTGATATTGCGTTGGCCAATATTCAAAGCCATGGACGTCCCTATAATCAATCTATCCTACAGCCAAGGCGTTGCTTACGGTACGCGCGGCGGGCGCGTGAAGCGTCCGCCTTGCTCTTTCATGAGCTAGGTATCCTGCACAGGATCAGCACCAAATAAGATCGTGACTAGGATTGATCCCACTGGTGTTCGCGGTACTGACCCCGTGCGTCCGTATTGTTTGGAGGGTGTGCTGGACCCTTGATGAAAGATACGAGCCATTGAGCAATCAGACCTTGGAGCCAGATCATGAGCAGTGCTCTCAAATGTATGGGAGTGTATCGGAAATGCAGCATGCCAGCTACGAACCACATCTTTTGTCCCTGATAATGAGCGGGGTGGCTTGGGAGGGTGTGATACTGTGGGGTCGCCGATGCGGTAGCTTGGAAATATATGAACAATATGGTACGCCCTCTCTTGAGCCAGAGACATGGCTGAGGACAAGGTGTTTCGTATGAGTGGTCATTTTAATCCTCAGTACTTCCCTCAGCAAAGATAAGCTCTTGTCCATAAGAAAACGGCAGTGTTTGTAGTACTGGTGGTCGTGACTCCGTGATTTGTATTGCGTACACCAACGGCAATCATCTCTTGATGGGCCAGTTGAGTTTCACAACGGAGCTGGTGTAGCTGCGCAACTTGGTCAAGACCGTCTGGAATGCCTGTAAATCGGGTCGCAGTTACCAATAACGAGCGTGTGAACAATCATCAGAACGTAAGAGTCGGGCATCACCCGCTGCGATGGTAAGCATTTGTTATACGCTCCGTAACTATCATTGAGAGGCGGGCGGATATGATTGGGTGTGAAGAGAGTATAGCAAGCAGCAATGAGCTCTGTCGTACAGTGCCTACGGTTGATCGTGACTTCACTGTCAACTGCCTAGGTGTTCAGTCGCTTGGTATAGTATGAAGAATGCATTCCTTTGCAACCCCCAAGCACGAGTTGTATGACTAAGCCAGGCCGGGAGCGATACATTCAAAGTATGGGCTTTCGGGGACTCGTGATACTCCGAGGGAGGCAGCAACCGAGATCCGACGGTGGGCGATGGGAGGACGGGGCGTGTTTGGTGTAGTAGCACATGTGTGATAGTTGATGCAAGCTGCTGGCTCCGTGACCTCCCGGAGGCGATGATTGCTGAGAGAAAACGAGAAAAAATCCCGAGGCAGTCTGTAACACAATTGCCCGCCCGCCTTGACACACTCCACGATGCATTTACACAGTACGTGACAGTTGGTATTGAGTGCTCTTATGCGCTTGGCAGAATTGAGGAGGTTGGGTTGGTGTGGACGGACGGGTAACAATCTCTGCGCCTTGTCGTCGACTAATAAGTGAACTAAAAGCGTGCATCTTGCTTAGCCTATACTGTGCGTGTGGTGGTCTTTTTCGACAGATCGAGCCGTAACAGGTGACACGGGAAGAATGTAATATTTATTTATATTTTCCTGAGCGGCGTAAATGTATCTTTTGTGCGAACCAGAAATTATTGTCTTTCACGAGCCTTTACGTGGCTGATTCTGATACTGTACTTACTTCTTTCCTCCTCCCTTCCAACGACACAGCAAGCAGTTGAGTGGCAGCAAACTGGCTCGGCAATAGCAAGCGCACGACGCTTACATGGTAACATCGCTGCTGCCTCTTCTGCCACCTCCTAACCAAAGGGTTTTTCTTCCTGCTATTAATTTATTTTTTCGCCGCTTCTAAAATGGGCTTCTTTTGGTGACGTTATCTTTCCGGTGACGGCCCCGCCTGCCCGCTGGAATAACACCCGCTAAATACGGAGGCTTAGGGCGCCGTGATACCCTGTCCCTTGTCACAACCCATGTTTGCCATGGGCAATGCGCACAGAATGGCCCGTCTCTTGCGAACCAAGAACAAGTCATCGGACGAGTCGTCACATCATCTCAAGCTCTGTTCCTTGTGAAATATGATGCAGGCATGTCGTGAAGTGTTAGTAAGCGGGGTATGGTCAGCAGTATATTTTGCCTACACTGTGTATACAGATTTCGGGCTGTCTTGGCCGTCTATTTGATCTATCGATCTTTTTTCCCCAGTAGTAGATGGATTTTGTCCGAGGAATTTGAGCGCAAACCTTATGAGTTTTACACGGCTGAAGCTAGGAATTGCAGTAGCTAGCGTATCTCAGACCGGCCAAGCCGGCCAAGAGCAGGTAGTACCTCTCTGAATACAGAAAACAACGAATCGATCTAGGTTTGCCAACGAGATCGTTGGCTTGGTCGTCCCGGTTTTTATTCAGTCGGCTCACCACCGCAGTGGTTCGTTACGAGCCGGCAACGCCTCTAAGCATGCGCTAGCAGCGACACAGCTTAGCGGGACTTGCTGGATAGTGCGGCAGTCTTTCGTTTCCAGCGCTGTGTTGGGTTATCCCTAAGGCAATTTGCAAGCCAGCGGCTCATCTCGGTCGATCGTGATTGGAGCCCACGAATCTTTGCCAAAAGGGGCAACGATCTTGCATATGCCCCTGGTCGATAGTCGTGGTCGGTTGTCCAAGATAGGTACGTGCCTAGGTGTACCAGAGTCAACGTACGGTATGCACACATCTCTGCACAAGTTATCCGTAAAAAGTGTGTCCTTCCATGTGCCCTGGCCAGCCAGAAGACGCGTTTTTTCCCCCTGGGCGGGCAAGCGGGCAAAGAAAAACTTGGTAATACACTACGTAGGTGGTGTTGCACATTATTCATCAGAGACCTGGTAGAACATGATGAAGAGAAGGGAAAAAGAGAAGAGAGAAATGAATGATGTTTGCTGATGCACTATTCCTTTGCTCCTTTTGGATGCCCGCTAATAACATTAAACATGCCTCAATGGTAGTGCCAAGCGCCTATTCTTTTCAGTTGGGCTCCGTCGAGGAAGAAGCGAGAAGAATTATCCCCATGTTCCGTCCATTCCATCAATTTGGTTTGCGCGTGTTATTTTTTCCCCTTCACTCTCTTTCCCTTCTCCTCGCCCTACCATCCCACCCACCCCCTTGTCTTGTCTCAACCCACACGCTCGCTCGTTGCCTTCTTTCCCTTCCCGGCGGGTGACTCCTGGTGAATGATTGATTGATCGTTGTTTTTTTTTTCGCGGTCTGCCGTCGTTGCAACACACTGCTACGGACAATCCAGAGACACCTTGTTCACCCAGCTTCATTCATTTCTACACACTCTCTCTTTCTGCAGTGTCTTCCACTCCCCGGTTGCCCCTAGCGTTCGTTCCCCTACACCTCATGTAGGTTTTGGGAGGCGTTTTCGGACATTGTCGTCGCCGTTGTCGTTCGACAGGAAAGAAGCTTTTCTGCTACTGCTACAGCCTACGTAGCAGCTACCTACTCTACTACCTACATACCACATTCGCTTGTCGCGCAAACGTTCTTGTCGTCTGATTCCTGGGTTCATATCCATATCCTTTACTTTACCACATTCGTTACTCCTTACCTCCGGTATCCTACAAGCCGCCTCAGGCTTCAGCAATTACCCCCACACACCACTGCAAGCTTCAACTCTCTTCTCGTGTTTGTGCTACTAGCTCACCTTCATTCTCTTGTCACCCTCCTTGGCCTACTCCACCCCATTGCAGGCGAGACACAGACAGACGGAGCAGTTTTGGGCAGACTACAGCAAGACAGACGGCCGTACGCGCACTTCGGCCAAGTACTCTCGACCTCCCCATCTACAAACCCCTCAAGAGAGGTCAATTGATTCCAGGGATATCGGCAATAGTAGTAGAAGATACCAAGCATCCCATTCTACCTACAATCATCGTCCCCCCGACCTTGCCAGCTTTTCGGCCCTTCGATCTGCCCGCCCTAGCACCCTGCTGGTTACCCCCAGACTCTCCAGTTCGGCTGCAACCCAAGTCACCCAACCAGCCAAGATCCGTACAGTGTACTTTAGCCCAGCGCTTTCGCTACTGTACCATTTTCTTGATACGATCCCGGCAAATTTAGGCGCCTTGTTACCCATATCGGGCCTCCACTCTTTCTTCCTTTCCTCTCTGTTTCTACTCTTCTCTTCTCAATCCTTCCTTGGCCTGTTGTTATTCGTCTATTCGTTTCGTTTGTCGACGACAACAACAACAACAACGACCTGGACCTCTGCTCCGACTGCCTTCTCGACCAATCCCCCCAAGGCATTCAAATTTAATCGCAGAGCCTGCAACTAGTTGTACCTGGTCGCAGCCAAGGACATTCGACGGAAAAAAAATAGGACACAGCACAGCAAACCTCGCACCGTCAGTTTCGTGCTCAATCTTTATCCTCTCCCAGTGTGTCATACAACGTGGAGACGAGTCAACAAACACACCAGAGTCAACTGTCGACCGCCGATCGACACCAGCTGACCTCTTGTTGATCTCGCACCCGAGGACTTTTTTCTTCTTGTAGCAGCAAGCCAAGCATCTGCTACTGACCGCTCGATTTGTGTCAATTCGACCGTGCCAACCAGGCTTGCTCGCGCTGGTCTTTTTTTATTATTATTTTGGTGCAGCCAGGACCATGAGCATTCTCTCCAAAACTTGGATGTAGAGTAATTTCGACGCATTTTGCATGGTCAATTGCATCTCAATTACCTGTTACGTCCGTGTCTTTGCGGCAATTTTACTTTCAAGAAGATCCAGTTGTAAGTATCTGCGAATATCTTCGATGCGTCTCCGGTATACCCGCACAGCACCGACTCTTTCCCTCCGCCTGCAAAATATCACCACGTAGTAGCAAACGGGTTTTGGTGAAGACACTATACAAGATATACAACATTTGACTGACACCAACGAGTAGTGATCGCACGAGAAAGTTGAAGTTGCAAACATGGCTTTACGACAATGTCGGCCTCTCATGGCCGCCCTCGGCTTTCTAAGTCTAGTATCTTTGGTATCAGCTGTGGACATGACATACTGTGCCAGCTTGAACACAGCGGATGGATCTGCCAGTATGTTTCCGGCTCGGTGAAGCAATTCTTATCGTACTCCGAAGCTGACCCGGACTCTGTAGACTCGAGTACCTATCAATCCGACGGTCTATGCACTGAGTTTTGCAGTGGATATGCCTTCGCCGTCTTGCAATATAAGGACTGCTGGTGCAGCAACTACGTCCCCGCTTCAAGCGATCAAGTCGACACGTCCGAATGCGACACTGATTGTCCAGGATATCCATCAGATACCTGTGGAGGTGATGGGCTCTATGGCTACATTGGACTGAGCAGCAATCCCTCTGGAACTAAAGGGGGTGATAGTACGACGGCTGCTGCAACGACTACACAGGTACGTTTTCCCAGTTTTACTCTTTCTCGGCACTGACGCCCCCTGATCTGGGTTGGCGTTGGTGAAATATTTTCTTCTTCAATTCGTGGTCAGCTGGCCGGCAAGTATCTTACTACTGTGAATACTTGATTTTTAACAGTCTCTGGAATCAGGGCACAATTGTGACTCAGACGGTACAAAATACTGTCACGGTCGATCCTACTACTTCTTCTACTACTCAAACATCTACAGATACTCATGTATGCCCAAAGTCTTTTTTTCAAGCTTTCCTTTTTTTTTTCATCTTATATATAATGGAGTGTCAGTTTTCATCGGTGTTGCGTCTCATTTTTCTCATTACACAATCTACCTCACTTCCGATTTTTTCTTTCTTTTTTTTCTTTTTTTCCTATGCCTACAGCCTGTACTTTTCCATACTGGTTGACTAACCAAACCAATGTACAGGCATCAACTGATAGCACAACAACCGAACCTACAACTACTGCAGCAGGAGAATCATCATCTACTTTGATTTCGACAATCACTCAAGGAGGTAGCGTGATGACTGTGACTGTCATGCCGACTGGAGGTGCCTCAGCAAGCTCGAGCACGGCCGAGGTTAGCACTAGTCAGAAGGGTCTATCGACTGGTGCAGCTGTGGGTACTGCTGTCGGCGTCTTAGGATTTGTCGGCATTATCTTGGCGGCCGGTTTCTTTTTCTGGTTCCGCCGAAAGAGACGTGAGCAAGAGGAGGGTTCCATGCTACAGCACCAGAACAGCTTCCGCGGCAGCTCTGCCGGCATCATGAGCACACCTAGAACCGAAATGGCCTCAGTTTGGAACGACGAAGCACAGTCTGTAGGACGAAGGAGCAGCCGCTTGATGCCTCACGATCCTCGGATGGACCCATACGCTGCCAATATCTATGGTCGTTTCGACAACAAGAGCCGAGAAAGTATCAACACTCTACGCGACGATCAAGATTACTCGAGGAGGGTGCTGAGAACTACCAATCCGGATCTGCCAGGCGACAACTGAACATAAGTTAGCGACTCCTGGTTTGGAGTTTGCGTATGTTTTTATTGGACCTGTTTGACGACTTAAACGAATCTTTTACATCGCATAGGCCTGGCATTGGTTGATTACACTTGCATTTCGGAGATACCAGAGCGGCGTTTTCCAGGAAGCTGGACCACAAACTAGAATGAACTCGACATTGCGATGCGGATGTAGGCTCTCAAGACGGCGATCTGGAGATGACGACTATCTCGATCACCTGGCCGTATATTAGGAGTGAGAGCCACCGATCTTTTGCAACACACAGGGAGTTGGATCGCCCAGAAGAATTGAGGGCATATTTGAGGGACGAACACTACGACCACAAGCGAGACGCGCCGTTCCCACGAACGGACAGCGGAAGCGAATTTTGTGTACATATAAGTGCTGACAGCGCACAATTCTAGAAACTGGGACTGTCGACCACTCAGTTGCGACTGAGAACTACACGGTAATATAACAGCAGTACATACAATCATAATAAAGGATTGAATACACGAAGAAACAAAATCCATGGTTCGTCGGTTGCAACGGCCGACCACGGGACGCTGACGTCTTGCATGTCCCATGTTTTATTTTTATTTCATCCTTTGTACTGTTCCGCAGCGTCAGTATTTTTCTGTGTTTATATTTGTGTGTTTTATTTTGCCTAGAGCATGTTTATTTGTATCTGCTACGTTTTAGTAATTTGCACGGTACTCGGAAACCAGGGGCCCGGGCAACTTGGATAAAGTTTAATGAAGATTTACGCTGGTTACATCATTCCGCATTCTTCAAGACGGCCGTCAAATGCTTGGCGAGAGAAAAGCGAGTTCCAGGGACCAATCGTTTCCCTACCTGAGTCAAGAAACGTGCCTCGGCTGCCTGACCATTTCCTAATCCAACCCCTGGACACGTTTTAGTTCTTTGTGATTTCTCGAAATCGTGTGACTGTTGAAAAAAAAAAAAAAAAAAGGCGCGATGCAACTGATTTGATTTGCAGATATTCGACAGACAGGTCATTACTCTCTGTAGCATCTAGTGAATCGGGAGTGCAATGTTGAGTGGCCGTTGGCTGGTTACTATCGAATCTAGACTTGGCGTTCGGCTCCCGTGATTAGTGCCAAAGCCATTTTCAAGATCCCCCTCCTGCCTGCCTACTGTGCACTTTCCTCTCCTTTGACTCCATTATAGCCAAGAGTACATACCGACTTCATGATTCTCTAGTCGCCCAATAACGCAGAGGTCATGTAGGTCCAGAACTTCCTTTGTATGTCGATGTGCCCCAACTCATCTTGGAGTTTCGAAGAGAAACATGGTTGCTCACCCTCAGCCGGAGACAAAATGAAATAAAAATAAAACCAGAGGAGCGGGAATCATTGTCTCGAGCCCCTATCGGAATTGAGTTCCCTTAGCCCGGTCCTTGTGCAGCTTACCATAATAAAAGTATAATATGATTTGTGTTTTAGAATTTTCGGAAAAATCATGTTTGGTCCTTTTTCATTTTCCCCTCTCTCACATTGACACGTGTGAAAAAAAAAAAAAAAAAAAAAAACGCACAAGTTCCGTTGACGGCACGATGTATTTTAGCTCAGCCTTATCAGTCGAGCTTTGTTTTCCCCCAAGCTAAAGCGTTAGGGATCTGGGACGGGAAGAAATTCTCTAAGAAATGGATTTATTTTATTCTCTTTTTGGTAGGGAGGGTTCTTTTTAGACTTTTGGATTTCCTCACACGTTGTGGCCGAGGAGCGAGAGGACGAATGTGTGAATCATCATCATTACTCTTGAACCTCTTCCTCCATTGACCTTATTTTCGGCAGCTCGAATGGGGGAAAATTGATAATGATGACAGGAGATCTGTTCCATATCAATGTATATATTCTGCAGTGGCATCAAGTTTAATTTGTGCATGTTCGGCAAAAGGAAAAATATTGGTTTGCGGCGAGTCGGTGTGCAAGGGATATCGTATGCGATGATGAACATTTTCCATTGCCAAGACTCCATGTCGAATGCGAGTTGATATTGCAGCTGGAAAACCATCGTCATATCACAAAAGAGAAACTTGAATCAAGACTTCATGCTTCTGTTATACATGGACGTGGGTATGATAAAGCGCCAAACAACGGTTTGGAGCTGTCGGGTTTGGGCGACTCGCTTTGACAAGATAATGTGATGCAATCAAGTATCACCCACCCAAGCTGTCAAACATATTTGGTATATTATGTCGGTTACTTGGCTGGATATCCCGTGAATCGGCAACTCTTTGCAACGATGGGTGATGCTATGTTGATATCTTGATCACTTACGTGTCAATAGGCATCGCTAGCTTCAAATAGATATATTTGCTCATATCGAACATTTAGAGACCGCTTCAGAGGCGGGGACCGGTATTATAATTGTCATGTTCAGCTCAGATTTGGGAAATATGAGGCAATCTGCGCGCGTATAATATTCAAGTATTTTAATTTTGGTATCTATGTCATGCTTTTGTCGGTGCAATGGTACAGCATATGGCGCCTCGAAGACCATGTCAATCATCACCGTCATGAGATCTCTTACCTTGACTCTTTTGCATGACATATTGACGTGGTCAAGTATCCCTCAAGGTCTCATGTGAAGCACAAGCCAGCAAAGTATTCCTTGTCATTCAACAGAAGCTTTATGAATATAGAGAACGAATCATAATCCGACGTGAAGCCATCCTATCGATTTCTTCAATCTCCACAAATCACTCACGTCCAATCGGGAGTAAACCATAAGATAACATGGAGGAAAACATCTCATAAGAGGTGGCTTCGTTTGGTAAGTTGGAATCCGTATTTGCTAGATTGTGTTACCAGCAGACTCGACAACCATACTGCATTTGGGCTATTTTCATTGATTATTGTCACTAATGCCATGAACATGCTCTATTTAGCTGCTTGAAGTACTGAGAATAAATTATAACACGAATATATTTATCTTTCAATTCTTTTCATGCTCATCGCAGTTGAAACACTATATATCGGTATCAATGCCATGAAATCCATTTGTACAAACCACGCCTCTGTTGGATACATCTCCCAAGGCGACGTCAACTTCTCTCTTCAGGATGATCAAGACCATGGGCACAGAGTCTTGGAATTTAAGACTCTCCATACTCTGGTTAGCAGACAGTTCTACAAAGATCATTTGCAATGTACTGGTGTACCTGGACCAATCCGAAAGATGCAGACTGATATTCCATACCACACGACCGTGCCCTGGATACGATTCCAGGCCGCCGTATAAAAGTCATCTAGGATTATATATAACTTGTGTAACTGATATCTAGTACATCCAACGCTGCGGTTAGCCCAAAAGACTGGAAAGAGATTAATTTGATCGAGGCTGAGGGCGTGACGCAAGCAACAGCACAGCTTATGGGTCCTGGCATCACCTGACAGTAAGCACCAACTAACTGCGCCAGCCACGATGAGAAGAGACGGCGTACATGCAAGTTTGATATACGACATGATTTGTGTACTGTGCCCGGCGAAAGTCAAGCGTTACATGCAGCCGACTATGCAAAAAGAGACTCGGTTTGCATTGTTTTATACGGGACTGCAAGGGGTGGCGCTGTCCATATTTTCATATATAACCGAGCAAGACCCAGAAGGGCTGTGGGTCGCTCATCAAACAAGACTTGCTGCTTCCCAGACACCTTCTAATAGTGATGTTCAAAACAGAGTTTGATATAGACCCAGGACGTGGGAACCGGTTGTGATGAGGATGTATTTGTTTTGTTTGTTAGCTGGCCCATGCATTCATCCAAAGAAGAAGAATGTTAGCCAAAGCGATTGAATTGTAATGTTTCAAATGAAGATATCAACCCAACCATTTACTGGCGTCTAAGCTTTTGCTCGGCAAATGCTTGGGATCCGCATAAACAAATTATGGAGTTCACAGCCGATCCATCCAAGACATTTGGCTTTCTTCAGCCTGGCTTGCCTGGCTATGCTATGCTGTGCTGAGCTGCTCTTTTTAGATATTGCACTACAAGGTGCGTACAGCAACGGAAACAGCAAAGCTGGGTAGTCCTTGGCTGGCTGTCGGTTAGGAGTCCATATTTTAAAGGCTTCAATGCTCCACAGCTGCAGCAATGCGCCACCGCCTACTAGTCAACTACTATTGACTTGTGTGTGTAAATACGCGATTTCGAATACGTGATATGGAGCAGCGCAAATATCTATCGTGGGACACATGGAAATATCCAAAAAGAAAAAGAAAAAAAGATGTAGAGCCTCGAACGAGAGGAAGTAACAGGTGGGAATTACGGAGCACATGTTGGACTTGCTCGGTGGACGTTTGTAAAAATCGAGGTATATGTTAGAGAAAATGACATGATACCGACGGGACCGAATGATGTTTTTATCGAGACCATTTGTAAATGTTTTCTTTCTTTCTTGTAGTTGAAGAGTCAATCATATTCGAGGATCTAACCCAGAGCGCGCAAAATTCCTCCTCCTTGGCAGAGAGCCCCCCCGGTAGAGATCTGCTGGTTTCCGAGTGGGCCAAACGGGTCCTGACATAATTTGACAGGCAATGTCTAGACCGAGCGTAGACGACAATAGAGAGGCTGAGGGGCATTGGACTGCTGCTCGGTGATGGTGAATTCTTTGGAAATGGGTAATTCTGGAGACGACCAACTTCCACAGGTCGTAAATCAAATAGGCAATTAGGATCCATACATTACACTAGGTTAGTGGTGTGTAATTCTCTCTTTGTTTCGTGGGTCTTGAGAGATGTGTCAAAAGTGTCAATCAATGCATCAAGTTAGCGTAATTGGTGCTATTGCTTCTTCTTCTTCTTCTTTCTTTCTTTCTATTTTCCTCTTTTCAATGTGACTACTTGGTATTATTGCCTGGAGACTGACCATCTTCTCTGCATACATGCAAACATCATAAACAGGTATTGGTGGTGGTGTATATTACAAGCACGCAGGTACCACAGACTACCTACGTACGGGAGGTAGCCCTGTCAAGATTTCTCAAAATCCACTCCACCATCGTTTCGTCACTGCTGCTCAGCCTCGGAGGGGGAGGGGGGCAAAGGACGAACCCCTGTCGGGTCCCCTAATGTTAAAAAGAGAGACAGAGAAAAGATGCATGTGGAGGGGGTTACTTGAGAAACTAGGCGCTAGGATTGGGCGTCTTATGTCCAAGTTCTAGTTGGATCGACCACCGAGGGAGGGGCGGCAATGGCTGAATCTAACGGTCATTGGGCGGCCATAGCGGGAACGATTAGGAGATCTGATTGTAATGCAGCCACTCAGGCTTGTCAAAGTCGTTACCTGCGTGATGACTCTCTCTCTCTCTGCTTCTGCACCTCAGACGGGCAGAAAGAAGCACGGGTCAGTTGCATGTGTGCACCAAGCAATGTATGTACGTTGTTTGTCAGTCAGTCAACCCTGTCCCCATGCTTTTCCATGCAAGTACATTCATTATCTAGAAGGAAAGCCTTGAGCAGCACAACGTTGCTGTATGTGCTGCTGCTGCTGCTGCCCCCCCCCTGGTTTTCGGTTAGTAACTACTTTACTCGTGGTGTAATGTATCTATCTAACCTACATTGTACCTACTTACATTTATATTACCCACGTAGCGACGGGTATGTAATAAAATTTCAGTACTGCTTTCCTCTAATGATATTGATTTTCAATTCACTTTATTAGCGATCCCGACTGCACAGCCTACCGGATTTTGCCATCGTACACGGAGATGCGACAGCATCACACAAGACGAGAGACAGGAAGAGAAAAGTACACACAGAGAGACACGACGAGAGAGATACTCTCGTCCATTCAGTCAATCAAGCAGTGCAGGCAAGTTTATTATTGGCATCCACTCGTTTTGAATCTCAAAGCCCAGCCAAAAAGAAGTAGCAACAGCTTTTTATGCCAAGCAAAGTCCAGTCCGCCTTTTTTTCCCTGGTGATCGACAAACCAACCCGCCGCCACTTCTTTCTTATTCCTGCTTTTCTCGCTCCCTCCCCTGGCCACAAGACTGAAAGAGAGAGGGAGAGTGACCTGACAACTCATCACCGACAATATACTCCATCTTTTCTCTTCTTCTTCTTCTTATTTTATCAGGTACAAGTTGCCAAAGAAAAAAAGAGAAAGAAATAGACTGCAAGATATAATAATAATAATAATAAAAGAAGAAGAAAAGTCCAAACTCGGGTCGATCCGGCAAAGCGAAACACGTCTTGTTCACTCTTTTTTTTTTCTCACATCATTATAATTGCTTGGCCTCTTCGCCGGCCCCCGGGCCCACGGCCCCTTAGCTCGCCTACCTTGTAGTCTCTCGCGCACCTCAGCTGACGCAGCTTCACTTGGCAACCCCGTTCAAATCCCATGCGACCGTTTGATTACCGCAAAAGTCGGCCCTTGTTTCGCATCTCCTCTGCCACCATCTTCGTCTCCCATCACTTCTACCACTGATAATCAATCTTTCCTTTCTTCACTTTTGTTCGCATACAACTCATGATTGCGCCGGGAGCACTTTCATTTCGACGAGAAGCGGTGTCGTACCAGACGCATAAGTCGTCGTCGCCCTTGAACAAACGTCACCCAGCTTCAGTTTCACCCTAGCCGCCGCCGCCGCCGCCGCCGCCGCCAGACTGACGATGACTACTGCTACTACTACTACTGCGACGACAACGACGACTGCGACGACCAATTCTTTCCGCCGGCATTGTTGCAAGAGTTTCGCGACAACACCCCCCCAACCAATAGTGACGTTTACTGGCCAACAATAACAAACCCGACTGCCACCCGCAAAGCACACGAGTACATCAAAGAAGAGACGACACGGCACACGAGACGGGCGAGAGCCATTGCCGTCATTCCTGCCCAACATGAATTTAACATGCAACTCCACGTTGGAGGAGATGCGAAGTACGTTGAAAATCTCAAAACAACCACAAGCGCTGGAGCCACCAAATCTCCAATCCCCTCCAATGCCCAGCTTCTGCCCCAGATCCTCCCGTCTTGTCGCTCGCTGGTACCTGCATGCCCAGAAACTTTTAGAGCCATGGCGCCAAGTATAAGCATTGTCAATCGTCAGTGATCGCTGACCGTAATCACAACCACAGTTGGGTCTGAGACCAAGATAGCCGGCCCCTTCACCTTTCATCAACTGGCCTTGATCATAGCCGGCGGGTGCGCCGCCATTGCCATCATCACCAGCTTCTACTTGATGTGGAGGCATGCGACCAACTACACCAAGCCTCGAGAACAAAAACACATCATCCGCATCTTGTTCATGGTTCCCATCTACTCGGCCTCCGCTTTCCTCTGCATATGGTACTACTGGCATGCCGTCTACTTTCAGGTTCTCAGCGACTGTTATGAAGCCTTTGCCATCTCGTCCTTCTTCGCCCTCATGTGCCACTACATGGCCCCCGACCTACACGAGCAGAAGGAGTATTTTAGAAACATGCACCCCGTGAAACCCTGGGTATGGCCCGTCACCTGGATGAACAAGTGCTGTGGCGGCGAGCGTGGGCCTTGGAGAACCCCCAAGAGCGGCCTGACGTGGTTCAACATTATTTGGATAGGCATTTACCACTACTGTTTCATCAGGGTAGCCATGACCATCACCGCCGTCGTTACCCAGTACTTTGACCGTTATTGCGAAAGCTCCAACAGTCCAGTCTTTGCGCACATCTGGGTGAGCAACACCATGGACCTCCATCAATAATAAATCTCGGAAACATGATGCTAATCAAGATACATACTAGGTCTTGGTGATTGAGTCCGTGGCGGTAACGATCGCCATGTTTTGCGTCATACAGTTTTATATCCAGCTCAAGGAGCCGCTTGCGGAACACAAACCCTTCTTGAAGGTCTTGGCCATCAAGCTGGTCATTTTCTTGTCATTCTGGCAGTCCAGCGCCATCTCGGTCGGTACATCCACTTTGCACATTGTCGAAGCAAACGACGTTTTGGCATATCCGGATTTGAAGGTTGGCATACCTTCGTTGCTTCTATGCGTCGAGATGGCCCTGTTTGCTATCCTCCATCTATGGGCTTTCCCATACTCGCCTTACGTTCCTGGTGCTAAACAGACCTTCTACCCTGTTACCGACCCTTCATCGGGTCTACCACCCCGTGAGAACGATCGCGGCGAACCACAAGGCGGACCAATGGGCATTAAGGCCTTCATCGATGCCATCAACCTCTGGGATGTAGTCAAGGCGTTTGGACGTGGTATCCGCTGGCTCTTTGTTGGCGTCAAGAAGCGCCACAACGACCCAAGTTACAAGAACGGCCACAACAGCCTCGACACCAGCTACCCCATGAAGCCTTTTGCCATGAGGCCTGCTGGGGCAAAGAGCACCGATCATTTGCCGATTGCTACACAATTTCGGCAAAGCACATTCTACGACAAACCTAGCCCCTTGGGGCCTACCCGGCGCAACGACGAAAGCGCCGGCTTGATCAACAATGCCCAGGATATCTCCATTTCTCCACCAAGGGAGCCGAGCCCCTATCTTGAGCAACCTCTGGAAAACCCCCGGCAAGACGGGCGCGCCTCAAGCCCCTACCACGACCCCCATCGAGAAGAATACTACCAAGGGCCGCCAACGCACGAGGAGCACCCGACAGAACATGGACCCTACCATGCCTATTCCGGGCCCGAAGACCTTGAGCATACGCAATATGCCACAGCATCTTCCAGCAACACAATGAGTGGCAACAATCAACAACAAAATAACAGAAGCTCGACACAAATCAAATTCGGCAATGCACTGTGGGGTGATCGTCCTCATCCTGCCGGGCAACCTGCCGGTCATTTCTAGACCGTCTTACGCGACATACGATCTATAACGAATCATTACGTTGTACTTTGATACCACCAAAATCTCTGCGTATAGTCAGAGACGCGTATGGCATGTACCATCTGGGATTGCATTTGGCGTTGGGCGTAACTGGTAGATATCATGCATGGTCTGTTTTTTTTCTTCTTCTCAAATCTTTACGATGATATCAAAAGAGGGGACCATCAATCCCTTGGAGCGGGTTGATCTGCGCCATGTGTATAATGATGAAACCAAGCCCTGAATAGGATATTTGGCGGCTTGTATATTATATCAAGAAGAAGATGCGTCATCCCCTTACGAGGAGCGTAATCGTCAATTGAGAATACCATTTGAGGATGCATAACTTTTGTCCACGCTGGCAAACATTTCTGACTTCCGGCGGTCTCTAATAGTGCGAACAACCCTTAGATTGACGCTGTTGCTCTTTTCCTGGTACCAGTCTTGTCGTATTCAAAAGATTAAAGTGGCATCACTTGTTGAACATTATGAAATTGCATCACACCTTTTGCGTCCAGGGTGCCTTTGGGTCACTTGCATGGCATCTATAATAACACAGTATGCTCTTTTCTTTCCGACCAAGAAACCAGCCATGTCCCCCTTACAAGCACGCACCCAAGTGCACATAACGATTATAAACAAAAGGCACAGAATCTAATAGTACTGACTGAGCAGGACATGGATTCTCCGTCATTCCCTCCTGATACCTATTATGTCTTGGAGGAAGAAGAATGCCGCCAATTCTTAGGTTCCCTTTATCGGACTTTCCATGTATGCGGGGTATCTCGTTGCGCCTTAAAAATGCTTTGATGAATAGGAAAACGAAAATGATTTTTCATGATTTGCTTTCTTTTGGAAACAATGTTTTCTTGACTTGACTGGAGTTGTTCTGATTTGTCTGTTCTGGTCGATTTCCATCCTCCCTGCCAAAAGATAGATGCCTTGGTTTGTCGTCGACCGTAAAACATGAACAAGTAGACCCCCTTTGAACGCCGAGCGATGCCTGTTTTGGCCGTCTATCGCTTTCAATGCCGAATTAGATATTTCCTCTTGCTTCTCATCCTTCGACCTCCTGTTTTCTGCTTCCGTTTTTCCTCTTTCCTTCAAAATACACACGTTGTTACAAGCCAAAGACCTTGGCCCCTAGAACTGAGGAGTCCACGCACGATTCTATCGATGGTGTCTCGGTCTCTTGTGGCCCTCTGACGGCGGTCCCGCATAGCCGCCCTCCTCGCTACGGCGCTTGCGACTACCTCGCCCCCCATCTTCGTTCCTCGGTTCCCTAAGGCGCTGCTCATCCCCTCGTGATGCTCCCATTGCTTGACCAGCGTTGTTGGCACCTGAGCCCCTTCCTCCACTTCCGCCTCGACCATGGTCCTCATGTCGGCCAGCGCCCCTGTTGTCGTTGTGACGTGATTCACGTATACCGTCTCCCCTGCCGCTTCCCGCAGCCTCTGCGCCGCGGTTATTAGCTCCGGTACCGGAGGCTTCTCTGCCAGAACGTCGAGATTCCCTCTCACCCTCTCGTTGCTGGTTGCCGGAAGCGGTAGTGCCCGGGTCACGCTCCCGAAACTCGCGATGCTCTTTGTTCCGATCGCGACCAGGACTACGCTCACGGCTTGTGTGACGCGACGAACGTGCCCGCTCTCCATGTTCATGATGTCGTCGACTGCTGCGCTCGCTACGACTTCCCCTTTCTTCTCCATTTGCGCCGCCTCTTCCGGATCCTGGGATCAAGTCTGGCTTCTCCTGTACTGGAGTGGACACAGGTGATGCTCCCGTAAGTACCTGGGCATCAGAGCCAGCTAAATTCGTGCGCGAGCTTCTCCCACGAAGGCTACCACTGCGACTGACCGATTCAGGGGCAGACCCCTGGGAACCCTGAAGCAAGTTGTTGATGCCCGCGATTTGCCGTCTACTTCCACCCCTCGAGCGATCATTAGGAGCTGAGGGGCCAGTCGGTGCTGATATGGGAGTTCCTCTATCGCTAGGTGTGGGTGGCAAGCTTCCAGAAGGCTGACGATTGCCTGGGCCAGTGGGGATTTGTGGCCTCTCGGGGGTCTGCAATGGAGGCAGTTGTGCATGTCTTTGTTGAGCAGGGCCCGAAGGGGGGTTGGCGTCAATGCGGCCAAGCCTATCAGGATGCACGGCAACCGAGTTAGCGCTCGGGGGAAAAGGCGCCTGAGATGAATTCGTGTTGGAGCCTGGGCCAGTGTTCAAGTGTCGAAGGCGGTCTGGGTGGATACCAGGTGCAGAAGAACCGACGGGAGTCGCATTGCTGGCCGAGGGATTATTCGGAGGGTGCATAGGATTGCGACGTCCTCTAGACGAAGCTGGTCCTGAAGGTGGCATGCCCCTGTCTGGCGACTGTCCCCTGCCGTGTTCGGCATTTGAATGCCTTTGATCCGAGCGCGCTGGAGGCTGACTCGATGACTGCGGACCGCGAGCCATGTTGCGACCTCGGCCACGAGGAGCATCCGGAGCGCTGGTTGTGTCCACCACTGACGGTACGGCGTTGAGACGACCATAATTGGGATCTTGCTGACTCGACTTGACATGTTCAGCATCGCCGCGCGAGCCTCCCGAGCCAGCAAATGGGTTGTGATCACGTCGGTCCGAACCCGACCGGTCAAGGTCACGTTCACCTCTGGGCCCAGATGGGACAGAAGGCTCGTTGCGATTTGTACGACTTTGATCGAAGCGGTGCCTGTCGCCACGTTCCTCACGGGTTGCGTCACTCGACCTAGACTCTTGCTTTTCTCTGCGTGAGGGCGAGGACGGACGGCCACCACGTTCGCGGCTGTCATCTCGGGACCGACCACTTGCTCGACTGTCGTTGATGATGGCTGCTCGAGCAGGGTTCATAATCTCTGAAGATGCATTGCTTGATCTTTTGCCGTCGTCGCTAGCGTTGATCAGGCGTGCACGTTCCGGGTTGACCGTCGGTCCCTGGCCGTCGGGCTGAGCAGGGGGTGGCATCGCGTGTGTGTCCGCTTGTGGATCTCGAGGAGGGCGGCTTGAATCACCAGTGCGCGCACCGGTAGCTGAGGATGCACGGTCTCTAGAGTGTCGAGTATCCCTTTCACCTGCCGAGGGGTCCCAGCGAGTTGACGATTCCGATCGCATGGATCGATCACGTTCGGAACGACTGGGCTCCTTCGAGGGCATCTCGCCGGAGCGCCGATCAGTGCCGTATGATTCTCTTCCACGCGATGATCTTGCAGCCTCTGTGGGGCGACTTTCTCTGCCCTCCCGGACTTCTCTCGACTCCCGCGGCTCCCTATGTGTTCGAGGTTCTCTTTGATCTCGAGCATCGCGTGCATGATTAAGCTCCGACATGCGAATATGACCGCGCTCATCTTGGTTGAAATGCCCCGGGATAGGTACATCTGGTCTGCTTGGTAATCCTGGTGGAGGTGGCAACGAAGCCAAGCCAGATAGCTTGGAAGCTTCACGGCGACCACCATTGGGGGCCGGGCTCGGGTTGCTTGATCGAACTGGTGGCGTCGACTGGCGGCTCGAGTTTTTCCCAAGCTCAGATCGAAGTGGAAGAGCACTCGGTCTCTGGACATTGGCTGGCGAATCGGTCTCGGAGTCCTTTCTGTTAGCACCTGCTGTAGCGGCAGACGCAGCAAGGCCTTTGCTGTCCTGGACCTCGCCGTCCTCATCATCAGCGGTGGTCTTGCCTCGAGTAGTGCTGCCTCCAGATTGCTGGGGTCTGAATTCTGCTGCACCTGGCCGAAGTTGAGACTGCTTTGAGTTCTTGACAGCCTCAGCCGCTTTGTCGTCGGTAGAGTCACCGGCCTTCAGATGGGTTAGTTTGATATGCCATTCAAATTCAAGGTTACCTGAAAAAGAACCTACCAGATTTGGGCGGAACGACTGCACTATCACCCATTTGGATTCAAATCTCTTCAGAGCGGATGCTGCAGTATTCGCCGTGACGGAGAGATCAACACGGTGATTCTGCCCGTCATCATCATTTTTCGTCGCAGCTTCGCGTTGAGCGATCTGCTGCAAAGTTTGAAGGAACTGCTTGCCATGGAATGTTACAGCCGGGAAGTAATCCAGAATTGCCTTGAGCACCGTAATTGCGTTACGAATGTGAAGCCACTCTGTCCCTTGAAGACAGGCTTTCAAAGTTGCGGCCAGGTTGCGATGCCACGACCAAAGTTGATCTTTGAAGTGACCATGGTCCATGGATGTTGGGGCATCTTTGCCATTCACAGAAGCAGCAGCGAATGCTGGATGTTTTCCGTGTCGGGTGGCTTCTTTCTCAAAGACATCTTTGCTCTTGTGCCATCGTGACAAGTCTCCAAGGGTGTGCTTGATCAAACGTCCTAGAAATTCGGCTTCTCGTACCGTACAGCCAAAGATCAGGGACCTTAATCTGTTGACAGTGAACAGGCGGTCATACAAAACCATGATGTTGAAGTTTGCAACCTGATTGTCGTGCATAAATTTGATCATTCTGAAAGAAAAGTCTGCATCACTGGGGCCGAGCATGACTCGCGGCATGATACAGTCTTCAATCAGGATATCCGCTGCTTCAGGCGACGTCGACATAGAAGCGGGCATCCAAGACGGAGCCGATTTCAGAAGCAACATCTTTGTCTTGCTAACCCTTTCTTGGCACTGGGTAGCCTCTGAGCCCAACTTTGATGCAAGCTGAGTGATTTCCGCCTTACGCTGTTCCGCCTTTGCACGACCGAGCCTGCTCATGTCGCTTCGGTCCTTCTTAATAAAATCCTGCTCCTTCTGTAGACGAAGTGACTCGGCATTATAACTGCTTGCCGGAATACCAAGGTCACTGGTTTGTAACGACCAGAAGAGGACATAGAAGTCAGGGCTGATGAGTTCCCAGATGGTGGGAGGTAGAAGTTCCTGGACTGCGCTGACAATAGGGCGAAGGACCTCAGAAAAATGATTAGGCCTACGTGCATTCATTGTAGCTTGTGGTCCCTCGGCAGAAGGAGTACCGTTAGATTCAGGTTCGTCGACCGCCATAGCATCGTCGGTGCCGGCGGTTGAAGCTGATGGCGGCGAGGTAGAATCTGCCTCTTTGCCATCCATGGTTACGTCGCCCTCAGCATCCGGGACAGCTTCGTTGGAGCCCATGAGCCTCATACCTTTGGCGGCAGTAGCGCCCGGGCCAGTTAGGTAGTACGCCAAACTGACACGGCCAATCAAGAAGGCGAGACTGGGATCCATGCCAAAATCTTTCAGCAAACGAGGAATGCTAGGAACAAGCTCATCAAACTGTTCAGGCGTCAGGTTGCTTCTGAGCAGTTCAACAAATTGCACAAGTGCTTGCTGAGAGTCGTCAATGACTGTTGCAAGATATTTGATGTGTGTCTCATCTTCCGGGAGGTTGTAGATGGCAGATTGCCTGTACTGTGCGATATTTGTCAAGAGGCGGGGCGCAAGCTTGGTGTGAACTAGAGCTTGCATAAGACGCGATGCACTTTTCCCAGACTCAAAGCGCTTATCGCCGAGGTTGATAAATGTTTGCTTCCGTAACTCCTCTCCTCCAGTCAGGGCAGCAAGTTGGGTATCTGTGAAGTCAACATCCGACACAATACCACCCATGGACGTGATGAACTCTCTGAGAATGATGAGGTCAGTTGAGTTGCCTCGGGCAAGTTGGTCATTGACATATTGGATGACGGGCGTAGGATCCATGTTGGAGTAACGACGAAAGACCTTGCCAGAGAACTTGGACAGAGCCTGCAGCCATCTGCTGGTAAGAAGAACAGATCCTTCTTGGGTTCTGCTTCGCTGCTTGCCACCCAGGGAGCTCATCAGCGACCAAACAAGCACGTCGTATCCCAGATCCGTGAAATAACGAGTACACTCGACGAATGCCTCGATGAGATTGCTATACGCCTCAATCTGGTCCAGAGCAACTTTGCAGACGACTCCAGGGGAGAATAGCGCCACCTTGGCCATGGACTTGGCAGACTTGGCAAGATTCTCTTTGGAGAGACGCTTCAGTACGGACAAGGTATCGAGCCGCGCATACTTGAAAGCTTTCGCCATTGCGGGGAGCCTGGAGATCGAACCTTCGTAGCACTCTGCGTACATGTTGTATCGTACGTCCACAGGGAAGTATCTAAGAAGACTCCACACGGAGTTGACCACATCAACGTTACTGGTAGTCAGGTTCAGTGCAGGGAATATGGTTCGCTTGAGCAGATCGCGCCATCTGTCAAGGTTCCGCGGTGATTTGTCCTCCCCAAGGCTCTTGGCACCAATTGCGGCCAACTTCTTGAGGAGAGTGTGAGACTTGCCAATCTGAACGCCAGAGACATTGAGAAGTGTACCACACAATGTGAAAACGTCGTCGACCGTTTGGCATATCGGCACATTGTCTGTCCATTCTTTCAAGTAGTGCTCGTAGCGAACATTCTTTGCACTTCCATCAGCAAATGGCCACTTCAAGGCTTTGGGCAGCGGTCGGTCGATCAGTTTCAGAGTGCCTTTGGGCATGGCGTGATCCGGAGCAAGGTCTTTCTTTGCCACATCGACAATAGTAGAATCCGCCGGCTTGGGGAGAGTCTCCCGGTATACTTTATCGATAGAGTACAGAAGAATCCTGTTGATGGGCGCAATGACTTCGTCGGGGTAGGCGTCAGTCAGCCAGTTGATGCGACCAAGAATGAAGAGAGCCTCTGGAATGGCGCCCACGAGTAGAAGGTGGTTTAACAAGTCAACCTTGAGAACTTCCTTGGGCTCTGGAAGAGTTTCGCTCGGTGTGTTATCATTGCCGGGTGTGTCTTTCTGATTGGCATCAGATTTGGTAGCAGTTGCCTCACGCGTGCGTGTTGTGGGAGCTGTCGTAGCAGTGTCGTCCGGTAATGCTCCCGCTTTCAGCAGCGCATTGGGCTCAGCACCTTGCCTGTCTTTCTTCTCCTTTTCCTCGAGTTCTTGGGCTCGCTTCTCTTTCACGTCGTCCATCTTGTCGTCGTCAGGCCAGATGTGTGCATACAAGTCCGGCAGAGAGATGAATCCAATCTTGATGAGGTATGCAGCCAGGAAAAAGAGATTGGCTGGTACGGTGTCTTCCTTGTCGCGAGCCTGGGAGATGAAGTATTGAAGTTTGAACCCATATAGCTGTGCAGCAACCCGATTTCCAGACGGCGGCAACGTCTTTGTGGTCTCAACCCACTCAACGGGGTCGATTGAGTAATCTTTGGATGTGGCAGACTTTGCGGAAACAGAAAATGCCTCGAGTTCCGTTTCACCGGCTCGCCGGCCTCCGAGCTCGAAGAATGCATCAAGATGAATTTCACGAGCTCTGTCCCAGAAGGCTACATCGCGCGTTTGTCGTTGTTCGTCCATGATGACCTGTTCCTCGGGACTGGGGAGAAACGCAGCTCCTGGCAAGGCCCATCTCGGCAGGCCCCCGGTCCGCACAGGATCATATCGGATACTCTGCTCTCGAGGCCACCAGGAACTGACTCTTAAAAACATGGTGAAATAGCGGTATGTTCTCATCATGGTTGAGGCGAAGACATCAAAGACAATGTCCAATACTCGTCCAACATCAAGGTCAAAGGTGCCAATGAGACCCTTGACACGTTCAAAACCAGCCTCTACCTGTTCCTTTGTGAGTTGTTCCTGATTCATGGCGTGAGCTGTCGAGTAAAGCTCTGTGATGAGTTTGGCAAAACCTTCCGACTCCTCACGTAGTAGATTGTAGTTGGACTGTCGATAGAGCGAGTTTGTGGCGTGGCGCGTTCGCATCTTGGAGAAGGTCCCCTTGGTCAGGCCCAGTTCTTCCACGACTTGGACGTCCAAGACTTGTCGTAGCAACTTGGCAGATATTCCAGTCGCAAACACAAAATCCCGGAAGTCTGCTGTAAGTAGGGGGTTGATGATACCTTTGTTACGATCATGCTCGCCACCAGTGTCGACGAAGACAGAGATACTATCTGCGAACAAGCTATGAGCATCAAACTCACAACTTGTTCGATCGTCTTCGTTTTCGGGGTCTGGGCCGAGGATCTCCTTCATGCAGGCACCGGCATCGACAGGGTCAAGGCGATGCTCAAGCACAGCTCGAGCGAATTCCTGAGATATCGTCGACACCTCCTCAATGTCTTCGTCATCTCTCGACGCAATACCATGCTGCACAACTTCCTGGCGTCCGGATTGTTGCCAAGTTTCGAGTCGTGCATCGGTCAGCACGGCGTAACTGTACTTGGTCGGTAGAGGCGCCAAACGTTGTTGAGGCAACTGGGCTACTGTGTTTGCTGCTATCGTTGGGGTAGGCTGACTGGGGGCCGGATGCGAAATCTGGGACGAGGAGCTGGGAGGCCGTGTTGAGGTTGGTGAGATGGGGCCACGATTGTTGGAGTTGTTGGAATTGTTGAAAGAAGATCGCCGTTCATTGTTTCGCCCTCTACCGTTGCGGCCACCAGCGCCAGATCGGCGGCGGTTATCTGAGTTGTCCCTTTCTTGCTGAGCCATGTTTGTGTCGGATGGGCGATGTGGGGATGGACGCCCAGCTCCTTCGCTCACGTCGTTCCTCTTGCGCTTGGGAGGCATCTTGGCCAGCTCCAGCGGGACTGTAAAGTGTTGGTCATCATGAATCCAGACATATTTCAAGGTCGAGCGACATACGAGTAGGGTACGGAGGATTTGTGCTCGTCGGTGGAATCGGGCAGCGTGGAAGCTTTTTGTCGTCGTTGCGGCTGGAGTTGATGGCTGGCCAGATTATCGGCAAAGAATGCAGCAGCAGAGCCCGAAGCTTCGCGACTGGGCTTTAGCAGGGTGCCGCTGGATGTCGCATTGGTGAAAAGGGCGCTGGCAATGATGCCGGGATCAATTGCGTGGTCGGCTGCCTAGGAGATTTCGAATCGTGATGCGATTTGAGGCGATGCGACGAAGTGACAAAGGAAATGCTCAATGGCTGCCACTGCAGAGGCAGGGAAATGGGCAGGGTTGAAACGGTTGAGGAAAGGAATGGCGGAAGCTTTGGGGTGGGCGGAGTTGAAAGAAAAGGCAGTGATTCAAGTGATGTGGCAGTCCATCAGTCGATTTCGAAAAATTCAATTCGCGCCCGAGTTGAAATCTGCCAAAAAGTCGTGGCCTGTTTGAAGCGTTTGCCGTCAGACAAAGAAGCTGGACGTGGGAATCGCGTCCAAGCTTTCGCGTAGACTTGGCTGGAGTTCTAAGGTTGCTGCTTGCGATTGTCAGTCAGCTCAGCCTTTCGTCAAGGAAAAGACACGCACGGCCTCCTCCAAGCACAGCAGGGAAGGCTACGGAAGTACATACGTCAATACAAGACCCGCTATGCTTACTTTCGTTTTGGGGCTAGCGGGGCTGCAGCGATAACGCTCAAAGTTGCATGTACTCGGCCGTGCCCAGGCGTTTGTCGTGTGAGCATAGTAGCTTTTACTTGTCGCTTGCCGCCCCCAAAAGCCGGGAAACAGCCGGCCGCTGCTCGGACTTAGGTAAGCCAAAAATCAGTTGGCGGCTTCCCATTAATACCATCCAAGAGTCATACAGAGGGGCAAGGATTAGTGACTACATTTGATAAAGATAAAAACTCTCGAGGCTTGGAACGTTTCTGCACCGAGTCAATCTTTTCTCTCTCTCTTTCTCCTGATCATTCCATCATTTTACAAGCCCGGATAATTACAAGTCCTGGCACAGTCTCCCTCACTAAACGCCGTTCAAAGATTCCCAAACCAGGCGTCGCAGCCCGCCACAGTCGCAAAATGGCTGCCGAAAACGGTGCTACTAGCAAACCCAGCTACGGTCAGTTCATGAGTCTGTCCATCCCTCGAAAAGTGAATGGTGACTGAATACCTGCAAGAAAGATCGCGGCAACAGCCCGAAAATCCGTTCGCAGCCTTGATTCCAGACCAGGAGATTGCCATTATCCCTTCTTTCACGTTGGAGTCGGGCGTCACTCTCCAAAATGTGCCACTTGCCTACACCACTCGGGGCAAACTGTCCCCAAATCGTGACAATGCCATGGTCATATGCCATGCCTTGACGGGAAGTGCCGATGTCAGTGATTGGTGGGGACCTCTCCTAGGTGGTCCTGGGCGAGCCTTTGATACCTCGAGGTTCTTCGTTATCTGCATGAACAGCTTGGGAAGCCCGTACGGCACTGCCAGTCCTGTGACTGCCAAGGACGGCAACCCTGACAATGAGAGATATGGTCCTGAGTTCCCATTGACCACGATTCGAGACGATGTCAAGTAAGGATCATGCCATCTCGCAGGATGCAAACTTCACACTAATTCCTGACAGTCTGCACAAACTGCTGCTTGATGATCTAGGTGTTCGTCAGGTCGCCGCCGTTATAGGTGGTTCTATGGGCGGAATGCTCGTTCTTGAGTGGGCATATTTCGGCAAGGACTATGTTCGTTGCATCGTGCCGATCGCAACGTCGAGTCGTCACAGTGCTTGGTGCATTAGTTGGGGCGAGGCCCAGCGTCAGAGCATTTACGCTGACCCCAAGTACGACGATGGCTACTATACCCTCGAAGATCAGCCAGTCACGGGTCTCGGCGCGGCTCGCATGTCCGCACTGCTCACCTACCGAAGCAGAAACTCCTTTGAGGCGCGTTTCGGCCGCAACATCCCCGACCCAGCAAAAAGGCAAACCATTACAGAAAACCCAAGGTCCACCACACCATCTGAGACTCACTTCCACATCCACAATGATGGGCACAAGGTGACTAGATCTTCTGTGTCGCGCTCTAGTAGCTTTGCAAGCCAAACGAAAGCAGAGGCAGCCAAGCCCGGCGAAGCACCTGTCGCAGTCGCATCAGCGGATCCGCAATTTTCGGGTCCCAAGGAGAGCTTGACGGGTGGCGATAGGCCCCCCACTACGACATACTTTTCTGCACAGTCATATCTGCGCTACCAAGGACAGAAATTCGTCAAGCGATTCGACAGCAACTGTTACATTGCCATCACGCGCAAGCTCGACACTCACGATGTCTCTCGTTACCGCGCGGACTCCGTCCCCGAGGCCCTGGCGCTCATTGAACAGCCCACGCTCGTTCTTGGTATCGAAAGTGATGGGCTGTTCACATTCGCGGAGCAGCAGGAGATTGCACAGCACGTCAAGAACTCCAGATTGAAGGAAATTGTTAGTCAGGAAGGCCACGATGCTTTCCTGCTGCAATTCGAGCAGGTGAACAAGTATATTCTGGATTTCCTCCAAGAGGTTCTCCCTGACATCATGGAGAAGGAAGGCGATGTTGTAGAAGCTGCTTCTGTGGGACAGATGACCAAGTCTAGTGTGTTCGGCGAAGCAGAGGTTGAAGACATTACAGCTTGGTAGATTTGAACCCGAGCCGGACCCCATTTTGCTTGGAGTTTCGCTCATATCGGCATCATGTTGCTCTTGTTCGATCAACTTGAAGAGAGAATGGAATTAAGAGATTTATAACAGAATCAGATGAAGCGGGGTTTGGGCGATGGGTATGACTACCTTTCAATTGTCAATGACTACATACGTGAATCAATGACACCATTCATTTCCATTCATTTCATATTGACCGCTTGCTCATTGCTTAAATTATGACATTCCATTATCATAATCCTCCTTCCGCCATTGGCAGCATTGCCACCATGCATCTACACCTAACCATATCCTAATTGACGCCCTTGATTTCTTGGCGAGTAAATGAGTGCCAAGGAAGAAAAATAGGAGATGATGATAATAAGGAGATCGCCGTGCCCTCTCCTGTTCATGCCATCCTTCTCTCTTTGCCAAAGAAGCTCTTTATGCAGGTTACGGCGACCCAACCAATCACAACGACCGTGACTGCAATGCGGGCCTCCCTTGCGACTCCGGTAGCTGTTGGGCCAATTTGGACCGTGTGTATATGGCTTATGGCCCCGGAATGTGTTGCTGCCAGTGCAAAGGATTCCATGTTTTCGGGCGTCTAGGACCAGGGAATACCCAGAATACGACTGCGAGGGAATCTGTCGGTGGAAGTGATGGAGCCTCTGAAAGACTGATTGAGGTCGAAAAATTTTGAACCAAGAAAAGTCGAGTGCTAAGACATGTAAGACTGTATAATGTTTTTGATAACGCTGATGTCAACCTTGAATGATGTGAAAATCTTAGCGTCAAGGACCCGAAAGTGCTTGATGGAGACACAGTGCCGTATACATCCAGATACTGTACAAGTAGACTATATGGAGTTGTGTGCAATACGTAGAGAGCAGTTCCCCTTCAGCAGACTTGTCGTTCAGAGGCATAACCAATCAATCAATGCTATGCTGTGTCAAACTAGATAACAATAGGCATCTGAATATACTGCGTCATGACTTGAGTAATTCTGATTTCGATTCGAAGTATGCCATTCATTTCAAGTAGTCTTTGGAATGATGTTGGTTTTTGGCAGAGGCAGAACGCCTACGAATATGAGGGTGCTAAAGGATTGCTATTTCAACTTTATATAATCGGCTTAAATAGGGTCATAAGGCCAAGTATACATGTTTTGAGATCATATCACTAGTTTCCGAAGGCAAACCTCACCCCTATGTATGCTTCTACCACTCCTCGAGTATGGAACCTTTGTGACGGAAAGGAAGTCTTCTGCTTCCTCATCCATCTCGTCGTATGTCCTGCTAGGATCAGGCTGAAAATCTGCGTTCAAACAAATGACACATTCAAGGCAATATTTCTGCAGAAACCGATTTTATTACTATAATTATTGATTCAGCTGTGAGCATACGCCACGCGTCCTGCATGCATTGCGGGCATGTCTGTGCAGTCCTAAAACTTGAAAAGAAAATGGTTGAGGATCCTATCTACTACATTTCGGAGATGAGAGAACAAAAAAGAGGCGTTGATGTAATATACTTGCTGCCTCAATGACCACATGATGAAAGCAGGGCAAAAGACAGCCCCGGTGAGCCAAGGATTACTGAAACACATGTCGGGCTGTCGTTGCAGTCGTGTCGAGTCCGATAGGACGGTCTCTCTTCTCGATTCGGCAGCGAATGGAACCTGAAGAGGCTTTCGGTAAACCAGTCGCTTTCTTCACTGACGTGTTGATCGAGCACGTTGTTGTATCCTGTGATCTGATTGGCTCGTTGGGGCTTGGGGGCTTTTTCGAGCCATATGTATGCCTGATGCTAGAAGAATCCGGGGCTGACGCCAACATAAACGGTAACAAAACAAATATGACAACGGCTGAAAATGCGCAGAAGTGGCATGATCAAGTACTTGTCTAAATTTATTTTCTTTTCCTTTTACCGAACTGTCTGCAAGATGTCAACGCAGCATCTTGTTCAGCAGCGTGGGGCTCTCCCAAGGTTGACTTATAACGCCGACTAGCAACAAAGAAGTTTAGCGTTGCCTGCTGAATATCAAGTCCATGTGTTTGACTGCAAGTCTGCGTAGCCGAGAATTACTCCATAATTAGGAGCTACTTATTATGATCGAGCTTGCATAGCTTGGAAGAAACCCACCACTGCAGGCGGTATATGGTCACTTCAAGGATCTCACGACAAGGGCTGGCATGCCAGACAGGGCCAAAAGGTCCTTCGGGTTGGTCGATATAGCCTCGAATCACAATAATGAATCCACACAGCCTTTGATCCAATATGTATACCTTGATGAAAATATGCCAGAAAGAAACCGTTAGAGGAATCCCCCGTCGAGTTAGCCGACAGCCTAGCCACCTGCCTGCCCACCGCAAATGGAAATAGTATTGGAAATAGTATTCATTTTGGCTCCAAGGGTCGCCAGGTACCAAGAAGCTAGTACAGCTAATAGACTCTGCTCCCACGTTTTTGGCGGATTGACGAGCTCGGTAAGCTTCCGATGGACACCGAGGACCCCCCCAAGAGCTGCAGGCGAGAGTTCGAGACCAATGTCCTGATCCCCAGCACACTCCACTGCTGCTCTTCTCTTTAACAATTGCCGTTGAGGCCAGCTTCTCTTGGTCTACCAGCCCGGGGACTGCCAGAGCCATGGAGAAATTGCGATTTTGAACCCTTTCTTCAAAGCCGATCGAGTCGGTCAAGTTGTCATATTGCCTTGGTTGAAAGTTAACACTTATCAGTAAAAATCAAGCCTTGCCCCAGATCGTGAGTATGCATCCGACCATCCCTCCCTCTCTCTTCCCCCAACCGGCACCTGGTCAGCTGCGCAATGAATCCCTGCCACCATAAAAGGGCGGCACGATCGTTGGCGTCCGATATTCGTTGCACGCTGCCCGGCACCGCTTTAGATTGGACAAGAAAGGGCCCTGTCAGCTTAGTTGTTGCCTTTACGATTGGGATGTGGCCGGTTTAAGGCTGTGGGCATAAAAGAGCCAGGGGTGCCTGGTGCTTCCTATTAATGCACATCATCTGCATTTTATGTTGTTGCTGGTTATTTTTCTTCTTTTACACTGCTGCACTACTGTACATACCCCCATGCCGATCTTCCTTCCTTGCTGACTTTCTCGTATTCTTGCAAAAGCCTGATTACTTGTTTATTCCGGGGAATCTGAACAACTACACCATTTCTCACGCGACCGTGGATATCTTCCAGCATTGATTAGTCTCAATTACTCGGTGTCCCGTTTTTCAATGTCTTGGGCGGTAATTTGAGATTCTGAGCCGGGCGGGCCGCTGTAGCCGTGTCCGTACGGGCACGTCTTATATTCGACCAAGTACAACCACGGGGTTTTCCCCCTTCCCGATCGGAGAACGAACAATATCACGATGGACATGCTTCCGGAGCCGGCAATGCCCGTTGCACATGTTCGGACTTACGGTGGCAATCGGGCATTTCATAACTTTTTCAACGACTTCAGCCACATCAAGGATCCGAATCTACGAAGGAGGCTGGCCCTCTCCGAGATTGACAAGATTCCTTTCGGGCTGTATCACGTCAGAGCCATTGCCGTCGCCGGGATTGGCTTCTTTCTCGACTCGTACGATATTTTCGCCATCAACCTCATCACCACTTTGCTCGGCGTTGTCTTTTGGCAGGGGTCGCCGGAGGATGCAAAGAATGGATACGGAGGCAACTATGGGACACTGCCTACGCCGGTCAGCACAACATTGAAGGCATCAACGAGCGCAGGGATAGTGGTTGGCCAGCTACTCTTTGGTTGGCTAGCAGATGTTTACGGTCGCCGGCGCATGTACGGAGTCGAGCTCGGCATCATTGTAGTAGCAACATTGGCATCGTGCCTCGTGGCACCAAGTCAAGCCGTGACTTTTACAGGTTCGATGACATTTTGGAGAGTCATAATGGGGTAAGGCTGTAGTGTCAGATGTATGGCTTTGGACTGGCTGACATTGTGTCTTAGCATTGGCATCGGAGGCGACTATCCCCTAAGTTCCGTCATTACATCCGAGTTTGCACCAACACGATGGCGAGGAGCAATGATGGCTGCCGTCTTCAGCATGCAGGGACTGGGTCAACTTCTTGCTGCAATTGTGGCGCTGATTGTAACGGTCGCTTTCAAGGACGCCTATCTCGCAGCTCCAAATGCAGCGTCTTGCAACAACGCCTGTCAGATCGCAGCAGACCGTGCATGGAGAATCATCGTCGGCGTTGGGGCAGTTCCAGCTTGTTTCGCACTCTATTACCGAATCACAATCCCCGAAACACCGCGATACACGTTTGAAGTAGCAAAGGATGTTGAGCAAGCAGATGCAGACATCAAAGCATATATGGCAAGCAAGTCTGAAGGAGAGGTTGATGAGGTCAAGCGGGCAAGAATGAAAAAGGTCGCATCGCCTGCATTGAATATACCGTCTGCATCTTGGCCGGATCTGTTTTCGTATTTCGGCAAGTGGGAGAATGCCAGAGTGCTCATTGGCACCACCTTGTCTTGGTTCTTCTTGGTTTGTTATCGATCTGCATCATGACTATTATTTCATACTGACTCGAGCCTAGGATCTTGCATTTTATGGCCTTGGCTTGAATAACTCCATCGTTCTTCATGCCATAGGTTATGCCAACGGGGGCACCCTTTACGAGCAACTATACAATAATGCCGTAGGAATGATTATCCTTACCGTCGCAGGGTCGTTGCCAGGATACTGGACAGCGATTTTCACGATCGATACACTGGGACGAAAGCCACTCCAGATCATTGGCTTCGTATTTCTCACCATTATATTTTGCGTTCTCGGCTTTTATTATCATCATCTAAACCAAGGCGGGATGCTTGCCTTGTATGTAGTTGCACAATTTTGCTTCAACTGGGGCCCGAATACCACAACATTCATTGTACCAGGCGAGTGTTATCCTACACGTTATCGATCCTCGGGTCATGGTCTGTCGGCGGCAATGGGCAAGATTGGGGCCATTATCGCCCAAGTTGTATCCATTCCTCTGCTCAACAAGGACTCGCCAGCAAATTGCCAAGGTAGCGCTTGCTCCCCTTGGCTCGACCGACTGATGCAAATCTTTGCCCTCTTCATGCTGTGTGGAACCTTTGTGTCCTTGTTGATACCCGAGACCAAAGGCAAGACTCTCGAGGAACTCGCCGGAGAAGCACCCACTTCATATAATTCAGGACGCAACGGCAGTATTGTCGCCCTGAAAAAGAGATGGTGGAATCCATTCTCGGGTGGACAGCCAGCTGGATTTTTTTATTCGCGAACAAAGCATTGGGGCAGGAATCAACGGGTCGGCATCATGACTTCACCCGAGATTGCAGCGCAGCAGGCACAAGAGATGAGAGCAGCAAGAAGACTGAGACGAAAGAAGGGTAGTAGCGAAGACACCAATTACGACTTTGAAAGCACCAGCTCTACCACAGGTATCGTTCGGCCGAACAGTGCGCCGGAGGACGGCGAGGAAGCGCGAGGGTACGGCGGCGTCTTCCCGGGTTGGGTTGCTGGTTGGGGCCGAATAGATCGGGGCGGCAATCCCACGTCGGTAGAGAATATTGGACTGCAAGACGTTGGGAATTTGCTTCGGTGATTCACACTATGACGGTGCGAGTCAGGCTAGTAAAACAGTTTCATAATGAATTGGAAGCTATATATAATATCCGTGTTTCCCAAACGTTCTAGGGAAGGACCCAACTGAACGTCGTCGCAACTGCTGTTATTCAAGTAGAGTGATCACCACAGTGATAACAATCTCACCCAAAACATTCCACCCTGAATTTTAACCACCACTTCCAGTTCACTCTGTTTGCCCGTTTCCGTGGAAGCTGTCGAGTGACTGACTGCCCCCCCTCCAACAACCTCGACAAACGCCTTCCCGTCAACAAACCTTGTGCGTTTGCGCGCTCCCAAACAAGTCTGCCAACGCTTTCTATTTTCTACTTGGTCTTTATTAGTACAAAATCAGAAACCACTTTCAGACAGAAAAATTCGCGGACCAAAACCAACACCAAACAAGGTCATGTCTGGATCAGCATCAGCATCAACCAATCCAGGCTGGGGCCAGGGCAAGAGTAAGAATGCGCGCAAAAAGCGCCGACAACGTGAGAAGGCAGCCATAAAGGAACTCCGTGCGCCGAGAAAAATTCGAAGAAACCTGAATCGAGCACTAAACGAAGCGCGGAGAGTCAACAACGTGGCAAAGAGAGCCCTCCTGGAAGCACAGATGCAAGCGCAGAGAGTTCACGATGACGCCAGAATGGCCGGCCACACAACACTAAACGAAGAACAGATGGCCTGTCAGAGAGCAGTGGATAATGCTCAGAGAGCCCATACCGAAGCAATGCAGGAAGTTCGCAGAGTCGAACGACAAGCGCACGAAGCAAATGGTCACGGTCCACCACGAGATGCTCCAATTAAGCTGCAAAACAATCATGTTGGAAGGCACAGAGCTACCTTTAGCCAACCAAAGAAGGTAGAGATCATTGATCTGACCCAAGATGACACTTCTGAACAGATTCAAAGTGCGCCAGGGATGTTTCAGCCAAATACACAGCCGTACAGCGGATTAACACACAGCTTGAAGCAAGAGCCTTTGGCTTTTGACGCTGCTGCACTACAAACAATGGAACAGATTGGCTTCAATTCAGAGTCATTTCGAGATTTGCAACAAGGTCTCACCCCACTCATCAAGCTGGAGCAGCAGACACAATATCTTCCCTCAAAAAACGACTCATCATCTCTTCATCGGGCTGGAATACTCAGTGGTGCGCAAGCTACAAAGCCTGCCACCACTTTTGGGGCACCCTCCAAGCCCCTTCCTGGACTACAACGAGTGGCATGGACAACAGCAAACCCGGAAGCCATTGCCAACTTGGGATTAATCAAGAATAAGTCTCTTGAAGACTTGTATCAAGAGTATCCCGAGAAACGATTGCGTGGCATTGAGCCCGAAACACTGTGCGTTGTGGCCAATACAGTCCACCAAGTAGCCAAAGAGGCAGCAAACACTTGGCTCAAGTCGGCCTGCCCGGGAACCCGTTGGAATGACAGCATTGTCAATGTTGAAGGACTTTGTAAGTATAAGCGGGCTGGAAGGACATGTCGAGTGAAGGGCTAACATGTACATTTTACGAAGACGACTTCAACGCATCAGAGCTGGACTACACTATACTTGACAGATCCCTGTGCCTGCAAGTTGTCAAGAAGACAGTCATCTCACAGTTGGGAGGATTACGGGCCTTTATACACGATACCAAGATCATGACACCGCTCAATCTATTACGTGTCATTGACCAGTCTGTCGCCATATGCCAGAATGTCAAGGACAATAAGCGCCGTATTTTGCTCGAGAAGGCCAAGCAAAAGTTGGAGTGGTTACCCGTGGGCTTGGATTGCAAGAAACTCGATATTCACCGTCGCGCCAATCAGGGACTCCGAGAGGCGCACACAAGAGTTCAAGGGGAAGAGGATCTGTCTCTCTACTCGGAGCATATGAAGCGTTTCAATGAAGCCCATGCAGAAACCCAAGTCTTGGACCGTGCTCTGGTCGAGTTCCAGGAGCATCGTTTGATGTATCTAGTATGTCAAATCTCATGCCCCATAATGCTTAGAAGAAGAATTGGCCCAAACCACCTACCCGAGGCATAACTTCATCACCAAGTCCGATTTCCGCTAATTATTATATAGATCGAGATATTCAGAACGCTCCAGCAGCTTCTGGAGGCAAGCGCCTAAATTTCGATCATTCTCTAGAGGAAAATATGTATTCCCTTTAATGTGTTTGGACTTATCTATCAAGCTCAGAGAGGGGCTTCATCATGTTTAACGCAGTTATGGACTTACGAGAGGCCAAGGCGGCCCTTATTTTGTGAGGGTGGAAAAATCCGACTGGGCTCAGACAGCTAGGTTTCATAAGTTATCATGAAGGATCCGAGGCAGCCATGATGGCTGTTCTACTCTCTACTCACAATGCGGCACTCTTTATTCATATGCCAATTCGCATAACCCTAGGTCAATACTTGATCAGCTCCGTCGCTATAGAGAGGCATATTGATCTTGATAGTTTAAGCATCTATTCTTGCAGCCATTTCATCCATACTTTGCATCATGGCGTCTTCTTCATCCAGCTCCTTGCCGGATGATCCATTGCTTGGAAGGCCTCGTTTCCTCATTTGGTTGATTATTAAGCTTTTCGTAATTAAACGAGCCGGATCAAAATCACCGTGATTCTCTGCTTGCTGCTTACGCACCCACCCTTCGAGACTACGCATACCCACCACCAGGAAGCCCAGGTCCTCGCGATCAACGTCAAAGACCTCCCACCAGGCACATTCGGGCATCTTGGCGCCGAGGTCTTTGGCGGAATTGTAGATGGCGGCGACGGCGAGCTGGTGGGGCTGGTGCGTCAGGTAGAGGCACTGGGGGCTGAGCAGGGCCGTGTTGAGGTACTCGACGACGCGGCGGGCGACGGCGGCGCGCGGCAGCGAGAGAAAGTCGAGGGCCTGCAGGTACGTGACGGCCAGCGGGTGTGGCAGCGCCACGTGCGTGTCAAAGGAGAGGAGAGCTAGGATGCGCGATTCGGCGGCCAGGATCCGGTCGTGCTGGGTTGTGTATGCCGTCTCGGAGAGGTAGTAGGATGAAGGATCCTGTTGTTTCTGTTGTGCACCGTCGTCGTCGTCGGAGGAGGGAGTGTTTGGCGTGAATAGAGGCGAGCTCGGCGATGTGAGGTAGGCATAGACATTACAAAGGTCGCGCGGCGGCGCCGGGTGCGCGCCCAGTTTTGCTGTGAGGAAGAGGGCGGCGGCCGACAGATTGCTGGGTTCGTGCTGCGACAAGAGGAGCGACGAGTTGGACTCGTTGGCAGCCGTGGTGGCGGCAGCAGCACCGACTAGGGCGCGGGCGAGAATGACATTGGCCTGCGCAGTCACGGACTGTGGAAGCCGGAGCAGCAGACCTGCGGCCTGGGTCAGGAGCTGCACCTGATAAAAGACGGCGTCTTGCAGGTCCGGCGGCAGCGCTGACAGCGAGGACTTGTACTTGTAGATCTGCTCGACCGTCGCGAGGGGATTGGCCATGTGCGACATGGTGGGCGGTTTCTCGAGGACCCGGGTAATGCGACAGCGAGTGAGTTGTGGTAGGTGAAGTCTGAGATGCGGTTGGGAATCTAGCGCTGCATGAGGATTATTGGTGTTGACGTCGTCTGGGGTTGCAGTTAAGGTACATGGGTACCTTACATTACTGCACACTACCTGCATTTTAGTGGTACATAGTAGACCCATACCGCTGGTATACTACTACTGTGTACACTATAATCAACTCAATTACGGGTCCAGGGTCTATCATAGGTTTACCAATTAATTTCATTCTTTATCCTTGGGGTCCGTTCAACGAGTATCACTATTAACAATACGGTCCGCATTGGTTACCAAAGAACAGTAATCTTATTGATGAGACATGGAAATTCGCCTCCGCTGGGAACTCGGAGCTTTGCATGGAAACCAGGCATAGGTTCTTCAGACTTTGACGCTCCATCAGCCAATGTCTAATAACTTCCCTGACCGCCGGAGGATTGAACTACAGAGTTCATCTCTTCCTAAAACAACATTGGCTATGTGGTCTTTGACGCCGTCAACACGCCGAAATCTTGAAATGAGGAGGCTCACAGAATCAAAACAAAATCATGGTACCCCTTGAAAGTATTGCATGGTGTGTGCTCGAGGCTTTTGTTCTTGAATTGTCCTTCAAAGACCGAGATTCCAGCCAGAATCTTGCGTACAGACAGATTTCTTTCGATACAGATATAATGATACAATATGTTTATACAAAATTGCGGGCAGTTCATTGCGACATTATGAATCACAGAGCCTTCTCGCGAGAACCCGTGACCTTCTCGAACGTGTCCAAATGCATCGTCATCGTGTGCCGTCCGGCAGTCTTGCTGCGTAAATGGCTGTCGTAGTCGAGCATTTCGGCGAGCGGGACCTGTGCCACAATTTCAAGCATGCGCAAGCTGCCCTTGCGCGTCTCCCGCAAAGTCGTCTGGAACTCGTAAGGATCTGGCGGAGCATAGATTTCTGAAACATCGATCTGGCTCTCGTCACGTGCGTTCGCATCTTGCAGATCCCGTACCTCTAGGACGTGACCGCCCCGAGAAGAAGGCAGGTCATGCTGGATTGCACCGGCCGCTGCCTCTGGAAGCGCAATAGTCACCTTCATGACTGGTTCCAATACGGCAACATTTCCTTGCTTGTGTGCATCCTTTAGTGCTGTTCGAGTAGCTTGATTGGCAGCACCAACGAAATGGCCAGGTGGTGTTGCACCAAAATAATCGGTCTCGGCATCAAACGTGATGGTGACAAGGCATTGGTTCAAAGGAGAGTTCCTTCGAGGACCTCTCGCTAGAGCCGCAATGGCACCGTTGATCAGGTGAGGCCGGATCTCCTCGGTATCGACCGGCAATTCCCCTGAAAAGTTGACCTGGATGATGTTGCCATCTCTCTCTGTATGGGACTGTGCAAGCGCTTCCACCTCGTGGCGTTCCAAGGGCTGTATCTCAACACTGCAAGCCGCCTTGCCAGTTTTGCCAGCAATTACCTTGTCAAAGACTGCCTTGTGTATGCCGGTTGATTCTGAGACGCATTCTTTGTACTCCACTTCGATACCTCCCCAGTGCGCTTCCACCTTGTAGTGGTTTTCTAGGCGATCCCTGGCCACTTCTAGATGCAATTTTCCCATTCCAGATACCGTGTACTGCTCTGCCTTTTCGTTCAGAGACCATCTTATACTTGGATCCTCTCGAGATAAGTTGTCTAGAGCAGTCTCCAAGGCTTTGGTGCCCGAGGGGGTTAACGGTTCAAGAACCAGGAACGCTACTGCGGGAGGTATCTCAGGAGGTCGAATTTTGACATGTGCCACATTTCCAGTTGGAGTCTTGTTTCCTGTATACACCAGCAGCGTGTCACCAGTACGAGCCTTTTTAAGCCCAGTCAGGGCACCAATCTGGCCTGCAGACAAGTGAGGGATGTCGATGTGATTCTTGGCCGAAATCTGTGAGATACTGAGAGGTTTCTCAAAGTCTTGCAGGTTGGAGTTCCACATGTGAGCATTTCTCTTGATTTCTCCATGGTACACCCGGATAAAGACCAGCATTCCGCGTCGTGGATCATTGACGACCTTGAACACGGATGCTACTGCCTCGATTGGAGACCTCTTCTTGGCTTGTATTTTCTGATCCTTGGATTCATTAATGACCTGTGACAAAGGCATAATGCTTGTTCCGACACGAACATTGAGATCTGGTCGATCTCTAGGACTAGGTAGGTAATGGTTGACAGAGTCCAAAAGGGGTGCCACGCCAATATTCTTCAGACTGGCTCCGGCGAAGACGGGGATGATACTCGCTTCGCCATCCTCGATGACGCGGCGGATGCTCTTTCTGATCTCCTCTGCAGAAAGATCTTTGCCCTTTTCTGTCCACGCTTCCATCAGCTCATCATCGTGCTCACACAGCCTCTCAATGATATTGTCTCGAGCGCGTTCGATTTCGTCTTGAAAAGGGGGCACTCGTTTCGCCAAGTCAGTTGGGTCATCTCTTCCATGTCCTCCCCAGCTGACGACGGATCGAGTGATGACATCAACGACACCCTTGACAGAATCGTTTTCCCACCACGGTATTTGACACACCAGGGGCATGCCGCCGAGTTTCAAGCCAATATCCTGCACAGACTTCTTGAATGAGGCACCATCGCGGTCGAGCTTGTTGACGAGAACTATCCGTGGCACTTTAAAGTCGTGCGCGGATGACCAGACACGTTCAGTATGTGCTTCTACACCCTCAACACCATCAATGATACAGACGGCGCCGTCCAGAACGGGGATACACCGTTCAACCTCGAATCGGAAATCTTGATGTCCCGGAGTGTCTATCAGGTTGACAATGTGTTCCGCCTCGCCCTGCTTCATTCTTTCTGGTGTGGGCCATCTGAATGTAATTGCAGCCGATTGGATTGTGATACCTCTCTGCATCTCCATGGGAAGGAAATCCGTTACAGTGTCGCCATGATCGACATCTAGAAATGGTATGAGTCAATAAGAACGAGGAAGAATTGATGAATGAAAACTCGTTATCATGATAAAAAAAATGCATTGTAAGATGACCTACTTCCAAGATGTCTCGTGGCGCCACTATTGTAGAGCATGGCTTCTGTAGTGGTTGTTTTGCCCTAAAATGCTGAATTAGAGATATGTTTCCATTTAGCTAACGGTATGTGCATCCGAGTATACATACAGCATCTACATGAGCAATAATGCCAATATTTCTGATCCTGTTGACAGCCTCATCATATTTTGCTGTTGTAGCCAAAGTTCTAAAGGCATATGGATCAGGTTTCCACCTCGTTGGACGTGGGCATCTCTTCAACAAAACTGAGTTTCGAAGAGACGCCCTAGCTAATGTCGCTGTCAAGCTCATACCTGCCTGCCTGCCTGCAATTGGAGAATTATGAAAAATGAGAGGCCATAGGGAAATCCTACGAATGAACCGCAGAAACAAGAATCTACCCGTCGCTTCACTGAACGACCGACAATTGACCAAGTTGATGAATTCAGTTAGCTTTACTCATGGCTTTTCACCGTTCAAGACCAGCGACAGTAGACCTTGAAAGCTGCCAGTCAGCACGGGCCACATTCAAGGTCTACAAGTGCTTGTACCAGTCTAGCCTACCTGAGCTTGGCCCGTCAGCTAGGTAAAAATCGCTGGGAAAGCAGCTGAGCCACTGACTGATAATCCCCGTCAGTGGGCAGTGGGCAGTGTGATTGGGAGACGAGGCAATAGCCGTTTGGGCCGATTCACAGCAGCTCCAAACAGAAACGGGGGCGGCAGCAACATCTCGGGTCTTGTTCCCAAAGACGTCGTGTGTTATATTCCAGTGGCTGATCAAATTACCGCTTGTGTGGTAAATTCCCCGAGTAAGAGCATTTTTACTTCGACAGATAGTAAAGATAGCTGCTCTACGCTACTTATTGTAATCTCCTTGTGCGACAATCAGGACGGCGATGGCCTAGGAGCTTCAATTGGCCCCAAAATCACCCAAAAGTCAATAGCTCCCTTCTCTGCCACAACGTCATAGCCTGGCTCTCGGACAGCTTTCATCAACCCACCAAAGCGCATCCAACTCCTACTGACCCTGAATCCGCGCGAGGTCCCGACAGTATTTCCGATCGATCATCATGGATTATCGCAGTGGGATAGTTGAGGATGAGCAGGCCGTGGGCCACTCACCGTGGGGTTCTTCGCCTCCCGCAACGCCGCGGCGCAACGATACAACCTACAGCTCCGCCGGCAACGACTCCGGGTACGGCTATGGATCGCAAACTACAGACAATGGTTCCAGTCAGCCTGAAGCGCCAGAGGACCCCTTCAAGGGGCCGAGCGACAGCGCTGCTGCTGACTCTGGCTTTGGCGAGTCGCAAGAATCCGAGGCATCGCAACAATCTGGATTCGGAGACTCCTTGAACCACCAGCAGCAACAAGAGCAGCAACAAGCGCAGCCGGGCTTTTCCCAAGAACCTGATGCGCCGCAACAGCAGCAACAGCAACAACAGCAGCACGGTCAACATGAGGGGCAGCCAAGTGCCCAGGGGCAACCAGTGCGACGACCAACCCAGCCGCAATATAAGCTACAGGCAAAGATCACGGGATTGGAGAGAACTGGCCGCAAAGACCCGATCTTGAGGTTTGATGTTCACGTGAGTCATAAAATGCAATGGCACTTTAAAGTCATGACGCTGATCACAACTTGGGACCTTTTTAGACGAACATTCCAAGATTCCGAACCACACAGTTCCGCGATGTCCGCCGCATGCACTCCGAATTCGTCAAGCTCGCAGACCACTTAATATCGGCAAACCCGGACGCTTTCGTTCCCGCGGTCCCTCCACCGGTCACTTCTGCCGGCGCCGGCACAGACGAGGACGAAACGCGGGTAAAGGCCCTCATGCAGAGATGGTTCAACTACGTTTGCAGCAATGAGGTACTTATGAGGGACGAGGAAATGGTGCTATTTGTGGAGAGCGACTTTGGCTATAGCCCCATGTACAAGATGAAGCAACCCGCAACTGGAGTGCGAAGAAAGGTTCTGAAGCAATTTGCTCCTCCGCCGGACGATACCCCTGAACTTTCTGAAGCTCGGCCTATAGTCAAGCTGTTCTACCTTGGTTCCATGGATGCTGGACACAAGGTTGACAAGCTGGTTAAAGCACGCCGAGGTATGATACACAGATGCTGCAATAATTCTTCTATACGAGTACTAATTGTCATTAGGTTTGGGTCTTGCGGAATCAGATTTCGGCGTTAAGCTTGGCGGCATGAACATTCAAGAGCCACATCCAGGTCTGGCAAATGCCTACCGCAAGCTTGGAAAGATCGTGCAGACGGTTGGAGACTGCCACGCCGCCCAAGCCACTGCCGAAGCCACGACCATTGGCGACCCTTTCCAGTACCATTCGCAGGATGCCTTCATTGTCAAGGAAACCTTGACAAACCGTCAGCTTTTGACGCGCGAGTTCCTACAGGCGCAGGAGTCGACACGCAGTAGGCTCAATGCGGCAGACCGTCTCAAGGCCTCCTCAAATGTCCGTCGTGACAAGGTCGACGAGGCCATTACAGCCTTGGATGATGCTCGCAACAGTGAGCTGGAACTTATGAGAAAGACCCAGCGCGTGTCGCAGAACCTTGTGCAGGAGCGCCGTCGCTGGTTTGCTCGCACAGCGGCCGACCTCCGTATGAGCATTCGCGAATATGTGATACGGGAAATTGATGCTGAGCGCCGAACTCTGGCTCTGCTTGAGAGCGTGCGACCAGATGTCAGAGCCATCGATGCTTCTGGTGGCTTGAGTAGACTAGGACGTGAAGCACACCCCGTGGCACGTCGCACCAATCTAGCGGCCAGTCAGGGTCCCAAGGGTGATGCGTGGAGTGGTGTGCCCCGGCGCTCGGAAAACCTGAACAGGAGCATGTCGGGGAGTCTGATGGGTGGTCTGCCAGAAGAGGAGGCGGCTGAGGCAGACAAGGCGGCTGCTGCTGGTGGAGGACTGAGCGGCTTGGCCGAGGAGGACGATGAGGACAGGGTTGACGCTCGGAATGCTGCCAGCCGACTGGCGACTAGCACGTTCTAGGTGGACGGACTGTAAGTTGGGAATGATACGCATGAGGGAGGGGAAAAAGGAGAAGATGGAGGGGCGGAAACGGCACGTTGCGCTTCTGGGGTTTTGGTGGTGATGATGGAGGTTCGCGTATTGATATTTATTGGTTGGTAGCGACATCGCTCAATAAATTTCTGGTGTGCTTAAAGCTTTCACCAGCTGTTTTATTACTTTTCTTCTTTTCTCCCCATGACAACCCTTTTTGAACACCTTTCCAAAAAAAAGAAAAAGAAAAAAAAACACTTGTAAGGCAATGTACATCTTTCACGTCACACGGCATCATGGGAGAGTGTGTCCCGGGAGAACCTGAGAACGTAGGGCCATAGAGTTCGTTTGCGGATGACGGACGGGGGGTTTGTATAGTTCGTCATCAATGATGTGTTTTGTACCTGACCCAGCACTGCCTTGTAGCACACCCTCCCCGAAAAAGATTACCAGCATCGTGTGAAGGAGACGACAGAGATGTGCCAAAAGAGCAAAACTGGGGTCCCCAGGATTTCTTTTCCCCCTCCGTCCCCAGAATATGACTATACTTGATCAGTTCTGCGGCGGAAGGGAGAGAACTTGTTTTTCTTCTGCCTTTCCTTCAGAGTAGGTATAGTCTCTTGGCGATCTTCGGCCTTGTCGGGCCGGAGGGTCTGCAATGTTTCAATGGGTACGAGGGGGATCTGCGTGTCACTTCAATCTTTCTGTGTACGTACTCCAAAGATCGTGATATAACCACAAATGTGACGGGATTTGTTTTCAAGTTGCCACCAGAGATATTGTATTAGACCAATATACTAAGTAAAGGGAGAACCACCGGACGAGTCGATCCCGGATGTGGAGGTGGTCGACCGTTGATTACGCATGGAGGTGGCACAGGACGAGAATAGATCTTCCATGCAATTAGTCCATGTTTGTCAAATACGCGCATGTCTGGCTTGGATCTCATTTGTGTTGTCTTGATTCATATTGATTGAGTCTGGGGGGCGTATGAACCAATGGAGCGAAACCCCACGATGAAAAAGAACCAGATCATCAAATTCGGGACGTGCAGGTCTGAGATGATGGCTGCCAGCTGCAACGGCAATCTCAATTGTATAAGCGAGATATCTGAAATGGTGGAAACATCTTTTTTTCTCCTCATTGCCTTGGTCGCCTCCACTCTCAATAGAAAAAACATGTCGCCACACACCGGATCCGAACGAACCTCGAACGCATATCCGTGCCGTCCTTGCAGATTTGGCCTGCATGAAGCACCGTGGCGTGATCCGGAGCGTTGATTGATCAGAATGGGTTTCAAACTGGAGGAAAAAAAAAAAAGAGGCTTCGTTCGTCCCAAAGCAACTATCACATCAATGAATCGCAATATTGACTAACCAAGACGAAAGCGAGCCGTGTAATGCCTGCATATGGTAATGCCGTTGTCACATCTATGCAACTCGTTAACACAGATTGCTTGCTTCACCTTATCGTGACCGGCTCATCTAGACTGAGTTGTGGCGCGTCCTTCTGCTCAGTGCCGGGGGTGGCTAATTATGGATTCCTTATACTTATACAGTAGTATTACAGGCGTGACTTTCAGAATGGGTCCTGTTTCTTTAGCCGCGAGGAAGTATTCGCTGCTAATGCTAAACGACTGGAGCCCTATCACGCAACATGGCAAGTTATTTTTGACACATATCACAAGTAGCATATTACTTGCCACGGCGAGAAAAGCTGTGGACCTCAAGATCGCGTTTGTATTCTTCCTGATTCGTGAGAAACTTGACAACTTTGACTCGGATCAGCCAGCAAGTTCTGTACTACCTGACGCTAGAGTTGGGCGGCTGAAAGGCCCGATTGTGGGTCCGGCCATTATATAATACCGTGTGTTATAGCTGGTTCGTCTTTGCCTTGATATGTTGTGATGCGAGGGTATATTGCTGGTGAAGAACTGGAGCCTGTGGCCATCTCTCGTCTGGGTGCAGATGGCAATGCCACGCTACATGACGGCAACAAATGACCTTTGAAATGGACAAACAAGTGAAACCGAATACGGCTTGCCCATTTTCCAGGTAAGAATCTGGGCTGCGAGTGCAATCAATGCCGGAGGCGAGGACAGTATCTGCCGATGAAAGCTGGGGAAACGCCAAAGCGCCGACTCCCGAGCTGGTGAGCTGCAGGACGATGATAGTGATAGTTTTGCACCAGGCTGAAGTCTGCGTTCAAACGGCAAGTGTATATGTTACTGGGGCGGCAGAAGTCTCACTACATGTCTCAAATACTGCCTGATCTAGATGTGTGAGCGGTAAGTCAAAGTACCCTCTTGGCACAGATCCCTGTCTGGCATTAGCACATCCAAATCACTCTTGACTCCAATTCTCCAAGATTTGCTTTCCTTCTCTCAAAGTCGAAATGGTAGTCGTCTTCGATGTCCGGTGTGTCTGCACCAATTGTCGAGAAGCAGTTGCGTGCTAACATTTTAGTCGTCCTTGGAATGGAGTACCAGTACCATCCGGTTTCCGATTGACTTCACATGCCAGTGGCTTCCATGATTGCTCCGTCCTCTGTCTAGATGCCCAGGTCGGACGTCCTGGAAAGGGATTGGGCCACAGTCTGGACAAAAAATTCCCTGATTGCCTACTTGACCTGAATAAGATGAGTGTTTGTGGGCTACGGCGAGGTAGGTGTGTAGCATCATGGTGGGACGGGGCCGATTGGCAGAGATTTGTCTGATAGCGAAGCCGGGCCTGCGACTTGGAGAAGCTATAGATGCATGCATAGAGCAAGCTGCATACGTGTGGAAATTGGCCATACCCAAGAGGAGGTAGCAGAGACGGAAGAGGTGTGAGGAGTGGCGTCCCGTCTGTACATTGTCATGGCCTGCAACATGGTTTTTGCTTGGTGACAAGACTGCATGTCAAGACATGACTGGTATTCGATAGTACTCAAGCAGTGTGCCTTATCTTTTGCTTTCCGCATGGAGGGGGAAATGTGCGGTCAAGAAGGGAATGGCTCTCGGTAGAAGTCTCATTGGTGATTGGGACAGGTGTGCGTAGGTAGTAGGCCAACTGCTCAGCTCATATCTCCCCAGATCTCGGCAGCATGTCGTCAAGAGTCAGTTAACCATGTCAACCCACTAGGTCTCGAACGGATGGCTGGCTTTCCCTGCCGCCGGTGGGTTGAAGTTCCCCTTGTAAGTGCGTGCAAAGTATAGACTCATCTGCTGAGTGAGCTGACGGGTTTTGACTAAATTGACCATATCAGGTTGGATATGTGACTATGCCCAGTAAGCAATGCGTAATAACCTTGCAAAGACACAAGCCACGCAAGTAGAGATTGTTCTTATTCCCCTCCTGACAGTTCCAATGATACGGAGCAGCAGAATAACCAACGTCGACCCTAGGCAGTATCATCGCTACCCAATATGCAGTATCGGTGGAACAGCACCGAGGACATGGACAGGGGAGTTAGTTGACTTCTCGAGACCCCTGCTGCCATGTGCAGTAACCTCGGCCACCCAGCAGACTGTAGCTTTCATGTAGGGCCGAGATTGCGGAGTATACGGACAAGAAGTCATAATTTTTTCCGGTGACGACCGCGGTAACTCGAGTCCATGCGTGTCTTGTATGGAAAGGAAAACGTGTCTTGTTCCCCGCATGTGCTCCAATGATGAGTCGTCGTAAGATCCAAGGAAAAGGATACAGGCTGTCAATTGAGTAGCAAGCAAACCTACATTACTAGTCCAAATTTGAATGATGGGAAGTAGTTCAGATAGACGGTATCGTGTTTTGTCAAACAGAGACAGAGAAAAAAGAAGAGATGGGGATTCTTTAGCATTTTTCCCGTGCCAATGGGATGAGGGGCCGATTTGGAGAGACCCCAGGTAAAGTACAAGTCCCAATGTACCTGCTTTCCTGTTCGGAGCATGCAAGTATACCTGGGTATAATGTAGCGGCTCCCTTGGGGTAACTGATCAATGTGGGGCACTAAGTTGTCAAGTGTCTGATGTACTCTGTAGGTCTTGTAGTTACTACCTAGTGACCTATGTACTATACACACCTAGGAGTCATACGAGACCGCACGGAGGTCAGCCACTTCAACTTCCGATTGAGCACCGAGCTTCATGTGGAAAGCGCGACGTTCTTTACACATCGCACTGAATAATTCAACTGTGCACAGAAGTCACAATGGGTGGAAGCGAGTTGCTGATCTCCAGTCCCTCCACATCTTGATGAAGAGGCCATGTCGGTTGGTTTGACGGGCGTGAGCTATCGTCAACCTCGACGATCCTTCATCAAAAATCGACGATCTCTTGTCTTGTCTATATAATCTAGTACGTCGATGCTACGAACGCACCGAGATTCCGGTGGTATTCCTGTTTACAGGCGGCATATCCCGCTGGCAGTCACTGCAGATTGCACCTTCATCACGACGACCAAAGTTCGCCTACAAAGCCATTCGATATCCAGACTAGCCTGTTTCAGGGCTGGTATCTGCTCACCGCAGTGCTTCTCTCAATGTTATCAGTCCTTTCTTACTCATTACAAAGTAAAGCGAAGAGATGGCGCCTCGTCTGAAAGTCAAGTCCAAGCTGGATTTTGGTGGCCTGTCGTGAATAAATAAAAAGCAGACCTCGACACGAATACCCGTGTCCACCCGATGATTATCGACACACACACGCCCACACAATCTCTTGTACAGAGTGCTCGAAGCTCCACTGAGCGGCAAGCATGATTGGCACACCTATGAGGCAAGGGACCGATGAGAGTTATCCCCTACCTACGTTACTCCGAGACTATAACCGTGCAGTCCTCAACGGTCGCTTCGCTAGCGTCAAGACATACACGCGCCCTCGCACACACACATATATACACACTCACTGGTTCTTTTGCAAATGTACGTATACATTGGGACACCCACTTATACCAGACGGCCCTTGATCAGGGACCACACCATCCACCTCAGGGATCTGCCCGCCGGGTAGACAGCAGCGCGTCCTGTTACATTGGACATCCAAGCCGCATGCAAGCTTTCCCGAGATTATGTCGTGCTCCAAGACGACTATCTGACCTCGTCAAGATAACTCATCGATACGTGACTGGGCGTCATGGTTTCCATTAACACTTCACACATGTCGGCACCCTGGACTTGCTCGGCTCCTGGCCCAAGACTCCTCATCGATGCCTCCTGGACCATGACTGACATCAGGTTAAGAATTGTCCATCACATAGCAGTGATGGAATTGCACGGGTCTTTTGCCTACGTACATAAGACGGGTGGGGGTTCTCTGGACTCTTGCAGTCTTTCTCTTCACTCAAACTATCACTGATTTCAAGCCTACCCGCAAGTCTTGTCAGGCAAAGAGATGAACATTTCCATCTGATGATTCATATCAGCCTTCCTGCTTATCATAAAACTTGGCCATACTGGTAGTTGTGGGCGGTCATACTCGTCCACTATCTGTAACCCACGCTCTCCCCCCAAAAAAACTCCTATCATTATACTCGATCCCCAACCTCATCCCGCACTACATCCCACGCCGTTGTCGTCATATTTCACAATGGCTCCCTCCGTCATGATTGACGAGATCGCGCCTATGCATCTACCCGTTCACTCTAAATCTTCTATGATCAATGCATCCGTCCTGCATGGACCACGGGACCTGCGATTGGTGAGTTGGTGTTCCAATATCTCCTTAGGATCTTACTGTTACACAGTCCCATTAGCCGGGATTTGCCCTGATCCATGTCCCTTTATTCTTTTCTTCCCAGCTAGCTTATTAACATGTGATGATAAACGTAGGAAACCCGCAGTATCGAGGATCCGGCCCTTGGTGAACTTCAGATTGAGGTCAAGGCTACCGGGATATGCGGCTCTGATGTTTCTTACTACAAAAAGTTTGCCAACGGTGACCTCTGTGCTTGTGCGCCACTGTCACTTGGCCATGAGTCGTCTGGTATCGTTGTGGCCATTGGGCCCCAGGTGAGCGGGTTCAAGCTCGGCGATAGAGTAGCACTCGAGGTTGGACTTCCTTGCGGGCAGTGTTCCATCTGCCGGAAAGGAAGGTATAACCTTTGCAAGAAGATGAGATTCAGGAGCAGTGCCAAGAGTGTTCCTCATTTTCAGGGCACTCTGCAGGAAAGGATCAACCATCCCGCCATCTGGTGCCACAAGTAAGTTGTGCCTAGTCAAGTGTAGCACCACGAGATCTCTGACCATACCCATAGATTGCCAGACCATGTGTCTCTCGAAGCAGCCGCTCTTCTTGAGCCATTGTCTGTTGCTATACACGCAGTCAACCGTGCTGCCCCAACTCCTGGCTCGACAGCTCTTGTGATGGGAGCTGGCACTGTGGGACTTCTCACTGCAGCAATGGCGCGACGCTCTGGCTGTACTTCAGTGACCATTACGGATGTTGATGCAGGTCGAGTAGATTATGCCGTTAAACGCGGCTTTGCCACGCATGGCTACGTTGTGGCGCGTCCCTTTCACAGCTCGTCCAGTTGCTCTTCCTTCGCCACTCACTCGGGGACTACGACACCGCCCGACCTCGGCGTCATGACCCCGGGCAGTATATACTCGGACTCTATTGAGGGACGCTTTGAAAGTGCCAAAGCCTTGGCTGCGGACGTTCTCGCCTTGACAGCACCACCGCCCGGCCTAGAGGACGAAGACGAAGACGATGGCGTCGACATCACCTTTGAGTGCACGGGAAAGGAGACGTGCATGCATACTTGTCTCTACGCTACGCGACCAGGAGGAAAACTCATCATGGTCGGCATGGGCACGCCCATTCAGACGCTGCCTATGTCTGCCGCCCACCTCCGCGAGGTGGACATTCTTGGCATCTTCCGCTACGCCAACACCTATCCCACGGGCATCAGACTGCTATGCAGTCAAGGTCAAGTTGGTGCTGCATATAATCTTCCAAGCTTGGATGACATGGTGACGCACCGGTTCAAGGGCCTGGATGCTGCCAAGGGTGCTTTCGAGCTGGCAAGCCGGACCGTCGACGATGACGGCAACCTGGTTCTCAAGGTTGTCATCGAAGTATAATGTTCACGAAAAGAGGACAGACAGAATTTGGGAAATATAAGAATACACGGAATAAGAAAATATGGCATCTCTGGTAAGAAATAAATACCCCCGGGGAAAAAGAAAATTTCCTAGTTTCTCCATCGCAAAGGCTAGATCAGGAGGGACTTGGGGTTGGTTTTCGACATGCTTACACAAGACACGTTTTCATCATTTCGTATACCATAGATTATCAGGCGCTGGCTTTTCCGGAGGTTGATGTTTTTTCCACTCGAATGGGGTTTGGATACAGTCCTGTGTGGTTAATAGACAGAGGACTAGATGGACTTGCCACAATTGTTTGGTTGCAGCGGGTATCTCGATAGAGAATTACATTCGTTCATCATGTTCATTATCGTCTGTTCTATCGTAAAGATTCATCCTTGTGATGCTGACAAGAATTTGGGGCCTAATTCAAAGGTTCCCCGCATAGTCTTTTGTGCTTAAATGAACGCCATTTTCGCCGTGCAAATGCAAAACGCCCTCATCTCCACAACTTAAATCCACGCCGGGCTGCGGAGGTCAGTTCATGAGTATTGATTGTGTTGGTCGACCGATCCTAGAAGTCAACCATTCCAGCTGCTGCCATGTGTCCGCCATCGAGGTTGACCTGCTGCATCAAGTTCCGTGTCTGCTTCTTGGCAGATTCCACAGCATGATGCTTCTTGCCAATGTCACGAATGCCAATAGCACTTTGCATGACATCATTGAGCAGAGTCACGAGATGTACATCGTTAGCTTCACTAAGCAGTTCCTGCTGGAAAGCCTCTGTGGCAGAGGGTACTAGGAGTGCGAGCCGGTTCACCAAAGCCTGGATAGATCTGAGGATGGTATGCGACGGCATCGTGTGAGCGTCTGCCTGTTGCTCGGCGGCTGACGGCGTCTGGGAGCCCGAGATTGAAGATGGTGGCAGTCGCTCGAGGTAGGTGATGAGAAGCTTTATGCGAGCTTGTAGCATCTTGATGGCATTGGCCTTGGTTGTGAGGGACCCAATAAGTTCTTCTTCTTCCCGGGACAGTACGTGCTCATCCGGGACAGGTGTGCTGTCTTCTTGCTGCTTGTCATCCTCCACCTTCTCCACCTTCTCTTTGCCCTTGCCCTCAACTTCTTGTAGCACCCTTCCAGTCTTTGCCGGCTCCTTTGGCTTGACTAGGGTCGCATTGCCGGCACCTTGAGCAATGAAGTCCATGCTGATCATCTCAGCTTCACCGGACTCCACAGAGTATGGCAGCTCTCGGAACTTGAGCTTGAGAGGCGCATCGCTGTCCTTCATCTCCTTGTCTTCGCTGTTGTGGTCCGCCTTGGGTTCGTCCACTTCGTAATTGCTCTCGTAAATGGTCAGAGGTAGTCTGCTACCTGCCGATTGGTCGACGGCCTCTTCCGGGTGGAAGGCCAGCAGCAACGACGACTCGTTGTGTTCCGAGAGGAGCCAGCTGTGAATCGGGAGAATGGATGGGGTCGGGCCAGTCCTGGGCAGTAGTGTGTACCAACCCACAAGGTCTAATTGAGGTGACTTGTGTATGGTGCGCACTGCAGCACACGCATGTGTTAGCTTTGTTTTCATCATGTGTTGCCCTTTGGCGGTTGTCGATTGATGACAGGACTAGACCTACTCTGATCCAGTCTCTGGGCAAACCAGTGGCCATCCAGCACAATGTTTCCATCTTCGGCCTTTGTGGCGCACTCAAAGGCATGCTCGATTGTGACTTCGCGGCCGTTCTGCTGTCCCAGTAAAGCGCCGGCAATCACGCCCTTTTGCTCTCGCAGGGTGTAGCGGGTGATGTAATCGGAGATGGTCAGAAGAACGAGAGGGTGAAGAACTGCCTGGAGTCCCGAGTCCGAGGACTTCTGGGACGAGATTAGAGGGTTGTCCATCGTATTTGTTTCCCCTCTTTGATGTCAGTAGTCAAACTTGTCACGGCGCAATGATGAGTTTGACGTCTGTGACAAGGTTGAAGTTCAACAAGCTACAAGGCTACCAGATTGAAGGGCGCATATCAGCTTTGGCGGCAGTGATTAAGTACGTACGTGAACAAACGTGGGGAAGGTGCAGCCTCGCTAGAGGTCTTAGGCAGCTTCATCTCATGGCGGGGCATCTTCAATGTACAAGCACTGACCTCTAATGCATTATAGTACAGGTTAGTAATGTGTTTGCCCATTTTGCTGTTTTCTTATTGTCAGTCATTATTCTTGACAACTCTTGCGTCTGCAAGACTTTTCTTTCTTTCTTCACTAGTAGGCATTTATCGTTTCTTGTCTATTTTTATCTATTGCACATGAATTCACCCACTTTCTATCGATAGCACGCATGCCTGGGATGCCTCTTTCAAGCAACTACGTTGGCACAGACACTCTCAACGCTCAAACTGACCAGGATAAGCGAGATGATACCAAATACTGGTCCCTGCAATTAGACCCGCAACCACTCACTTGCGACACCGCTCGGTATGTCAACCAGCGGCAGGTCTCACCTATATTGTTGCTTCCCGCATCTTACATACATACACAAGAGAGAATAAGGGACTGAATGAACTGCAGCACATGTCAGTCAGTCAATCAGTCACCTCAGTCAGTTGTCAGATTTGCATCTTTTTTTTTTCTTCCCTTCTCGAGCTGACTTGTCATCATCGTCAACTTCTTTTACTCCCCTCCCCTCCTTTCCTCCTTGCCTAACATCCGTCTTTGATACCCGCAAAGCTCCAGGATGCAATCACAATGAAGTGCCCCATCAGTGTATCCTGTGCCAACCGTTGATCTTTGATTTGAGAACGAACCTCAAATACCGACTGGCGGACATATTTCCTCCTACTACTCCTCGCTTTCCCTATGCAGGGGTGGTTTTGAGTCTTTGACTTTCGTTTCAGTCACCAATTGGAGAAGGACAGACAATACATGTGCAAAGGAAGAAGCTTCATTGACGATCATTACTCGCTGCGGGGGGAAGTCTCATGTCTCGTCTCCTCCTCCTCAATTTTGCTACCACTCAACTCCGGCCCCCGGTGATTCCGTCACTTTCTCCCCGATCCATCCCGCTTTTCCTACAAATATCCGGCAAGATTTCGCAGCTTGACGGAAGCGCATCTACTTCGTCAGCGGAGACTCTCCCGTTGTAATCCATAACCTCTCGCTGTCCTTGCGAACCGCCAGGAGACAAGAGAGCTGCGAGCCATGTCTGCGCCACCCAACGCCGCTCCTGCTCGGGGCGGCTCAGGTCAGACCAACAACCATGACCACTTCGGATCATTCCCATCGGCACAGAAGTCAGCCTATAGCACGCAGTCAAGAGTGCCTTCGAAGAGATCAGACGATGACATTCAGTTCATCTCATCCCAGCCGGTGAAGAAGCAGAAGCTCGCACAGACAAAATTGCAGATCAAGATTACACCCCCAACCACAACAGGGCCATCTTGTCGTGCAATTCAGCCGCAACAGGAACATCAGTCTCCGTTTCAACATAATGGCCAGGTACAAACTCAAGTCACACCATTTGCAGTGCCTGAATTACAGCTCACGCCTGCTCCTGTGGTGACCGTGGCAGGAAATGGCGGTCAGCCACAGAACAAGACACATGCTTATGCTTCTGCTCAGGATCGAAGGATAAGCACTGGCATGGTCGGCCTGCCCCCCGACTTTTATGATGCAGAAGCTGCAAACGCCATGAGGGGTGTATCTCTGCCCCTCGCGACATGCTTGGACAACTTTGTTCTGAATCAACCTGCTGGCAGACCCAGGCCCATGAGTTCGCCGCCACTATCACCAAAGCAGCTATGTCCCACCACACCATTCTCCATGCTGGATGCTACCATGTCATCCCCTGATGGGGTCAGCCATCACAACACCCCTCAAGAGGCTTCATACATTCCGCGAAACCCTTCTATGAGACCGCAGGGTGACATCCAGATGGCTGCTGCAAATCATCATCAACATACAATCTTCATCAATCAGACCATGACGCCCATAAATAGCCCGTCCCCGGCCACTTTGAAGAATATGGATATAGCAATGTCAAGTACGCCATTACCCGCATCCCCTCCAGCAACGCAACCTTGTGAGCAGCCACCTGACAAACCAAAACAGACTCCTATCATATTACCACGTACGCCGACTACGCCGATGACGCTGCCTCTTACCAATCACCACAATGGAGCCAAGGCTCCTTGTCAAGCCTGCATCGCACAGAGTCACAGAGCTATGATGCCGAAACCTCAAGCTTTGCCAACGCCTATGATGGGTATGTCGAAGATGACCTCGCATGCAATGCCACAGATACCATGTCCACCCATGCATTCATTTCCGCCCTCACCTCAGCAATACATGGCGATGTCGCCATATAACCCAGGGTTTCATCCCATGATGATACCAATGCACCTACAGGGCTTCCAGGGAGCCCTGCATCATCACAGCGGCATGCCATTCCATCCGCAACCTTTGATACCCACTCAGACCAGACCAGAACTAAGTGGCAGCCCTCCGCAGACGCCAACTAGCATCAGGCGAGATGAGATGCGCCAAGTAACACCTTCTACGCCTTCGCCGCTTCCAGCAACGACGTCAGCGAGCCCAGCCAAGTCATGCTCGACGTCGTTGACGAAGCATCGGAAGCCAGCACGCAATCTCATCGTTGATATTGCCGAGACTTGTCATGAGAGATTTCCCTTTGAGGACGTTGCAAAGCGCCAGAATGTCACTGTTGCCGAAGTCAGAGAGGTGTATGATGCTGTTATCGGCGTCCCACTGTTGGTGAGCGCCAGCGACCGGCGAAGAGCAGGCGAACTAGCCAGGAGTAGAAAGACGGAGTACCGGAGCATCAAGAAGGACATTATGAAAGAACGAGCAGAGACTGCTGGCCGTGGGGCGGCCGACGGCGCAAAAGACGACACCGTGGTGAGTGCAGTGGATATTGCACTCAGATTAGGAGCATCGAGAACACCGGACAACAGGTGATTGCATAACTGGATACAGAGCGAGCATGAGAATTGGAAGGTCAGAAAACCATCACGACATTTGCATTCAGCATACTACACATTTTGGGCGTTTTTCTCTTATTTTAAGGGCATTTACACTGGTGGGAATTTTCATTTACAGGCAGACCTTTTCTGATATCATTCGGCGAGCAGGGGCTTCAACCAGGCAATACGGGCATTCATCAACTAGCATACACACCATTTTTGCATAAAATAAACGCGGAGTTATTGATTGATCTTTCTGAATAATATTTGTGCATGGAATTGAAACATCATGGGCTCCATGTGAAGTTATTGTATTCATTCTAGCCGAGGATCTCACGGACGACGAAGAGATTCTATGGATTTTGATATCCTGAACTCTTCCCAACGTGACAGGGCATCGCTACTGGTGATCGGCCGTCGGTTTTTGGAAGCTGTCAAGTCTATGACAGGCGGTTGTAAATGATGAGGAGAAGCCATGGCCTGCATAGCCTCCTTGTCCCTCCCAGGCCTGCCATGATTTTCCATCTCTGGAGGCAGTAATGATGGTAACTGGTCTAGTTCTGGCTTCGGTAGCGCATCTTGTGCCCTCCAGTCAGACTTCTTTTCACCGACTTGCTTTTCATCAATTTGAAGTTCCGCAATCTCGAGCCAATCGACTTCACTGTACTCATCCTTGACTTGGTCCTTGTCCTCTGGACCTCTTTCATTTTCCTTGTCTTCCTCTTCTTCTTCATAGTATATTTCCTCCTCCTCCGTCTCATCAACCAAGGAGTCGGAACGGTTGGATAGAACGCTCCCCCAACCAAGCTTGGCCTGCCAAGACGTGTCTAAAGCTTCTCTTTGTGCTCTTTGTAGTTGTCCGGTATCATCGGGATAGTCACCCCAAACGCACCGCTTACCTACCCACCGAGAACTCAAACCAAGCTGCATCATGTCCACGCACGCCAGAAAAGGAACATTCTTCTGCGTCTCCGGGCTCTTGTCCATGATCTTTTGTCTCGCCTCGAGATATCCCGATTCGAGTGCTCGGAGAATACGGTCCAGCTCGGGATCTGGACCATTGCCGCGCCGCTGTCCCTCGAGTTGTTCTCGCCTGTCTTCAAAGAGGGACTTGGCCTTGTACAGCAACCAGGCCGGATCGCACTGTGAACAGAAATCGTCCAAGACGTATTCGGGGCCACTCGGTTGGTCTCGTTCGCACCGCTCGCCACGCTTACCTTTGTCGCACTGGTGTACTCGTGCGTCCTCGGCTGCAGAGGAACATATCGCGCAAGGCTCCCAGCACCGTCGCCCGCAGTGTACGCTGTAGTGGTTGAGCGAGTGGCCACATCTCAACATCCGTACCGTGTGTCCCTGACACATCCTGACTTTTGACTTGGCATATGGTACAGCAAAGAAGGAAAGAGAAAAAGAAAGTTGAAAATGTACAAGGACACCAAGCGTCCAGACTAGCAGAAACAGCGCAGATTCTGCAGCGTAAACAAAGCATTAAACTGACCATGTCACTTACCTCGCTCTGTCGCCGTGTCATGAGTGTCGTACCATTATATCTTGACCGGGGAAGACAATGAGACAAAGGCATGGGACATGCTCATTGACCTCTTGTCAACAACTTGACATGGACATCATTGTTCCCCCAACGAACGGCGACACAGGCCACTTTCATTTTATAGCTTTGTTGTCCTCCACTGAACAAAAAGGTGCTTTGCAAAGAACTCGTCTTTTGTTGGGGCTCTCGGAAAACCCTGAAAGCCTTTTGAAACTTGACCACGTGGGCCATTGTTTGTTCATTGCTGGATGTTAGGCGTACGCCGAATTTGAGCATGCTTCGTCGATCGAGATGTGCAGTCGTAGAAGCCGAACCGGTGTAGCGCAACGTCTCGATCATCCTCGTTGTCCCGCAATGATGGGACCCCATTCTCTCGTCGCTCATATTGAAGTCGAACTATGCTCGCCAAACAAGCCTATAGATAGGACTACTGCAGTGCTCCAAATTCCGACACGAAGCATGTCGATCTCTTATATCTTGTGACCGTGATTCCCAGGATGGCGCCAGGCATGAGCTGCAAGTTGATAAGGAGACGAACTCCAGAGAGTGACGTACTCAAGCGAAAATGCGATAGTCAGTATGGATCGCTTGTGTCGGCATACAGTCTGTTGATTGTATGGGAAAGTGATCGGTGCAGAACAGTATGTTTTGAGCGCGGAAGATGACTATCTTATATTGCCCAACGTACTAACACCCATGACCAAGCATGGGTGTTGAACAATATAGGCGAGACAACATGGGTGGCGGTGGACACTTGGGGGTTGAAGGTAGCAGTACATGGCCCTTATAGTCGGCCACGTTGCGGTACATCAAAGTACCACGAGTAAAACTTTCATGAGCAAGGGGTCATCATGCCTTGCCTGGTTACATTAGCGCTGCACACTGTTCAAAGGATGCTCCCCAGTGACGCATGCATAGGTTTATTTGGCCTGAGAGGATACAAAGCAACGGGCTCGAAAGCCATCAAGTCTCCTGTATCTCATAATTCTTGCGCATTTGATTGCCAAGGCTTTCGATGACTGTTCCTGTATCATGTTCTGCTTCAGAGCTGCTAGAGGCGCTTTATCATGCTCTTTCATGTACTTATATTAGCTCTCTTACAGAGAGAGAGAGAGAGGCGAATAAAAAGCTGAATTATATCGGCATGACTCCATACATTTGTGTGTACTGCTCCCAGTATATTATCGCTTGAGTCGGTTGAAATGAGGTGATTGAGAAGATAGTAAAATGACACAAGACTAATCACTGGACTATTCAAGATAGCAAATTGTATATACAGTCATCTTCAGAATATACAGGCTAAATCAGAAGGGGGAAAAAAGGTTCATTTGCCCTTGTTTTGCAGTCGTCGATGCCTAGCCTAGACTCGAGATTCATAAGATTTACGCTGTACTCCTAGAATTTCCATCATCTTGCAATTCCATACTAGCTTCTCTCATTCTGGAGACATGAATAGGGCAAATGGTCAATAAGCGGCAAAAAGATGTCTTCAAACCGAATCAACTAAGTCTGATGAAACGGACAAGCCTGTGTGTACTTGAATGCTCTGGTATCCTTGTTAAGCACAGATGACGTGCGCTCGTGGTGTCTTTCATACATTGATGTTGAACAATGAGTATTCTCTAGTCTAAAAATTCTGATAGCACATCAAAGCTTTCGCTAGTGTCAAGTAACACATTGACAGCAAGTCCAAACCCTTTTTCAATAGCCCATGAAAGTGGTGTGCGCCCACTTTTATCAGGAAAAGTGGTATCGGCTTTCCCTGTGAGAAGTAGCATTCTCATAACATAGATATGCCCATTCGAGGCTGCCCAGGATAATGGGGTTCGGCCCCTATTATCTGGTAGATCGACGTATATTGCTTCCGTGCCAAGAAGCACCTCAATCACAGCCTCATATCCATATTCAGCTGCTAACGACAATGGTGTCCGGCCATTCTGATCTGTCAAATTGACATCAACTTTCCCTGTGAACAGTAGCATCAATGCTATATGATCATTGCCACTCAAAGATGCCCAATATAGTGGTGTCTGGCCATTATCATCCGGTAGATCGACATCTATTGCTTCCGTGCCAAGAAGCACTTCGATGACAACCTCATAACCATATCCGGCTGCTAACGACAATGGTGTCCGGCCATTCTCATCTGGTATATTAATATCGACTTTACCCGTGGATAGAAGCATTATCACAACAGAATCGTGCCCATTCGAGGCTGCCCAAGATAATGGTGTACGGCCATGATTGTCTTGAAGGTTGACGTCAATGGCATTAATGTCAAGAAGCACTTCGACCACATAATCATCTCCATATTCCGCTGCCCATGATAGTAGAGCCCTTCCATTGTGATCCAGTCGAGCGGTCTGAGCTTTGTCCGCGAACAGAAGTCTCTTCTCTGTAGTCCTATCTCTAGAAACGACTGCCCACATTAGAGGTGTACAACCGTGACAATCGGGAAAGTTCAGATCAACTTTCTCATCAGATAGAAGCAGATTGACTACAGCTTCACTCCCAGCCCAGGCGGCCCACGAGAGGGCTGTCCGTCCGCGGTAATCTGGCTTATCGGGGTCGACTTTCCCCGTGCTTAAGAGCAATCTGACCACATTTGCGTGACCATTTGAGGCAGCTTTCAAGAGCGGTGTTTGGCCCAAGTAGTCTGGTAAATCAATACCAGCCTCCTTCGTACCAAGGAGAAATTCAACAACTGCTCCATGTCCGTTTGAGGCTGCCCATGATAGCGGTGTCTGACCGTAGGCATCTCCTACATTAGCATCGTAATCGGCCAATAACGCCTTGATAGCGATAACCAATCCGAATCGTGATGCCAAATGGAGCCCATTCATAGTCCCTAAAGAATCCTGATCGTGTTTCCAGTGACGAAGCCGCAATTCGCTAGTCTCCAGTGCTTGTATTGATGCTTGGACATGACGCTGCTTCCTCAGAAAATCTACCACATGTTCCTCAGATTTTGCAAGCTGGGCATGGTGTCCCCATTCCTTGGATGCATAGTGATAGAAAGGGAACTCGATACAGCGCTCCTTAAAGCCTTCAAATGAGTGGCAGTAGCCTTCAAAAGCGTCGAAGGAGAGATACGTAGCACAGATTTGGGTGATGTGATCGTGGGCATCGACAAACCATTTCCCACTTGTCTTTTCGAAATACTCCTGTGCCGTATAGTGGACCAAGCGAACTGCATCGCTTTCCTCATCGATTGTGACTAGCCCGGCACAGATAGACTTGATCGTTCGAATGCTAGGACAGTAGTTGGTATCGATTGCCTTGGTGTTTGGCCGAATGGCCAGTGCATGCGTTATTTCTGCACTGGACATAATCCTCCTGGCATGGACGATCCATAGAATAATTTTCTTTGCGAGTTGGGCCAAACCGCTGCCTTGACCTTCGATTCTCTGCATTGAAAGCTCATACACGGCGTCCAGAGGATCTGATCCCTTGTCAAGCTTGTCCAAAGCGTCGAGGATATCTCCCTTGGTCGGCAACGCAGCCAATGAATTAGAATGCAAGTTCGCGAGGAGAAACCTTGAAACCACTGTCAGCAAGATCTGTTAAGTGGACGAGAATTCAACATTAGGAATACCTACATCCCATCTGCAACCTTGATGATCTTTGACACAACATGTTCGCGGAATTCGTCGTCATATATTTCTTTGTCGAATGTCCTTATCACACTCTGAAGCATGATGCTCATGTCCTCAGAGCATGGAACAATAGGCATGATTGTCGTGTTTTCATCCATCAATAGATACACAATCTCCTCGTGTGGTCGTGACGTGGCAAGGATGTTTATGTTCATTTTGATTTGAAGATCATGCATATCTGAGAGGAACTTCACTCGGTTCTGGCTTGTGCATTCGTCTAGAGCGTCCAATACAATGAATACACGATCGTATTCCGGAATAACGCGGCTCAAAGAAGTGAGCAATTCGCTATGCGTAAGGTGTGTGCCTTTCTTCTGGTGAGTCTCTGAAATGCTACGAACATGGTCTGGGAGGAATGATTGGCCGCGTAAAAGTTGCGTCAAAAGGCTGGCAAGCACCAGTTCTACAGTTTGCTCGGCATGTCGTGAAAAACTAAAGTATACGTGAGCCAAAGCAACATTAGAATCTGTCGAGAAACGATGACCTATATCATTAATGATCGCAGAAGCCAAGATGGTTTTTCCCGCCCCGGGTATCCCAGGGCAGTATAATGTTCTCCCATGGGTCTGGAGCCAACGCTGGTATTCTGCAGAGCAAAGAAACCATTGGTTTGTCTTCGGATGCCACCGCTTGAGCGTGTCTGTCTGTTGAGCACCATAATTAATAGTTGAAATCCAGTCGATTATCTCCATGTCTTCTTTGTTGTTCAGTAACTGCGTCTTCCTTGTAGTATGCTCCCTGATGGTGGCCACATCTTGGGAAACTGTTTCCATTAGACTCGAATCCAAGCTTTGTTAATAGAGTAAGATTAAATTACTGACTGATTCCAAGTAAGGCATTGGCTGGTTCCGCGCCACAGACTTCATCGGCAACCACATAGCCTAGCAATTCCTTTGCGAATGCAGCTGCCACTGCAGCAGCATGCTTTTGCCAGGCCTTGTTCTTGTGCGAGTCTGCATAGTCGCATATTCCTCGGATCACTATGCAGGGAAATCCATCCATAAGTCCAGCGGCTTCCATCTCGATGCAGAGAACTTTTCGGCCAAGATCAACGGAAAGCTGATCTCTGGCTTGCGCATCTTTGATGACCTGATTTCCCGAGGCGATAAGTCCGTAGTGCACACGCATATCCCGTGGCTTCCGTCTCACGACTTGAGCCTTGTCACAATGTCGGCAATCGTCTCCAGCCTCGCTCTCTGACTCTTCCCATATCTCTTCATCCTCCACGCTGTCTTGATGCTGTTGATCGACATGGTCATAGCCTGCCTTGAACAGAATGTCCTGCAGGTCGTCGAGTTTGAGATACTGGGCTGCCATTCTCGGATATCGTTCTTTCAGCTCTTCCATATATTGAGGTATCTTGGTTCCGTGCAGTTCGTGGTCCGTCTCCAGCCTCGCAAGAGCAGTCAAGAGCAAGGTGGGTGGGTTGTTCAGAGCGCCGGTTCGTCGAAAAGATCCGCCTTGTTCAGCTTTACCCATATCCCATTGCACAACTCCAGGGTGCTGATCGGTAGGCACACTGACGACTACATCGCCCAGTCTCACATGACGGGGAACTCCTCCGCCGATACCGACCATCAATCCGAACCTGATACCAGGAAAAGCATGTATCATGTGGGCTGCGACGCTTGCAGCAGAAACAGTGCCGACTTTCCCTTTCGGTAAGCACGCAATGACGATATTATGATCACCGATCGAACCGAGGGTATACGTGTTGGGATCATTGGGTGGTTTTGGGAGATTCGGGTGCCGCTCATCAAGCATCGCTGTTGCGGCTGTCTGCTCTTTCGGTAACGCACATACCCAGCCGACCGTATATGCTTTGTGCCCGCGCACCTGTGTCGCCATGGTTGGTTGCTCTCTCGCCACGGACTAGGAAGTTGCATTGGCTACGCTTCGACTGGCCACAAGCTCGATGCCACAAGTCAAAATTTATAAGATTATGGAATGGAAAGAACTGAGTTGGCACGAAATCTTGCGCAGCCTTATGGCCAACACAAGGGCGCTTAGATGATGCAACCGCCATAGCAGCGATTGGCTGAAGAGGTGCAGACTACTGAGCAGGGCGTATTTTCCAGGATTATTGCCTGAGCGGGGTTCAACATCTGGCTGTATGAGTCGCTATTCTAGGATAGAACCGTAGCTCCCAGAGTATCAAAAAAAAGGATGATTACCTAGTACATAAAATCGGGCTAGAATTTGAATGAAGTGAAACAGATGAACTAGGCCACTAACATGAACAGGCTTTTCAGTATTTATTCCACTACTATATATGCTACCTCGTAGGTAGGTATGTATGAATTCACTTTCTGATACTCACGACAAGGAATAATTACATCACACGATTGACACTTTCTTTCCATCATCTTGATCTTCATATCTCATACCGGTCACTCTTATGCTGGACGGGTGTATAGGTAAAATGATCAAACACAGCCTTGGCCGCTGTTCCGTTGAGATCCGAACAAGCCACCCCGACAAATGCGCCCGTGAAGCTGCCATGGGCTTGATGCCCACCGCACTCGTCGGATATGATGGACGCATCAAAGACGGGCCCAACCTCTTTCAACTCCTCGCCATCTAGGGCGTAGAAGAACTGTAGATCTTTTCCTCGAATCTGTAAGGTCAGTTTCACCTTTCCTTTGTCGGGAAGAGACACGGGCTCAGCAAACGGCGTCTTGAGGTTACCGTCTGGCCAAGACGCCTCGGAGGACTGGATGAGCAGCTCGCGCCGACCGTCCGAGTCGGCCGTTACCGTAAGATAGAAAAAGTTGTAGCGGCAGTAGTACGCGGTGAGTCCAGCAAACTGGCGCTCGTCTTCAGGCGCAAAGTCAATAACTGTCTCGGCATCGTACGAGAAATGCGTCTGCCGCCGGGCTACCAGCGCTTGCTCGAACCAAGACCCGATGGACTCGCGCCCAATCAGCACCAGCTTCCCGTCCGCCCGAGTCTGAAAGATACGTTCGGGTTCCGGAGTCCGCAGCCACTGAAAGTCCTTTGGCAGCCCGTCCGCAAATGTGTAGTGTCGTGACGCCCAATACGCCGCCTCGTCCCGCTGGCCCGGCACTTCAACCCGCAACGACGGCACCGGTCCATTCTTGACGTAGAGCCACTCATCGTCGCCCCAGTACGCCTCCTGAATCGCCGTCTCACGACCGAGCACGCAGCGCCGGGCCTGGGTAATGGGCCGGCCGCTCAGATGCACCAGGTACGTCTTGCCCTCGGGCGTCTCAACGACATCTCCATGGCCGGCTCGCTGTATAGCAGCCCACGGCTGATCCTTTGATGTCAAGATGTGCTCCTGGGGATGCGTCTCGTAAGGGCCCCAAATATCCCGGGACCGCGCCAGCGTGCACGCGTGGTCGTAGCCCGTGCCGCCCTCGGCCGTCAGGAGATAATACCAGCCGTTGCGTTTATACAAATGGGGCCCTTCGACGAGGCCCAGGTCGGTGCCGGGATAAATGTTCTTATTGGGGCCCACGAGCTTCTCCTGGACCGGGTCAAATTCTTGCAACACGATGCCGGCAAAAGCTCTCGGCCGCCGGCGGTGGTCCCAGAGCATATTGACAAACCACTTGCGCCCGTCCTCGTCGTGGAACAAGGAAGGGTCAAAGCCGGACGAGTTGATATAAATGGGATCGGACCACGGGCCCGCAATGGAGGGCGCATGGACAATGTAGTTGTGCGTGTCCTTGAAGGACCCGTCCTTGCGCTTGACGTCGGTATAGACGAGCCAGAACTTGTCGCCGTCGTGCGTGAGACACGGCGCCCAGACGCCGCAGCTGTCGGGGTTTCCGCGCATGTCCAGCTGGCTCTTTCGGCTCAGCGGCCGGATGACGAGGTCCCAGTTGGCCAGATCCTTGGAGTGGTGGATCTGCACGCCGGGATACCATTCAAAGGTGGACGTTGCTATGTAATAGTCATCACCTACACGTAGAATGGAGGGATCTGGGTTGAAACCAGGTAGGATCGGGTTTAATATGGAAGGCATGGTGCTGTTTCGTATTGTTTTTGTAAATGGGTTGGTATATTTTTTAGAGTGGCAGTACTATAGTCAGTCAGATTAACGACTATGCTTAGGATCGATTTATACTATTTGGCTGCAGAGGGGAAGAGGTTTAGGCTCATGCAAGGCAATTTAGCCGGGACAGCTCAATCCGAGAACGGCCAATCCCCACCCCTAGGACCGACAAGTAGCCGGAGACATCATCTTGAAGAGTTCTGCTGAGAGCGTTAGTATACATACGAATGGAAGGATTGTAGTTGCTTGGCAATCTCCCGAGATGGAAATGTGAAATAGTATGTTTTGCGATGGTGACCAGTCATGATGGCATAAGATAACCTAAAAGTCACTACTTCGATTGTCATTATTGAAATGACAATCTCATAGACTTTCAAATATGCACTATATCACATTGCTTTGGAGCCGAATACAACTCGATCATGTTATGGTTCTTTGATTTGATCTCCAGGTAAGTGTCGTTCACTTGGAAGCAACTCGAAAGACGACATCGACAATCTCTTGGTTCTTGTCATCTTGCAAGAACGGACTATGGTCACTTGTGATCTCGACAATCTCGCAACCTGTCGCTTGGGCCATGTGGATCTGCGCCTCCCGGGGTATCGCTTGATCCTCGCTGCAAACGATATAAGTCTTTGGAACCGTCACGTCAGTCGCGACGAAATGCGCTCCCGCGTGTTGGCTCGCCTTGCTTTGGTAGACGAGTCCGTCCACCAAACTCTGACGCGCCTCCTCGGGCTGCAAGCAATTGTAAAACGTATTGGCAGCCTTCTCATTGAGTTTATGAAAAGGAGGCTATTGAAGTTTGTCAGTTTGCACTCTATGCGGTCCGTCATAGGAAGAAGGGAAGCGCTCATACATCTTCTGGGTCTGGCGAAAAGAACGGCGCACATTTGCCGCCGATATCCCCCATCAAACTTGCTCCATGATTAGAAAGCGCAAAGGCCGCAAGGTAGACGACGGCCTTGATACCGCCATCAAGTCCCCTGGTCTTGCGGTCCTCGACCGTCTGGCCCTCGACACATGCGCTGCCAGCTATCCCGCCCTGGGAGTGGCAGAGAATCACTGCCTGTCGGCCAGCGTCGAGGTGTGGCAGCAGGGCCTCGTGAACCCGCTTGACATCGTCGACGTACGTCTTTCCTGCGACGGAGTCATCCAGTCCCGTGGTAGGTAATGGAGGTGCCAGTACTACATAGCCTTGCTTGCGTAGCAGATCGATTGTCTTTCGATAGTAGTGAGGTGGATGCCAAGCACCGTGAATGAGGACTATTACTGGTCTCTCTGTGGCCATGGTTGCAAAGCGAATTTCGAAATTACAATTGTCAAAGTATTCCGACTTCAATATAAACAAGCAAGTCTATGATAGTGAAGATTGCATTTCTGAGGTTTGGACTGAAGAGAGAGGGGGCCGGGCCTTTATAAGAGAACTCTAGCTCGAATCATCGGCCTTGCAAAGAACTATTATTAGCCATGCGATACTTTTAAGAGTGCGGAAATATTCAAAGCCAATATCGGATGAACATCATCTAACCTTAGCTTGAGCCCACTTGTCTCATGCTGACAGTTGTACATAGTAGTTTAGTACCAAAGCATGCAAGACGCAGAGTGTGGGCTTTTGGTTCAAGGATCCGTAGTAGCATATGGGTATTCATGTTGTATGTGAGCTATGTGGTATCGAATGAATGATGCTGTTTTTGTACGATAACCCCAGTCATTTCTGGCAGCCAGCCCATGATAACAATCCTGTTCAGTTGCCTCGGCGCAGAATGTTCTTGATTTGAGGTGGTATACAAAAACAAGGATACTCGCACACGACATGAGGTAAACACTTGACTTACAAGATGGAGTGGACATGGACTAATAGGTGTGACCTAGAGAGTTGCGAAGTGGGGGGCTGCAGTGTGTCCCCTGCGATCCAAGGGGTCCCATTTGGCGGGGTAAAAATGTCTACTGTGTAATGCAGGTCTCGACTAGTAACATGCACCGAGTACAGCAACTTTCCTTGGAACCATTCTTTTGAACCAGCGGCCGCAAAGCTGAACTGTTGAACCTTGTGATACACTAGCTTTGACCCAGATACGTTTCTCAAGCCACAGGTGCAGTTTCCTGTCGAATTGTGTTGATTCAAATTCAACTAGAAGCAAACCGGTGATTCGTCGCAATGACAACAGAAGAGGCCAAGCGCAACGCCGAGGCGTTGATACCCAAATTCGAATTCGAACGCGTGCTCAATCAAGGTAACAAGGGTCCCAACGAAGCGCCTGGCCCCCGTCGCCCCAGCGGCCGAGTCGTCCGCACATCAGTCAGAAGCATGAGTAGGCTGATGTAAGAGACAGATGAGGGAGGCTGCCGCATCAACCTGTACGGCCACGTCGAGTCCAAGCCAGCGATTCTCATCCTCGAACGGGCACCCTTCCCAGACGCGCCCGAGTACCTGTCTGTCCTGCCGACAAACCTCCGCAGTCTGATCAACCTGGGAAACAATGACATATACTTTTGGTTTCTTGGAAGTGGAGGACCTCTCGCTGCAGACAAGGACAAGGACCGATTTGCCGACTTGAAACTCTCGCTCATTTGCCCATGCACGGACAAGCACATCAAGAAGCATTCCAAACAAGGATTCCGCTTCGTAGTCGAAACACCAGAGATATATCGAGACAATGTACGACCTTTCATGCAGGCTAGCCGGGAGGCAGGACATTTAAATTGGGTTTACAACATTATCGAAGGCCGCAAAGAGGTGGAAGACGTGATATACCGCACGCCGCTGGGCCGTGACGGTGACGAAGGTTTCCTCATGTTGCCCAACCTGCACTGGGATCGCAAGACCATCGAAGCGTTACATTTGCTGGGAATCGTCGAGAGGCGAGACCTATGGAGTCTGAGAGACCTCAAGAAGAAGCACATTCCCTGGTTAAAGCACATGAAGGCCAAGCTCGTTGACGCCACGGTGGAAAAATACCCGCAGATTGAAGAGGACCAGTTGAAGCTCTTCTTTCACTATCACCCCACGTATTACCACCTACACATCCACGTGGTTCACGTCATGCTAGAAGCCACCTCGACACAGTCGGTGGGCAAGGCTGTCGGTGTGGACAGCGTCATTGAACAGCTGGAGAAGATGGAAGGAGATGACGAGACAGGCATGGACACGGTATCGCTGAGCTACACTGTTGGTGAGGAGTCGGATCTGTGGACGGATATATTCGCACCACTCAAGAGCGCCCGTAAAGCTTCTCTACAGCAATGACAAGATCATTAACGCCAGCGCCGTTTGGACAGTCTTTCCACTCTCCATCGTCTCTGATGCAGTATATTTGTTCGTCCAATCGTACGGTGCAACTCTTGATTACCCCGGCCTAGATAGCACAAAAGTTAGCAAATGTTCCATAGACTTGAAGCTAGACCACAAAGCAACTGGTTGAAATAAGGTAGCCTTACATCGCTTGATCTCTTCACACTGTCCCTCAGCAACGAGATGCCAAAAGCGCCATCGTCTTTGGTGGCACAATCGTTCAACAACTCGAAATCAACGGCGTGCTCCAGCGCGCAGTCCTCGATGAGCTCACGCTGTGGGATCAATTTGTAATCTCTCGTCAGGCACATGACGAATCCAAGATAGATCTTGGGATCTGGGTAGTGGTGCGCGGCGCATAACTCGATAATGTTGCCCATGCACTCGTTGGGTCCGTGCTTGCACGCAATGCCGTCGTTGGAATCGGTGGGCTTTCCGATAAAGGACAGTGTAAAGTTGACCTTGGAGTTGACTCGCATCATCGTGGGCAGGACCATATCTCGTAGACAGTCCCTGGCGTCTGGGCATTTGCTCATGATGTGCGCTTCCAGGGGGACAAGGCCCTTGACGGTAGACGTGGTCGCCGACTCCGAGTCATCGGTCTCGTGGAAGCTGCTGGTCTGGCCGGTGCGGAATGACACTGTGACGCTGCCATAGCCGGTAAATGGGCGAAATGTATATACTAAGAATAGGAGTACGGCGATGATGATGGTGTTGAGGAGAGGCCGGTTGCGTCGAAAGGATCGGGTCCGACTCGGAAATGGACGTTTCTCGTCCATTAATGGAAGGCCCATGGTATCAAATATGCTTCGTGCGCAGGCCTCGTTTTAAAGGTGGCAGGATGTTCCAGTATTGAAAGAGAATAGACAAGTCCAGGAATAGGACAAGATGGTATAATCAAAGGCGCATGATGGAATTTTGATGGTGATGATGAGGCGGGGGAGTGTGATCACGCAACGGATTCAGCGACGCGAACACATGTCGGAGCTAATGAGTGTCACCTAACCTTGGGTGGTACTACCTAGGTCCCCTCTCCCTATGAGGAAAGTTTAGCATTTAAAAGTCACCTGGGCCCAGTCTCAGTCAGTAAAACATGAGACTGGCAAACTCCAAAATGCTTCACCCACACCTGCTGCTACGTTATTGTATAGAGCATGATGATTGATTTTTCTTATTCAGAGAAATAAAAAAAGAAAAAGCATGTGTCCAAGTTACATGGTTACATGATCACCACAGGATTCGTGTAGATCTTACGTTTTTCGAGTGCCATGAATGAACCCTTGATATGGATAGATCCCTACCTACCGCCATGCCAGCAGCCGTGACTAATACCATTTCCCTCAGGGTCCAGAGAATGGAACGTGGATGATGGTTTTGTATGTAGCACCCTCGGCGCCTCAGGTAATTTCAACGACAAAAGGCGCTATCGAGTGCGCTATCGACCAAGAGCTAGATCTGGCTGTCTCCGTCCCTACCCACACCCACCGACCCTTGCCTTTTGCGGCGAATTATCAAAGAGGTATGTATCGAAGATGTACACACGCATTTGGGTCTCGGCTCAGAACAACAGCTTGGACAAGAGTGGTGGTTGCGGCTCAATCGTAAATGCAGCGATCCCCTATCCGGCTTGAATCTCGAGTGCTGCTGAAATTGGCATGATGCGGTTTTCGATCATGACGAAAGACGTCCGACTTCTCCAGAAGCTGTGATTCACGGGACCTAGGTGGCCGCCCGTGTGCTTGATAACTTGTAGCGGCCCAGTCAGTGCCTGGCACGACTTTTGATTGCTCGCGACACCTTCGGATGATTAACGGAACCATTTATTCACGGAAAATACCAGAAAGTCCTAAAGAAGATATTGAGCCATGATATGACACACTCCGTCCTATCATCAATCAATAGCGAGCTCCGAGGAGAGGGAAGAGGGAAGAAATAAGTATTCACTCTCAATCAAGCTCTGGGCCCTCGTTGGTCTGGCGTAGATCAAATACTGGGGAAGTTGCAAGCGGCCCTGTTCGAGACGACCGTGTTATTGATTTGATGGGAATCTTCACTGCAACGTTTCGTCGTCTTTTTTTTTTCTTGAACCCGAATCCATACGACGACGGGACCGGTCCGCACCAGACCAAGACCTCCTAAAAACCACCTCATATCAAGGTACCAGCGCCCAGGATTATTTGCGAATGCTACCTGGAGTGGCGGCACTTGGCCTTTGACCCTCTTTTCCTTTTACCCATCCGTGAAAGCTACTCGTATATTTATATAAAGGGCCAAAACCGTCTATCTATTCAGCAAAAGAACGCGTCGGCAGCATTTCCTACCTAAGCAATTTAGCAGCCACGCGCCATTCCGAAAGGGCGCTTGTCTGGCTAAAAACAGCCCAGCCCAGCCCACCCAACCACGACGCAGACGGTACACACGCTGGGAATAACAGTGGGCGTGGGCGTTGGACCCAAAGATTTCTGGCTGCTTGTTTACTTGCATCATCTCGTACCTACAGTAGCAGCAATCTCCACGTGCACCGTTTCCCCCGGGGCCCCGATCCGGGCTGCCCAGCATCAATGACCGTTCCGCCCTGATATAGGCACCCGTCTACCTAGTAGTGTTTCACTTTATTTTATTTCTTTCTGGGTTTGCATCCAACAATTGCCGACATTGACATCTCCCTTGTCACATTCTTCCCACAACCAAACCTCCATTTATCATCGTCGTCGTCGTCGTAATCAAGATTCAGAATGGCCATCGAGGAGTTCCTGCGGCCGCTCCACCTCGATGTAGCCACAGCACACCAGCTCTCGCGCGAGTTCCATCAAACTTTCCGGTACCTGGCAGCTGAGTCACAAGATCAGTTTCTCCCGACACCTATAACTGAGAGCATTCTTCGTCCTACTGCCGGAAGCGAAAAGGGCAGGTGAGTCTTTTTTCCTTTTCCTCCCTCCGTCAACGTTTGTAAATATAATACTTTGGCCCTCTTTCTTTGTCTGCCTGCCTTTGTATCATGATCTGCGGTTCGCTCTCGAGTCTGGTTACGATTCCTGCAACTGACTAGGCCGTTTATTTATAATACTTGATATGGTTCCAGTGCTAACTTTTCTCGACAGATATCTTGCTATTGATATGTAGGCTTGACTATTCGGAGACATTGAAGTTCTAAGCACTGATTGAATTGTAGCGGCGGGACAAACCTCAGGGTCGGCTTCGTGGAGCTTCTAGGTGACGACAGTGATACCGCCACCCCTTTTGGCGTCAATGGAGCGGCCCATGGGCGCCAAAACGGGCACTCGGAGTCGCCAAGGCTGCGAAGAGTTCTGGAGAAATCATGGCCCATTCTCGAGCATTTCAAGAATGAGGCCGAAGATGCTCTATTTGCATGGATAGGTTCCTGTATTGCAGAAGTAGTGCAAGATGGATGCAACCATTACGACATTCCGGCAGATTCAAACCTGCCATTGGGAGTGACGTTTAGCTTTCCCATGGTGCAAAGCACCTTGTCACAGGCTACCCTCATGTCAATGGGCAAGGGCTTTGCCATCACTTCAAACCTCGACCTCGGGTCGCATCTTCTCAAGGGGTACGCGGCTGCCACACAAGGCTCGAGCCTTCCATCAATAGAAGTTGTGGCCATTGCAAACGACTCGGTGGCCACTCTGGTATCGTTCGTCTACCAATCACACGAGAGTGCATCACGCAAGGCATCAATGGGCTTGATCTGCGGTACCGGTTGCAATGCCACCATAGCCCTCCGAAAGGATATGTTACACCACGGCAAGCTGCCGCTCAAGGTCGGAGTCAACGCTCAAGAAGACCACGATGAGCATATCAAGATCGCCGTCAATACCGAATTGTCGATCAATGGCACTGCTCCGGCATTGCACAAGTACGGACTTGTCAGCGAGTGGGACAAGAAGCTTGATGCAGAGGGTGACAAACCTGGTTTCCAGCCTCTTGAATACATGACGGCTGGTCGATATCTCGGCGAACTTGGCCGGCTAGTTTTGGTCGACTACCTCCAACGGGAGCTCGGCCATGATATCGAAAGTCTTCCTACCAAGCTTCTGAAGCGATTCAGCATGTCAACAACATTTCTCAGTCATTTCAGACCTCCCCATGCACCGGAGCTACTGGGCAAGCTTCAAGCCGAATTCCCCGTCTCCGATGCCCGGTTCCAATGGACTGATGACCTTGCATTGGCAGTATACAAGATTGCAAAAATCATTGAGCTTAGAGCCGCTGGCATCATTGCTGCCGCCACAATTGGTCTTCTTGCTTGCGCGGGCGACCTACCCTTGGAGCCCCTTCAGGATCGAACGAATCAGCCAACACAGCCCAATGGTCATGTCCACGCCACCGAGCTCATTGTAGGTTATACAGGGGGTTGCATAGAGCACTTCCAGGACTACTTGACCGATTGCCAAGACTTCCTTGACCAAACGATTGAAGCTGAATTCGGCAAAGAAGCGCCCGTTCGGGTGCTGCTCAGCCCTTGCCACGATGGCGGCATCAAGGGTGCGGGTGTTTTGGCCGGATCTTCCCAGGCGAAACCAGTCGTTCGTGGACATTGAGGTCGGTGGCTTGTACAATCGATCGGACACTTTTTGCTGATCTGACGCGTAATTGTTCGCAAAAGGGCTCCAAGTTCCGGCAATTTGGTATGTCTCATTTCATTCAGTATTCTAGTTCAGGGCGGTTGTGTTCGCATGCATTTACATGGGGGGTCAAGCATTGAAGCGAGTGTATAATCAACAAAGTCATGATAAGCATTTGCGTCGAGTTATGGAGTATCAATTCTGTAAGCAATTGTGCTCGCAGAACATAGGAAAGCATTTGGGACACTTATACACTAGATTTGTCTCACTCAAGTTCTCATTAGATGATCAAAACATGATTGTCCTAATTACAGACGGGGTTCCCTGTTATAGAGCGTCTTGATTGTGTGCGAGCCCGGCATTGCGCCATATCACGAGACTGATAAGATTGCATACGCATGGGCTCTATAACAAGCATTATAACCCGTTTCTCGTCGGATCTTTGCCCGTCTTGACAAATGTTAAAAAAATCTTGCATTGGAAAATTCCCGCCAAAGTTGGTTCCTCTCTCCAAATTGGCAAGTCTCATACTTTCGGAGCTGCGTGACTGTATTTCTTTCCTTTTATTGGTTGTGTATTTCTCTGCCGGTACTCGGTGCGGAGTCGGACGGCACCGGCGCCTTTCTTTTTTTTCCCTCCCTTTCCCTAGGCAGACGAAGCCCCAATACAAAGTCTCGGCCCCGCACGCGCAACTCTTTCTTATACCACCACTGAGCAAGACTCACGTCACATCACAAGTTTGTGTCTCTTAAGGATTTACCACAACCACTGCGGATATCTAGGTTTATAGATTGTTCCACAAGGTAGTTGCATGTGCTCAACAACTTGGTGGTCTCAGTGAGATCTTAGCGTCAGACTTATTCGCCTGCGAGGGGGAAAAGAGGCAATAGTATATCTACCTAGGCATTTCAAAAACGGATTGCCCCGACGACTGAGTTACCTAGTCAAACTCGTCGCCCATGGTTACAGCTTACTTGCATCTTGATGATCTGATTTCTACTTGATCAAGATAAGAAGATTCTACTGCTTGACTGTGGAAAAAGTGAACTCTTTATTCTGTCAGAGGAACAAGAAGAGGAAGTTCATTCCAGAGAGCCGTCTTGGTTTATAGTTTCTGCACCTCTATAACTTCAACATGAGTGGAGAGCCCGGCACAGATGCTGCCGCCGCAGCGCAAGACACCATCGTCGCCGCTGCCGCTGCCAATGATCAAACGGCACTCCTTGCAGCTGTCGGTTCCCGGCAGCAGCAACAATCGGAACCCCGCCACCGCTACGACGGCGGCCACGAGACGGGATCAGACGACGACGAGGATGAGCTCGACGAACGCGAGTCGGAGCTCCTCCTGGCGCGTACGGCGTCCATCTCGAGCGCCGTCGGCTTGGCCCCCGAAGCGCCCGAGGGCGTCATGATTGCTCACCGGCAGCAGAAACCGTCTCTCGTCGGAGGGAGAGACGACGACGACGTTGGCGATGACGACTTGCTGCCAGAGACACCCGGCTACGACGTCGAGGAGGGTGGCGAGAGCGCACCTCTTCTCGGAGCCGGCAAGTACAAGAAGCAGTACCTGATCAATACAAACTTTCGGCACTTTATCACCATTTTCATGGCCATCATGTTGGGGAGTTTCCTGTCCATCTTTGATGGTACCATTATGGCTTCTTCGCACCCCGTGTAAGTGTGTTGCACCATTTCCCTCTTTGATCTTGCTCGAGGTCAACTGTTCGGTTTCGAGATATGGTTTGATATAAGCGAGGACACCGAGTTCATAACAAAGAACAAAAGGGATCAAGTGTTGAATATTATTTCAAGCTAATAAATATCTGGAACTTAGCATCACATCCTACTTTCATTCTTCAAACAGCGCCTCATGGCTTTCTACGGCATTTTTGCTTACAAGTACAGCATTTCAGCCTCTTCTAGGACGACTAAGTGATGGTAAGTGAAATGAAATAAAAGCAAACCTCCTCCTATAAACTTCTGGGCAAATGATATAATGGCTAATCATTTATACTAGTGAGTGTTGCCAAGTACAGTACAAATCTAGGTCTTTGTTGGAGTGCTACCTTGAGTAATTTATTACACACTTTTGAGACTGATAGTGCTGACAACTGTTTGCTCAGTCAATCGGCCGGAAGCCTCCTTATGTTGTCACAACACTCATTTTCGCAGGAGCAACTGCGTGGTGTGGCCTCGCCAATAGCATGACCAGTTTCATTATTGCGAGGGCAGTATGTGGCATTGGCGCTGGCGGTGTCATGGCATTGGGAACAATCATTATCAGTGACTTGGTACCAATCGAGTAAGTCCCGGTTCTTTCTCAGGGTACATATACCCATACAAACTCAGAAACTAATCTACTTGATTTAGACAACGAGGAACATATCAAAGCTACGTCAATGTCGTATTTGGGCTCGCTTCCGCTGCCGGTGCTGCACTGGGCGGCCTAATGGCGGACACGCTCGGCTGGCGATGGGAGTTTGGTGTCCAAGTGCCGGCCATTCTCTTGTGTCTTGTGGGTGTCATCATCTTGGTGCCCAACGACATTGGCCTGGTTGGCAAGCGGGAAACCTTCATGGAGGCCATGAAGGTCTTTGACTTCAAGGGGTCTCTTCTCCTGACTGCCTCGACGACATTCTTGATCTTGGGTTTGGTGAGCTTTTATAGATGATGCAAGATCCGACGCCGGATAACACATACTGACAACCCGCTGCGCAGAATCTTGGAGGAAATGTTCTACCTTGGTCTCACCCTTTTATCATTGCGTCGCTGGTCTTGTTCGCCGTCTGCTTTCCAGCATGTCTTTGGGCTGAGCGCAAGGCTGAACGACCCATTATGCCATTGACCCTACTCCACAGTCCTCCTCGAGCCAACATAATCTTTTCGAATTTTATCGGCGCCGTCATTGCCAACGCTGTCCTCTTTAATGTGTAAGTTTGCAAAAAAACGAGAGCCTTGATCCCAATATGCACTTTCACCCGAGCTTTTGTGCGTGCCGAGGTGTATAGTCTCGATTACTGACTTTGTGTGCCCCGGCAGACCGCTCTACTTCCAAGCCGTCCTCCTCACCAGCGCCACGGAATCCGGCGTGCGGCTCATTGTACCGCAAGTCACGGGCGCCACCTTTGGCACGGCGACGGGCCTGCTCATCACCTGGACCAAGCACCTCAAGTGGCCCCTGATCCTGGGCACCTCGCTGACGCTGCTCGGCACCGCGGTGCTCAGCTCCATGCAGCGCGGCTGGTCCTGGTGGGCGTACCTGCTATGCCTCATGCCCGCGTCGGCGGGCCAGGGCTTCCACTTTCCCGGCACGTTTCTGGCCGTGCTGGCCGCCAGCGACCAGCGCGAGCAGGCCGTGGTCTCGAGCACGCTCATGCTCTGGCGCGCCCTGGGCGCCGTCTTGGGCGTGGCGTGCTCGTCGCTGATTTTGCAAAACGCGCTGCTGGCCTTTCTGGCCCGCTACGTGACGGACGAGCACGGCGCCGCGTGGAAGGCGGCCGTGATTGAAAAGGTGCGCGAGAGCGTCGAGGAGGTGGCCCGCCTCGAGGGCGATGTGCTCGAGCAGGTTGTGCGCAGCTACGAGGATGCTCTTCGCCTGACGTTTCTCTGCTGCGTCGCCCTCGCTGCCCTCAGCTGCTTGATGGTCTACCCCGTTCGGCTGCCCAAGCTGGGTGAGAGGAAGCGGTGAGAAAAGCTGAGTAAGGGCTCCGACTGAGCCGGTTGATGGATAATAGAAACAAGGACAACAGACTGCACATGTCAGGTGAGGTTTTTACATAAGTTGATTTCAATATGGTCATCACTGCATTCAGGGCGGAGTTATATTTTCATTACGGGCATCATGGGAGATTGACCTTAAGATTGATAACAATACTTATCCAGCCCGGGTCGGGCAGATTGGCTGAAAATTCTGCATATCCTGAGAACAGATAATACAAATACTATCTACAGCTTTTCTTCCATTGTGCGAATCACTATACGCGGCAAGTCATTGCAAAGTGAACGATTATCATTCTTGATCCATTAACCTTTTCGGCACTCTGGGTATACAATCTTTCCCTACAATACACAGCTACCAATATGAGAAGCCGATCTCTTAAAACACAATCAGTGATACCCGTTAACGCCACCAATTGCCTCGAGCTCTTCCCTTGTTTCTTTGTACATGTTTTGAGCTTCACGCTCTCTGCGACTAACATAAGCCACCTCTTCGCGTAGAGCGTCGAGTCGGCTCTTGGCAGCAATCTCCTCCGAAATGCCCAGAGATTGAAAGCCGCTCAATGCATGTCGTGCCTTTTCCAGTGCTTCCAAAGCCTCGTTCATTTTCTGGCGGAGCGTCTTGGCTCTGTGCTGGTAACCTCCGAGATGGAGCGTGAGCCGCTTCTCGAGTTTTGCGCATTTCTCCACTGTCGACATGGTGGCAGCCTGTACTGCATCGTAGGCATTCTGCATAGCGACAGCCTGTTCTTCCTCCTCGTCATCAACGTAGCAGCCGAGCCCCAGCATAATGGCATTGCAGTTCTCCCGCTCGAATACAGCCGAGACATCTTCCGACTTTGGCTTGTCCCTGGTCTCCATAAGGATTTTGAGTCGAGCTTCTGCCAATGCTGCATCTTCTAATTGGGCGAGACGAGCGGGCTTGCCCTTGAGACTCGAGCCTGGAAGAGGGTACTTGGCAGCATCGTTTGCAATGAGAAGAGCGGCTTCCTTGGCGATCAATGCTTCTATCGGGTCTTCGACTAGGGAAGCTTCCTTCATTAGTGCTTCAATGTCCACGGTGTCGGGACGTGGAAGCTCTTTTTGCATAACTTGTGTGCGACGCTTGCGTTCCAGGGCTTCTTGGGCCTCCCTTAATTCTCGCTCACGTCGATCTCTTTCCTCTGAATCCTCGACCAGCTCATCCGCCACAACCATTTCCATCTGATCCTCTGGAGCCTCAAGCTCCCAATCGGTTTCTTTCGGTTTCGGCAAGGACGCGAGCCCTTGCTTGAGCCGTGAACCCAAGCTTAAAGACATGCCGCCATTGGCATTAAGAGCAAGATTGTCCCGTGGCGTCCTGAGAGGTGTCTGTCCAACTCTTCCTGGCGTTGCTCCGACTCCACCCGCACCATTTCTGAGAGGTGTAGCCAGAGGGTTTGGTGTAGCAACAACCTGTCTGCGTGGGGTGACACCGTCAAAGCCGGTTGAGGCAGATCCTTCCTGTAAATCGGCATTTTCACCCCCCAGCAATGCCGACTGGTTATTTGTCAAGGCCTTGATATTTCGGATTTCGTTGGCAATATGGTCTTCTTGGGCCGGTGCCATGGGCGTCCTGATGGGAGTCTGAGAAGTAATAGTGGAGTAAGAGTTGACGAGTCCTCTTGTGGCGTCATTGTCACTGGACTGTGCAACCAGATTGGCACGTTCGCCCATCATACCCATCTTGACAATCTCTTCGAGCTCACCCTCGCCGACTTGAGGTGCCGGCAAGTTGAGTGCTCGTCGCTTGCTGCTCTGTTCTGCCTCACGAATCTTTTGCAGCTGGCCAGCCTTCATGGCAGCCTGTGTCGCAGCCGAGTTGCCGTCCTTCTCATTCTTGCGCTTCTTCCTCTCCCCGTCATCGTCCTGTTCGCCTTTTCGCTTGTTGGCAAGTTGCTGCTTCCGAGGATCAAATGCAGCGCGCTCCCGTTCATTCAAGTTCTGTTCTTCCGTAGTGTCGTAGAAACCAGCAGCCGGTGCTTTTTCAAAAGGAATGTCGGCATTGTAGTCCATCTGACCCTTCTTGCGCGTGACGACCTTGATATTGATGCCAGCCGTCTTGAGCTCGCGGCGCTTCTGCAGGGTCGCTAAGCGCCTCGACTCCTCTTGTTGACGTTCTCTTGCCTTCCGCTTGGCCTTCTTTCCCTGAGTATTGGCAAGACGAGCTCGTGCCTCGCTGAGCATCTCCTTTTCATCTTCGTCGAGATCGATCGTGTCGGGCTTGGCGGGCTTGCTCTCGGGATTCGGATCCACCTCACCAGGTCGCAGTCGTCGGACGTCGTCGGCAGTAGGTGCTTGCGTCTCGCCGCCATCAGGACCCGTCAAACCGAGTCCGCCGGCTTCACGCTGCTCGGCCTCGTCCAAGAGCTTCTGGTATCGTTCAAGACACTGGTTCGCCGTGCGACCGACCAAAGGGGCAATGGTGCGCCATTGCGTCGGCATCAACTTGGCCAGATGCAGCAGCTTCTCATCCTCTTCCTTGCTCCACTCGATCTTCCTGATGCTCGGGTCTAGCCATTCGTTCCATCGGGCTTTGCATTGCTTTGGGGTCTTGCGCTGCAGCAGCGACGACACGCGCGCCCACTGATGCAGTCCATATTTTGAGACGGACGCCTTGAGGATTTCATCCTCGGCATTTGTCCAAACTCCTCCCTTGACGACCGGCATCTCGAAGTTGTTTGGGCGGAAATGTGACTGCTGAATTGGCGGACGCTGCAAGACAGGCAGTTGTCAGATTGTCGTCACTCAGAAAAAGAAGAATAGGTACTAGGAACAAGCTGGGCATCGTATCGCGCCACAACGCGACCAGTCGAGAAAAGGTGGCTAGTGCATGTGGCTCGAGCTTCTGCGGGGAACTCTCTAAGTTAGCTTGCATGTACAGCTGAAAGTTGAATTCAGACCATAGATGACATGTACAACTCGATCGCTTACACAGTGCAGACTTCGAATTTTTACAAACAAAAATACAATATATAAAGAATGAGTGCCTGCTTGCTTGAAATTCGTACTTGGCATTTATCCCACTATTGCTCGGTAGGTTATTGATGCATGAAACCTTTTCATAATCCTGGGCTTTTCTCGAGTATCAAACCAGTCAGCCCCACAGAGTATAGTTGTACGGATATGGGCCATAGACATAAGTGCTAATCTTCATATCCGTTGCTGTCTGTATACAACCTACAGACTCTCTTGACGCAATCTTGAATGATCCATCCTTTAGTCAAGATTGCAAGCGATTCATCGCTGGATAGAAATCTCATGCCGAATTGGCACAGAGAGTGCGATTTCCAACACCAACCAGAAGTATTAGTATTCCTTCAAGGCAATTCCCCCATGTGTGGTTTTAGTCATGCTAGTCATGGAACACCAACGCAAAATCTAATTATCAGTTCGACGGACAATCTCCAAGAACTAGGCAGCAGCAGAGGCAATCCGTTAAGCTATTAGCTCTTCTCGATGATTATTGGCACCACTCAATCACTTTGCTCGTTCCTTATCTAAGACCCAGAAATGCACCAGACGGCAGTAGGATTCGGGACCATGCTTCGTCCGGCCCATGTGAGTCACCTGATACCGTGGCCCTTGTGTAACTTTCCGTCGCGTAGGGTTGGCCGCTTTGCATTTGGAGACCGCGTCGATCATTTCGCATCCTTCCTTACGCCCCTCTCGTACATATGGATGAGCTAGAACACATTGGCCAATGATTAATGGACGGACAATTCAACCGGACAATTGGGAAAATAAGTGGATCGTAGTATTCCCTTTTGCCCTTGACTCTTGCTCCATCAGACAAACAGGCAGACAATGTTTCAGCCAGCTGAACCAGCAGCGAAGATCAGCAGTTACCCTTGTGTAGGCCCGGATTTAAACCGCGCCCGTTGCTGACCGCAGCTTACCCAACGTCCTCCTCTACCTGTCACATTTGTAAAGCATTCGGGACATTGATTGATCAATCAAAACCAGTTTCAAGCACCACTCTCCAGGCCACTCTATCCCAATTCACCATGGCAGAACAATCCACCACAGATCCGACACGTACCTACAGAGGAAACTGTCACTGTAAAGCCAATGTCTTTGAGGTTACGGTCCCCGAGATCCAAGCCCTTGCTAGCTGCAACTGTAGCTCCTGCACCAAAAAGGGAATGCTCTGGATCTACCCTAAATACGCCGACATTGTCTGGGTAAAGGGAGACGAGGGTAGTCTCACCGACTATACGTTTGGCAAGAAGGGTTTGCATTACAAGGTAAGTAGTTCAAGCCGTGGCCGCCGGTGGGTAAAGAAACAAATTCAATAGTAAATTGACACAATGGTCACTCACAGTCTTGTCCAACCTGTGGCGTCACCTTGTATGGCGTTGGGTATTTCGAGCCTCCCAAACCGGGTGAAAATAAGGAACCAATCTGTGGATTGAACGTGAGTATATGAACACACAGACCACGAGAAAAGTTGGGCAGAGTCTCCTGCTGAGATTGATCGCAAACAGGCAAGAACAATTCAGGACCTCGACATCTGGAGCCTCGAGTTGAAGAGGTAGGTATACTTCATGCCGAGAATCCCTCTCCAAAGTGGTGACAGTATTTCATGCTAATGAATCTATCACAGCATGAATGGTGGTGCATATGGGGCTCCATATGAACCAGCCAAGTTCACTGGTACTATTCCAGAAGCAGAAGTCGAAGGATCTCGGGTCTACACTGGTGGTTGTCATTGCGGCGCCGTGCGACTCGCCGTGCGATCACGCCCGCTAGACGAGACCTATGACGATCGCGTCATTGAGTGCAACTGCAGCATTTGCGGCCGCGTACGTATACATATTCCATCTTAACATCAAAGCAAGCGGAGTAAAGTAAGAAACTAGCTAACCTTTCCCAAGTACGGCTCGATCTGGATCTACCCCCGCAAGGAACTCGTCTCGTACGAAGGCGAGGAGAACCTGACGTACTACAAGATGGGCAGAGGCATGTTCAACAAGGGCTTCTGTAAGCACTGTGCTACTCCCGTCGAGAATAGGGTATCCAAGCTCAGTGATGAGCAAAGGGAGGCGCTCCCAGAAGGTGCTCGTGAATGGTACGATCGCGGACACACTCAACGTGCCACCAACTCCAGGATGCTCGACGATATCAATTTTAGCCAGCTCAAGAAGCAACGTATCGACGGCTGGAACAACATTCTACCCAAGTACGAGAATCCCTAGTACACAGGTCTAGAGTAACAGGGTTGGCGTTATGATATGAGCCTCTGAAGCCCTAGGGATTATGATCGCTTGATTAGAGCAGAAAAAGTTTGAGTGAGTGGGGATATTGTTTCTAAATTAATGAGCAATAAGGCGTGAATATCATTTGGATATCTAATTATCTGTACACGCATCGTGAAAGATACTTTGTACTTGAGCCAAAGCCACCAAGTAGAGATTCATGCAGCTGCGAAACTTTGCACCAGGACAAATATAACGATGAATGAGTGAGTGGATTGCCAGGAGTGCATGGCAGAGATGGGAACCGTAGATTGGCGATGCTCAAGCTGGATAGACTGAGGGCATAAGGTCTTCTATTGAAGAGGCCTATCACATACGACCACGGCTCTTAGAGAACTCGGCATCCCGTCCGCTCTGCCTTTAATAAACTAAAAGCGCCAAATAGGTGGGCGAACACTATGGGGCAAAGCCAAAACCCCCGGATCCATTATTGCTATATCTTCTATGCAATATTGCGTCGCTTAGAAGTCCGATAAATAATTATTACGGTTAGGTATCCTTACTTTGCGATCCGATGGCTTTTATGGCGAAAGTATCGGGGTATGATTAGGTAGGCTGCCCAACCGCAATTCTAGACTATAGCACCGGTATTATCGATTGATAATTTCCTCAGGACAGTGGGAGGGCACATATTGGTAAGGATGAGCTTTCCTTACTTATATACTTCTTTAAAAGGTCTTTGGCTTATAGAATGCGGGGTAGAAATAATTAACGAAAGACTGATCTACATTATTTGCTTATAAATGGCTTTAGTTTCGGAAACGTACAGTCCCTCCAAGCTGCTTGCAATAAAACTGATTGTATCTGAACTGATTGGATTGATTCGACTTTTAATCCTAGGCACACTGATCCGTGATATTAGGTAGCAGGACGCGGTATGAGGCACCTCGCCCTGTGCCTCATCTCCACGATGCGTCTCCTACGTCTTCAGGATGGTAAACTGAGCCTTACCAAATTCGACAAGCTAATCCCTTCATATGCTATTCTTTCTTATACCTGGGGTCCAAGAAGTCATGCGTCCGTGGTTCGGTCGCCATTGGGCTCCAGCGGTCTTCAAGTTATCCACCTTGTGGGACACGGCATTGTCTTGGGATTCAGAGGGGGTTAGCCTAGGCCTTGACGGCTAGAGCCGCTCGTCGCCGGTGGGCTTCGTCGACAGCCCTGATCTCGTTTGCGACCCGTTCGTCCTCAGTCTCGTTACAGTGGTCAATTTGGTATTGCCGAACACGCACATACTCCTTCATCACATATCTGCTCAGGTCGCGAATATGGCCCAGAAGATTCACCTCTTCATAGCCTATCCAACGAGCACTAGCAGCAGTAGGGAAATTACCATCAACGAATCGGCCATCCATGGTTTCGCGGACCAACTTGATACGGAACATAGCATTAGCTCCAAGAATTCCGTAACAGGCATGCTTGTCCTGGTCCTTCCTGGAACTGCTACGGGACCAACAGCCGATTAGTATTCTCGTTGGGCGTTGGCCAGGAAGGTCCTTTGACCTGCTCGGGAAAGCCTCGACCGCGGAAGGGTGCTCGTTTTCATTAGCCCACTCCTTGGTTGCCGTGCTAGTACTCTGCGGGTTCGCGGGCTCATAAAGAGAAGAAGACTCCAGGATCTCAGAAGCCGCTGCTCCAGCTTGTTGATCACCGCCCGTACTGTGCATCATCGGCGACGTCTCACGTGGGAACTCTTCAAGAATTGGCACCAATGTCGGACCAGGATGCATCTTCTGTTTGTGATTTTTCAATTTCGTCCCCGTAGAAAAGCCGACATCATTGTATTGACAGTCTCTCTCGTAGCATCGCAGACTTTGTGTGTGTCGTTCTCGATGGGAGGCAAGCTTTTCTTTCGAGGAATAGCCACGTAAGCTTCGATTGCAACCCTGGCGGTCGCACACGAACGCGGTGGGTTTGTAGTCCTCCTTGAAAGCGATTAACTCGTCTTGCTCGATGCCAAGCATTGAGTCCTGCCGAACAATATGATGGAGTGCGCGGCGATACTCCTGAAGGCTTGCAGAGGGGGTGTCAAGTTTCGCTGTCACTGGCTTCGTTCCTTAGGTTCGAAGTTAGTAAAAGGTGCTGTGATTCATGGACGCATCTTGTTTCCTTACCTTGTGATTGTAATTGTTTAGCTCGCTCCATCGTTTGTGTGATTACTGCAGCTTCGTCAACAGTGAGAAACCTCTGCAACAAAGAGGAATCTTCATCTGTTTTGATGGGCACCGAATCCATATCCGGCGTCCCCATCAGCTTCTGACATAGCTGCTTCAGACATTCCATAATGGCCTTCGAGAGGCTATCAGAGAAGCTTGACGGCTCCTTTTCTGACATTGACAAGAATTCGATTAGATGTTGTGTCCAGTACTGGTATGAATATGGAAGTAATCCATAAAATCCACGAGCGACTTCAAGTGTAGACGTGCTTGTCGAACATTGAGGCTGCAAGAGGTCAAGCGCTTGATCAACCTGGCATATACATGCAAATGTTACTGATGCTATGGCTGCGGGTACCGACATGAACGAATTGGGGCCATTCTCGAACAAGAATCTACACATACGATCAGCCTTCAGGAACATCAAGATACATTGCTGGGTGTAATACTGTGGCACTGTTGAATGAACAAACACCAAGGTGTTGTCGGGGCCATCTTCGATCAAAGGTTTGCAAATATCAGTGGCGTTCGCCCAAGGTAGACTGTCCCGTGTGATCTTCCGGGTAGATCCATCCAGCGCCATTGCTAGACGGACTTCACACTTCAACATTGGTTGTTGTCCCTTGTGGCATTTCAGCCAAGCAAAGATCCTCATGACATCAGGAATGGCATTTGCTTGGAGCTGGTGACAGATGTTGCTCAATATTTTCTGGTATCTGTGGTTGATATGGTTGATATGGTTAACAAAAGTTTCGTCAAAATATGAATAAGTGCTTACATTTCAGCTAGAGACGTTGGCAGCGAGAAAATCTGTTGTCTCAATTCCTGTGGGCTTTTCGACATCTTGAGGAGATTCATAACGAGGTTTACCCAAAGAAACATCCCTATGATCCTATTCAGTTTGCTGTATCAGAAACTTAAGAAAGGAAAAGCGAACCTTCAGATTTGTCCAGAATCTCGTTCTTCAGTTTTTCCATCAAGACGCCTCCAATAGCACCGCGTCTTTTCTCGTTCAGCTCTTTGAGAGATCCTTCAACCATAATGGCATGGTCTTTGTGAGTTGCTTCTGCCTCTTCTCTTAGGCATAATGTGGGCTTTTTCGAAAGATAATCAGCTATGGTTGGCAAGTCCTGGCTTACTAGGAGCAATTTCACTCCAGAGCAAGATTTTGAGAGCTGCAACAGAGCAGTGATGATACTTTTGTGTTCTGAGGATGGGAGCTCATCAATTCCGTCAACGACGAGGTTCACATCGTCGAATCGGGAGAAGAGCTGCGGCATGATTCTCTTGAGAACATCGGAAGAGCATCTTTGCGCCTTTACCAAGCACTCGTCATACACGTAAGGCACCAAGTCAGGAGCCATGCGAATAATCTGTGAACAGATAGTGCGTAGAATCCGGGTGCCAATGTCCAAAGCCGATGTGTTATAGTCGCAAAAAAAGAAACATACTCGTCGGCTTGGATCAGATCGAAGGAAACGTATAAGCATTGAACTCAATATCGATTTCCCACTTCCTGGTTTGCCATTCAACCAGAGTACAGGGTTGCCCCGATTTCTTTCGAGCCACGTCCGTATCTTACTAGATTTCGTGAGCCACTGGCAGGTGCCATCGTAACATTTATTCGCGTTCATTTCCAATTTTGCCTCCTGGATATCATCCTCAATACCTAGCCAATTAAGAATGGCGTGGAGTTGTTGAGTCTGCCACTGTTCCTCCCGTTTTGAGGCATCATCTGCACTCTTGGACCTCCACTCGGCGGTTGCCACGATGTCGAGGGCCACTGCTTCACGGTCGATCTGTTCACTCAGACGCTCAATGTTGATCAATAAGCTTGAAAAGCGGTGATCGAAACGGCCCCAGGACGAGGAGAAGAAAATTGTCCATCCTGTCGGAGACGTTAGAAATTCCGAAAGAACTGTTTGAATTTGGGCCATCCGGTACCTGGCTTCTTCAACATGGAATAAGCTTCTCGGTGGAACTCGAGTATATCTTCGAACAGGTATGCAATCATGCATTGGAAAGCATGGTCATGAAATACTTCACCGTATCGAGACAACCGCGGCATGCTGTTACCAATATTGGCGTAGGCCATGAGAACCTTGTCTAGAACGTGGACATGGTCACGAGCAGACTGCGTAAGAAGTCAGTGATGAGCGGTTCCGTTCGTGTAAATGAGCATTTTCCTCCTCACCTGTATGATGAATTTCACTGGAGCCTAACACCTGGGAAGCAGAAGCAAGGCAGTGAGGGAGAGGAGAGACTGGGACCGTACCCAAATCCACGGCAAGTATGGTGTACCGTTGCATACAACTTCGACAACTTGTGAGAACCGCTCCGCAGCGCCCAAGAACGGTGCGATCCTGTCGAAGTTTCGTAAGGATTGTCGAGCGGCTAAGTGACGTTCTATTTGTCCAAGGGCGAGCTTTACCTCATCTAGACTTTTAGTTGAAATTATTTCATTTTCATCTTCTGGTGAGAGTTCCTTGCGAAATTGATCGCAGGCTCTTTCGATGAGTCGCTGTGCCATAGCCTCCAAGATTCGGAAATGGCAAGAAGGCAAGTCACGTTCGTCTTACTCGGAAAATTAGCAATGAATTGAGGATTCTAAATCCACACTTTCGTAGACTGTAACAGATCTTAAATGAGAATTTGAAGAGTGGAAGAGTGCAGTGAATCGTCTGATTGCAAGTAGAAGAATCAATGAGTATCATTGCATTGGCGGGCGAGGAAGACCTGGTGACTGATCAATGGGGACGGGGCCCAGTAGGCCCAATACCCCCCACTCATCTGCACATTTATGGTTTCAGCCTCTACAGTGTAATTAATATGTCTCATTGATAGGATGGTGTTCGACGAGGGCGCTGGTACACATCTCGTCAGGCACACCGTCGGGCTGACTGAGGGGCTGAGTGCAAAGCTTGCTGCGCCTCTTTTCGTGGGCAGAACAGCTGTGCTTTAGTCAGTCAAAGGACGGTGCGCATGGTGTAAACACAACGTATGCAATACACATGAAATTTTCCCCTACTTATTTGGAAGTGCGTAGCGACTTCGCAGCTTCGGTGTGGCTGAAAATATTCCATATCTTCATTGATCAGACTACTAAGGTATCGGCACCAAGACGTATCTCTCTTTAACAAAGCCTGTGCGGCGTGCGAAATGGACGGACCAGCTGCCAAACGACGAAAACTATCCCCCGGAGACCACCACCAGGACTATATCGCCGACAACTCAATCTCGCAGTCTATCGAGATACCGACAATAGAATCATCTTTGCTCTCGGACGACGCGACCGATGCTTCCCTACAGTCTTCCATACCTGAAGATGAAATCATTGGAGGCGCTTCAACACCCAAAACTTCAGAAAACACGCAAGCTGACGTGATCTGCTTTGGAATGGTAAGCACTTTTACTACTTAACTGATGATAGCCTTTTAACTCTATGCTAGTTGTATCTATATACTACTAAAACTCATTCAACACTGTTAAGAGGAGGCGCGGAGACGCTGCGGCTCGACACCAGTGGACAGCTGTGCTCGAACGCTGACGAAGCAGTTGCTACGTTATCATCAAGAGATACCAAGTTACTCGGGCTTCTACAACGCGAGAGCTTAGAATTGGAGATAAGCATCAGACATCCCGAGACTTCTTCGGTGACACGGACCGCGCAGTCCTCATCCTTTGCCCGGGTCATTTTGTATGGATTGGAAACCTTAGGGCCGGGCCTCAAGAAGGTCCTGAGCAACACCGAGTACTTTCTTCAGGACCCGGTAGGTGCAGGTCGGGATGTTGCGTACGTTAACCCTCAGCGGCTGTTCAATTCTGCGGCAGCCCGAACCTCTAACGTGCAGTCTGATGCCGAGTTGGCTGTGGAGCAGGAGGAAATTTCAATAATCGATGTTCTCGCCGCATTTACGACGCCAGTTGACCTCGAACCTACGGAAGGCTCACATGATCTCTTGACACCACTCCAACAGTAAGTCTGGGTACTCAAAAAAGAGCAGGGGAGTACTAATTCCTTGCAGCCACCAGAAGCAGGCCTTGACTTTCATGAGAAACCGTGAAGCGGGGTGGAATCTCACAGGTGACCGCACAGATGTTTGGTCTTTGAAGGAGAACCCCAATGGCGATATTGGGTGAGTGAACTACATTGTTATATTTGTGGTGACCAGTCTCGCTAAATGATGTAAGGTACCTCAACAACATTGATAACTCTCTTCAGTATCAGCAGCCACCATCCTTTCGTGGGGGCATTCTTGCCGATAATATGGGGTCTGGAAAATCCCTGAGCATGATCGCGTTGATCGCTCACGACAGGATACGAAGGACTATAGGCAAAGATGATATTCCTCTGATGAAACATAGACCGTGTGATAACAAGACAACCCTTCTCGTCATGCCATCATCGTGTAAGTCACCCAGCTTTAGATCTTGTCTGGTTAGACTTACGGGATTTTAGTGCTACAGAATTGGCAGGATGAGCTCAATATGTGAGTGGAATTTTCTATTTTCAGTCGTGAAGCATGTGAGCTGATCTTGATAGGCACCTCGCACCTAAGGACTTCAAATGGCGTTGCCACCATGGTCAATCAAGAATAACAGATATACGAGACCTAGAAATGCTAGATATCGTGTTGGTCACATATCATACGGTTTTGAGTGAGTGGCGCATGGGCCAAAATGCAAGCATTCTATTTACCTCGCGGTGGAATCGAGTAATTCTCGACGAAGGTTGGTCTATTTCATTACAATTATTTATTTACCGCCGGAATTTAACACCCAACAGCTCATTGCATCAAAGGTCCATCTGCCGTCACCACGCAAGCGGTATGTGAAATCCAGTCGTCGTCTCGATGGGCTGTCACAGGGACACCAATACAAAATAATTTATCCGATCTTCAGAGTCTACTCAAATTCTTGCAAGTTTACCCATATAATAACAAAGACACCTTTCACAATCAATTCACGAATTTGTGGACGAATGGAGAGGGGATTCTTGCAACGAATCGACTAAGGCAACTTCTAGGTTACATTATGCTTCGAAGATCTGGTGGCCATATTGTACTACCAGATCGAAAGGATTTGAAGATGCATCTCAGCTTTAGCGAGCGAGAAATGGAGACGTATCGCGCAGCAAAGGAGAAGGCTTTGGAATTTATCGACGATGTTTTAAGCAGCCATAACGCCACACGAGGATACAAGAACGCAGTCGAAAAGATAAATCAACTCCGTTTGATATGCAATCACGGCTTCTGGCAGCCGGATAACGGCTATGCAAAGCGCATATTGGAGGTGCAAGGGGACAACACAGAGCAGTGGTCGAGCACCGCAGCACACAAGGCACTCAACCGATTTCCGTCGCTAGGACTGCCTATTGCATGCGTAGAATGCAGCAATCTCTTCGACCATGATATGAGTATTTATGAGTCTCAGCTGCTTGAGCCCATGTCATCAATTCAGATTTATCTCACCAGGTGCCTCCGGCTATGGTGCACGGCATGTTACAGTTCGAGGAAGATTCTTTCAAAGTCACTTGCATTTTGTAGTTGCGACACGGAGTGTCCAGTAGCTACAGCACGATTAGATTCCCCCAGTCGCTCGCCTAGTCCTTCCGCGGCCAATGAGAATCGTCACTTCGAGCAGCAGCCTTATCCAACCAAGATCCGCGCCCTGCTGGATAATGTGCAAAAGCTTCCAAAGAGCACCAAGAGGTAAGCTTCCCAACCTTACTCAATGACTCCTGCATCTCACCATGATAGTATTGTATTTTCATTCTGGAAATCCACTCTCGATATTGCTCGCACTGTTTTGAATGAAGCCGGGATTGCCTGCGTTCAAATTGACGGAAAGGTCAAGCCAAAGAATCGCAAGATAATCTTTGAGAAGTTTCAGACAGATGAGACCACTCGAATATTATTGCTATCGCTCTCATGTGGCGCAGTAGGGTGAGTACTACCGCTTTTGAAATTGATATATTCAAACCAGGACAAGCAATAACTAATATAATATGCAGATTGACCTTGACAGCTGCGTCGCGAGTATATCTTATGGAGCCGCAATGGAATCCGTCGTTAGAAGAGCAAGCACTCGCTCGGGTGTATCGAATTGGACAGAAACAAGATGTTACAACCATTCGATTCTTAATGAAGGATTCTATTGAGAAGGTACTAATAAGCTCACAGAAAGCGCCTTGCATATAAAGTCATTGCTAACGTTCTCGACATAGTACGTAACGGACATACAAGACAAGAAGAAGGATCTTATTAGTATTTTATTGTCGTCACGTTCGCAAGTGTCCCACCAACGGCTGCATGAATTACGAAATTGGCTCAAGTAGAAAGTTGGCACGATGTGCCTGGTTTTTGTTATGCCATTTTGCTGTGTTCTTGGCTGCTTGAAACGGGCATCGTGTCGTTCCAATACTCGCGGTCAAATAGTTGCTGGTGTCATAAAGCAAAGCTGTTAATACACGTATCGCGACAGCATGAATGTGTGCACGTCTGACTTGCACAAGCTCCCTTAACAGGATCGCGGTAATCATGCCACCTTGTCGTGATAGCCGCTTGTCGTTCGTTATCGGCTTCTTGGGCGGCGGATGTCTTCATGGAGGAGCGTCGCGTATGCCTGCCCACCATTCTGATTGACAACGAATGCAATGAAGAGCTTGTGGGAATAATCCTAATTCCTTGATTGAGGCTTTTGGAACAATACACCAGCAAAACAGGCACCCGGCGATGCTGGTCAAGTGATGGCATTTTCATAATAGACACGACTAACTATTTATAAAGTGGAGGTTCTCTCTCTCTCTCTCTTGTTTTTTTATTCAATTTATCCGGCGAGGTCTTTTGACTCTCAGTTTGCTGCAATCACTGCTACGCTGGCATTTATACATATGGACGGAGGTACGGTCTATGTTCCTTGCCGACGCGTTTCCTTCATTGTAGCTACAACCACTAAAACTTAAGGTACATACCTACTGTACACACTATGCCCTACAGGCGCTACACCTACCAAATTGTATTGCCTAGGGTAAGAAGTCAGCTGCGCAGCTAATATACCAGAGGGAAAATAATCAATATTGAAAAGATGTTCGATTTACAAAGGCGCGACCAAAAGAACCACTCGATTTTTCTATCTTACTTTCAGCTTTCAATAAAATTATTCCACAAAAGAATCTTTGCAATTCCCCTGTTGCTGCAAGGTACGTAGGTACTTCCAGACTGGCTGCTGATGTTACGTACATCAATACCTCACATGGAGTAGGTACCTAACCTATGTACCTTGTTCGTCTCTCAAGTCAAATTCGCGCTTTCAGGCACACGCATCCCACCTTGGCCACCCACCTGGGGCTTCCGCTCTTCGGCGCATGACGCATTATTTATCAAATTCGTCCATCCGCCTTTCATTCAACTCTTGCAACTCTTCCAAAAACAACAAAAAAAGACTCATCCTGTCAAGCCTAGCCACCTCTCCCCTCTTGATTTCTCAAAACGCTGGTGCACTACACCCGGCTGCTATTTCAAGAAGCCGGTGGAATTTATAGGTCACTAGAGGAGACCTTCGCACTCCAGGGTATTACCGTAAACCCACTCACGTCAACCCCTCCAACTACCCCACCATGGGAGGCAAGAAGAACGCTGGTGAGAACACCAAGAAGGTGGCTGGCAACGCAAAGAAGGCCGAAGCTGCCGCCAAGAAGTCTGCGGTCGAAGCACAAAAGAAAGAAGCCGCTGAAGCTGCCGACTGGGACAGAGGCTCCAAGAACAACTCCAAGAAGTAACGTCTCCCCAACCACGATTCCCTTCGCCCCACCTTCTCTACTTGTATTTACTGACTTGAGCAGGGAGGCCGAGGCCGCCAAACGCGAGGAGCAAGCCCGAAAGAAGGCTGAGAAGGCTGCCCTGGAAGCCGAAGACGAGAAAAACGCCCCCAGCAAGGGTGGCCCGAAGAACGCAAAGACGGCGACCAAGAAGACTGGCCGCGGAACACTCGACCTGTCGCAACTCGACTCAGCCCTACCCACGCTCAACGCCTCTGGTATCGACAACGCCCTTGACGCGCTCGGTGTCGCCGGAAATTCCAAAGTCGACATCGACCGGCATCCGGAACGTCGTTTCAAGGCTGCATTTGCCGCTTTCGAAGAGCGAAGACTTGAGGAAATGGAGAAGGATGGCAGTGGTGTTGGCCTACGTCTAAACCAGAAGAAGGATAGAATCCGCAAGGAGTTTGAAAAGTCCCCGGAAAACCCTTTCAACCAAGTTACCGCACAGTACAATGCTACACGCGAAGGCTTGAGCGATATCCGCCAGAAGGAATCCAGCAAGATCGAGTCCAGACTCGGCTCGAAATAGACCTATCGAATGAGGGACTGTAAGATGAAGCTCCTGGAATAGTTTCGAAGTCACGAAAGAAAGAATAGAAGCGTAGGACGATGTTCCTGCACTTGGTGGACAAAGACCGCTCCTTCGTCAAATGGTGGTCGTGGCCTAAGACGACCCTTGCAATGGCCAGACTCCCAGTGCTTGGTGGGTGTGATTTGCAGAATCACCAAGAGCTGATCGACCTTTGGTCGTCACCCAGCCGGCGAGATCTAAAAGGAAAAGCCACGGTTAGATTATACTCACCCAGATATGAAATGTGCACTAGATGATCCCGAAGTATCTCATACACGATGAGGAAAGAATATTGGATCTTTTCTTTCCCTTTCCTCCTTTCGCTAGCTTATAGAGAAGGGAAAAATAAAAAATAATTTTATATGCATTTAGCATAAGAGGTTGTGCTAATCTGAAAGGAAATTCATAACGCGACAAATAGACGCCAGTGGCTAAAGAGAACCGACCTCCGATGACACTTTAAAATTATGCCATGATGTAGCAATAGCTGTGAAAAATCAGTAATATAATGGGCCGTAGTAAACTTGCTACCTTATACTGCAGACATTACCACTATAGACGTCCAATCCTGAAAATATTTACCGCCAAATAGATATGAGGTAAGCAATGCGACTGGCAGCGGGCCATCCAAATACTCTGACATCGGAAGAATTATCTTGCTAATATTTGGTACGATCTTGGCCAGCAAACGAAGACAATAGCATTTGTATAGTATTGGTTGCATGTGCAAACTAGGAAGCCAAAATCCATCATTTCCGCGGTACAGAATATCCACGTCAGACTATTCAAAGAAAATGGATGCCGCTCAAGCGATTGACGATAGGCTTTCTCTTTTGCTTACCATACTGTTCTGCGCCCGTTTCCGTATATAAGTAGCCTGCGTCTGCGTGGCGTATTTAGAATTAAGCGAATACTCTTAAAAACGGCTGTAGCCCCGATCGTGCGTGGCATTTGAGTTTGGTCGCGTACTTCGCATACCTTCAAAGCGAGCAAAACATGAATTCATACATGATGAAAAGTCAGACTCTTTATAACGCCACAAATCTTATAGTTCTGACGCAACCAGTGTCTAAGATAAAGAGTATAACCAAATATAGATCTCGTCTATGGAAGTGATGTGTGAGAAACTGACTTGATAGCCATTCCTGTTGCTTCCCGCTTCTTAGCCACTCTGTGGCGCATCGAATCTCTCTTGAGTGTTAGGGGAAATGAATATACACCTTGATCTCCTCATGATCACTGAATCGCTGATAATATTCTGGCACCTCCTCGATGCTAATCTCGGCAGAAGTAATGAAGTTTGGTTGGGCCTTGCCGCTATGAATCAGATCCACAAGATACGGTGATATTGGCTTCGGGTCGACTGGTCCACTCTTCCAGCTGAGCTGTTTGCTGAAAATAGACGAAAGAGGAAATGTCAAGTTTGGAGACAATGAACTCCCGAGCGGCGCCCCTGCCGAGCTATCTTGCGCTCGCCAAATGCCTACTTGCCCGATTCCGCCACCAAAATGTGTTAGACTAATCATTTGTCGAACAATGATGCCCTCATCAGGTTCGAGATCAGCATTGACTGCCTCGATGCCCACACAATCAATAGACCGCATCACGCCGTTGGGCTCAGAGGCAAGAATCTGGGCCACCGGGTCTGTTTCGGCGAAATTGATGGGAACGGCACCAATGGAAGCTGCCCGGTCGAGACGCATCGTTACATGGTCGATACAATAAACTCGCGATGCGCCACGTAGGAATGCACTATAGACTGTCAAAAGACCGACTGGCCCAGCGCCAAAGACGGCCACAGTGTCGCCAGGCTCGAAACCAGCGTAGTCTAATGCTATCCATGCCGTGCTGAAGATATCCCCGATAGTTAGATAATCCTGCTCCAAAGCCCGAGTTGTGGTGTTGCTGGTGATTGGCAATGGGACAAGACTGAGGTCGGCAAATGGTACGCGTGCAAATTCAGCTGTACGATGATGAGCATTTTATTCTCGACCATTACAGAAATGTAGCGGGTATGGCATTCAGACTGGTAGACATGTGTTGATAGGGAAGAGCTGACAGACCTTGCAGACCATCCAATCCATTCCCAACGCCGTAGAAACTGGTCGCTGTTGGTTCCATCGTAAGGTGTCCCGTGGATGGTGTATCGGCAATGATAACGTAGTCACCGACTGAAAGGGACGCTACGGCTGAGCCGATCTCTGCCACATAGCCAATAGCTTCATGGCCCATGACCCAGGGAGGAGTACCCGCGCCGGATACACCATGGTACACGTGGAGGTCCGAGCCGCACAGGGCAGAAGTGGTGATGCGGACAATGGCATCAGTTTCATTGAGAATGGTTGGCACCGGGACATCCTGTACAGTCATCTGGAAAGGAATGCCCTCATAGACGACTGCACGCATACTTGCGTTGTTCAGAAGGGGAGAATAAGTGCTAAACGCCATATTGGCATGAGATGACCAGGAGAGCTGAATGTTTGAGTGTCTGCAGTCTGGACTTCATGGCTATACTTATAAACTGGAGTGAAAAGGATTAGGTGTTCCATTATCCCATCTCGGAGTTATTCTCTGCTCTTGTGTCTACTCTATCCATGGTTCAAATGCTCGCTGTCGCCAAGATGACAAGATTGACTGGAGGCCCGGGCAGCGGGCCAATCGAGTGGGCCTTATGAGGCCATTTTCACGAGGAGGAACAGTTGAAATCGCGATTTGCCGTGACGGGTCAGGGTTGATCCCAAAAAGGCAAAGCTGTCCGTCAATATGTGTGTATATCGTAGCATGGAGTTCGTGTTGTCGCTATTCGGTTATACATTTGAACATCAGCCCCGTACCGTATACCAATCTTGTGATGATTCCCTTATCGGCAGGGCAGCCCTGCACTTATTACAAGCTCGAATATAAGTGGATCGAGTGAAGAAACACAAGACACGCTAATGCACGCTGCTTATGGGATGACGGTGTTTATCATAGTAGATATACTATTCCAGTAGTGCCGGATATTGTCATATCATGTGAAACGACATATGTAATTACTCGGCCAATGTCTCTGAAAAATTGTTATTAATATGGCGGTCTCGCTGATCTTAACATTCACTACATCGACATCTTTGCTAGAATTCAATCACTGTCTGAAAGATGGCTGCTGAACAATTGAGCTTCCAGGGCTGGATGGGCCTTGACAAGGACTCCGCCCAGGGAAAGATGGTGTGGCAGTCATTTGAGCCGAAGAAATGGGAAGAAACCGATGTCGATATTAAAATATCACACTGCGGAATCTGTGGCTCAGATCTGCACACACTCAGAAGCGGATGGGTAAGTCAATCCTCGACGAGAGTGTTGAACCCCCCACGCTCCTCTTTCTCTATCTGTCTTCCGGTCTTGCCTTGTCCTTCCAATTCTATTCTTCCCTCTTCTCCTCTCCAAAGTACTCAGACAAGATGGAGCTATTCCTAGTGCTCGACACCTATATCATCTATTTACACATGAACGCTTCTTCCTTGGACTTGGACTAATTCAAGGCAGCGCCCTACGCGTTATCCATGCTGCGTTGGTCATGAAATCATTGGAACCATCATCCGTATTGGCACTCAAACAAGAGGATTTCAACTCGGGGACAGGGTTGGCGTGGGTGCCCAGTCTGACTCGTGCCAGGGCCGCTTTGGCCCCTGCGATGAATGCGCTGCCGGGCGGGAGCAATACTGCATCAAGAGATTCGTCGGCACTTATGCGGGCATTCACTTCAACGGTGATGCATCGCAAGGAGGCTACGGGCTGTGCAATCGCTCCCCTGCACACTTTGTTGTCAAGATACCTCCAGGCTTGCCGTCGGAACATGCCGCACCAATGCTATGTGCAGGGTTGACTACATATTCGCCTCTGAAAAGACACGGAGCAGGACCAGGCAAGGCCATTGGCGTAATTGGTCTTGGAGGTCTCGGTCACTTTGCTGTCCTGTGGGCCAAGGCCCTCGGCGCGGACCGCGTTGTTGCCTTTTCGAGGACCAATGACAAGAGACAGGATGCGTTGCATCTAGGGGCTGATGAGCTTGTGGCAACGCAAACGGACGGTTGGGCGTCCCAGCACCAACAAACCTTGGATCTCATCATATCGACTGTGTCGTCCTCAAAGGTAAGACATCATCCTCGTGGGATTCAACAAGCTGACTTGAGCGGTGGTAGATGCCCATGGGGGATTATTTATCTTTGCTACGAAGGGATGGAGTCTTTGTGCAGTGTGGAAATCCTGAAGATGGCTCGTTCCAAGTGCCCGCGCCCGCGCTGATTTCAAAGCGAGTCAAGCTAACTGGCTCCCTGATTGGATCTCCAGGCGAAATCCAGGAAATGCTGGCGCTTGCAGTGGAGAAGAAGGTTGTGCCAATGGTGGAAGTACGCAGTATGAAGGAAGCCAACAGCGCCATCGTAGACATGGAACTTGGAAAAGCTCGATACCGATATGTGCTCGTCAACGAATAACTTTCAGTTGGGTGAAAAAGGGGGGGCATTGCCTGAGCAAGGTAGATATGTATCGTACAAGCGGCACTATCAAACATCTAGATATGCGACAATTTTCAATAGGTACTAGGTGACCTCTAAGCCAGTTATCTGAATTCAATACCGTTACAATCCGTCCTATTACTGTACCATATACATCTTGACGAACGAGACTAGACCCCCTGCACAAGTGACTCGGCATAATTAACCACAATCTTCACAGAATCAAAGTGTTCTATCTCTCGTCCGGAGGAACATACTCCATCAAATCAACTTAACTCCGGTTAAACCCGCGTATCATTTATTAGAAATCAAGTGGTAAGTGATCCTCGCCACGCATGGTTCGCCAGTGATTACTAGCAGCTATGAGCTCATGGCTTCCACGAAACAATTCATCCCATTTCTTCAGCAAGTCTGCACTTGCCTCCCAACTGCTTGGATCAGAAGGCTCGCCCCAGACGATGAGTCCTGTTCCGCCACCGTCTGCCGACACGGCACAGATCTCTACGATATCCAGGCAAAACGCTGTATCATCGTAGTCTTCTCCCAAAAGAAGGACATTATCGCGAACAGTCGGGAAAGGTAGCAGATCTAACCATGGATGATGGGGTATCTGTTGTTGTAGACAAGTTGGACGTAGACAAGGCGGACATCCCATCGGCGGTTGCCATTTGCCGTCCTTCATGCTGATTACCGAAACGGCATCTGAGCAGAGCCAGCTCGCTGAGGGGAACCCTAGGGCGGAAGCATTTATATCTAGGGCGCGAAAAACATTGAGTCGGGTGAGTGTCAAGAGAAGATCAACTCTGGGTGAGCCCAAGCTGGCGTGTCCTTGCGCCACCGCCTCGATTGACTCCATCAATGCATTTGCTTCGCGCGCCCCGAGGGCACACAAGGTACCAGTTCGACGACTCCCTTGCAGAGTACCCCGTAATTTTTCAATTATCTGATCATCCTTGGACAGGTGAACCTTCTGCTTTGAGTTGGCAAGATGCTGTCTCTCAACCGGCAAGCTTGACTCGTTCTTCGCGGCAAGCTTTTTGATATCAGTTTGGCGCCTACCTACAAGCCACCGAGTTAGTCTAGAAGAAACAGACACGTAAACCTCTCAGGGGTAGGTACGCATCACGCACGCCAAGCTCTTGAATTCAGGCGATTCTGCAGTCTTCGTCGTTCAGTAGAATTGGTTATCCCGGTCCAATCATCTCCAGGAGCGCGAACATGAGATTGTTGCGTCATGTGGCTTATCGGTATTGCCGATGTAGGCTCCATAGCCGACCCATCATCAACAATTACGGGCTCCATGGGAAGGATAATGATGACAGACTTGAGAGTTCGTGCGATACGAGTAGTACCTAGTTGTTGATTGGATAACAAGGAAGAAAATGCAATAAGACTAGGGTGGATATCTTATATGCGACCTGCTTATGGTGGCTGATGCGTTGAGGTTGGTTTAGTCTTCCGCTAGTTCTGCGCTAATGCAACCTGCTTGTGCAATATAAATGCGAAATTCCGCGGTTATCGAGTCAGTTGTGACATCAGTCTCGGCATACAAAGTACGTACCTATTCACCTACCTAGTAGGAACTGTACATAAGCGATGGTGGGGAGTATAGAGATATCGTTATAAACGCTGTATTCTTGGCATTTATTCTTTCCAAGTACCGTGACGGTACTTGAGAAGCACAAGGGAATTCGGTTTCATATCCGCACCTCTGTACTTCCCAATACTCCTATTTCTCTCACATTCTGGTTTATTTACATGGCCCACGGTTGAATCTATCGCAACGACTCACCATCAATCCAGCCCCATACTCCAGTCGCCATGCCCTCCTCGATTGTTCTGCCAGCGTTCCAGGCTTCAACCAAAGTACAGAAAGTTGGACCAACATTTACCGGCGATGTATTCCTCGATCGAATCTACAGCGGCGATGGCCAGAATATATCGAACGTGACTTTTACTCCTTGCGCCCGAACATACTGGCACACACACGAACATGGCCAGATGATCAAGGTCCTGGCCGGATCCGGTCTGGTCTGCGATAAGGGCGGCCAGCCTCGACGCATCGAGGCTGGAGATGTCGTTTGGGCGCAACCGGGAACTACTCACTGGCACGGAGCTGCGGAGGGGACCATCATGACACACTTGGTTGTTGCGAGTGGCCAAACCTTTTGGCACGAAGAGGTGACGGAAGAAGAATTCAAATCGGGGAGTGTGAGCAAGACACAGACAGAAAGTGGGAAGGACTGAAAATTGAGATATATCGAATTCTTTCTACACATAGGATAGGATATCCCCATATCGCAATTTCAGCCTATACTAAAGAGATTAAATCTCAAACACCTCGAAAGCCTTTTCTTGTGATGTGAGGAGGGGGGGGGGACCCCTGTTGAATACCGCAAGGAAATACTAGCAAGGCTCTGGAAACTCTAGTAAAGATCCGAGTAATGACTGTCATTGTGAGATGGAGGCCAATATAGCCATCTCACCACCCCAAGGAGATCGGACCGTACGATTACTATTATTATAACTCATGGAGCCCCTTGCTCCAGTTCCTCTGTATTAAGGAGGGTTAGATGGCAGGTGCTGGAATAACGAAATAAATCTCACATAGCACATCTAGTGAACCATATAATGGTCCGTCGTAATCATCACAATTTTTTAATGGGTTGGATTGATGTCAGATAGGCTAGCATACAGCGTTTCATGCGAATACGTCCATTATGGCCGTATACTAGCAACCTGTCCTGAATGCGGTATCCAGTTACTGGTCTTTCATGTTAGATATTTGTATCCAGCCTAGAGAAGAAAATATAGGGGTGAGGAATCCCAACGGAGCGGCGTTAACAGAATACAAGATCCGAATGATTCGTAAATAGCCGGAATATAACCCCAGCAATATCTAAACAAAGGCTACCTAGGTAGCCACTAAAACCTCTTATGATGTACGTGATATATATCATAAGTTAATGCTGCAGCCTGCTTGCGGTCCCAATTTTTTTTCTGCTTTGGAGCTAGGGATTGCCGTTTGCTTTTATGCAATATAGCATATATGAGCTCGATTAGCTAATATTTGGGAAATGTTCCGCATTAGCTATTTAATCACATGAGCTCGTTTCCTTTTCTCATATTTACCGTACATAGTTGATTTTGGCATCAGCATACGGAAACTCTCATTATGGAGTCAAAGATCAAGTCAGCTGATAAACAATCGACCGTGCCTGATGGTGGCCTGCAAGCATGGCTTCAGGTACTAGGCGCATTTTTCCTGTTCTTCAATACTTGGTAAGCCCTCGCACTCCAACGAAAGTAGTCATTCTCACTAATGGACCTTTAGGGGTATCATCAATTCTTTTGGAGTATTCCAAACCTATTATGAGCAGGATCTTCTCGCAAGTTCCGACTCGTCCGACATCTCGTGGATCGGATCTTTGCAATCATTTTTCATCATGTTCCTTGGCTTTATCACTGGACCAGTCTATGATGCAGGATATTTCTACCATCTCCTGCTTGTCGGGTCATTTTTGGTGACCTTTGGCCACATGATGCTGAGTCTGTGTACCGTATTTTGGCAGGTCCTGTTGGCACAGTCATTCTGCATTGGCCTCGGAGCCGGGTGCCTTTTTGTCCCCGGGGTGGCAATTCTTTCGCAGTATTTCAGCGCAAAGCTATCATTAGCTGTTGGCTTGGCAGCATCCGGCGCGAGCGTTGGGGGTGTGGTTTACCCGGTAGCCTTCCGACAGCTTCAACAACATCTTGGCTTCCCCTGGGCCGTTCGCATAATCGGGTTCGTTGCTCTTGGGGGTTTGTCTCTGTCCAACGTGTGTATGCGGACTCGGACACTTCCTCTTGTGAAACGGAAGATGGTTGATTGGTCGGCATTCACCGAGCTGCCGTATCTCTTGTTCAGCGCCGGCCTATTTGTTGCCTTCCTAGGGGCGTACACACCTTTTTATTACATCCAGCTCTTCGCTGAGGATCGCAGTATCACCAATTCCGATCTTGCGTTTTACTTGATTGCGATCCTCAACGCGGCATCGACCGTGGGAAGGATCGTGCCAAACTTCGTGGCCGACAAATTAGGTCCTTTCAACATGATGGTACCTTGTGCGATCATTTGCGGCATACTCATCCTGACTCTACTCGCAGTCGAAGAGCAAGGGCCTCTCTTGGCATGCACCGCCCTGTATGGGGTCTTTTCTGGCTCTTTTGTTTCTTTGAGTCCTAGTATTCTGGTCACACTGAGTCCGAATTTGGGTGTCGTAGGGACAAGAATGGGCATGTGCTTCACTGTAATGGGGTTGAGCCTACTCATCGGCACACCCGTGGCCGGTGCAATATTGAGATCAGGCTTCAACGACGTTTGGATATACGGGGGTGTCTTGACAACTACCGGTGGAGTATTGATAGGCCTTGCAAGGGCAGCATATACCAAAGGGCGTTGGTGGAGCAAAGTGTAATTTGTAGCACAACGATGTCTCTTGGGCACCATGGATAGCATGATTAGGTATTTTCCACCTCCCAAAGTTCAGGTGACGACATACGGGAGTCGTGCTTTGTCCTCAGCCTTACGTACGTGGACACTTATCCAAAGTGCCTTGTCCAACATTCAATATGCTAATTGAGATTTATGTTTAAGGTATTATTGAAAAGGGCATGAGAGCAAGCGCAGACTCTACATTCACAACAATTAGGCCTCTGAATTCATACCATTCCTGTCGCCTAGTTCCAATTCAAAGCTCATATTGGTGGAAAACAATGATCGCGCATACTGTATATCTATGTAGCTATGTATCTAGGGAACTAGGTAATGTTAGAATCCGCACATTGCGGTCATGGAAACTGCCGACAAAGAGAACAACTATGGGATGGTAGAAAAGTGCCTATCTTATTGCGCAACTGTCCTTGCAGCCCAGTCGTGGAGAACCCTACACATTTTTCATATCAAATGGGTATTCCTAGCGGCGATCTTGATATTTGGGATTGGCTCCGTTGTATGCGCAGCTGTGACAAACTCCTACGTTCTCATGGTGGGCAGGCTGATTGCAGGAAGTCGTAGAGGAGCAGAAACGACCCAGCTTATCTACAATGCCTCATTGACCGATATATTAGCATTGTATTTCCGACGAAGCGAGAGGGGCATTCACCATACACAGGATGAATCAATGGCATTGACTTCTGTAAGACGAGGATCTGGAGTCATAGACAAGCTCAGTATGGGGCGCCATGGCCAGACGTCGGCATAGTCTAGGTCTCCAAGCCACTCCATTTACCCTCGGTAGAATCCTGGATATCGGTCACGTCGAAGGCTACTTCGGAGTCAAAACAGAGGCAATGCCATGTCAAGCATAGGTGTCGTTTGGTATCTTCACGGTTGGTACGGTCCTGCCGGCGACGGCGACATAATTTCCAAGCCAAGCACTCTCTAGCCTGGAGACTACGACACAGAAGTGCCGGCACATGTCGTGAGAGATATGGACTCAACCCAACTCCTTCGTGCCTAAGAAAGCTCTGACACTCAACGGACTACAGCCGGAAAGTCATTACCAACGCCACCAACACTTTGGTGAGTGATGCAGCAGTGGCCTGGATACACAATGCAGCAGGAGAGGGTCCTGTACTGGCTACGATTGCGAATTGACGAAATGATGGTGGACCAGCTCTCCAAGCTCAACCTGATTCTTGTGGGAGAAACCGAATGATGGCGTCTTGTGGCAAAGAGTCGAGACAGCATGACCAGTGCCGAATTGTGGTATTGGACCTATCCTTGTTGTGGCCTTACCCGAAGCTTGACACTTGAACGGATGGCTGGGGAAGCTGGTTTGCTGCAGCAATAGAGGCGGATTTGAAGTCATGTTGAGTGAATAATTGTCACAAACATTGTGGAAAGCAATTTACGTTGCCGCTCAAGAAGGAAAAAGACTGCGACCAGCGGTCAGCAGCGACTGATAGAATCGCGGCCTTTGAGCTATGGTGGACCCACGATGCGGCAGCAAGCCACCAATGTACCTATGTACCATAAAAAAAAGACGAAGAAGAATAGCAAAATTTGACAGGAAATCTCTACAATACAAAATATACTCGAGCAATATCGCAATCTCACTCTCTATTTCAAAGCGCAAAGGCAATGACTTGGGGATATGTTCATATCTTTGCTCACTTGCAATGTTTTCTTACCCACCAAGGTCAACGCTAATCCATCGCCTGTCTCATTGCAGCCGCTTAGTTGGAAGACGCTTATTATTAGTAGAGGTTTAGCATGTGCTTCCCAGCAGCGTGCAAGCGGGAGAGAGAAGATGGAGTTATTGACTCGGGCGGAAAACAAAAATATATATGTGCTTCATGGATCTTTGGGGGGAAATGGCATGGGATGCATGCATACAATCATGCAATTGGTGTACCGCATGAACGTGTCTGGCGAATAGACTGGTTGAGATTCACTGGCTGATTGCCTTGGGGTTTCGAGAGATCACTGGACCCCAGCGAGTGCCCCACTTCATGCTTTCATCCATCCGCCAACTTTGGACTCACCCAATCGCGTCTGATACCAAAGTGTCTCATCCATCTCAGACTGCACAATCTCGCATTCCTAGGAGAGCCTAAGTTGGGGGGAGTTTTCATTGTTCAATCTTTTCTTCTTCTCACTCCTCTCCTCTGTCTCTCTCATCTCAAATGGCGTCCGCCAAGCTCAGCGTTCTGCCGTCCTTGAGGAGGCAGCATCTTCTGGCCGAATTGTAAGCCTTTTCGACCAAACAATAGCGGGGGCCTCCGTTGCTAACCCCCGGTCCCAGTGCCGGTCTGAAGCAGGCATGTCCTGAAGGCATCTTCGTCAGCCTCACCCCAGGAGATCCCAGCCTGTGGTCCGGGGTCCTCTTTGTGCGCGATGGTGAGCGCTACTTCATGGGATTGCAACCTCAATCTGCCTTCGACCAGTCCAGGCTAACCTTTGGGGGGGAAAAGGACCCTATGCACCAGCAGTCTTGCGATTTCAGATATCATTCCCTGATGCATATCCTAGACTGCCACCTCTTGTCACGTTCTCAACTGACATGTTTCACCCACTCGTCACCCCTCTGACAACATACATGTACACCACCGATATCCAGGACAATGGGACGGTAAGCGCGACAGATGAGGAACGCCTTCCGCCCGGCGGCTTCAGTCTTCGCCACGGCTTTCCGGATTGGTATGGCCGGCGAGTTAAATCCGCAGATGCTGTGTCTCAATCGATCCAGACTCCGCCACGTCAACTTGCCCCTTCCTTGGAGAGCGGCAAGACCTCGAGCTCCAAGAATTCGGCAGTAGGTGGCTCCCCTGTGTACACAGATACGAGCCGGAAAGAGACGTCCACATTCGAAGTGCTTGGATACATACGTAGCACGTTTGATGATGAGGATGTTCTCGACTCCATACCTTTAGAGGCAGCCGGTAACCCTGGAGCGTGGCATGCATGGCGAACTCGCCAACGAAGTAATGGCAAAGTATTTGCAGACAACGACCACAGCGAGGACAGCACGCCCACGCCAGCTGGCGCTTCAAAGAAACCCGGTGAATGGAATTGGGAAGGCGTATGGGAGGAAAGAGTCAAGAAGGGTATCGCAGCAAGCCTGTCAGAATCAGTGCTGTACGGAGGGGTAGGAGCTGGAGAGGACGTGGTAGGTTTCTCTTGCCGACTGCTCTCAAAAGACGGCTACGTACTAACTGACATGTGCCAGATCCATTTTCTCAGCATGGAAGAGAATGACATCGAGGCAGTCAAGGGCAATCTACTGAGGACACTTGGACATACTCCATCATGAGGCAGGTAGTGCCTGAAACCGTTTGCCTGGTATGGCCACCCCTGCTTGGCATTCCAAGGGGCAGGCATAGATGAGATCGAGTCCACCTAGTCTCCTGCAAGTAGAGTCAAGACTCCATGTGCCTCGACATAAACAACACAATGATACCCTGAACAAAGATTATCGCACCTTTTGGAAGCACTTTTTCAATATTCCAGCAGTTCATCTATCGTGTACGTTGTATATGGCCGCAAACTCGGCTGACCTCCATCCCGGAATCGTCGCCGCAATCACGGTACTTCTCGTCCTTCTCCTTCTATTGATTGTGATTGTTATCATCCGCGGGTTTGATCTGGGCCCACACCACACTTCTGGTCTACGTTTTATATTCAGACGAAGCTGCTTGCTGGTTACCGATTCCAGTACTTCCGTACTATCCGACATTGAGCAAAACAAGACGAGCACGCCTGGAGCTGATCTTGCAGTCTCGAGTCAGTCTCCAGAGCAGCCAATAGACGATCTGCCCCTTGGTCCTCTTCCAACTGCGGTACAAGATGAGCGTCAACCCAGTTGCTTACATGAGAATTGAACCAAGAATTGTCCTTGCGAACTTCTGGCAGGTCCTGAAATTGATAGGCGATATATGGAATATTGGCCTCAATACTTGGTTCATTCTGAGGTGCTGCTTTGGAAAGGATATTTTTGAACGGACTCACCATCGTTGTCGTCACTACACGCAGCATTGCTTCCAGCATATCCAACGTTTCTTTAATCGAATTCGTCCCCCGCCGCCCCAACCCAGAAGTGAAGGGCCGGAAGATTGGGTCGACTTAGACAGTCCTGTCCCACGAGAAGCCGGGGCCTAATCGACGCACGGGGGGTCAAGATGGACTCTGTCATTCGCTTTGAGGATCTAGTAGTACCAGCCCAAACCGGTACGATGAGTCCGACAGCGTAGCAGGCAGGCTCAAACCTGGTCATGGGTCCTCTGAGCCCACGCCCACTGAAAATCTCTAAAATTGGCAAGACCTCGTCAACTCCGGATTTTGAGGCAACTCCTAGGCCTATGCTGCAAAGGCTTCACAACAAGAGGGACGAAAATTTCAATATATCTGGCTCCTTGGATACTACGCCTCGTGCGTTCGACCGTAGGACTCACGAAAAGTCATCAAGCTATGGGTTGCTGAGGAGTCAAACACCAAAACTTTTGACAAAGCTGCGTTCATTCTCCAATGGACGAGTATCATCATCTAGGGCTACATGTCGTCGCTACAGTACTGACAGCCATGTCTCCAATACTGAGTCCGTTCCTCCTCCTCATTCTGTACGCCTTCACTCGGCTCAGGGCAAAATGTCCAATTTCGGAAGCAGCTCGTCTGAAGGATCATATGACCCAGACCCGGTGATGCCGCTATGCTACGACGGTTACCCTCTAGGAACCCATGGCTCACGCCGGCAGAGTAATCCAATGTCGTACTTTCATGAGCCTATCGAGCCTTTTATGGATCCGAGTCTGTGGATACCACAAGTGAGGGTTGTTCCTGAAATGACAACGATTCGGGACGGCAGCATGACGGTCTAGGTGGCCATTGAGATTTTTGGGCAGATTCAGGGCTACCTTTATGAGGCACAACTGAATCTAATACCAACCGAGGGCAATATCATCATGGAGTTGATTGATGGCGAGGTCCCAAAGTGTATTAGCCCGGGATCCAGTCATCTTACACTGGCACTCATGAGACTTGGTCCGTTGAAGACTCCACGGACACCATCAGCGGAAGCAATCGAGCCGGATGTCTTGATCGCTGACTTGGAGCACCATCTTGGAGACAGGAGGACCAATTTTCTGGAAGTTACGTTGTCGTACTCCCATTCAGGGTTTCCAAAGACACAACTGAAGACAATGGCAACAGGCACCGTCAAGAGAAACAACCCAGCCTCTGTTTGGTCATCTGCACGGCCGGTAGTTGCCAACGATCTTGCCCCGATTGTTGAGGCGCACTGGGGGCCAAAGAGGGCTCAAGATATCATGCAACGTATATCGAAAACTCGAGAGGGGTCTGAGGACAGGAAGACTGCCACCAAGAGGTGGAGCTTGGGCGGATGGTGGTAGAGCTCAAAGAACAAAGCTATATTTCAGTACTTAGGACTTTTTTTCGGAGGACAGTCAATACAAGCAACAATTTCATGTCATTTTTAAAAACTTGCGATGAGTGTAATGTGCGCAGCGGTCCTGGTAGATGGGGCTTCTCACTCGCAAATCATAGGATATAGAGTGCAGCTAGTTGTATTTATTTTTATTTCATATATACATTTTTTATAGCTCATCGCGCCATGGTATCGAGACCTGTGCGCCAAGCTTTTCTACCGTCTTTGCCGCAGCCTTATTTGACTTTTTGACAGCTGCTGCAATGTCACAATCCGTGCCCTTTGCCTTTGCTGCCACGACGTCGAGCGCGTAGCTACCGACAAAGGTGTCGCCGGCGGCCGTTGTATCCACGACCTTGGCCTTCTCGGCCGGGATGAGACCCGACTCTCCTTTCCTGTTCATGTAGAATACGCCTCTACCGCCTAAAGTCACGATAATATTCTTGACACCCTTGGCCAAGAACTTCTTGGACACATTGATCAGCCCTTCTTCGGCTTCGAGCTCAGCCTCGGCAACGCCGCCAAGGATCGCCGCCTCTGTCTCGTTGACAACCAGGTGCGCCAGGCCTCTGTACGCCTCATCGGGCAGCGGCACGGCGGGCGCCGGGTTCAGCAGCACGTCGACGCCGTCCTCGTTGGCGGCCTTGAGGGCCTGCAGCACGGTGGGGATGGGGATCTCGAGCTGCATGATGAGGAGGTCGGGCCGGGGACCGGGCAGGCGCTCGAACTGTGCCGGCAGCAGCGAATGGTTGGCCTCGGGGCTGAGGATGATGCGGTTCTGGCCCGTGGGCTCGTCGACGACGATGATGGCAATGCCCGTCTTGCCGTCCTGTTGCCGCGCCACGCCGCTCACGTCGACGCCGTGCTCCGACATGTTGGACAGCAGTATGTCGCCGTACGTGTCGGCGCCGACGGCGCCCACCATCCGGACATGGGCCGTCTCGTCGTCATTGCTCGCAGCAGCAGCAGCAGATAGAGACGACTTGGACCGTGAGAGCTTGGCGCAGGCTACGGCCTGGTTGGCGCCCTTGCCGCCGGGCGACACGGCAAACGAGTTGGACGTCAGGGTCTCGCCCGGCAGCGGGTGGTGCGGCACATAGGACACGAGGTCAATGTTGAGGGAGCCGAGAACGGTGATGAGGGGCGCCTTGGTTGTCGACATGGTTACTTTGCGCAGGGTGTATTGGAGGGGGTTGGGCGGACGTATAGCAGCAGCAGCTTCGGGGAGTTAGGGATCGGGCCTTTACCACAGTGAGAAGTGGTCCAATTCCGTAACCGAAAGTCCAGCTCAAGCTCGTGTGACTACACTGAGTGAAAGCTAGGATAGGTAGCTCGGAGGTAAGTATATCTCTCTACTCGGAGATATCGCTTCTACCTCGATCTCCTTTGTGATGATCTACAGTTCCTCGGTCTGTGATGGGATATAAATGTCCCGGAAAGTGTTGAATTCGGCAGACCAGCTGATGCGGGTTGGTGCATGTGTCAAAAGATTAACCCCTCCATCCATAAAAAAGTCAATTGGGGGGGAATTTAGTGCAGGGCGGGCTCAGTTTAGGGAGCGAAACCACCCCCGCCAACCGTCAGCCCGCCGAGCCCGCAAGTCTGGGTGCAATTGCTTCAGGAACAGAAACAGGGGTCTCTTTGTTTAGTACCGACAGGTGACGTACATTTGCCTCGAGCTTTCGCCGAATCTGCCCCTCCATGGTGTTTATCGGTTGTATTTCTAGATTCCGACGCCAAAAAAACGCTGCCATCTAGCTAGCCAAGTCCCTCTCTAATCGTCTTGCCCCGATTCCAGTAAAGGTGCTGACGCTTGATGAATCGTATCATGCTCGACTCGCACATTTGTTCATGCCAAAAGAGCATTGTACAGTTGATCTGTCGAATGTGCTGGGGGGACGCAAGGGCATTCATTTGCCCGCATGAACCAGTCAGAGACCACAAGAGTGATAGATTGATTGGTCCAAGGTAGAGTCTCGGAATCATGGCACTCACAATTCCCTAGCAAGGAGTTATCACGCTCCAGTATTCCTCCACAATTACTACTATTTTCCTAGGCAGATTCCAATGGCTCATCATTTCTTAAGCTTTTCCTTTATAGCACTACGAACGGCTACTACTGACCCCGCACCGGGGAAATAGGTCAAACTACTACTCAACCCCACAGCCCGCCGAGCCCATGGGTTGCGCGTCAGAAAGGATATATGAATATCCATCCCTTCGACATGTCAGCCATTGGAAATCATGACGAGACTACTGGCTCTCCGTGATTCTATAAATTATTAGATCTGGGACTTTTCATCTTTCTCTCTTTTCTTTTACATTATTTACGTTTCTTGCTTTATACCCACGATGGCGGACCCCAAAGATCTCAAGGTCGATGTGATCGGCGCAGGTATGCTCGGCTCGGCCGATTGGTGTTGCGGTTATACAATGTGGATAGCAACTGATTCGCTTCACCAACAGGAATGGGTGGCTTGACCGCGGCCCTCGCCCTCGCCAAAAAGGGCTTCAAGAACATTACAGTATACGAGAATGCCTCGACTTTGGGCTTTGTTGGAGCCGGTATCCAATTAGCTCCCAATATGCTACGGATTCTGGACCGGCTCGGCTGCTTCAAAGGCACTCGCATCGAGAAGGAGGCGACCAACATCTTGGCGACCAGTATTGTGCGCGGCTCGGACAATCAAGAGCTCACGCACGTCGAAATGCCCGACATTGAGGAAAAGTACGGATACCCCCACATGACCGGCCACCGTGAGAGTTTAGCCGGCGGTCTCTACGAGGCCTGTCAAAAGGAGAGCGCCATCAAGTTCGTCTTTGGCGTTCAGCTGCAGGACGTACTGGCTTTTGGATCCAAGCCCCGATTCACCGTCAAGCCGCGGGACGGTGAGGCATACGAAGTCGAGACCGATGTGCTCATTGGCGCCGACGGTATCAAGTCCAACACGCGGACGGCCATGCTGCGCGAGCTCAAGATCGACACGGATGTCGAGGATACCGGCCAGGCCGCCTACCGCATCATGCTCACCCGCGAGCAGTGCCAGCCGTACCCCGAGTTGATCAAGCTGCTCGACTCCAACTGCGCCATGCGCTGGATCGGTGAGAAGCGACACATTGTCGCGTATCCCATCGCCAACCACAACATTTACAACTTGTCGACGGCGCAGCCCGACTCCAACTTTGCCGCGACTACCAATGCCACATACACAACCAAGGGTGACAAGAGCCAGATGCTCAAGGTCTACGAGGACTTTTGTCCCCTCGTGCAGACCATGCTGAACCTGGTGCCAGAAGGCGAGGTCTGCGAGTGGCGGCTGCGGTCCCAGAAGCCGCTGGAGCAGTGGTCGCACGGCAGCGCATGCCTAGTCGGCGACGCCTGCCACCCGACGCTGCCGCACCTGGCGCAGGGCGCCGCTCTGGCCATGGAGGACGCCGCCGTGCTGGCCGAGACGCTGGCTTTGGCGCCGTTGCAGAAGGACGGCAGCGGCGAGGCCGTCACCCGGGCCCTGCGCGTGTACGAGCTGCTGCGCAAGGACCGCGCCTACACCCTCGTCAACCTGGCCGCGCTCAACGGCAAGGCCATGCACTTGGGCGAGGGCAGCGCCCGGGAGGAGCGTGACCGCATGTTTGCCGCCGCTCGCGAGAAGGGCAAGCCCGTCCCGGACAAGTGGGCCAGCCCCGATGTCCAGCAGATGATTTACTCGCACGATTGTATGACGAACGCGCAGGAAAAGTTTGACGAGCTGTACGCTTCGACAACATCGTGAGAATCTAGGTTAGTTTAGTAAGACGGATTAGTTCATTGTAAGGAGTTGGCAAGGCGACATGATGTCTATATACTTCCATTATATCTGTGTTTACAACTTTCCAAAGTTTCCCTTGCTCCCGTTTTCCAACGACTAAGTTGATTGTTGATGATATGTTTGCATTAATTTGCGGATCTATTGGCTGATTCTGGTACTATTCTCACGTCAAAATACCATGGAGTGACGCAACAAAGTAATGAGCTCCATTCACAGAAAACAGGAAACAAACTTATATTGGTATACCGCGAGAAAGCCCAAGACTCCTGAACAAGAAGCAAGCAACTTGAAGAGAAAAATCAATCCCCATGTCGCCCAAAATGCAGACTCAAAGGCGGCCAACGTCCCAGACGACGGCGCACCACTACCTTTATCCGTAACGCCTATTCTGATGCTTTGTGATGTGTGGCTTTGATGCTCGGAATTGTTGGCTCATTGCGAAGTCCATCTTGCTTCCCGCCTGCACCTTTCCTGGTCAGGATTTGGGCGCAAAAGACTTTGTTGTCCAGCCTCTTCATTCCAGCGTCTTTGAAAACCCCTTTTGCGCTCCCCATCCTCTTCCTTACTTTGCATGAGTCCATCTACACCATCTAGGATATGCTCTCCCCTTGCCGGAGCTTTTCTTCCGCCACGTCGAATTCTTTCCCTGGTCAAGTTTAGAACAAGAGGTCCAGACAGCAGCAGCAGGCAAGAGCAGCGAGAACACCCTCTAGACAACCGGGACCCGAGCTGCGATCATCTTGATAGCGGCCTTGTGGGGGGTATCCTTGCTGGTAGTAGCCGCCTCCTTGCTGGGGAGGGCCGTAATAGCCCTGCTGCTGCTGCTGATAGTACCCGCCCCCATTCGGAGGAGGAGGTCCTTGTTGTTGGTAGTAGCCCATGTTGGGGTTCGATTGGTAGTATCCATCATTGCCGCCACCGTACGGCGGTTGTTGTTGTTGGCCGTATGCGCCGGGTTGCTGGTAAGCGGCTTGTGGATGCTGTGGGCCATTGTCATAGGCGGGCGGTTGATCGTACGGTTTCGACATTGTCTAGATAGGGAGAGTGAAAAGAGATCTGGTCGCACAAGAAAGACAAGGTAGAAGGACCTCTTGAAAAACGGAAAACCGGCACAATGTTGTGATATTGATTGTGTCGAGTGCGTGTTTCGCTATTTTCCAGTTGGGTCGCTTGAGGAAACCGGTGACGCCGATAAGTCGCAGCAGCTCTTTTGGGACCACTATTGTGATGCAGCGCAACGTGGTGAAGTGTACTGCCGTGAGGTGCTGCGTGATGCAGTGAGGGACACGGATGCGATGAAAAAAGATGGTCGATCTTGTCGCTGTGACTGGTGGTCAAGTATGATGAGTTTGCCAGAGAATCAATTTTAGGGTTTCGCTTGGATGCGAGTTGTTACGATCGGTCAGCTGCTCTCAGAGCCCCGTGGGTGAGTTTTCACAATGTTGGAGTGTTTTGTGGCGAAGCAGCTTTCTTGTCACGAGGGGGGCGAAAGCTGACCCAAATGAAGCGCCCAGATTGGGATATCTCGGATACCTTGGGACGTGGGGAGCTCCCTAGAGGCTCGGCAAGGGAGAAAGAGAGTGATTATTACGACGAGCAGTCTTGGCAATGGAGGAGGACAGGAAATGAAAAGAATCTCCACGAAATTACGAATGGCAAACAAAGGTAGCACGTCTCTTCCTGGGCAGTTTGGAAATCACTTTTTCCTAGTAAATCAAAAAGAGGCCGCCAGTTGTATGAATGCGACGTGAATGGTGGCAGCAGGTATGGAAGAGAGGTCAGGGGAATCGCAATGCGCGGGTGCATTCATTCGGACCTGCGATTGGGCCCGGGACCCGATGCAGGTGATCTGTTATCCTAAAGGGGGAAGCTTCGCCTTGATTTACACTGTTGCAAACAGGTCCCTCCTGTCGTCGCAGGCCGTTTGGAGTTCACAAACCTTCAGCGTCTCAAGATGGTCCATGGAGGGGTAGGGCAGGTCAAGGTAGTAGTATGTATTGTATGCGTGTCTCAATGTAGTCGTAGTAAGCTGCTCCAGCGCTCATCCAATACATACGCCGGAAGCACTCTGAAACAAGTCACGCGCGAGTTTGGCATGGTGGCGGTGCGCAGGTACAGGCAGGTAACAGCAATAGAGTGCGGCGAAACGAAACCAGCCCATGAGCTTTGTGATAATCTTAAAAGATGGGCAAAGCACCACAATGTCGAAGGGCAAGAGTTTATTTCACCATGATCCAATCATTGTTATTGTCTTGCACCTTTGGACGTCTGCCCGGGCAGCACACTGCAGGTATACTCTGCGTTGCTTACATACCTAATGTATTACTGTATGTAAGCCTCACATTTCATGTAAATCAACCACCATCGAACCGCTGAGATCTACACCACGTACCTTATTACTTAGCTGTACACATGCTTCCCCGGCAACGATTTACTACCATGGATGTTTCCGTTGGTAGTTGCTGTTTAGTGCGGGACGCCCCTCTGCGGCAATTCCTCAGCTTTGACAGCTCCTTCACAGACACTACTGCGGATGCCTCGGGTAGTGGGGGGGGACTGGGAAAGTTGCTAGAAGGTAGCGACTTGATTGACGCGGGTAATAAGGATGCAGAAGCTATATCACGAGTAGAGGATGCACAATGCAGATGAAATCGAATGCGAGATTGATTTGTCCACGTTGTTTCGTTTACTTAGGTATGGGCTATGTGTTTACTCCTATGCATGTAATGTATGCATGCGTCCATCATATTAGGTATGTAGGACATCTTGCCTCGGGTCGATGAGGTGCAAATGCTTAATTCGTTTCCTCCTCCCTGTCTTCAGCTGCTCTCTCGCGTAACTGCTTCCATTTCCATTGCAGTCGGTCAAGCTGCCGAGTGCCTTACCGGTCGTTTGCGGCAAATCTTGTATGCAAACTAACAAAAATACATTGCGTCGAAGTCCGACGCAACCACTCAGGATACCTTGGAGGGGGTAGCAGGTAGGCAGGGAGAAAAGTTAAAAAGAGCATGTAATCTGTACAGAATGGGTAGTGGTGTCAAAAAATGCGCAAGAAGGGTTCACGAATTTCAAGGATTCCCACCTTACAGTAGTTACCTTCGCTACTACTAGTCTACTACCTTTTCACAAAACAGCCCAGGGTATTGCCAGCAGCCGGGGGGCGGAAGTGCCCAGCGGAACCCTGGTAGCCGCATTGCCGCCGCATGTTGCCGCCGGCAGCAACGCCGAGTCGGCATAGATTGGGGCGAGATCGACTATCGGTACATATGCTCCTAGGTAGGTAGGTGGCACTATTTTGTGAAAGATGAGAGGAGGGGGGGGTTAGCAAACCTGAGCCCAGTAGTACTACTTGCACGCTTGACTAATGAACCATGGATGTTGAAAAAGGTAGGGGGCGGATAACGTTTCTGGTTTGCAGTATCTGGCTGCTACTGATGCAGTATCTTGCTGCAGCCGCTGCCGCTGCTACTGCTGCTGCTAATGGTGGGATGCGTAGACAGTCCATGGCCACATGGCAAGAAATCAGACTAACACCAGATGCGGTTTACCGGAGGAGAAACTGACGTGCTAGTCAGTCTGTAAGAAGAAAGTAGCTGACGTCCTTGGCTAGGGCGGAGCGGTAGATTTTCAGGGAGGGCGGTTTTGACGATCTCCTCTGGATGCCCTCCAATCGCACGGTATAGTACGGAATAGGATAATGGTACTGATTTACTAGAACCTATTGGTGCGGAGAAGACTTCCGCTGCTTGGCTGGCCAGCGGAGCGCGTTCTTGTGTAACCTGCAGAGCAAGCTCGGCATCTAGAGAATATTCAGGTGGGAAACAAGCCAGCGCGCATTCTTGTTTTGTCAACAAAGGGCGATTGACTCTCCTGGCAAAGTGAAGTGAACATCTCCGGATCTCCAGGCACGATTTGTATGTGTGGCCGGAGGAGAAAAGTACTGGCGCACGAGGACACCTGCATCAGTAGCCTGAACTAACAACATATAGTCAATTATAGTCAACCTGGCAGTGCCTGGGCGAGCGGAGGAACCAGAAAAAAACAGGGCCATCAAATTATTATCCTCATGGTACAGGATCCGACATGACGTAAACTCCTAGTAAATGAATACACAGGGCTGTTTATATAATCATTCTTTTACAACAGCCCGTGGAAATATACGCTCTTCGGAGGCTCCGAGTGCGCGGATATAGGTATCATCAAGCTCCATCATTCGCGCCCATCATCCCACTGCCAGCCATCCCGCCGCGCATCGTCACGATCTAGCTGTCCCCAGCGGCGGTAGGCCCATCTTCTTCAGGTCCTCATTGATCTCCTCTGTCCGCTCCAGGAAATGTGGCCTCATTGTATCGTACAAGGCTGGCGACGGTGCTGGTTTTTCCCAAGTTAGCCCACAACTAGAATTGGCGATCACGCTGGCAGCATAAATTTTGAATGATAAAACAACTCGTTTCAACTTACGATTCAGCACGCCACTGCGCTCGAGCCCATACTTTGTCACGCCGAGATGCGTGGGAATGTGAAACATGAATGCTAAAGTTTGTGTTAGTCCAGTTTATTAGAGTTCACCTAGAAAGACTCTAGAACGAGTGCCGGAAATCAAGCAGAGACTCACCTAAGAAGCCCTCGCCCACTCTCTCTGGCTTCAAGTCAGCCTTGGTTGCCAATTCGTAAGTCTCGTAAGTTTCTACCACAGTTAGTAAACGTGATCACCACAGATATGATCGACATTGGTGGGTAGGCAGGGAGGGTATCTCAAAGGTCCTAAACAAACATACCTCCATGTGCCATGTAACTGGGCTGGAAGCTAAGCCCCCCGGCGCGGAGATCTCGGCTGCTCCCAGCGTAGGGTCCTTGAATAATCCCCATGACCTCGGCAGCCATGTTGCGATGATAATACTAGAATCAATTTCAGCGATCAATTATTCTCGGCCGGGGTCGCACCCAATAAACTGGGTACGTAAGCAGACGTTGGTGCCAGTGCGGACTTACGGGCGGCCTGAAGCTGTTAGTCGTAACATTCCATTTTGGCGTAAAAGCCATCACCTCGGTAATGGCAACCCCGGGTATTTTTGACTTTGCGGTCAAGACGGTGTACACCGACGGGTCGCTTTGGTCGCGATCGACGACGGCCGTGTTGATGAACCTTTCCAGTGCATACTTGAAAGGAATGCAACTGCAATTCAGGGAAGAAAAAGAGGTCAGTCGGTAACTCTTTGCACGTATCCGGGTTCAAACAGGGAATAACTCATACTTTCCATGCCAAGCGACTACATCAAACGGCGTGTGCTGCTGTTTGTGTGACCAAAACTTTCCACCCAGCTTCACCACAACTAGAATGACCGTTAGCAAAACATGTAGGTCCCACGTGGCAAGATCCAGACTTACCCTCCCATTCGGAGAGATCTTCATCAAAGGACGCCACAGGATATTCAAAGTTCCTCGGGAGTGCCATGCCGTTAGCACCGATCGGTCCCATGTCTGGCAACTCGTAGTGGCTCCCGAACACCTCCTGCACATCTGCATTGGTGTTATTATTGTATAGAGTTGATAGAATGTAACTTTGACTTACAGCCTCTTGATGGGCCGTCTGGTAGTGACACTTTGAATTTGATGCCGGCTTGAATGACGACCATCTCGCCGGGCCGTACCATGAGCCTGGTAAATAGTCAGCATTGTGTTACAGATGAAGGGAGAAAAGAAGGAAATCAGCATCGCATTGGCCTTACATTCCAAGTTCGGTCTGTATATCCAGACGGCCTTGTTGCGGAATGATGAGCATATCTCCGTCGTTGCTGCAAAACGCCCTATTCCTCATGGAAACGTTGGCCGTGTAGATGTGGATTGCCAGACCCTCTTTCATAATGGCATCTCCGTTGCCAATGACGGTCTTGAGCCCTTGACAAAAGTCGATTTCTTCGCTGTCTGAAGGAATGAGGAATGGAAGCCAGCACAGGACCTGCGGTGGAAATTCGACATTCTCATTGTTCGCGGAGAATCGCGCTTCAAGCTACAAGTACATAGTTGTCGTGGTCAGTGACTGTTCAAAGAGAAGGGTGTGCTCAATGCCCATTGTGGCTCTACTGAAAGGCTTACATCTTCGTTTTCGGGCAGTTTTTGGGCTACCCCATGTGCAAGTGAAGGCATGATCCTGTAGAACCAGACATGCTGCATGTCATTTCTTGAAGCAATGAAGCCAGTGCTTGTCAGTTGCTCAGAGTAGAGTCCATATTTGCAAATCTGTGGTGTATTCTGTGCTACCGGAATCACGCCAGGGCTGCAGTGTCACAGTCTTGTTAGCCAGCAATCAGAAAGGGTTGGTGGGACCATCAGGTACTTACACGGCCTCTGAGTTGAAGAAGTTTCCAAAGCCGACCTGATACCTATACGGATCTTTTTCGGTTGGGCTGGTCATGAATGCCGACTGACTACATGCGCCAAAGGCTGCTGTCGGTTCAAGGTGACGGATGGCTCCCATGCTGGGGGATCGTGATGGCTAGCAGGGATCGCCTAGAAGGCACTGCGTATCAATGACAAGCTAAGTATGAAAACGAAGTGGATGTGAAGCTGTATGAAACTTCTCTTAAGATGAACGCGCTGAGTGTTGAGTCAACTGTAGTAGGTACTCGGTATTCAGTTGAAGCGGCATCACTGAAAGAAATCAGGAGCGTTCAGACTGATTGAAAGATGTCCAGGAATTAGATATATGAATCGATGCTAGGGAGCCGCCCAAGTGGGTCGCGTCTTCCGGCACCAAGATAGGCAAAATGCTCTGGGTACATCCGGTGGTTTGTCTAGAGGGGGTGGAATACATTCGATACCTTGCCTACCTAATGTAGGTATTCGATTACTTTACTTAGTTTGCCTAGTTCAGGGCTGAGTACGTAGGTATGGTACAGTTTGACCTCGGAAGTCGGGCATACGATCAGCTCGACTAGCTAGCAAGCAAACTAGGGTCTTTGGCTGGGTTGGGTGAGGCGGAACCATAAGCGGAGCCCAGTGGGAAAAAAAGTATATCGGAACCTTTGCCGGCGGCAGCCCTCCGGCACGACCCAAGGTGCGGTGCGGAATACTATGGCGGGCTACGATGGGCACTGAATGCCGCCGTCTCATTGTGTGTGCTAAACACCACACACTTATCTCTGGATGGCGTGTCACACTGTTAACTATACGCCACAGCCGAGCTGCGAGGTTTTTACGGCGGAATGGCCTGATTTGGGCATATTATTTTATTCTGCTGTGTTGTACTGCAATGTTGCATTGATCACCAAGCTGGCCAAGGCGCCCCCAACGTCCTGTTAAAACCGCGCTGTTGTGTCTATCTTCGAGCCGATGGGCGAGTTTTGAGCAAACTTTGAATACTCACTGGCTCGGGCCGAGTGGGGGGGTATATTTTTATTTTTTTTTTGAGTGCGGCACAAGTGGCTACACACATACCACACCTAATATCATGAGCTGTTTTTGTATCGTTTTATTCCCGGAGACAATTTATTTGTGGCTGAGGTCATATGGGACTGATCAATTCTTTTCCTGCGTCTGTGCTAATCTAAAAGCATTGCTGTGGCCTGATTCGCTTCAACGGTCCGGTCAAGCGACATATCAATGTACTTGGTGCTTGCTGTATCATGCGCGTCCAGCTACGTATAACAGAGCAACGCTGGTATCTGCCGCAGACCCACGAGCCGCACACCGTTTCGGAGGGTCCGTTTTCTCAATACATCAGAGGAGGAAGAGGGGTATTGTATCGGGCGCAGATAACCAAGACCAACCAGCCCTTGGAATGTGGTACCTGCATGCTTGTGCGTGTCATGTGGCGTTATGTGGCGTTGATATGATCATATTTGTGTTTGTCCTTTTTTCCCCCAACAATGGCAAATAGTGAAGTGCTGATTATGTGCTGGAAATATCGGCATGATTCCGCGAGAGCCTCTCTAGGTAGGTGGGCACGGAATGCCAATGCTGAATGTATAAATATGCACACAACGCCAGCTGGATGCTGCATCAGGCAACGATCTTTATCTATATGTGTCCTTGGAACCGTTCATGATTATTGATCAACGCTCAACGTGACTAGTGTCTTTCGGCAGATTTCTACCAGTTATATTGACGCACAAAGAAGTATACTAGGATGCCTTGAGGACAATGCGTGAGCTGCGCAAATAGTATACTCGACGTGCCTCGGAAAAAGCAAAGCAGTGCGGAACTTGCCGACGTTGATCTGCCAAATCTCCAATGATGTTGCATGCCTAGGTAGGCATGCTCAATTTTGGCAAGAAGAGACGATGCTGTGCGTGCCGACAGAATGGACCACCAAGGCTGGTCGAGTCTTGAAATGATTTATAGGGAATGCATGTACACTGCATGTCATCTACGATGCAATATTGACCAATGATTACACAGTTGAAGGCAAGGTGGTTCTGAGAATAGTAGCCCTGGTCCTGTAGATCGCATCGCATTGGATGCAAAGACCCCTGGAGGTCGGAGAACGATATACTCCCTACATATCACTTACATGGAAAGTTCCGTGCATAGTGACCTCGCCGGGAAATGGGGGTCGAAACCATTCAACCGGTCTGGCTTGAGTCTACGGAGAGGCTCCGACATGTGTCCCTCGTGATGTAGGACGTGCAGCTGGCCTCGTATGATGCTGATCGTGAAGCTCATTTTCCAACTCTACTTGCACAAGTCAATCAAGATACGGCATGTGGGAACTCGTCACTGTTTTTTCTAAATGCTACAAGATGCCTCATATAATGCTATAAGCACGTTATTGTCATTCATTTCTTGAATTGATACCTGATCTAACGGTGATGATGGAAATCCTTCCTCTACCATTTTGTGTGCATTCCCAACGGTTGTGCATAAAGTAAGTGTCATTAGTAGTACAAGCAAGGATAATTACACATTGAAAAGTTATACTCCGCCGCATTTGCCTGCCGGAAAAGAAACGCTAGGCGTTAGCGCCATGCGCACTGGGGAGCCGATGTCCAATACGGTGGAGCCCCTCGACTGCCTGTCGGCTCTTTTGGCCCTCCCAAAATGCCAGCCGCCAACCTAAACCCTCGCCCTACCACCAAAATCGTCTTCCCAGAAGTCGCTTTTCCTTCTTGACATTTCACCACTCTCTCCTCCCTTGGTTTTGAACAAGAGATTTGGACCCAGAAAAAGTTCCCATCTCGAGACGGTTGCCAACAAGTGAGAGATCAGCTACTGATTCCACTGCCATCATATGTGCTGTCCGCCTGACCCGTCTCACTTCAAGGTTCTCGCAGCCACGATTCGCTCAGCTTGAATCTGCCGTGACTTCAAGTTACACAAATTTCTCAATTTGGGATACACAACAGAGGTTACTTATTCTCCGGACACGGGTCCGCGCATAGAGCAGCAAATCACCAACAAATGAGCTGCATGGAAGGTTCCATCCACTTGCCAAATCAGTCCAGACCGTGATCGCCGCGGTTGATTCCTTGGTTGCCTCGTTGCGCCTTACATTCAAGACAGCGACGCGCTGTCTTCAGTCTCTCATTTCAATTGACTTGGGATCACCATCATCGGCGAGGGCTACAATGGGGGAACGAACCTTGACTTTTCCTCAACTTGAGGCAGACAAACTCGAGCCGTATCTGACGCCTGCGACTGCTGGGGCATCCGCGGGACATGCACCCGTTTCCGACAAACCATTCGTCACTCTTACCTTTGCCACATCCCTGGATTCTGCTCTATCCCTGGCTCCCGGAACCAGGACAGCTCTTTCCGGCCCCCAATCTAAGGCCATGACCCATTACTTGCGAAGCCGACACGATGCCATTTGCGTTGGGGTGGGGACTGCGATTGCTGACGATCCTGGCCTCAACTGTCGCCTGGAAGGTTTGGACTTGTCTCGACAGCCGCGACCAATCGTCATAGATTCCCGGCTTCGCTGGCAATTCACGCGAGAAAGCAAGGCCATGCAGCTCGCGCAAGCAGGCCAGGGCCTTGCTCCTTTCATCATCACCTCGGAGCGCTCTCCGCCCGAGGCGCAGCAAGCCCTCCTCGAGGAGCACGGCGGGAAATATATCTTTCTTGGCCGTGACACCGCAGATCAGCAGCGCTTTCAGTGGTCCGATGTTCTGCGCGCTGTAGCTGGCGAGGGCTTGCAGAGTATCATGATTGAAGGCGGTGGCCAGATTATCAACTCGTTGCTCGAAGCTGGATCGAACCACCTGGTCGACTCGGTCATTGTAACCATTGCTCCCACCTGGCTTGGTCAGGGTGGCGTTGTTGTGTCTCCGCCACGACGGATGGACTCAAATGGCACGCCGGTCCCTGCTGCCCGACTCGCCGACACTGCATGGCTCCCACTAGGCGAAGATGTCGTACTGTGCGGAAGGCTGGCTTGATGAATGCATATACAGGACAGCATCTCCGATATCTATTTTCTATCGAAAAATGTGACTGGATTTGGTCCGTTCATTCATTACTTCACTCCAACTCTAAAAACTATTTTTCACCTGTGTTCGGTCTATCGTCTCGCGTTGCTCATGAGCCGTCGATCGATCCATATACGCAGAGCCAACCTTCCTCACCGCTCTCGGCCCCTCATCCCTTTCATGGCACATCAAATGAGAACAATGTGTCCCTTCTTGTTCTTTGCGCACTCCCCTGACACACTTTTACTCACTTTTACCCAGTTCTACCTCAAGTATGTCCTCTGTGCTTTATCTCTAGCCAGCGGAAAGGAAAGTAGAAGAGGCCTGTGACGACGAAGGCCATTTCAAAGCCAACGTCGCCAGTGATGGCTGCAATGGGTCCGGTGAACCAAACCTCGGCCATTCCTGGAATAACAAGACCCATTGCACAGATCGAGGCTGCTATCGCCGCGATTCCCGATGGCAACTTTCTTCCAACGTTCCAGATCGCAGGGTCATATGTGTTAAAGTCCATACGCCGGAAAATAACCAACTCTTCAATCAGTACGGCATCAAAACAACCTGCCCAATAGCCAATGAGGGCCAGAAAGTTTTCCAAGGACTCTTCCCATTCCTCGGCAGCCTTGATGGCGGTTGGTATCATCACGATAATAACCGCTAGGATGAAGAAATACCGCGGGATCTTGGCAAAGAATGGCAAAATCATCTGGAGGTTCAAGGCAACCGAATACATTGAAATGGCAATGTTACCCAGCACGCTCAATGCAAGAAGGACCAGGATGAACTTCCCAAATCCGCCGGAGCTGCTGAGCATTTCTGCGAGCACACCACCAGCACCGTATGCTGCGTAAGCATCGGACCATCCGTCAACGACAGGCACAGCGCCACCCATAGCTGCACCGAGCACAAAGAGTGGTACCGATGGTGTCAAGAGTCCCAGGTACGTGTAAGTAAATATCTTTGTCCTTTGCGATGATCAGTAATGTTCAGTCGCGTTATGGGTAGTTTTGAGGAGAAATAAATGCTTACTTGGACGCATTAGGACTGTGATAGGTGGAATAGTCGGAAACGGTACCACCAAAAGTGATGAAATATCCAGCTATAAGACCGCCATATGATACGATGGAAGATGCTACAGCAGGCGGTGCTTCGGCCTGCTGAAAGAGCAGGTGGCCACCGCATCCTACGGCTACCACAATCGCTATAAGATTCGGTATCCAACTCCAACGCTCCCAAGCATGCAAAGCTCGAAAGCCAAGCAGGGACACAATAAAGCTAATCACGATGATGACAACAATGCCGACGTTGACGCTCACGTGGCCTGGATTAATGGCGGCTATGGTTTGGCCTCCAACTATGGCCGCTACCAGAGAGAATCCAGTGATTGTGGCAGCGTTGAGTAGTAATGGGATGGTGATTATATAAAGCCCCCAAGAGTATCGGGCTTGGATCAGCTGTCTCATGCCTGTCTTGCATCCTCCGCAACCCATGAATGCGGGAAATGCGCAAGTAAGCATGGAGAAGAACAGGATGGTCAGAGATGCATCTCTCAGGCTCATGCCAAAAGAGAGAGTAGCGAGCATTCCGGTCGGTATCCTGCAGATTGGTCAGTGTCAGTCAGACTTTATCCAGGAGACTGGCAACCTACGGAAGCACGCAAAGCAAGGCGGTGAAGAAGACACTGAACAAATTGTTGTACGATGTGTTTGTTCTTTCTTCGACCGGAATTGGCTTGATCCCATTTTCCTCGACGCCGGCATCCAAAAGGCGCTGATACCATCTAGGATGTTTCGCAGCCTCCGATTTGTATATGGCTCCGGGCTCGACCTTTAGGAAAGACGCCATGCCGGAGTGGCCGTGTTCATGGTCCGAAATACCTGCTTCGACGTCACGCTCAGAAGAGCGCGCTGATTTTGGATCTTCCGACGCCATGTTGGAATTAGGAGCAATGGATCGATGTCAGGGAGGGGTATTGTTGTTCGTCAAGCGATTGTCCTGGAGCTTTTGCGAAGACCAGAGGTTTGTCGTTTTGGACCTCAGCTTACGCCTTTGCTAGATGAGTCAGAAGCCGGTCTTCTGCTCTCTTTTGATGGCGACTGGAATCTTGGGCTCGAAAATCGTGGGTGCTCTGTGTCGCTGTATCTGAGGCGCCAAGTCCTGCAAAAGCCCAGATCAGTTGAGAGGCCTTGTTGGTAATGCGCCCATGTGCCGGGCGTGTCTGCTTGCTTCTTGGTCGCTCTTACTTCTGACGATCAAGCCGCCCACTATTCGGAGCACCAAAAGTGTGCGAACCAGGTGGAAAAATGTGTGCCACTATCCTGACCTATCAGAGCACACATACAGACCCCAGTCATTTGTCGGAAAGCCCACAGTAGGAAGAGTGGTTCAACTAAGCCAGGACTCAGTCTATCCGATATTCGCACCGGCTATCGCAAAGTCTTCCAATACGGAGGAGATGCCTATTTGGATAATCTTCCAACATGAATTGTTCCTTTTTTTTAGCCAAAGGTTTACATGTTGAAGGGCGCCTTGATCGGAGCGGGAGCTGACCAAACCGACAAACTTGCGAATCCACACGTCTACACTGCTAACGTAGTAGTCCCCTGGCTTTAGGTCCAGCTAGTTCGGCGGAGGCGCGTGCGGCTCGCATCGGCTGGGATGCCCATCACGAAAGAGCGCATTTACCTACGGGATATTTTCGTTGAACGTTCTCTTTCTCAAAAGGGACCATGTTGTTTCAAGATGCAGCGCGTAGTTAGGTAGGTTATGGCCACAGCATGCTTTCTCTTGAGCGTCCGACAAACATGCCGTCCTTCTCCTTGAAGGTGCATTCTCACCTTGATTTCAACATTCAAGTCAGATCTGGCATGGTGAAAAGCTGTCTGGCTAGACCCAGGAGAACGCGGCTAAGACTCTTTAACGCTGGGGCCAAGCAAAGTCGCATGGACTGGAGTCGCACAAGTCTCAACCTTATCGCCAAAAACAGTGATTCTCTCGAGTCATTTCAGCACGCCAATTGGTGACTGGTTGATACGGGTAACAAAAGCAAATCGAATATCAAAATGATTTTCTAGACTTCGGTTGCTGCCACTCCTGAGCTCCTTTGGTCATGGCTGAACCGAGCTACAGACACGGCTTGTCGCATTTCTCTTTGCTTTGAGACAATCATTAGCGCATTGCTATGATTGCAGTAAAAGAATGTCTTGCAAGCTCAAGGTAAGTCTAAATTATGCATCTCACCGGAGCCATGGACTTGGGTTCCACTGGCCCGGCTCGTGTCAGATGTGTCAAGCTGTAAGCTGAATTGAGTTGAGATCACGCTGAAGCCGATTACTCATTATCGCATCACTCGTGGTGTCAGCCACCGAAAATAACAATATTACTCCATTCGAATAGGTAGTATATAAATCGAAATTTGTCCATCGCATGATACATCAGAAACAAATCTGGTTCGCTGATGAATTCCTAGCAAACAATTCCAGAAAATCGGACTTTGTGATACGCAGCCGTCAGATCAGCTCCATTCATACCGAGACAGCGCCAATGTTGCGCCACGTCGAGGGGAGGGTTTAGCTACCGACTGAGCGCGATGAAAGTTTGATTCACTAGATTCTTTTTTAATCGCCGACATGCATAGGTTCTACTGCTTCACTACAGGTGTACTCTCACCACAACGCCCGAGACGTATCCAATCCTATAGCGGCTACTATCATGCCCGCCGGTTCTGTGCTCGCCAAATCAAATGTACTTTGAGCGAAAGAATCAAGAACGAGCTATTTCAGAGCTGCATGCTCAGCCAAGGGGTAGTCTCTGGGATGGGGAGGTCCAAGTGGGACTGCATAGTTCTTTAGATCAGCGCCGCGCTGTCGCTGGTATATGTTTTTTTTCTTCTTCATATTATCTATTGTACGTCATCGTATTACCTCAAGTTGGAGACGTTCATGTTGGAGGCTACTATATTGTTATATTTATCATACCAGCTTAATCATACGCCACAAGTCTTGAATTGTCTTGCTCCTCCATTACAACTCGATTAGATAAAAGGTCCTCTGACCCGTTTTGTCAATCAACGTATGCCTCGAGGCAGATAGGCAGTATCCGAGGAAAGCAATCAAATCGAATTACAAGTCGAATCTTGTTGGAACAGGCCTAAGATATTGGAATTGTACCAAGCTCTTCTATGCCTTTTGCCGTCCTCCTCGTACAATAAAGAGGTTGGGATTCTGGGAAAGGTGAAAAGTGGGTGCGAAGAGATGGGAGATGAGACTCAGTCATGGACAGAGTGAATCATCAGCCTCAAGAGAAAGGTCAAGATCTGTTCTTGAGGAGCCTTATGTAAAGAACGCATGACCCCTGAAACCACGGAAGGAAATGAACAACTCTGTGTATTGTTTGCCTTTTCAAATGGCGATCGTACCAACAACATACCTATGGATTATTGTCTCCGTGGGTCTTATTGTTCTGCCTTCTAGATGACGGCTGGAGATGATCATGGGAAAGCAGCTTAGCCCTTTTATTTAATCCCATCTATAGGGATGTTTTCATTTTATAAACTCCAATTGGCGCAATGCTATGTAATTCATACCCACCAAAAGTTCCAACTTGTGATCGGGCATGAGTTATCTATGCCAGATTAAGATTATTAGCGCGTTTCCTGGGATTTCCAAATAGAAGTTCTTGTAGATAAACAATGCAATTTGAAATCTTCGATGACCATTAGAATAAATCACAACCCAAGCTCTTGTTTTTTTATTATTATTATTTTGGTAAGAATGTGTTTCGAAACAGACTGTTATTTATTCCTGGGTACTTTAAAAGCAACGGACATCGCCGCCTGGTATGTGAGTATAACTTTCTAGAAAGCTTACAAATGGTTGGCCTTTCTACGAGAGACAACCTAGACGTTGTATCTCAATAATAGGCAGTATCCTGTCTTTAAGCAAGCTCAAAAATAGTGGTGTTACAAATTGATATAAGTCTATTACTCAGCCCCGGAGGATCATCCTCGCTCAAATCGGTCACAAATATATTTATAACTCTCTCGACTCGCCATATACTGCATAGAAAACGACACATGCCAACACGTACTGGTATGTTCTGTCTGATCTCCCGATTTTTAACGAAGGCAACTACAATTTTGTCGAACACACTAGTTGACCATCCTTCCACCAGGCTCAACGTTGATCAGATCTCATGGAAAAGAAAAGAAAAGATGAGGATTTCTCAAACATTACGATAAGAAAACCAAACTGTCACGATAAAAATATCCCGTACACAAATTTCTACGCTCGTTGTTCATCTGCGCCAGCAATGCTTGCCTGTAAACCGCCTCTCTCAATGTCCGCTCTTCAAAATACACTAGAATAAGACGTCTGGAGTACATGAGTAAGCCGCATAAATATCAACCAGCCTTGACCAGGAGGGGGTCAGGGTGAGCAGGCGCCAATCAGTGAGGGTGTGGCAGAGGAGGCGCGCGTGCCGGTCCGCCGGAAAGGGCCTCGCTTGCCTAGTTCTGATGATTATTGATCCTGCGTCCTAATCTTACAATTCCTTTCCCCATCGTTGCCTGAATTTTTCAATTCAATGGAGCTGACAAGTCTATTGTGTGGCATGAGTAATAGTAATGATCATCAATAATGAGGTACAGACTGAATTGGGGCAATGATCTCTAGTCTATACCATGCAAAAACTACTTCTCCTTTCTTGGCTTTCTCTCATATTGGTATTATGATCCCATAACGAGAACCCCTTCCACCGGCGGTGAAGCAAACCCATGAAATAACTCCGTATAAAGGTCGAAATGTCGAAATGTCGACTGACCAAGCTCGGCCGGGTTTTTCCAACGTTGCAGTCCATTGTAACCCTTTTGCCCAGTCTTGGTAGGCTGGACAAGTATTTTTTTCATGCATCACCCATGCTTGTCTTACGAGAGACAGCTCCATCATGTATCTGGGTTTGTGGAGTAAAGCCAATGAATGGGCTTGCAAAAAGTCTTGGTACTCTTAGGGGAGGAGGAGGAGGAGGACGACAACGACGAGAGAGTATCATCTCTCCCCCTGTCCGGCAGTGCCTCTTTGAAATAGGTATATCTACCTGCCATGCATTTGCTTGCTCCAGCTCTTGTTCTGGCCAACAAATAACTAAGCCATGTAAAGGCCCAGGCGTCCCATCTTACGGTCCCGAGACCGAGTTGATTTTGGGTAACCACTCCAATCCCACATAATCATCCACCTCCATTCAAACCCCAAAAAGGCCCCAGGGTCCCGGCAGCCATGGGCAAGGGAGAAGACGCAATGTCATTGTCCCCTCCCTCCCCCTTCCCAATAGACGCAGACAATTCTTTTTGGCCCAGTCGGGTAATGATGAGTTTGCCTTTCTTTCAGCTGGGTTCGCTTCCCCCAAAATAATGTCTATCGAACGGCAGATCAGCACTACGTGCATTTTTGCAAGGTTGTCTGATTCAAATCCTCCTATTGGACTGCTCGCACAAAGGCTGCGCTTGTCAGGGGAGGGGAGGGGATGGGGGATTTGGGCCAAGGCATGGCTACCTACTTGTTCATGAATCACCACTAAAAAGAGAGAGAGACAACGAGGGGGAGAGTGACTCCATCCCCGGGATTGCAACCCCGGAATGTCCAAGGGTGCCTTTGTCTCGGTACCAAATAGTCGGCTCCGTGGTATCGCGGGTGGTTATCTTTTTCGCCAGGGGGGTCCCGCCCACGTTCACAACATTAGTAGCAGTAGTGGGTTTCAAGGGTTGAGGCTTATTAGCGGCTGTCCATTTATTGCTTGGCCGTCATGTAGATAGGTGGAAATACACGATAGGCAGTGTAAGTCTTAATCTGGAAAGGAGCTAAGTGCGAAGCAGGGGTAATAAGTCAGACGGCTCTAATGCAGTGACCTTTCTAAAAAAGCCCCCCATCAGCCTTGTG